AACCCTAACCCTAACCCTAACCCTAGCGATAATCTGGCTGCGAGGCGCACACGAGAGGGTCAACAACATGTCCCGTACGAGCCCCGGTTGCCCACACCGCAACGACACCCGCAATGCTCCTCACTCGAGCGCGAGGAGCTCGACAAGTCCCCAGCCATCGCACCCAGCGTCTCGCCGCTCTTGCTACTTCTCCTCATAGTAACCCACGTACTCTGCACTCCACCGCACTAGTCCCCAAGCGAGCGGGGGCCAGAGTCGGAAGGGGCGCACCTGGAGGATGTGTTGTCGGCGAACAAGCGAGTGCGGGCGGGCCGGGCGGTTAGCGTGCCGTGTCCGAGGGTACTCAGCACGCGAGTATACAGAGTAGCGAAATGAGACGGGTCGAGCGAGAAGAACGAGCGCGGGAAGCAAGGTCCTGCCGAGCGTCGATTGCGAGGTTGTCGAAGAGCCGTGGGACGTTGCGCCGGCTCGCTCGCTCGCGCGCCCGAGCGAGCTCGATCAAACACAGCAGGCGTGCCAAAGTCGGGAAAGGGGCGGAAGGGACCGTCTCCCTTGACTGCCGCACTGGCCCGCGCCAACTCCTTCTTCCCGTCCAGTCGCACCTGATGAGCTGTCCAGAGCGACTTTGAGGTATTAATCAAGTCGCAGGACGGGCGTTGCGAGTTTCCCTAACCCGAAGAGCCCCCGAATTCGAGCCGCAGCAGGAAAAGCCGCCAGAAAGCGTCGCAGTTCGCAATAGCGAGGTCCTGGCGAGACGCAGCGGGAACACAGTGTAGTAGCACCGCCTGCTTGTGACCTGACAGCCGGAACGCTCGTGTCAGCTCGAAGCAAGAGGCGAGAAGAAGACCCGCGAGGAGTAGAGACGTGCCTCCCAACCCTCGTGCCCATTTGCTGTGCTGTTTCGCCTGCTCACCAGATCCCCGTCGTCCCATTGCACCCTCTCAAGCCCGTCCAAGCCGGTCGCATTGCGGTGCCGTTGCTGTCGAGACGTCCTAGTCGAGTGAGCGTTCGAGGAGACCGATGAAGTGCGTCGGGGGCACAGGGCGCCGGCCAACACCGTGCACGAGTCCGAAGAGCAGTCAGCAAGCCAATGAACAGCCGCACACCCAGCCAGAGCGAGAGCGACGACACGGTCCCGCCCAAACCTCATCGCGGGACCTCTCCCTCAACAGCTTCGTCCTCTCGTCCGCTCGAGGCTGCTTTATGCTCTGCTAGGGCTTCGAGACTGCTTCTGTCAAGCTGCCAGCGTGCCTGTCCAACCCCGCGCGACGACGCTCGACGTTTCCTCCTCCTCGTGCGATGCCGCCCAAGGATGCGTCCACTCCCACCGTCAAAGACCATGTGGACGCGATGCGGCTCGTCTTGCGCACTCCCATACCTGCTCGGCACTTCGTCCGCCAAGCCACTTCCGCCCGCCAAGCGAAGAGCCCCGGGGGCACCCTCAAACTCCCGTCGCAGGACACTCAGCGCTCGATCCGGGCTGGGGAGACGAACGGGCGGGACACCGCGATTCCTCTCACTATCGAGCGGATCAGCGAGACTGGGAAGACGCCCTACAACGACGCTGTCCGCCAGCAAGTCAATGGCTTCCTCGACCGCATCGAGACGGAACAGCCGACCTCGCTCAAGTTGCCGCCGAAAGTTTACAAACCCGATCCTCCTGATCCACTTCTCACGACGTACGGGTACGAGGATCAACTACAAGGGTACCTGGGGGACGACTTCAAGCCGGTGGCGATGGTCTTGCGATCTGTCGACGGGCGCGTGTGGAATGTCGAGAACGACAAAAACCATGCCAAGTCGGCTTCGCCGGTCTCCGTCACCGAAGCCGACATCGTCATCCTGCGACTCGACGGCGGGCGGTGGGAAGGGGCCGTGACGGAGGAGAAGGCCATGACGAAGGAACAGATGCGGGCCAGCTACGCGAACCTCCTCAACGATTACTCGACATTCCCATGCTTCGTGAGCGAGGAGGAGAAGGAGGGCAAGTTGGGGAAGGCTGGGAAGGAGGGGAGGAATGTTCCCGTGTACTATTGGGATGAGAAGAGCGGGGAACTGCGACCGGTGAGAACTAACGGCACGCTCCGCCTTGGTGTGCAGGTGAGTTTGACCATCTTGTCTCGTAAGTGTGACTAAAGCGCGCTCTTCTACAGCTCGCTTCCATCGTCAGCTCTCGCATCCGAAGGTCGATTCACGCAGGCCTTGCCGACCCGTACATCCCCCTCGTCGTCACGAATGGGGACCTCTTCTTCACCGTACTCGGCAGGAACATCACCATTGACGGCAAGGAGTACACCCGCCTCGGTCTTACACCCCCCGAGTCGCTCGACAACTTCCCCTTGCGCGTACTCCTCTTCGGTCACGCGCTCATGCACCAAAAAACCCCTCGCCTCCCTCCTCCTCCCGGCTATTCGCTCGACGATGCTCTGACGGCTACGACTCACCCTTCCACCGCGTTCGCTTCGCGTGCGAAGGCAGAGGCGGCTCTTCTCGCGCTCAAGCAGACGAAGGGCGGCGGACGCGGCGCTGGCGGCGGACCCGGCGCTGGCGGAGGATCAGGCGAGGGTACTTCGGGCGGCGACTCGGCTGGCGGAAAGAGAGTTGGCGGCGGCGGGAAGAAGGGAGGGGAGAAAGGAGGGAAGAAAGGAGGCGGGGGCAAGTCAAGGGGCGGCGGAGCGAGTGGAGCTGGCGGACAAGTGTTGGCGTTGGCGAGCGAGCCTCAAACCCTTCCTTGGCTGCGCAGTGGAACGAAGAGGCCGGCGGATCGCGAGGGAGGGGCCATGTCCAGGATTGACGGGCGTCTTTGCGAGGTGTGTCCTCATCGCCTCGTCCTTGTACGCGCCGTACTGACAACTTTCTCTCGCTCAGCGGACGACGGGCGTCCTGCCTGTGAGACGACGTTCGCCTCTTCTCCCGCTCGTCGCATGACTCACAATTCTTTCCGCAGGATCAGTTCGACTTGGTCTCAGCGTGGTGGGGCGGCGGCCAGTCGCTTCCGATTCGCTATGAACGTGTCACAGTACGCTCTTCTCTGCCCCGGCAAGCTTGCCAGACCTGGCTGACCCGCTCCCTGCAGACGCGAGACTCGCCAACGACGAGCGACGACGTCCCAACTATTGTCATGGATCAGCTTCTCAGCAAGAACGGCTCACTCCTCATTGCAAAGAGCACCTCTCTCGACCTCGTCTTCAAGGAGGTGTGCCTCGACGACGATGCCGTCGACGAAATCGTGAACGAGCGAGCGTGCTTCGAGCAGCTCTACCAGAACGATGACGCACGCGACTTCCTCGTTGGCTACGTCGGCTTCTACCAGTCTAACACCGGCTCGTACTACTGCCTTGTGACGGAAGCTGGCGAGCCAGTCGAGGGCTGGAGGAGCGAGAGGTGCGTTTCGAGGTTTCTCGCCTGCTCGCTCTCGCAGTCTGATTGATCTTGCCTCGCAGGGACGCGATTGTCGACATTGTCAAGCAGCTCCACCAGCACGGCTTCGTTCACGGCGACTTGGCTGCACGCAACATCGTCAAGACGCCAGCCGGACTCCGCCTCCTCGATCTGGGCCGCGCAAGGGAAGCGGACGAGGACGACTGCGCGCGTGAGATGGAAGGGCTCAAGCGAGTCTTGGCGGGGGAGGCGGAGGAGGTCGACTACGAGTGGCTCGGCTACAGCACTTGGTAGTTTTGCTCTCCTCCCTTTCCCGCATCTTCCTAAGCAACGCACAAATGAGAACGGCCCCTCCGCGCGCGAAGTCTCCCGGCCGCTTCGTCATCGAAGCCTCTCACGACTCGCTCATGGCGCTCGTCGGCCTCTCGGATTTCGTCTTTCCCGCTCGCCTCACTCTTGCGCACCTCGCAGACACATTCTCCTCTCCGTCCGGGGCAAGGCTTGTGCAGGAGGCGAGACGAATGCGATAGTTGCAGATGCTCAACGGCGAGATAGACGAGCAGCGAAAGACGAATCTGCCGAAAGAGCAAACAAGTCAGCTCCCGCGGTGCGCGGAACCAACCAACCGAGAACGCACCGAAACTCTCTCACTCGGCGGTTCAGTCCCGCTCACTCGACGTCCCCAAAGTAGAACAACTTCTTCCGGTCCTTCATCCTCGCCGACGGCACCGGCGGAGGCGGCATCTCCTCCCTCGCCGCATCCGACTTCCTCCTCTCCGCTCGAAACGAGTCGACGTCAAGCGCAGGGTACATCGTCACGCCCGGTATTCGGTCCCACGAGAAGGAGCGATCTTTGGATGCGAGGACGGGCTTGTCGGATTTGAGGTGGAGGAGGGACGGGTTGGTCGAGGCTGCGTTGGCGACGGGTGCGGCGGCTGCGTTGAACGGGAGACGGGTAGTCGAGGCGGGACGAGTGGCGGCGGCCGAAGAGGTGGGAGTGACTTCGTTCGCGGAGGGGTGGCCCGCGAGAACGAGGTTCGTCCCGCTCGGCGTCATCGTCAGTCCCGGCGGACGACTCCTGCTCGTTGAACCAGCGCGACCCTTGTGCGACGAGCCGGCCGAGGACGACAGGTTCGGATGATCGGACGAGCCGGCCGTCGAGGAGCGGAGGGAAAAGGCAGAGGAATGGGAGGGAGCGTAGGACGATGCCGAGGCAGACGAAGGCGAATAGGCTGTTCGAGGCGGTGAGCGAGCGTCCGAGGGCGAAGGTCGTCGTCGGACCGTTGATGCGGGAATAACAGTCGATGCGGAAGAAGCGGAAACGGGAGGAGGTAAAGGTGCGGACGGGATCGCCATCTCGCCCTGGGCGACAAAGCCGCTCAGGCTCGCCACCGAGTCACTGCGCTTCGGTCCTGTCCACGGACTTCGCTCGTACGACTTGCCGAGCGACGAGCCCATGAGCGCAAGCGAGGCGGACGAGGACGAGCGTTGCGGACGGTGTGAGCCGCTGCCGTTGATATGCCGCGCGGGGGTAGTCGATGCCGCTCGAGGCGGGGGATGTGTCTCTGCGAGCGTGGGCTGCCCAGACCAATCGCAAAGTCAGCTCGAGCAGGATCACTTTGAACGAGAAACGCGCGGACGCACCTCGCCAAAGGACGCCCGACTCCTCTTCGCATGCGGCGCGCTCCCGACAACAAAGCTGTTCCGCGCGAGCGGCGACGTGGCGAGGGCAGGCTGAACTGACGCAGATCGAGGAATCGCGTGTTCGGGTTCGGGATGAGCGGCGAGTGAGGGCGAGTAGGAGGCGAGAGAGGGCTGCGAGAAGTGCGAGGAGGAGCGAAGAGAGTGCGAGGACGGTCGTGCTGCAGAACGAGTAGAGGATGAGTCCCGCTCGCATCGAGAAGGAAAGACGGACGCACCTGGATCTCTGGCGCCCGACTCGCCCAGCGTCGCCAGCCCATCAAAGCTCTGCGTCCGCGCAGACCGCGCCGAGCGCCCGTACAGCGACGCCGTCCCGGACGACATGCTCCTCGCGGTCCTCGGCAAGCCAAGCGGTCCCTCGGACGAGCCGGGCCTGCTGAACCCTCGCTCAGGGCCCTGCCATACGCTGCCAGCCATGCTCCCGACTGACTCGCCTACGCCGTCCGAGGACGAGACGCGCTCCATCAGGCTCGGGCGGTACGGGTAGCTGCCCAACGCCTCGGCTCCTCGCGATCTTCGCCGCGCGCCAAAGTTGAGCATCATGGGCGAGCCGACCGTTGGCGAGGTCGAAGGGAGAGGAGGCTGAGGCGAGACGGAGGACGACACCTGCGGCGGGAAGGGAAACGCGCCGCTCGAGGGATCAAAGGCGCCGAGGTTGGCGGTCGGCGCGGCGGAGAGGATGGGCGAGAGGGTCGAGACGACGGAGGACTGGGCGTACGAGGACATGCCGGACGAGCGGCGGCGGGACATGGTCGGCGGCGGGCGGTCGCTCGCGGTCGAGGAGAACGAGTCGGTGCGGGCAAAGGCGGAGGATGAGCCGGCTGACGACGAGGCGTGCGAAGGCGTCGCTACGAGGTGCGCCAATGTGAGCTGGTTGCGCGCCTCGTCGATGCGCCTGCACTCTTCCGAGCAGTACAGGCCGTACCCTCCTCCGCCGCCTGCGCCATCGTCGTCCTCGCGGACCTCGTCGCGCAGGTGCGGGTCGTCCAGAACCTCGACGACCTCGATGATCTCCTCCTTGGGCTTGCTCGACCTGCGCTCGGTCGGCGGTTTCTTCGGAGCGCCTCCTCCTCCGCCGATGGGCGCGAGCGCGGCCAGGCTCGTGTGCGAGTGCGAGCGGTGCCCGTGCCCGTGCCCGTGTCGCGCTCCTCCGCCGGCATGGAACGCCTTGTTCATGCTCTTGTTCCTCCTCAGAGCGCCGGCGGTCGCCTTGCCCTTTCCGGGCGGCGGCGGGTGTCCGGCACTGGTCGTGCTGCCGCTCCGCCTGGGTCTCGCCTGGGTGGACGACGCATCAGACCCTCGTGAGCGCGCCGACGTCGAAGGTGCAGTCCCGGAAGCAGAGGTCGAGGTAAGCGGCTGTCCCGAGTCGGATCGGGTGAGAGCAGGCGGCGGGGTGGGATGCGAGGGAGCGGGCGCGCCGGCTGGGACGACGCGGTCGCAGACGGTGCAGTAGGCTTCGATGTCGAGGTCGTAGTCCATCGCAGCAGCGCCTGTTCGCTTGCTTCGAGGGGTGGTGGGCTGGGATGCGAGGTGGGAGAGCGACGGCAACACCGCGGGCGGCGCTGATTCGAGCGGGAGAGCGTGTGAGTTGTCGTTAAGCGCCGGTTGAACCCATCGTGGTGCAGCAGGACCGAGTGCGAGCACAGCGGCGAGATTGTCACGGGCAAAGGGACGCGCCGTCGATGTCAAGGCTCGCAGGGCGAACAAACTCGCCGGCACTCTCCCGAGGCACACTGGGTGGGCCAATCGACACCGCACGACTCTCCTCGTCACGATCCAAGTCGAACCGAAGCGAAAGAGCGAGTCTGGCGAGCGCGAGACGGGCGAGAACGAGGCGAGACGGCGAGTGTGGCTCCCTCACGGCATCCGGTGCAGTCGGGATGGACTGGGATGCAAGTTCGACCGTATTCAAGAGTGTTGCACGTTCGAGCGAGCCCTGCAGTGCTGTCGAAGCGCGGTGGTCGAACGAGAGCAGTTCCGCTCCCGCTGGTCGACGCTGCTCACCACGCTCGCTCTCGCTTGATTGACGCTGGACTGGGTCAGACTGCTTCTCAAGACTCCCACCTTCACTCCCGAACAATGACCGGTGCGTCCACATCCGTTCACCCCGCTCGACTGGCTCATCGCTCTGACCGCCCCCGTCGCACACAGACTACGCCGAAGAACGACGATCAGAGCTCGAAGTGCTCGAGAGCATCTTTCCCGACGAGCTGACGGGTGCGTGCGCTCGCTCGTTCGTTTGGAGGAGAGAGATAGACCCCACTCGTTCACCCTGGGCTGACCGTAGTTGCTCGCCCGCGCAGTGCTGTCGGATGAGCGGATCTCTGTGCGCGTGGAACCAGAAGTCCAGAGCGAGCGGGATCCTCGTGCGTTATGGCCCTTCCCTCCTCTCACCTCCCTTTCTCGCTCACATACCTGCTCCCTCGAAACAGACACCCTCAACCTCGTCGTCACCTACACCCCGACCTATCCCGACGAACCGCCAGAGCTAGAGCTCGAAGTAGTCGAGGGAGAAGTGAGCGAGGAGGAGGAGGAAGTCTTGCTCGAGGGGTTGCGGACGACGGCGGAGGACAACTTGGGCATGGTGCGCGCGCGCTCTCTCCTTCGTTTCCCGTGAGATGATGAGCTGACGAAACGTCGCGAGGCAGGCCATGGTTTACACGCTGGCGCTCCAGCTGAAGGAGTTGATCGCCGAGATGCTCGTGAAGCGGAAGGAGCGGATAGCGCGCGAGGACGAGGAGCGGTACCGGCGAGAAGAGGAGGTGAGTCGGCGTCTCGCTACATCTGCGCTCGACGATGAAGCACTGCTCTCGAGTCGACGAGCTGCTGTTAGAGGAAGCACGTCACTCACACCGCATTGTCACGCCCGCAGGCCGTCGCAGCCAAGAAGCGCGGCACGCCCGTGACGAAAGAGTCCTTTGCCGCGTGGGCATCCAAGTTCGAGTCAGAGTTTGCGGAGCAGCGGAGACGGGAGGAGGAGGAGCGGGTCAAGGCTTTGCCGCCGAAGGAGAGGGAGGAGGCGAAAAGGTGGGCGGCCAAGCTGACGGGTGAGTCGGGCTGCCTTGATCCTTCGACCCGGTTCTAGCTGCGGCGCTGCTAGCACGGTCTGCCTCCTACGGTTCCAGCCACACTCACACCAACGTTCGCTTCCTCCCGCAGGCCGGCAACTCTTCGAGCAAGGCAAAGTCATCGACTCGGACGCCGCAGCGTTCGGCGAAGAAGGCGACGTCGCAATCGACATCTCGCAGTACGAGCGACGCGAGGGCGCAGACGATGAGGATGACGACGAGGTGGACGAGGCGGCGGGGCGGTTACGGTTGGCGGATCTGTCGGATGACGAGTAGGCGCGGCGGGGCGCGTCTCGCAACCTGTACGGGTGTCTACAGTGCGTCGAAGGCTGCTCACGGCCGCTGTCCCGCTTCGAGACGCTTTCCTCCCCTTCCACCTCGTCTCGAGAGTTTCCCTTCCCGCAACTTGCTTCGCTCGCCTCGCTCTCTTCGTCTGTGCATTCACTCTGTCGCTGCAAGGCTTACGGACTGACATTGGTCCCAAAACAAGCTGTTCGTGACATGCACCCCGCGACCCTCCTGGCAGTCAAGCTCCCTTGGCTCACGACTCGTTCGCCTCGCCCGCTCGTTTGCTCTCCCTGCTTGACACACGGACAGGAGCAACACTCGGAAGGATGCACCGCTCGCTCGCACGCTCGCACCGGGCCCTCTGCCCGCGCGCCGCCCCCTCGTCCCCGTCGCCCGCCACTGCCCCTCTCGCCCACGCCCTCCCGCTGCGCCGCAACGCCGCCCAGCAGTCGCGCACACTCGCCACCGCATCGACCAAGGCAGAGGCGCAGGTCCAGACGTGAGTCGTCCGTTCGTTTGAGCCGTCTCCGCGATTTCATCTCGTACCCGCTTTCGGAGGATGGTGTGCGCCGACGACGGCGTGGGCAGGGGTGGCGGGATTGGCAGCGTGTCCATGAGGTCTACGCGCATCTTTCTAGCCAGTCACGGCGTCCCCAGCCTCTGCGGTCGTCGAGCTTTCCCGCGGCAGAGTCAACCCGCAGGACCTCCACCGGCCGGACTTAACATCTCGCCCTCACACGACGAGGACCGCTTCTGGGCACCCGCGCTGACCTTGCAAACGTCCTCTCTCTGCAGACGACCCCGCCCGGCCCCCAACTTCCAGCGCCCGCCGCAGTCTGGCGCGACTCCCTCGCCCCTCTCGCCCGCCCAGGCTTCGCACGATGAGCTCGACTCGTCCTTCATCGGCCTCTCTGGCGGACAGATCTTTCACGAGATGATGCTCCGCCACAAGGTCGAGAAGGTGTTTGGCTACCCGGGCGGCGCCATCCTCCCCGTCTTCGACGCCATCTACAACTCGCCCCACTTTGACTTTGTCCTCCCGCGCCACGAGCAAGGCGCAGGCCACATGGCCGAGGGCTACGCGCGCGTCAGCGGCAAGCCCGGCGTCGTCCTCGTCACGTCGGGACCCGGCGCAACGAACGTCATCACGCCCATGCAGGACGCCCTCTCGGACGGCACGCCCCTCGTCGTCTTCTGCGGCCAGGTCGCGACGTCGGCCATCGGCTCGGACGCATTCCAGGAGGCCGACGTCGTCGGCATCTCGCGCTCGTGCACGAAGTGGAACGTCATGGTCAAGGACATTGCCGAGCTCCCGCGCCGCATCAACGAGGCGTTCAAGATTGCGACCTCGGGACGACCCGGCCCCGTCCTCGTCGACTTGCCCAAGGACGTCACGGCCGGCATCCTCCGCCAGGCGATCCCGCACCGGTACACCCACCCCGAGCTCGCCGAGAGCAACCTCCCCTCGCGCAACCGCATCCACACCGCGACGTCGCAGGCCGGCGGCGAGGCGACGCCGATCTCGGACGCTCTCCTGAACAAGGCGGCGCACTTGATCGCCAACGCCAAGCGCCCCGTGATCTACGCCGGCCAGGGTATGCTCGCGACACCCGAGGGCCCCGAGCTCCTCCGCCGCCTCGCCAAGGAGGGCAACATCCCCGTCACGACGACGCTGATGGGTCTCGGCGCGTACGACGAGCTCGACGAGACGCACTCGCTGCACATGCTCGGCATGCACGGCTCGGCGTACGCCAACCTCGCGATGCAGTCGGCCGATGTCATCATCGCCCTCGGCGCGCGCTTCGACGACCGTGTCACCGGCCGCCTCGACATGTTTGCGCCCGCCGCGCGCGCCGCCGCCGCCGCAGGCAAGGGCGGCATCATCCACTTTGAGATCCAGCCGAAGAATGTCAACAAGGTCGTCAACGCCAACGTCGCCATCATGGGCGACGTCCTCGACTCGGTTCGCGCCCTGCTGCCTCTCCTGCCGAAGGAGGCGCAGCCCCGCGAAGAGTGGTTCGCCAAGATCAAGCAGTGGAAGCACGACTACCCGTTCACGTACATCAAGTCGGACCCGTCCAAGGGCGAGCTGATGAAGCCGCAAGAGGTCATCGAGGCGCTCAACGACTGGTGCGAGGAGCACGGCAAGGAGGATGTCATCGTCGCGACCGGAGTCGGCCAGCACCAGATGTGGGCCGCGCAGCACTACCGCTGGCGCCACCCCCGCACCTGGGTCTCGTCCGGCGGTCTCGGCACGATGGGCTACGGCCTGCCGTCGTGCATCGGCGCCAAGGTCGCCGCGCCGGAGAAGATTGTCGTCGACGTCGACGGAGACGCGTCGTTCTCGATGACCGCGATGGAGCTCGCCACCGCCTCGCAGTACGACATCGGCGTCAAGGTTCTCATCCTCAACAACGAGTTCCAGGGAATGGTCCTCCAGTGGCAGGGTGCGTGAACCGGACCTTCGCAACCTCGGACCCCTCGCTGACTTTGGCTCCCTCGCAGACCTCTTCTACGACAAGCGCTACTCGCACACAGAGATGACGAACCCCGACTTTGTCGCACTCGCCAAGTCGATGCGCGTCCACGCGATTCGCTGCGACAGCGCCGCCGACCTCCCCGCCAAGATGAAGGAGTTCATGGAGTACGACAACAACAAGCCGGTCGTCCTGGAGGCTCGTATCACTAAGAATGGTGCGTCTGAAGCTGCCTGGAAATGCTCGAGGCCGTTACTCCCACGGAAACCCTCCTTCGGCCTCCCTCCTCCTCCTCGCTTCTTCCCGGCTTCTCTGGAAGCCTCTACCGGTCTCCAGACTGATCCAATGATTGCCGCGCGCGCTCGCAGAACATGTATTCCCCATGTGTGCAGCCGGTAAAGCGTTGCATCAAGCGAGTCGACCTTTTCCGACGTCGAGGAAGACCAAGGCTAACGTTTCTGAGCATCTCCAGGTCCTCCTCCACCCGAGCCTCAAGCCGATCGACGCAGACTTCGACAAGTAGTCCGGGAGTGTCCCTGGGCAACGTCGGACCTCGACGACACCGCGAGGACGACCCCTCGCCCCCTCGAAGCGATCACCGCCCTCCCGCCTTTCCCACACTTCCGCTCGCCTTCTTTCGCATTCACACGCGTAATCAGCATCACCCGTGTCACCATTAGTCGCCCTATCAGCCGCCGTCGTCAGGGATTCACTCGGTTGTCCGCCTCGTTTCGTCTTGCCTGCTCGTGTACTTGTCCGTCTCTGCTTGCAACAAAACGGCCTTCGGTGTCGATTCTTCACCATCAGCACAGTCTCCTGGACACTCTCGAGCCCTTGGAACGTCGCTGCGCGTTTGCTCGCCGCCGTCGTCGTCGGCAGCGTTGCGCGCCCGAGCCGAAGCCGCTCCGCTTTCGCTTCTTTGCCTTTTCCCTCTCGCCAACACCGCTGGACTCGCTTGGGAACGCTGTATTCGAGCTCATTAGACATCAACAGACACGCTAGTACCGCCCTGCGATCGCCCCGCCGCTTGCTCCCGTTCGTCTCGTCCTCATCGGTCCCGCCATGTCCTCACACGCCTACTCCCTCTTCGAGCGCCACGACGGCCTCTCGTTCGCCTACAAAGTCCTCGGACGCAACCAGCATGCGACACCGCTCGTCATGGTCCACGGGTGCGTCGTGCGAGGGTCACTTTCTGGTCAACTCCCCCACCTGATCGTTCTTTGCCTTTCGCAGACTGAGCGCAGTGGGATTGATTGACTGGATGCCGCTCGCTGCGAGCATTGCGAAGCACCGACCGGGTGCGCCCGACGACTCTTGACCCTCCAAGGACCCGCTGACCCTGCTTTTCCTCGCGCAAACAGTCCTGATCTTCGACAACCGCGGCATCGGCTCGTCCTACATCCCCAAAGAGAAGGCAGGGGACACATACGATGTTCACGATATGGCGAACGATGTGGTGGAGCTGGTGAAGGTGCGGAAGTCGACCCTGCTCTTGAGAGAAAGCGAGCTGACCGGCTTTCCGTCTTGACAGCACGTCGGCTGGCGGGAGATTGACTTGCTTGGCTTCTCGATGGTGCGTAGAGCATTGCTCTACGCGAGGTAGACGCGTGGCTGACACTGGATGGCTCGCAGGGCGGCATGATCGCACAAACGGTCCTCGTCACGCCACGACTGCCTTTCAAGATCCGCCATGTCGTCCTCGCAGCCACCTCAGCGTGCGTTGCGACCCCTCTTTCCGACCTCTCCTCTCCACAGCGCTGAGCCGTTTTCTCGCCGCAGCAAACCCGCCCACTCGGACCTCCTTCAGGCGATCCCGCAACCACCGGGCGGCGAGCTAACCTACGAAGACAAAGTCAAGCTCGTCACTCCCTTCGTATACGTCGGGTACGACCCTAAGTTTGTGCAGGACCCGAAGGTGCGTCCTTCGCTTCTTCCTGGAGGTGAAGGGCGAGGAGCTGATGGGTCACTTTGTGAGCAGAACAAGGAGATTCTTGACCGGCGAGTGAGGGAGAGTGTGGAGAGTCGACGACCGGCACGGACAGTCCGTGAGTCGCCGAGAATCCGCTCTTCGACGACTTGAGCTGACCTTTGTCTTTCTCGGACTCGCAGAGAACCAAGTTGGTGTTGTGCGTTCTCCGCTCCTACTCTAGGGTGCTCCACTTGCTCACAAAGTCCCTCGCTGCGCAGATTGCCGGCTACGACGTCCGGAAACAGCTCTCGTCCGTCCCCTCGACCCTGCCCGTCCTCGTCTTCCACGGCACGCTCGACCGTAGGTACCCCGCCTTCCGCTTCATTAAGGACTCCCAACTTACAGCTCGACTCTGCAGGATCGGTCTACTTCACCGAGTCGTCGTACATTCGCAAGGGCATCCCGCACGCGCAGTTCCTCTCGCTCGACGGAGTCGGGCACATGTGGTGCGTCACGTCGACCATACTCATTACAACAAGACGCTGACAGAATGCGTGCAGGTACGACTACTTCACCCTCGACTGGTGGACCGACCTCCTGAACCGCTTCCTCGACGGCGGGGACGTCTCCTCTCTCGCCCCTCCCTCCGCTTCCTCCCCTCGCAAAGCCAAGCTCTAGCTCCAGCGTATCTATGCCGTCCCCTGCTCCTTGTTGTATTCGGTAGGACTCTTGGCCTTGATCGAGAGGGCGTGCAAGCCTGCGTCAAACTCGGACTTGAGCGTCTCGTTGACGAGTCGATGCCGCTGGATCTGGCGCTGCGCGCGACGAGTCAGCTGCGCAGAAGAGACTTCCTGAGAGGACAGACGGGCGCACCAGACCCTCGAACTTGTCGCTGACGACCTGGACGGTAAAGTGCGTCTCGCCTCCGCCGCCTCCGATAGCCTTCATCGGCGCGTGGTGGCGATGCAGGTGCGAGTCGTTGCTGATGGCGAGGAAGGAAGGCGACAAGGCGGTCGTGAGCTGCGTGGGAGGAGACGTGCGAGAGTGTTGAGGGGAAGAGGTCAGCACAAGGCGATGACAAGACATCGCAGCGACGCAAGCGTGGACGCACCTTGTCCCTGATGCTCTGCTCGACCGGTCCAGCAGACTTGCCGCTGTCCTGCGCCTGTGCGGACGACGACATTCGGGATGCAGGGTGGGCGGGACGAACGAGCGACGACGAGAGCAAGCGGCGCGGTGCGAGTTGGCGTGCGAGCATGGGCGAGCCGCAGACGAGTCACACAAAGCAGCAGAGCACTCGCACAGCGAGCAGCGGCGTCGTCGAGGTGCCGTCGGTCGGCGAGGGGCATCTCTCCAACGAACCTCGTCGTCGACGCACCGCGTAGGCTGCACAGACCAGTCCGTCGAGCTTACACACGCCATCCGACGTCGACTACGCTCGAAGCAGCCACCCGCGAGGCCTTGCCGCGACACCAGGCGACCCCCCTCCTCTTCCCCGCGCCCGTGCTCCTTCGCCCGGCCAACACCACCCGCGCGCACGCCGACGAGCACGCCCAGACGACTCGCAGCGACGCACAGTCCACGCCAGTCCTTGCCGCAGCGACGTGCGACGTCTCTTCGCTGTTCTACCGATGGACGCCCCCCTCGCGACTTCAGGCGACGCCGCCGACCAGCCCACAGGTCAGTTGCGCTCGTTGTGTCGACGAGTGTGCTTTCAAGGACACGCTCTGTCGCATGCAGGCACCCAAACGTCGCCCAGCCGCTTGTGACCGCACGCTGACTCGCTCTCGCATCGCTGTTCAGACGGCCGCACTCAGCGCGAAGGCTCGTACCACCCGATGGCGTCCGACACCGACTCGGGCGCAATCTCTGACGGAGACCCGCCTGGCTACTCGGGAGGGACGCCGCCGCCGCCGTTGCTCGCGCCGCCGCCTGCCCTCCCCGGCCAACAGCAGGACCACAGCGAGACGGCGAGTGCGAGCGGGAGCGTCGCTGGTGGTTCGGCTTCTGGAACGCCGACGACGAACGGGACCGGTACGGGCAAAAGCAAGACGGCCTTCAAGCGTGCGTTCGAGGAGCTCGAGGACATTGTCTTTTCCAACCCGAAGAGCTTTGTGACCATGGCTTCCACGATCGCCGAGTGCGTCCCGCGCCGCTCGCCTCTTCTCTCAATGCTGACGACGTCGTGCACAGGTCACGCGGCGTCCAGGTCCTCATCTCGGACGACAGGACGCACAAGGTCTCGTCGGCGTACATGCACATGATCTGCGTCTACCGCAAGTCGGGCTGCCCGTTCATTCTCAAGCTCACCAAGTCGAAGGAGGGCGGGTGGATCACGAAGAGTGCGCGGGCGATCGAGAGTGAGTCCTTGCCCCGTCCAGCCTGAACTGCGAGTCGCCCGCTTACCCTCCGTCTTCTTCCCCCGCAGTCGACCCGAAGCAGCGCTCCGTCTACCGCTGCCGCCACGTCGCCACCGCCCACCCGGACTACAGGCTCGGCATCACGCCCGCCGACTGGATCGCCATGGCTCGCCCCGACGGCACGTCGGGCCAGTTTGTCCCGTCGGCCAAGGCCAAGAGCAAGACGCGCGTCTCGCTCGGCGGCATCAAGTACGAGGACGGCGAGGCGAGCTCGTCCCCTGCGCCGATCAAGCCGCCCGGCCGGATGGCGACGAGGAACAAGCCTGCGAGTTCGACGCCGGCTTCGCCTTCGGGTGCCGGTAGGACGGGTACGGGCGGAGGAATGGACGTCGACAGGGCGCTCGCGCCGCCGTTCCAGCGCGCGATCGACCTCCAGGCGCAGATCGCGCCCGCTCTCGCTCCTCCCGCAGGCGCCATCACCGGCGTCCCTCCTCCTGCCGGCCGTCCTGGCGCCTCGCCGTCGACGTCGAATGCGCTCTACTCGCGCAACGCGACCGCCTCGCCTCGCCACCCCGCTGCATCGACGTCGGGCCCCTCGCGCGGACTCGTTCTCCCGCTGTACGACACGGCTCCCTCTGCTTCCGTCGCCCCGCAATACTCGAACCCGCCGTCGAGCGCGCTCGCGTACCCACGCGCCGGCGGCTCGTCCGGCGTCTCTCCCATCCCTCGTCACGCCGCTCTCCACCCCGCCTCTCCCAGCATCCCCGTCGCCGCCACGCCTCCCTGCGTCGCAGCGGCGGACCCCTCCGCCCTGCCCGACTGGACCGCCCTCCTCACCGCCCTCGACGACCCCGAACTTCTCCCTCTCGCACGGGTGCTCGCCTCTCCCGCGATCGCAGCGACGCCAACCTCGTTCTTTGCGGACGAGATCGACGACGAACTGCGCGACAAGTTGCTCGAGAGCTTGCCTGCGCAGGCGACGGGGTTGTGGCCCAAGTTGAAGCTTGCGAGGCGGATGAAGGAGCGCGGGAGGGAGTGCTGGGCGAGGATTGTCGAGGAGCGTGGTGGAGCAAAGGGCGGGAAGAACAAGCGCCCTGCAGCGAATGGGGACGCGGATGAGGCGACACGCAAGAGGAAGAGGTCGGCGAGTCCGGCTGTCACGGCCGCAGAAGCTTCTCCTCCGGCGCCCGCACCCGGGACGAACGGCATTGACTCGTCGACGCCCGTTCTCGCTCTCGCTGCAACTCCCTTCGCCTCTGCCGACAGAGCCGCCAAGCTCTCGCTCTCGCCTCCCGCCGCCGCCGACGCGACGCACGCCTCCCCTCTCTCGCTCACGCCTTCGCTTCCTCCCATGTCAACTCTCGCACTCGCCGCCTCGCCTACGAAGGAACCCAACGGCGCCGTCACGATGCGCATGGCGTGGTCGCCCTCGGCCGGGCACATTCAGGAGGTCGTTGCGCCCGCACCCGCCGAGGCGCCCAAGTCTGCCGTCGTCTGAGGTGGACGCTTCCCCTCGCTCGCTCGCTTGTCGTCGCTCGCTTGTCCCGTGTGTTATCTTGGGGGATCTTGTCGTTTTGCTTGTCGTGTCGTTTTGCGTGCAATCCAGTCGCATCCCTTGCAGCGCGACTCCACCAGGACGCATACAAAGCGAGTTGTGATTGAGCTTGTAATGCTTTGCTGAATACAAGCTGAATATAAGTCGACGGGTAATGGCTGGCTGTAATGGCGGATCCGCCCGGACGCCTCTTCATCCTTCACCACATCGCAATGTCGGCTCTGGGGCTTTCGTTCGCCAAGCAGCTTCGCGCGTCAAGGACTCTGGGTCCTATGGCCAAGAAGCTGGGCCAAAAGTACGCCCAGCTCGCCGGATGGAGACAACATGGACTTCGGTACGACGATATCCTCATAGAGGAGTCTGCCGCCGTCCAGAAGGTGAGTACTGCACTCTGCGATCCTACTGGTCTCCTCGGCGACCTTCCAGCGTCCGTCGTCGTCGAGAACGGCCTCTTCAAAGTCCCGGTGGTCTCGAGGAGGCGATGAAGCGGTTGCGGGCCTCGCGCGCGCCCGTCGGTGGTCGCCAGACCTCTGATGAGGGGTATTAGCTGTTCCCACGGCGGCAGAACTGGCCCAGCGGGTGCGCGGCGTGAGATGCGGGCGTCGTGGTGGTCTTCGGACGCCTCTTCATCGGCTTCTCTCCACAACCCTTCCGCTCGCTCGAAACAGCGTACTGACCATCGTACACGCTTTCACAGGCCCTCGGCCGTCTCTCGGAGCGCGAGGCGTACGACCGCGCCTACCGCCTCCGTGTCGCGAGCATGTGCGCGATCGCCCACCAAGAGCTCCCCAAGGCGGAGCAGGTCAAGCCTGAGGAGGTGCGTGCGACGGATCGCGATTACTTGTGATGGCGGCGAAGAAGCGAAGCTGACGCAAATGTTGCTTTCCCGCTTCTCCGCCTCGACTGTCTCGCTCCTCGCCTTTCCTCCTTCTCTCCGCCGTCCTTCAACTCCACTCTTCGTTCTCGTTCTCTACAACCTCCAAAACGCTCATTCGTTCCTTCACACCTCGATCGCAACACAATGCGAACCTCCGCCGCCGCAACTCGCTCTCCCTCGCCACTTTCCCTTTCTTCCTCTCCCCTCTTCTCCGTTTCGCTCCTTCATCTGCCTCCGCCCATGTCTCTCGCACATACGTCGACACCTCGCAGGACGTCCGCTACCTCAAGCCTCTCGTCGAGGAAGTCGAGGCCGAGGAGGCCGAGCGCTCTGCGTTCGACCACGCTACCCGGGCATGAACGGTGAACTCTCGAAGAAGGAAGAAACGGAGCAGGGAGGTGTAGCATGTGAGGGAGTGAAAGTCGATGGGTTTGGTCCGTCGCGCACGAAGGGACGGAGAGGTGAGCGGGCCGCGAACTCTGCTCGTTCGCCCTCAAGCCGACACGCCGGACCGATCCGCTTGGTTTGCGATGCTATAAGTGGCTTGCGCTTGCCCGGAGGAGGAGCATTCACGAGATCGTCTCGACTCGCCGCTCGCTCGCTCACGGACCGCTTCGGACTCGACACTCCGCAGGGACGAGGTATACTCACTACACGACTCGACTGGGGGATACATGAACGATTGAACAGCTTGGGAGAGGGAATATGCACATCTTTGGGGGCTCGTTACCGGACGCTCAATTGTCTTCCGCCTTCTTGACCTGGTCGGCGATGTCGCTCTTCTTCGACTCCTTCTTCTGCTCTTCCTTCTTCTGCGGGCGCACGAGGGAGGCGTCAATACCCGGCTGGACCGACGCTGAACGACAGGATCGCAAGGAGCGGTCGCGCAGACTCACCTTCTCCTCCTCCTCCTTCTTGGCCTTCTCCTCCTCCTCCTTCTGCTTCTCGCGTTCCTTCTCGACGTTCGTGAACTTGACATACGCGTCCTCCGCCTTCTCAGCCCTCATCCCACCCAACTCGACCGACGTTCTGCGCCAACTCACCCCAGTCAGTCTCCTTCACCTCGCCGCAAGAGAGGGGAGGAAAGCTCAGCAACGCACCCTTTGGGATTCGCACCAATCGCACCAGGCGGCCTCGCAGCCATCAACTTCTTGACCTGGCTCTCCGAGTTGGCGAGGTCGAGGTCGGCGGCGTAGTAGCCTCGTGCGGCGAGCGAGACGAGGATCGAGCCGCCGACGATCGAGGTCAACCAGAAGCGGTACTGCGCGCGAGAAGGCGTCAGTTGAGAGGTTCGCGAGGCTGGAAGCTGGGAATGTAGAGAAGACCGGCGAGAGAAAGTCTCCTTGCGACTTTCTGAACGTCCCGCCTCGCCTCGAACAGAAAAGCGCCAACTTACAGTCGCATACCACTTAGGCGACCAGCCCTTCTCAGTTGTCTTCGAGTCGGCATACCACTGTCCAAAGAACGCCGCCCACTGCGTCACGAGCGCCATGTTGCCGGGGATGAGGAGCGATCCCCAGCCTGCGACGACAGGTGCGACACCGAGGAGGTAGCGGGCGTTTCCTTGGACGCCGCCGAATTTGGCCCACTGCGAGCGAGACGAGGGTGAACGGGAGGAGAAATGGGCAAAAAGGAGGGAAACGTACCTCGAGACCCCAGTGCACGGCGCCGAGGAAGGAGATGATGATCGCGCCGTACTGCACTTGCAGAAGCTGAGCGTGCTCGAGGAGGGAGAAAGCGGCTTGAGGGTCGTAGCCGGCTTCCGCTGCGGAAAGAAGAGCGAGTGTCAGTCAAGGTTGTCGCCGGGCTCCACGACGTTCAGTCTCCGTCGAAGGAGGACAGCGTCGACTCGAGGAAAGTTGACCCACCTCCATTCTCAACAGCGAGCTTTGCCTGGCGGGCAAAGTGGACAATCGCAAGACTCGTCCCTGCGTACGGGATGAGTCCCGCAACGCCCCATCGAATCGCCGGCTTGGGCACGTCCTCGACAATCTCCTTCATCGAGGCCTGTTGACGTCCTTCATCAGCGAAAGGAAAGACCTGGGAGAGCGAGAGAGGGCGACGCACGATGTCTGCGGCAATGTCTCCCGCGCCAAACTTCTCCTTTGGCGCGTTCTGGCTCGTCACGTCGTTCGCCTCCCCCGCAATCGCCTCTGCCACCGTCCTCGCGACGCCTGCTCGCTCAACGAAGAGAGTCAGCGTCGCCGGCATCGTGAGGTCGGCCAAGTGGGGTGACGACGGACCTTTGGCCTCCTCCGCCGCGTTCTTCCCCATGTCCTTGAGATTCTTCGATGCAGGCTGCTGCGAAACGGGCGAGGCTTCCAACGCCGGGTGCGTCGGGTGCGAGAAGCGAGCGAGCGCCGTCGTCGCAAACAGGCGGGGAGTCGCCGCGCTCGCTCGAGGGAACGCAGCGTGGCACAGGCTGGAGCGGGCGAGCAAGCGCGTCGAGAACATCGTGTCTAGCGTCAGGGAACAACGTCTAGCTGTGGTGGATGGAGAGAGAGACGCCCGAGCAAGTTGGCAAATCCCGCCGCTCTTGACGTCAACTCCGCGAAACCGCTTGTTTGCGTTGTATTCGGCCTGCGTGTAGTTCCGCTTACACTTGCGAGTCCTGTGTAATGCTACGGCTCTCGGGCCGCGCAACCGAAGCAGCGAGGGGGGCCACGGAGCTCGCGCGGAGTTCGTTCGAGGCAGCAGAACAGCGACGTGCGACTCCCCCGGTCGCTCTGTACAACGCAGCACATCCACAGCGAATGATAGTCACGAACAAGCATTCATTGCCGTCCATTGTCTACCTTCACCACGCAACCTCGATTTTTCGACCGAGAGAACGCGTTTACTTCTCGTAAACCCAGGTTTGCTGGGCCGACGTCCACTGGGCCAGTCCCTCAGGAAACCAGAGAGCGATCTCCTTCTTGGCCGACTCGACGGCGTCTGTGTCCGGAGGAAGCGGAGCGAAAGGGAGGGTCAGCGGCGGGTTTTCGGGGCAGAATGGCGAAGGAGCACGCACCCGAGCCGTGGCAGACGTTGCTGTGGGTTGTACAGAGTTGTAGAAGGTGCAGGGAGTGCAGCGAGGCGAAATAAAGAGGAAAGGAAGGGAGGAAGAGTCAGTCTCGCTCGTCCGCTTTCACGAGACGACAGGATCCGCCACGCACCGTCCGACGTCGATGGCAAAGTCACCACGGACTGCACGCACTCGTCAGTCACCGTACTCACGAATGAGGAAAGCAAAGGAGACGCACTGGTGCCCGGGGCCGAGGCGAGGGGGTTGGTGGCGCCGAGGATGGTGCGGCCGGTCTTGACGGCGTCCTTGCCCTCCCAGACCATGGCGACGACGGGGCCTGCAAAGCGAGCGAGATATGAGCATGCGAGATCACCGCGACGAAGTCTACGAGGCGGCGGATCCTCCAGCTGGAAGAGCCTCCTCTCGCTCGAGCAAGCGCAATGACGCACCGGAAGCCATGTACGAGACGAGGCCCTTGAAGAAAGGCTTCTCCTTGAGGTCCTCGTAGTGCTTCTCGAGGTGCTCGACCGAGGGCGAGGCGAGCTTCATCGCGACGAGCTTGTAGCCGCGCTTCTCGAAGCGGCTGATGATCTCGCCGACGAGACCTGTGCGTGACGATGTTAGCCGTGCACGGTACGAGGAAGAGAGGTGGTGATCGAGACGAACCGCGCTGGACACCGTCCGGCCTGCGAGTGTACCCAAGTCAGCCCCTGACCCTTCCAACGCTCAAGCAATTGCACGCACTTGATCATGATGTAGGTCTGCTCCATTGTTGCTTCTGCGAGCGCACATGAGCGAGGCAAGAGAGCGAGTTGGGTCAGCAATGGAGAAGCGTGCGCAAGGGCAACGTGCGTGCTGCCCCGTCGCTCGCGGGGAGCTGGAAGCAGTCCAGAAAGTCCCCAGTATCCTTCGACACCTCCTGCAGCCTGTCGCAGTCCTCCCGCGAGCCGTCGTCGCCGACTTGTCACCTCCCATCGCTCGCTCCTCCCTCAGTCCTCCGTCCGCCCTCCCTCCTCCTCGCCGTAGCGCGCGACAAGACCCAGCCAGTACAGCCAGTACAGTAGAGTGGTGCGAGAGCGCACAAGGTAGTCTGGGTGCGAGTGGGAAGCGAGTTCGAACTGGACAAGAGCGGGAGAGAAAAGCGGCAAGGGAGGGAGGATGGGAAAATTCCACACGCTTGCGGGGGGCTGCTGGACGAGTTTCTACGAGTCTACAGGTAGTAATAAGCGCCTCAGTCAAGTGAGCGAAGCAGTTGAGCAGGTTGCCGCTTTTCCGCCTCGACGAACGACGAAGAGCAAGTCCTCGCCAACGACGCAGCAGACGACGGAAGATGCTGAACGTTACTGCTTGTATTCACTTTAAATGGATGAAGAGAAACTAGACAAGTCGGGCTTGAAGAACAGCTACCAGGTCCATCTTCGCTCGCTCAAAGCTTCTTCGTCTCGCGCTGAGCCTCCTGCGCGCCCCTCTCGACTCCCCTCTCAGCCTTCAGCAATCCCTCCTTGATCCCCTCCTTCCCCTGCTCCGCCTTCTCCCCGCTCCAGTTCCACCAACTCTTGCCCTCGTCGACCGTCTTGTCCTTTGCATGCTCGAGCGACGAAGCCGTGTCGTTGTAGGCTGACTTGGCGGAGTGTTCGGCCGAAGAGGTCGCGGAGGAGAGAGCGGACTTGGCTTCGTCGGCTTTGGCGGACGTCCACGACGACCACGACGAGGCCTGCGCGCGAAGACGAACCCGTCAGCTTGCGGAACTCCTGAACATGCTGAGAGCCGCGCGAACGCACCTCGTTCTTCGCAGCGTGCTTGGCGCGCTCGAGTTCCGCCTCGGTCTTGTCCTTTGCGTCCTCGGCCTGCTTCGAGCCCCAGTTGAGCCACGACTTGGTCTGCGCCCGGCGACAACTTTCCACATCAGAACCTGCGCTCCGCAGGAAAGCCGAGGAAGAGGTGAGTGAGCGAACGCACCTCGGACTTGACTTCGTGTCCAAAGTCGGACGCGGCCGACTTTGCCCGCTCGTACTCGTTCTTGACCGAGTCGGCCGCGTTCTCGAGCGCCGACTTGCCCTGTGCACCGACAAGCTCGTCAGCACCCATCCAGCTCGAAGAGAGACGGTAGCGGGGCTCACCTCGCGCTCGAGGTCGTCAATCTTGCGGACGACGCTCGCGCGACGGATCGAGTGACCGGGACCCATCCAGTCGAACCAGGGGTTGCGTCCGACAGTCGTGACGTCGACTCCCTTTCCGCGGAAGGCGTCGACGACCTGGTCGTAGCCGTACTTGTCGTCGGGCGAGCGGAGCATGTCGCGGTAGCGCTTGAGTTCGTCGAGCGAGGGCTTCCACGAGTGCGCGTGCGCGTGCGCCTCGTTGTGCACTGCGCTGCCGAATCGACTCGCCTCGCGCTTGGCGTCGCCGAAGACGGACTCGCCCTCGCTCGAGAGCTTGTTGCCGAAACGGCGCACCTCGTCCTTGACCTCGTGTCCAAACGAGCTCGCCTCGCGCTCGCCCGACCTGAGCGAGTCCTTGACCTGCTTGGCGCCGAAGCGGTCATCAGGGCTGCGGAGCTTGTCGGCGAACGAGTGAGCCTCGCGCGCTGCGTCTGGAGACGTCGGACCGAGGGGTTCGGACGTCGACCGCGCGCCTTCGTGGCGGAGCGTGTCGAGCTCGTGCTTGGCGCCCTGCTGGAGAGCCTTGACGTCGTGTGCGAACGCCTCCTTCGGCTTGTCCTCCTGCGTCATGTAGTACGCCGCGGATCCTGCGCCGACGAGGACCAACACGGCGAGCGGGACGCTGCTCGACGACCAACGACGCTGTCAGTCTCGGGATCGCTTCACAACGTCAACGTGCGCCAAACTCACGCAGCGGAGCCGCCCTTCTTCGGGGGAGGAGGCGTCGGTCCACGAGGTCCACCTCCGGGCGTCGACTGAGGGATGGGTCCGCCTCCGCCGTACCCTCCCGGGTTCTGCCTGCCGAGGTTGGTCGTCGCGTCGGTCGTGACGGGCGCAGGGCGTCCCGAGGGCGTCGTCAAGAAGCGGCGCGAGGCCGGGAGCTGCACGTTCAGACTGCGTGAGCCCTGGGAGAGACGTGTGTGTGCGCACGCGAGTGAGCGGGTGCGTACGATGCGAGTGCGTGCGGTCTGCATTTGTCTGTCGCCTGTGATGAGGAGAGAGTAAGTTATGCTGCAGGACTTGCGAGTGACCCGCTCCAGTGAATATGACGTCGCCAGAAGATCGCAGTACGAACAAGAGAAGTCCTTCCCCCTGACAACGCGAACCCTGGCCTCGTCGAGGGTGACCTTCGCAAGAAGGGAAGTCGGTGGGAACACAGTCTGCGCGGTTCTTTCGAGCTGTCATGCAGAGAAAACGTCTCGAATTGACGTCGGAAGACCTCGGTCGGACAGAGCGAGACGAGGGGCGACGTTGCTGCCGCGTTCTTCACTCGAACTCGCACTCAGGGCGCACCTGTTCGCTTGCTTGCCGCGCGACGCTTCGCCGTTCCAAGCGAGGTGGAATGCGCTCGCATGTCAAGAACCTACAAACGCCCTTCCGACACATGGCCTGCCAAGTAGACGGAGGTCCCTTCACCCGCTTCTCGTCTGTCCGCCGACTCGCAACTCCAGCTTCCGCTTTCGCGGCAGACGAAACGTAGCCTTCTCGATCCTACGCCTGCTTGCCAGGTTCTCTGGTGATGCCCAACAGCCGTCGAGCGCGACGCGGACACAGGCTGCTGGTTGCGAACGAACCCTCCTCAAGAGAGCTTGACATCCGCTGGATCGCCCTGTCCCTCCGCGATCCGCTCTGCGTACGCACTTTCTGAAAGATAGATGCGTCAGTCGCGCCACAAGCGGAAGATGCAGGCTTTGCGACGCTTGGTTTTCCACCTTCCATCGTCGCTCCTGCGTCTCGCTGGAACTTCTCCCGCTTCTCTCCCTCAATTGGAAAGGAGCTCGCGGTCGAGGGCGCGACTTGTGCACGGCAAAGTTGCGCGCTGATCTGCGCAGGGCGAGGCCAAACATTCTCGAACCAGTTTGCCTCGCTCTTCCCTCGCCGAACATTTGACGCCTTAGATCTGCCTGCTTCACCAGGTGAACTTCGTAGCTCCGCGCGCATCTCGCGCAGAAGAGTAGGTAGCGAAGGAAACCACGAGGAGAACGCTCGCGAAAGTGCTCCTCCGTCACTCGCATCATTCTCCTCGAGGTGTGCTTGCTGCTTCAACGCTCTTTCCGTTGGCTAGCGATTGGTGACAGTCGCGCCGCATAACTCTCCGAGTAGCAGTGTAGCAGTAGGACGCGAGACGAGAGGCGGAGAGGAACGGCGGAATGATAAGGTCATTGCGCATTGCGAGGGCAAGAGGGTAACCCTGCATTCCTACCTACAGAAGTCGGCTTCGCTCCTGCTCCATTGGCTGCATGCTGTAGGACGAGCTCCAGTCTAAAACAGGCTGCGGCACAGCGGACAAGTCGATCCACCACTCGTCGTAAACCACTGCATATCGACGCAAACCGTTAGCGGGTCTTCCGGCGACGAATGGTTAAAATGGACGAACTTTGAATAAGCAACCCGCATGGAACACCTGCGAGCACGTTCTGCACTTCTTCGAAGGCAAGGTGCGGTCGATGGTCGAGACGGTCGAGTAGCAGATCGCGCAGGACTCGACGCCTTCAAAGTGCAGCTGGACGTTGCGCTTGAATAGGAGGATGGCGTCGGCGATCGCAGCGCTCTGCACGAGAGGCGTCAGAAAGGTAGAGAGGGAAAGGAAGAGACGGGAGACGAACTTGAGAAGTAATGACTTGCTGCATGGCGAGCAACCACGCGCGCCACTGCTTCTCCGTAACGCCGACCTTCCTGACATCCTTGATCTCGACTCCAGCGAGGGGGAACTCGCTGGGAACCTTGACCGCAACCTCCATGCTCTCCTCGTCAACGACAAAGACGACCTTGACCTCGCTCGCATTCGCGGCGACCTTGACGGAAAAGTCGTCGTTGTCGCGCAGCTGTTGGCCGACGGGCGACGACGGGTCGCGCAGAGCGAGCAGTTCGTCCGAGATGAGCAGCGGAGAGAAGTGCCGCGAGGTGAAGGACTGGATCGTCCGGGACAGCTGGAGGTTCTGCAGCGATGACCAGTACGACCGGATGATGGACGGGACGGCCTGTAGTGCGCGATAGTAGACGTGTGCTGCGAGGACGGGCAGACTGGAAGGCGAGGTTGTGTCGAAGAGATCGAGGTGGAAGTCGTCGATCGACCAAGGCGCGAGGTCGAATGGCCGAGTCCGATCGCTGATGCTGAGGAGAGCGAACAGGCTCGGCAGGAGGGACTGTACGATCAAGCCGTCGTCGCGGAGCTGCTCGATGTAGGCGGTGCGGAGGCGAGGAGACTGTCGAGTGCATCGTCAGTATGAGGTGGAGGCATGGAGGGAGGGACAGAAGCGCACCGCCGATCCGAAGAACGAGAACGCCGTCATCCAGCCAAGCAAGTAGGTCGTCGCGGCGCTCGTCGAGTCGTCGGGCACGGGCACCCGCAGAAGAGTGACCAAACTCTCCGGCAACCGAATCTCGAGTTTCTCCTCCATGTCGAGTTCCGCCTCGACAACCAAATCCTCGACGTAGCTCTTGACGACTCGCCGGAAGAGGTCATACGACGAGAGCTGGACCGCCCATGCGGGGTCTTGCAAGAGACGGAGGAGCTGCTCGAACGACTTGTCCATGCTCAACAGCTTCGGCGGGAGGTCCTTAACGAGTCGGGCCATCGTGTCGACTACCGCAGCTCGAGGCTCGTCTCGTGTGCGAGCGGGCGACCGGTTGACGAACAGGCGAAGGACCATCTCGAGCGAGGGTGTCAGACGCGCTTTGGCGGTGTCGCGCAAGTCCGCATTCGCCGCAGCGAGGTCCTTGATTTGCGAGAGCAGACGACAGGAGTGGTACGCTGGCGGAAGCGTGACCGGCTCCTCCCAGTCGGCCGAGTCGAGGTTCGTCTCGATGAGGTCGAACATGAGGTCCCAGTGACCGCCCGACAGATCCTGCACGATCGGCGCGAGGTGGCAGAAGAGCTCGGCGATGCCGGCATGCAGCTCCTCCGAGATCGACTCGTCGCTGCTGATCCATCGCGAGATGGCCTGGATGAGAAACATCGAGCGCTGTTGAGGCAGGAAGATGACGGCAGCGTCGAGAGGCGGCGCGGTGGCGAGCAATTGGCGAAGAGCGGGAACGGCCTTGACGTCGATGGCAGAAGGCTGGACGCCCGCAAGGTTGGCAGCGAGCTCGTTCTGGTACCGCTCGAAGCGCGGGGTGTCGAGCAGGACCGGCTTGATAGCGAGCAGGATGGCGCAGGCGAGGTCAGGCGCTGTGAGCCAGCGTCGGGTTAGCATGGCGCGTATATTCGTGCAGAAGAGCGGACGCACCAGACGTGAGGTTTTGCGCCATCGCAAGCCAGCGCTCCGCATCCTGGGGCCCGCCGTCCTCCGAGTACCTCAGAGTCGCCTCGAGGACCGTTCGAACGGCTCGTCGTGCGTAGACCGCCTTTGCCTCATCCGCGTTCGTCTTCGCCGGCGACCACAGCTCGTCGAGCGCCGCCAGCAGGTCGTCGCCTTCCGGTACCACAGGCCGTTCCTTCGATCGCAAGTGGCCGACAGCTGAGGCGTGCCATCCCGACGAGAGCCTGTTTGCCGTCGACGAGAGGAGGTAGCTGCTAGCACCTTCGGCTGCGGCAAGCACACGCTCGAGAACCTCCTCGGGCACATCCGAGCCGAAGAGACCGGACGAGCGCGAAGGCTTGGCCAGCTCATCTCGCGCAACGTCGGCGACGAGGAGGAGGTGCGGAAGGATCCACGAGGACCCCCGAAGGATCGTGTGATCGCGAGCGGAAACTTCGAGGACGGCGACGAGTGCCCGGGAGTAGGCGGAGAGGAAGGAAGAGTCGAAGGAGTCGGTCGTCGAGGAGGACGAGGCATCGACTGGCGGGACAAGCGGATCGATAATGGCGAGAGAGGGCGAAGGAAGCGAGAGGGACGAGTCGTGGTAGAGCTGCTCGATCGCCTCCTTCGACGGCAGGACATCCGAGAGCGAGACTGTGGTCGAAGGGAGGGTGTCGAGAACGTCCGCCGCAGCCGAGACGACCTCGACAGCCGACGGTCGCGAGTTGACGCCGCCGACTCGGTCCTTCAGCCGTGCGACAGCCCTTGCGACGACCTCGTCTCCGACAGCCCGCACAACGCTCGACCACGCCTGCTGCGCCGCGGCAGCCGCTTCACCGGGCACGTACAGCCCTTCCCGCTCGAGGCGGCAGTTCGGGACGAGGTAGGCGACGTCAGCGAGAAGTTCTGCTGCGCCTTCGTGCGATCCAACTGCGCGGGCGTTATCGGCGAGCTGGACGTAGTGAGCGATCAATGCAGTCGGTGCGATGAGCGAGTCGAGGTTGCGAGGGAGGGGCGAGATGGTTGTAAGGACCGTGCTTGTAGGTTTCCGCAGGGCATCGACGGCGAGTTGGAGCAGCACTGCTGGCAAGTCTGGGCTGACGAGCGGCTGAGGCTGCAGCATCAGTCGCCGCAGCAGCTCAAGCTCGTCAGTGTCGTACTGCGCACCGGGGGCGAGCACCTTCTCGGCGACCGCCTTGACGTGCTCGTCTAGGCCTGCCGAGGGGAGGTCCCCTGCGAGACCGGTGTCTGTAACGGCCTCGACGAGTTGGAGGAGTGTACTGGTGGACGGTGGAGTCTGGAAGAGGGAGGTCCAGGTGTCGGCACGACAAGATGCGGAATTCGAGGCGAGGTGCGAAGCGAAGACGGAAAGGGCGAGAGGCGAGGTCGGGAAGAGAGAGGGAAGGTGAGTTCGTGCGAGCTCGTCGAGCGACTGCATCGTCTGCTCATCGTCCTGAATGAGCTCCTTCGCGTCAAGGACAAACCGCAACAACTCCTCCTTCGCCTCGAGCTTCTCCTCCTGCGGCACTCTTCGCACAGACGCCGCGACGCAATCCTTCGCCAGCGCTCCGTCCTTCGCCCGAATCAACTCGCTCTTCGAGTCGCCGAAGGCTTGGAGCGCCATAGCGAGCGAAGTGAGCGAGATCGCCCACCCGTCCGCCTCTCCAGCAAGAACATCCAGCGCCTCTTTCTCGATGACCGACCAGACTGCCTCGAACGCAGTCTTGTCTTCCTTCGCCGCCAGTCGCGAAAGAGCGACCTGAATCTCGCTCGCAACTTTCCTCGACGCGATCGGCCTGCCCTCGCCATCCTCCAATCGTCCGAGGTACGCCCTCCAAACCTTTTCGCCGACCCACTCCTTCGCGAGGTCGACCACCGTCGCCGACTCCTCAACCTTTGGTAGGGAGTAGACGAGGCATTCGAGGAAGGCGGAGATCCAGGCGTCGATGGCGAGACGGCCGTTTATGGCGAGTGCGCGGGAAGAGTGGGCGGACCAGAAGGAGGTGAAGAGGGTGGAGAGGACGGGGCGGGTGGCGGGCAGAAGAGGGGCGGGGATGGTCGAGAGGAGGAGAAGGATGGTCGGGTAGAGTGGGGTCGGGTGGGAGGAGCAGCCCGAGGCGAGGTGCTCGAGGAAAAGGGAGATCGTGGCAGAGGGGATGAAGTCGGCGGTCCCGGTGTCATCCAGCTCGTCGTCGCGCTCGGCTGAGTCGGCGAGCGCAGCGTTGGCAAGCGTCCAGGCCTGAGGATAGCCTGCGAAAGCAAAGCGAGTCAGCGAGTGGCGCAACGGTGAGTGAGTAAGCGAACGCACGTCGCAGGAAGGCGATAATGCCAGGCCAGCCGTCTTCCTCGGCCCAGCAGTTCGCCAGCACCCGCACTGCAATGCCCTGCAACCTCGCCTTCCTGTCCTCCTCGTCGTCCTCCTCCTCCGCGTCTTCCTCCTCGCCCATGACGCTCTTCTCCCCCTCAATGAGCAACTCCTCGTCCTTCCTTCCCACAATCGCACCAAGCAACTCGTACATCGCCCTCCGAACCATCTGCGGCTGTTCCTTCACCCCGCTGCTGGGCTCGTTCCGCACGACTAAGTCCCACATCTGTTCGCCCGTAAGCGTCGAGAGGGTGTCTTCTGAGAGCGCGAGCGGCGAGGGAAGAGTCGAGAGGAGGTAGGAGAGGGCGAGGATGGAGGAGGTGCGGAGGAAGGCGGGGTCTTCGCTGGAGTCGGAGGATGAGGAGGGCGTGTCGGTGCCGGGCGAAGAAGCGGGCTGACCTGCGCCGCCGAGGATAACGGAGAAGCAGAAGGACGCGATCGCGTCCGCCTGTTCCACGAGGTTAATTCCCTCCTTCTCTTCCGCCGCTCGAGTCGAGAGCGGCAGCAGGACAGCGTCCCAGCTCCCTCGCGCCTCCCGCCTGATAGCACGGTCGTTGTCCCATGCTGCCGTACACCAAGCGCCGACATAGTCCCGGCTCTCGAGCCAGAGAGGGGAGAGGAGGGCGGAGCGAGTCGAGGCGAGGAGGGGAGGGACTGCCTGTCCGCGCGGAAGTGAGGCGGGGTTGGCGACGAGGAGAGAGTGCAAGGAGTGGACCTGCAGTCGCAGTCGCCGCGAAGGATGAAGAGCGAGCCGAGGAAAGTGGTGCGCCTGTCGGGACGAGGAGGTCGAGGTGAGCTGGCACAGCGATTGACGGCTGGGACGGGACGCACCCAGGCAGCCATGCAGTCTACGACGCCCTCCTGACGCATCTCTCGCTCCCAGTCCTCGCCGTCGCCGTCTACATCCATCCTCAGCGTCTCCCGGACCCATCCCTCGAGCCCGTCGACACCGCGCGAGATGGTCGCCTCGTCCTTCTTGTGCAGCCGTCTCAGGACGACGAGAAGCTCTGCATCAGGCTGCTTGCCCGCCTGGACGAGGTAGAGGTCGACGGGGTCGGGCAGTCCCTTTGGCGGCGGCGGCGGCGGGATGTACTGCTTGACGCGGTCTTTCTTGTCCTGCTTTCGGTCCTTCTTCGACTTGTTCTGTCCACGTTGCAGCGGCCTCGGTGGCTCGCCGTCGTCGTCGATGTCGTCTCCTCCTCGTCGCTTTGCCTGCTTGGCCGCGTGCTTCTTGCGGGTCGCAGACGACGCAGACGACTGCTTCTTGGCCATCTCAGCAGTCTAGTAGGCGTACGAGCCAGTCCACAGCGAGCGAGCAAGCGTAAAGTCGAAAGTCAATGACCGCACACTCTCGTCGAGGCAGAGTTGCGAAAATCGACACCGTCGCATTGCGTACAGCGACGAGCGCCATCGTACAAGCAACACCATCACAGTCTCACTCGCCGCCACATCCCGCCGCAGACGCACCGTCCCTCCCACTCGCTCTCGTACCGTCGCCATTTCCCGACCACCTCTGCTTCGCCTGGCAGTCCCTCCACCGCGCTCGTCCTACGACCACACCTGACGCACTCCCTCGACCCCTGTGGCGCAACGGAGGCGAGCCGGGCGCGGCGGGCAATATCCCACTCCCTCAGCGCTGCAGATCGAGGCTGAGGTGTGCGAGGCGGAGTGGGTGGACCCGAGTGGTTGCCGTCTTCCTTCGAGTGGGCGTAGGATGGGAAGGTCGAGGCGAGGGTCGAGCGAATGGCCATTGCTTGCGGTTCGAGCGAGGGCGGGATCGAGAGGGTCGCGAAAGGCGCCGGCGAGATATTCGACAGCTGCGGGCCTGCTCGAGCTCGACAAATCAGCTCCAAGGACTCAGTAATACACAGATAACACTCACCTCCGTCCATCTCTCCCTCGATCTTCGCCAACACCCCCGCCCACTCCTTCAGCCCCTTCCCTCCCAACGCACTCGCGACCGCATCCTCCACCACACTCTTCGCCAGATCCACCGCTTCAGCCGTCGAGCCGATCTCAGCCGGCGCGATTGTCCCGCTCGAGAGGTAGGACTGGAAGGAGAGGAGCGAGGAGGTCGTGGTTTTGAGGAGGGTGCGGAGGAAGGGGTGAAGGAGGATGAGGAGTTGAGGTGCGGGAGAGGTGGGGGAGGCGAGACAGGCGCGGGCGAGAGAGTCGAGGAATGTCGAGCAGTACCAGACGCAGTGGCCGACGAGCGGCCAGATCGCGTCTGCATCAACGCCTCCGTCAGACTCGCTCGAGACGGGGAGAGATCGCGCCAACGCACCAGAGTCAGGCTTCCAACCTTTCCCGTTGCTCCGCTCTTTCTTCTCCGCCTTTCGTAGCGCACGCGCACACGCAGCGAGCTCGAGGACCATGTCGGTCGTCTCGGCCGCTTCGTGCAGCGACACGTGCGAGCTGCGCCACGGGCAGCGTCAGCAAGCAGTTCATTCGAAGTAGGAGAACCAAGGCGCACCGAAAGAGCGCGGATGCGATCCCGAGCAACTCCAAGCCGAGAGCAGACGACTCGAGCATCGTCCCGGCGGGCAACATCGTCCTCAAGATCTCGTGTGTTTGTGAGAGAACCGATGTGACAGCTTCTGCGCGCCGATCGTTCCTCGTCAGCGTAGCCCAAGCAGAGACGGAAGACGCAGCCGAGCGCACCTGCACTTCCCAAACCCTTAATCCGCCCAACCAAGTCACCCGCGTCGCCCATCCGCGCAATCGCAATCGCCAGCCGCGTTGCGAGCTTCTCCTCGAGGTTTGAGGAGGATCCCAAGGGTGCGGCGGCGATGAGAGGTTGAGAGGGGATTGAGGAGGAGGCGAAGGGGAAGGCGCAGAGGAGGGCGCCGTTTGGGGAGATGGTGAGGGTTGGGTAGACTGCATGAAGGGTATCGTCATTGGCTGCTTTGAGATCTGGAGCAGAAGCGGCGAAACGCACGCTGTGAGCCGGGAAGAACGAAGGGTGTTGCGTCGTCCTCCCCCTTGTCCAGCGCTTCGAGCAAGACCCTGCACGCATGGCGCGGGACACATCAGCACCCATGATCCTGCTGGATCTATTCGTGCGGAACGTCTTCGACAGCTAGACGTACGAGCTCAACCGAACAATCTTCGTCTCCCAGCTCCTGCCGATCGCTCGTCTCGCTCCATCTTCAGTCTTCGATTCTTCCCCGCTCGACAACCTCGGCACGGCGACCGCTCCAACCGCACTCGCCCACTCCCCTCCGCCCGGCCTAATCTCGACGCCAACGAGTACTCCTCCTTCCGGCGCCATCGCCCGTGCAGCCGGTCTCGCATTCCACGATCCGCCATCTTCGCCATCGTTCGAAGCCGGAGTCGTCCCGTTCGGCGCAGGTTCCAGCGCGTGAAAGGCGTCAGAGAGGACATAGTGATCGTCTTTCGAGAGGGCGAAGCTGCTGAGCGTGCTGGTCCAACCTTCGCCTGCTTCGCTTCGTGTCCGGTGAGCGGTGACAACGAGCAAGCACAAGTCGATCGAGGCTTCGCTGCCGTCTGCTGCTAGGGAGGGCGAATGCGAGGTGAGCTGGAGAGGGTGTGGGAGGGAGACGTCGCCGAGGAAAGTGAGATGGGTGAGGAGAGGGTCGGAGGGGACAATGTCGTCGTTCGGTGCTGCTGGAGAGGGGTCGACATGTAACGGTGGTTGCGGTCGGACGGTCAAGCCTGCAAGTCGCGGTCTCATGCATCAGTGACTGTGACCGGCGGAAGGGGCGAGCAGCAGCGATCGCTCCAATGCGAACTCACGCGGTCCATCCGCATCGCACATCTCGACCCTGACCTCACTCAACTCGATGACCCACTTGTCCTCCTCGCTTCGATTCGCGTCCTCCTCGACCGCGCGCGCCCACTCCTCCATCTCCACCTCCGTCTCATCGCCGCCCTCTTGTTTCTTCGTCTCCTCCGCGACGGGCGCTGCAGCCGGCGCAGAGACTGACGACGAAAGTGCCGCAACCGGGTCTCCGAACGCCTCGTCGAGACTCGTAAAGTCCGCAAGAAGCGAAAAGTCGTCGTCGAGCATCATCGTAGACGAGTCGTTCTGCTTCTCCTCCTTCGCGGGCACAGGAGGAGGCGGCATCCCCTCGTCCTTGACCTGCTGCACGTCGTCCTTCTCGACACCTTTCACCCGCCCAACAGTCCGAGACACCCTCTTCCGCCTCTTCCGCCGCCACGCAACAACAAACACCGTCTCTCCAACTTCTGCCGTCCCGCGACTCCTACTCGCGCCAATCGCCGCACGCTCAACCTCTACGTCTCCCGCCGATCCACCGTGACCCTGCTGCGCGATCAGCTCTTGCTGAAGAGCTTGCGAGCTAGTCGTTGCTGCTGGCGCTGCTGCTGTGGCGGTAGCAGTGGCGGGAAGGAGGGAGGTGACGAGTGCGTCGACGATCGCGCCGGTTGGAGTTGCGGCGGTTTCGACTTTCGGGACGAGCGAGATCTGGGGAAGCGCGATAGCGGTCGGGTCAATGGGGAGGGCGAGCGAGAGGGAGGCGGCAAGAGGAAGAGGTGTAAGAGGTGTCGGAAGAGCGTGTGCGGAGAGGCTTTGCAGTAGAGATGATGTCGACTGTGCTGAGTCAGGAGCCTCCGACTTTGATTCGGGAGCTGTCGAGGGTGTAGGTGCGGGTGAAAGAGGAAGGCAGGTGATAAGCGGTGTGGGCGAAGCGAGAGGCGGCCGGGGAGACGGAGGAAGATGAACGAAAAGGAGCTGTTTGTCCATTCCGCGTCAGCCATCGTCACGAAACAGAATGAGCGAGCCACGTACCTCTTCGCTGCTAAGCACGCAAACAAACGCCGTCCCCTCGAGAGGTGCGCTCCTCGGCGGCGCACAGTACAGCGGTCTCCGCGGTCCCGCGCCCTCGGTCTGCAACCCCGTAGGCGCAGGGTACCACCGCCTCGGTTCACCGACCCATCGCACCGCAACGGCCTTCTTCTGCCTCCCCGGCGGTGTGGCTGGCAAGGGGGCGCCAAAGCGCGAGACGGCTTCGAGGAGGACGAGGTTCCATCCGTCGTCGATGCATGCGCCGGAGTGCTCAAAGAGGGCGAGGAGGTCGGCTTCGGATGCGGTAGGTGAGGGCGAAGAGACGACTGCGAGGAGTTGGCTCGAATCGGGTGACCAGGAGAGGAGAGATATCCGACGGTTATCGGGCTGTACGTTGGTGCTGAGCTGAGGAGTCGGTGGGAGTGGCGGGAGAGGGATGTCTAGTCGAACATTCGTCCGAGGCGTATTCGCGTCTCGCGACTCGAGATGGGAGAGATGGATGCCGAGAGATACGAGGGTTTGTGGACCCGCATCTGAAGTAGGATTAGAGGAAAATATCGGGTGCAGTGCGGTGGTTCGTGCCGAGTCGGCGGGGAGAGCGATGGCGAGGAGGTTTGTCGTCGAAGACCAGGCAGGGGGACTGTGCAGGGCGCAGATGTCCAATGAGCTCGCTGCAGACAGAACTATTGCCATAACAGGCTCGCACGCACCACTGTCCAGTCCCTGCATGCTCTGCGAGAGCGTGTACGAGCGAGTCGAGGTGATCCGGTGGGGTCGGGGAGAAGTCGGCGGCAACACGACGAGCGCGTCTCGGTGCCGGCTCAGCCTGACCTCCGGAGTCTAGTGGCCGCTTCAGCATCGTCAACAGTCCATTCAGCGGGTGCAATGGGGAGCGAGGAGCGTAAAGAGATGAAGCGAGCGAGGTTTGGCGACAACAACACGCTGCTCATCGACTAGGACGGTTCTGACAGGCTTGTACGGCTGCTACACACGCACAGCCATGTACCCGACCTGGCAAAACAGCCCTCGAGCCGCGTCGTCGTACCTCCCCACCTCATCGACGCCGGCCACCAGCGATCCCTCGACAGCGCACTCCCACGGCGTCGTGTGGGTCGCAGACTACCCTGGAGCGATAACAGAACGCGCCGGACATGCCTACGGCGTTGGATGGGCCGGCGATGCTCGGGCGATGGGTCCCGCTTCTTTCGCTTCGCGGGACGGCACACTGTCCCACTCGGGGCTGCTTGCGGGATACGGGCATGAGCAAGGACACGAACAGATGGACATGGCGCGGCAGGCGGAGCGGCAGGTGCAGGCTGAAGCGCCTCACTCGATATCATACCCTCCGACATCCGCATCCTTCATACCCTACGACATGCACGACAACTCTTCCCATCAGTTCGCACCGCCAGTCTCCCCGCCCTCGTACTGCCACGACTATTTCATGCCAACCGCGCCATACACTTCTCGGCGTCAGCAGCCGCAACCCGAAGTCGCCGCTGGAGGGTACCGTTCGACTCCCGCCGCATCCGGCCAGTATGCGGACAACTACGGTACTCGCGCTCAGCACTTGTCGAAACGCCCGAGGACCGGAGATGGCCCGCCGCGCGACATACGCTGGCATCTGCAGAACGATGCCATCCCTTCCCTCGAGATACAGACCTCGCTTCCGTCCACCACTGCGGGAGTGTCACAGCCAGCGCCTGTCCGCCAGCGACTTTCCTCGCATAACTCAGGTGGCTCAGAAGGGCTCAAGCGTACCCCTGTAGCGTCCAGCTCCGAAATCTCGCCGGTCTCGTCCCTGTCGTCGGGACCATCGATCTCGTCAGCTTCGGGGCTAACGGCGTGCGAGTTGCATCCAAGCCAAACGACGTCGAACAAAACTTCGCCAGCAACGTTCGTCCTGCCCCTCCCCCGCCCAGACGAGAGGCCGGCAACCTCGCTTCCGCCCTCGACCTCCTCGTCCACCTCTATCCCCTCGGCCGACTCCGCTTCCCCCGCCATACCGCCTCAGATCCATCCAGCGCAAGTTCCCTCGCCCCAACCCGCGCAGGCCAAGGCGGACAAATCGTGCGCGCCGTGTCGAGCGAGGAAGGTCCGCTGCACGCGCACTTGGCCGAAGTGTGCGCGCTGCATCGAGCGGCGTCTCGACTGCGGCTACGGCGGACTGGTGCCGAGTGCGTTGCGAAAGCTCCCGGACTTGTTGCTCGCTAACTCCGCCCTTCGCACGCAGTTGACGTCGTCAAGCAGATGCACCCCGAGTCGCGAGTGCTGGAACTCGAGGCGCGCATCAGTGCGTAGCTTTCACTCACTTGCCCCTCAAATGCTCCCTGCTGACCTTGGCTGGCTCGCAGAACTGCTCGAATCGGAACTCGCGCACGCACACTCGCACGCGCCAGTCTCGCCCGGCAGTGGCTTCAACGCCCTCTCGCTCGCCTCCGACCTACCCCTCGAGATCTACACGCGCCTCTTCGGCCATACTCAACTCGTGCACGGCCTTGCCGGCGGACCGTCTACACTCTTCTCCCTCGACGAGGAGAGGGGTGTTGCGGAGGATGCGCTAGGTCGGGCACATGTCGAGGCTGTCTGCACCGCGGTCAGAAGGCGAGCAGCCGGAGCGAAGGCGTTGCCGAAGCTCGATGTTGGAGATGCGGATTCGGAGGCTGCTTGGTGGAGGATTACGGTTGCGAGAGATGCTGAGGTGGTGGAGGATGTTGCAGCGTTGGGTGTGCTGGAGCGGACTAGGAACGCAGACTGGCTGAGATGGGTCATTTGGGCGCTCCTTGACGGTACCCTACGGCCTCCCTCTTAGCTTCAATCTGCGTTAGCTCACCCGCTTCCCTCGCAGCGTTCTGGGCGACCTGCTCCTCGAATGTCCCGACTTTCCGCCCTTTCCACACGCCGTTTCGCAAACTCTATTTCTACCTCCGCCTCTCCTCCCTCACGGCCTGCGAGCGAGCCATCCTCGCCGCCTTTCTCTCGATCGGCATCCGCTCAACTGACGACGTCGCCTTGCTCGGCATCTCCTCCGAGTTGAGGCCGGCTGAGGAAGGTAGGAGGCGCGAGGAGCTGGCGAGGGTGATGCGGTCTCTCATGTATGAGCTGTACGAGCGGGCGGAGGTTGGATTTGGCGAAGGAAGCGAGGCGGGTTTGCAGACTGGACTGGTGGTCGGAGTCGTCAGCATGTGTGCGTCCACTTTGACCTAGTGCCGCCTCCACGGGTACTAACGAAGGTCCGTTTCCCATCGCAGGGAACGAGCTGCTCCCGCGCAGGACGCGATCGATCGTCCGCACCTCGCTCGGCGTCTACAAGGACCTTTTCGACTCTGCGCCGACAGACGAAGCTCGCCGATCACTGCAAATGATGTACACCCTCCCGCTGCTTCACCAAGACTCGACTGTCGCCGCCTACCTTCGCTCCTCGCCCCTCATTTCCGACCAAGACCTCGCGACTTACTTCCCGGCTTTCCCGGTGCCCGTATTTGGTCGAGCGGAAGAGGAGCAGCCGGTCTTGATCGACGAGTTGAACAAATGGCTCGACTTGGACCGGCTCGGCGGGGCGACGCATCTCCAGCATATGCTGGGCAGTATGGTCATCTACCGGTGGCTTTCCGCGTGCCTGCGCTGGTGTGCCGAGATGAGCTGCCGTGCGTCGATCGTCTTCCTCCGCTTCCTTATCCGAGTGAACTTGCTCACGATGTTCCGTCGTGAACAGCGAAAGGCGCCTCTCGTCAACTTCCCGTCGCCTCCGTCGACTACCTCCTCTCGACTCTCTCCTCGCTCCACGCGTACATTCAGACGCTTCAGCACCATCTCACACACCTCGCTCCGGCTTCCGCTGCCCACCCATCCTGCCTCGATCCCGACGGCGACACCTGCCAAGACGTCCACCTCCGCTGGGCCACACGCCTCGACCGCGAGATTGACGACGCGACGTGGCTCGTCTTCAGCGTCGTCGGCGAGAGGTTGGTGAGGGAGGACCACCGGCTGGCGAAGATCGAGATGGAGGACGGTGAGGGCGGACATGCGGAGGCCTGGCACGAAGATATCGATATCGAGACTCTCAGGATTTGTGAGACGCGGGTTCGCAAAGGACTCAAGCTCGCCGCGTGCGTTTCGCTTCCCTTTCGAGCGGGACAGTATCCATCGAGCTGACCTCTTCCGTCCGCAGCTTCTACTTCAACGTGCGCACCTTTCGTTCTCCCCTCGCGGTCGACGACTCGCTGACCTTGCGCTTCTCGCAGTTCTTCGCCAACTCGCCCGACCCGCACCAGTCGCACCACCTCGCCTGGTCTCTCGAGCTCATCCCCTCTTGGACCTTCCTCGCCACGCAGCGATACGTCTCACCATCAGTATCCCCCGCCGAGCCAGATCCGCTCGCCCGCCGCGACCAGGCGACCGAGTTGACCGAACGCGAGCTCGACTGGATCGAGCGAGGACTCGACCTGGCGCAGCGGTACCACCCAGTCGCCGAACGCCGGCTGAATGAGCTGCGGATGTACCGCGAAGCGAATCAGAAGCGACTCGGACCGCGGGCGGTCGTGGCGGCACCAGCGGTGCAGGTCGGGGAGAAGGGACGCTCGTTTCGAGCGGCGATGGCGGTGGCGGTAAAGCAGGCGGTTCCGGCATGGGCTTGAAGCGTCTAAGTTATCGGCGCTGGGAACGTATCGGCGCTGGACGCCCCTTGTTGTAACGGTAGACTGGGTTCAGCTTGCGCCTAGAAAGGTCGCTTTCCGCTCTCTCGCTGGCGAAAAGGGCTGTACAACGGGGTCGTGACGTTCGTGATTCCCATGCACCCTCGCATCGTCAGCAGCAGCTCAAGCGGTGGAAGTCGCCGGGGATGTGAACGGCAGGAGGAAGAGGAGGGTCGACGAGGCTTGCGATGCTCCCACTCGCTCGCAACTGCTCATGCCGGGTTGCTGAATCGCTCATGCTGCTTAAGTACGCTATTACACCGACTTCAGCTCCCCGCTAAGCGCCGCACTCGCTCGTCGCCGCTTCTGCGACTCACCGACGACGACGAAGGCAAGCGAGGAGTGGAGGCTCGCTGGCGGGCGCACGGCTGGCTGTGGAGGCTCGCAGCGCCGTCAAAACTGCTTTGGCAACTCTGGCACGCTCAAAAGCGGGCGTGGCGACGAGCTGTGACGACCTCTTCCTCCTCCACCCTCCCTCGCGACCTCTTTCTCCTCGACCACACCCTCTTCCAGCTAGAATGACCGACGCAGACAAGCCCTTCTATCCTTCAGGCCACGACCAAACCGTCCTGCGCTCCCACCGCACCCGCAACGCCGCCAATTCTGCTCCTCACCTCCTTCCCCACCTGCGCTCGAGCGACTCGCTCCTCGACATTGGCTGCGGACCAGGGACGATCACGTGTTCGCTGGCGAAGCATGTGGCGAGGGTCGTGGGCGTGGAGCACCCGGGTGCGGGAGAGGCTGTTCTTGAAGGCGCAAAGGAGGAGGCGAAAATGCAGGGCGTTGCGGACAAGGTCTTTTTCGAGTTCGCGGACGCGCTCAGGCTGCCGTACGAAGACAACTCGTTCGATGTCGTCTACTGCCACCAGGTGCGTAGCTTGCGCTTGCAGTCACAGCGCTTCCTAGCTCTACTAAGCGACACACTTCTCGCTTTCGCCACCACAAAGCTGATCATTTCGCTTTGCAGGTTCTGCAACACGTCTCCGATCCGATCGCTGTCCTGCGCGAGATGCGCCGCGTCTCCCGTCGCCTCGTATGCGCCCGCGAAGCCGACCGCGGTACCATGTCGCTCTACCCGCCCGACCCCGCCGGCTCCCTCGCCCGCTTCGACTCGCTCTGGTACGCCGTCTCGCGCGCAGGAGGGGGCGAACCCGATGCGGGTCGGCGACTGAAGAGCTGGGCGCTGGCGGCTGGATTCGAGGTGAGCGCGGTGAAAGTCACGGCGGGAAACTCGACGCCCGATCCGCGCGAATGGGGCGAGATGTGGAGTGCGAGGGTGGTCAAGAGTGACTTGGCGACCAAGGCGATCGAGCTGGGACTGGCAACGAGGGAAGAGTTGGACGAAATGAGTACGGCTTGGTTGGAGTGGAGTCGGAAGGCGGATGCGTGGTTTGGATACGTGCAAGGGGACTTGCTGGCGTGGAAGGGAGGGAGGCGGTAGACCTATCGTCTAAGCAGGCGAGAGGGGATGTGCTGCTCTTGAGCGCCTCTCGGAGGGACATCCGGTGGAACAAAGCGTAACGATTGCTACAGGTCGCAGACTGCCGATGCGAATGCAAAGAGTGCGAATCAAACATGCGGACAGAGCGCCCCTAGAGCTGCAAGCCCAACCTCCCCCGCTGCTCCAGCTCATCCAGCACGACCTTCTGCGACTGCTCACTCAAGCTATACCCGAGGAACGCAAGAGCCTCGACAGTCCGAAAGCCCGCTTCGACGAGTGCTGGAGCGAGGTGGACGCGTGAAGGATGGGTTGCGGCGAGGAGGGAGGCGGCGAGGTCGATGGGCGGGAGGACGTTGGCGATGGGAACGGCGTTGATGACGAGAGCCGGTGAGGCGTGGTAAAAAGACGCTGGAGAGGTCTTGTCAAAGGGAGGAGGCGGGGCAGGCGGAGTGTAGGGGTGTTGAGACGAGTTGGCGGAACTCTGCGAAGGCGTCGGATCGGGCGTTGCGAGGTGCGGGAAAGCAAGGGTGGCGCAAGGCTTCTGATCTAGAAGCATACTCGGTCCCGCTTCTTGCATCGGCAATTTGACGTCTGCTGGCTCCGGCTTGACGTCCTGCGGCGTCGGCGAAGGCGCCGAAGCCTTCACCTTTTTCTTCGGCGGGCGCTCCTGCACAGGCACGCAGTGTTCAGCAAGCGGCGCACACCCGACGAGCTTGACGGGCGCACCTCGTCGTCCGAGTCTGCCGTCGCCGACGTCTCGCTCACCGACTCGTCCATCGACTCCTGCCCCTTATCTTCCTTCGACTCCTTCCCTGCAGGCTCTTCCATCCCGAGCGCCTTGCGAGCCGCCTGCATGTTAACCTTCGGTCGCCAATGCGGGTTGCTGACGATGCGAGAGTGGCGATTGTGGTTGTGCGCGTAATTCGACTGCGTGCCGTCGACAACCCAGCGCTTGAGCTCGTCGTTGAGGAGAAGGCAGATGTGGAAGTCGCAGCGACCGCTTCGTCGCGTCTCCCACGTGCGATGGTTGCGCTTGCAGCGGATATCGACGATGTCCTCCGCCAGACGCCTCAGCCGGGCGGTGACGCCGTACACGGGAACGAGGGCCTTGATGACCTGCACGTGCGCCGTCTTCCGGAGCTCGAAGGTGTCGCCGTGCTGTGGCAGACCAGGAGTCGGCTGGACGTCGAAAGCCCAGGGTTAGCAACGGTCGGTTCGCGGAAAAGAGGAAATAGCGCACCGTCTGAACAATCTCTGTCTCGCGTGCCTTGCCTTTCCCCTTCCCGCCATCAGTCGCAACGGCTTCGTCGTCATCCTCAGCCTCTTCCTCTTCCGCCTCCTCGGCCGACGAATGCTCATTGTAATTAGGTCGCTCGCCAAGCGACCTTGCCGAGCGCTTCGTCGATTTCGAGGTCGATGGGAAGGAGTCAGCGGCGACGTTGGCTGCAAGGGCGTCGTCAGTATCAGCTTCGTGCGAAATCCGCGAGGGCGCACGCACGCTGATCCTTCTCCTTCCGCCGCTCCTGCATGAACTCCTCGAGCGCCCTTTCCTCGGGGTCCATACTCTTCAAGACCTCAAACCCCGGCTCGTCCTTCCACACCTCAGCCGTAGCCAGCATGACCTGCTGTACATCCGCCTTAAGAGTCGAGTAGTAGCCGTCTTTTGTTGAACAGCGGGCGAAGATGGCGAGCGAGAGGAGGGGAGAGGTTATGGGGTAGATGGGGATGTCGAGTGCGTGACAGAAGCGTTTGTAGGTGTTCAGGTTGCCGGAAGGGACGGGGTTGTCGGCGCTGAGCTGGGAGAGATGGGCTTCCGCGAGCTCCTCCGACTTGGCCTGGAGCTCGGCTGCAGACACGCTCGGAAGTAACGTCAGTACAAGCCAGATGTAAACGTTCGAAACGACTCACCCTTGTCCAACTCCCGCTGCTGGAACAAGATGATTTCCCGCTGCTCAACGAGGTCCCTCATAGCCGCCGACTCCGTCTGCACCGTCCATTTAAGGCCTGTGCCGGGTGCGAAGGATTCCATGTCTTTCTCGTTGTACTGAGCTGGAGCTTGGCCGAGCCGAAGAAGCGAAGGCTCAGTTTGCAAGCGTCTGGCGATGAAGAGCAGAGAGGACGCACCAAGCCTTCGCAGCCCGGTTCGCCCTGTGCGTCTGCCATGTTGACCCATTTAGACTCCTTTGAGATGCCAAGCGCAGTGCGCAGAGGCGCATGGACGTGCCCCGAGGTCGAGGTGACGCGATGAGGGTCGAGGGAGAGAGGCAAGGATGGAGGCGCTGGGGAAAGCCCAGCAGCGATAATGAGACTCGAGAGAGCAGTATATGGTCGATCAGCAGCCCAATGCGAGTGTATCCGCGCGAGAGACGAGTATGGGTGGTGGGAGACGAGGAGCGAGCGGAAAAATATGAAGCGACTGTGCCGCAAACGCCAGGAGAACAGGTCGAATAGACGTGTGAGAAAGACGAGAAGCTCCTTAATTAACGCGTGAAAGCGTGGAAGCGAAGAAACGAAGAAACGAAGGAAGCCCTTCGCTCTGCGGAACGCCTCGACAGCCCGGAGTATGGCAAAGCTACAGTGCGTGACGGAAGATGCAACTAGGATACAAGCGACAAGGAGGGACAGAGGAAAGCGAGAAGAAGCGAGTCGGGCGCCGCCGTCCTCCTTACCCTACATCTTTATCCCCAACATCAACCGCCGCTCCACCTCCCCAAAGACAGCCTCGCGGGCCTGCGGTGAGAGACTGCAGCTGAGGAAAGCGAGCGCTTCGACGCTCCCGAAGCCTGCGTCGACCAGAGCCGAGGCGAGGTGGATGCGCGAAGGCTGCGTTGCGGCGAGGAACGAGGCGACGAGGTCGACGGGCGAAGTGACGTTGGTGTCTTGCGAGTATGTGGCGCTACGAGATGCATTTTGGCCAGGGTTGGGGAGCGCAAAGACGGGGAGAGGCGGAGGCAAAGCTTTGAAGGGACGAGAGGGGCCCGCTGGGTAGCCGGATGGGCTGAGTGAGGGACTCGGCGTGGGCGGCGTGAGCTGCGAAAAGTTGAAAGGACGGCCGGAGAACGGCTCGAAGAGCGAAGTCGGCGTCGCAAGCGGCGAGCGCGCCATCGCGTTTGAGGATCCACTCGGAGTCGGTGTCGAGGCGGCAGACTTGACTCTCTTCTTTGGCGCCGGCGACGGCTGTGAGACGCAGACACTGTCAGCAGGTCATTGGCGGAAGCGAAGGGAAGACGCACCTCGTCCTTGTCTTCCTCCTCGTCCGAAGTCTCCGTCTCGGAGGCCTCGCTCGACGACTCGTCCGCTTCCCGCCTCCGCCTACCTCCCTTTGAGCGCTTCGGCACGAGCGGACCCATTCCGAGCGCATCGCGCGCGAGCTTCATACGGATCGGCGGTCGCCAAGTCGGGTCCTCGACGATGCGAGGGTCAGGATTGTGATTGTGCTCGTCGTCGTCGACGACCCAGCGCAATGAATGTTCGTCGAGCTCGAGGTGAATGCAGAACTCGCAGCAACCGCCAGGCTTAGTGCGGTAGTGCCGGTGGTGTCGGTTGCAGGCAATGTCGGCCGACGATTCGTCAGAAGCCCAGATGCGTGCGGAAATACCGTAGACGGGGACGAGCGCTTTGATGACCTGGGCGAGAGCAGCTTGAGGCGAATCGGATGAGTCGCGAGGCTGCGGAAGGCCGGGCGTTGCCTGTGATGTGAGAGTTGTCACCGTGAGCATCTTGTGCATCAAGCTCAAATCTAATGAGGTTTACGCACTGTCTGAACGATGCGTTCGCCAGGCTTCGACTTGTGGTCCTCTTGCTCGGTGTCAGACTCGCTGTCTTCGCGCTGTGAGTCTTCGCGGCGAAACGTCGCGGGCTGAGCCTTCCTCGGAAAGCTGGCGGGAAAGACAAGGCCGATTTGAGCTGGCGTAAGACGAGCGTCAGCTTACTTCCCGAGACGCAGAGGCGAAGTGACGCACGTTTGAGCCGCACCGTCCTCCGCTCGTCCATGAGCTCCTTCAGAGCCGTACCCTCGCGATCCATCTCGACCAGCATCTTGTACCCAGCCTCTCCTTCCCATGGAGTCGTTGTCGCGTGCATGACATGCTGCAGGTCGTGCTTAAACGTCGCAGAGTGGCCGTTTTTGGTGGAGCAGCGGACGAACATGGCGAGCGAGAGGAGCGGGAAGGTAATCGGGTACGGCGGGACGTCGACGAGCTTGCAGAAGCGTTTGTAGGCGTTCAGGTTGCTGGCAGGCGTGTTGTTGCGCGTCGAGAACTGGGCGAGGTGTTGCTTCGCCAGTTTCTCCGATTCGGCTTGCAGTCGAGCTGTGCGTCGATGACTTCAGTATCAGGGCTGCTACGCTGAAATTGACGGTACGCACCGTTGTTCAGCTCTCGCTGCTGCTGGAAGATACTCTCCCTCCGCTCGACGAGGTCCCTCATTGCCGCTGACTCCGTCTCCGCGGTCCACTCGATCTTCGCCCGGCGTCCGAACACCCTGAAAACACCGTTCGGGGACCGCCCCTCGGACTCATTTCCCTGCGCGAACGGAACAGGTCGTCGGCTTCACGTTGAGGTAGGCGCGTGAAGGAGAGTAAACGCACCGAAGACTCGCCGGACAAGCGCGACGAGTCACTCGACATCTTCTTGAGCGTCCAGTGCTTCTCGCAGGGTCTGGGAGTTGCGGTAAGAGCGGAAGCGGGTTGAAGCGATGAGGGTGGACCAGGTCGGTGGCGGAGAGCGCATGAGTCGTGCGAGCGTGCGCGACGCTGTATTCGCTTCTGAGCAAGCGGTTTCAGCGAGGTCGACCAGCCCAGGCCAGCGTCGGAAGCGGTTGTGAGAGAACGGAAGAGGGAGAAGTGCGTCGGCGGGGAAGAGAGGGTCGTGCACGCCACGGCCGCGGAGTCGAGCGGTGTGTGCAAGTTGTGTAGAGTCACGGCAGACAGTAGAAGCGTTGGCGTCGTCCAGCAAGAGGAGAAGAAGGAACGAGAGAAGGCTGAGAAGGTCCAGGTCGACTTACCGTCGTCGCGAGCGAGAAATCGACGTTGCGAGGAAAGTACAAACGACAGAACATCGACAAGAACGATGACAAGCCCAGACGGTGGAGGCGATACAGGAGTTGGGCGAGGTTCAGGCGCGACCGGCCTCCTTGAGCGACTTGGCGAGGAGACGGAGCTGGATGACCGAAGGTGGCGCTGGCGCATGTTGAGACTGCGTATACGCCGCCTCAGCTCTTGTGCGCATGAGAGCGAGAGTGTGGTCGATCATGACGGGGTCGAGGAGGGTAAGCGAGGCGAGGGCGTCAATCGTGGTCAAGCCGGCGGCGATAAAGTGTGGCGTGAGCGGTTCAAGCGAGGGATGGAGGCCGTGGAGAAAAGCTGAGATGTCGGAGGTAGGCAGCGAATTGAGAGAAGGGACGTAGTAAGCGGCGGGTTGCGGAGCTGCTGTTGGGCGAGGGTACTGAGGTGCCTGCATGAACGTCGGTGGCTGGTGCGCGTGTACGCTGTGATACATGGACGGTCCAGCCTGCGGTTGGCGACTCGCATCTTCGGAAGGCGGAGAGATGGTGCTTGTGGCATGCGGAGGCGGTGCCTGCGTTGCTCCTTCCGGAAGCCGACGCTTCTTCAACGGCGGCGAGACGTCGCGAGCGCGCTCCTGAAGAGAAGGATGGTGAGCAAGCGTCCGACCAAAGAATGAAGCAGGCAGAGACGCACCTTGCCCTTCGACTTGGAAGTCCCGGCCCTCCGCTCGTCCTTGTCCTTCGTCTTTTCGCGCTCGCGCTTCTTCTCTTTGCCCTTCTCCTTCGCACCCTTGCCCTTCATCGACGCCATCTCGCCCTTGTCCTGCTCCTTGGCGCTCACTGGCGCGTCGAGAGGAGGCATGCCGAGCGCCTCGCGAGCGTCCGGATTCCTGACCGTTGGACGGAACGACGGGTCTCGCAAGATCTCCTCACACGGTCCATGCGAATGCTTGAAATGCGACTTGTCCGCGTCAATGCGCCAGCGCTTCGTCTTCGGGTTGAGCTTGAGGACCGCTTGCCTGCTGCAAACGCCGCCGGGGTGTTCCGAGTAGTGCGAGTGGTGGCGGTTGCACTTGATCTGCGTGACTGTGGAGGAGACGGCACACTTGGTGACGGAGATGCCGTAGACCGGGACGAGAGCCTTGACGTAGGCCTTGAACGCCTCGGTCGTCGAGGCGAAGGAGTCGTTAGCCGAGGGCAGACCCGGGACGTGCTGCGGGCAGGAGAGTGAGCAAATCTACCACGAAAGCTCGGAAGCCGAACTCACAACGTCGCGACTCGACCCCTTTCGTGCCGCAGGCTCGCTCTCGTCTCCCGACTCGTCGCCGGAGGTCGCGCTGGCAGGCTCCAATGCCGAGGAGCGATACTCGCCATCGTCGTCCTCGCGGGACTCGTCATCGTCAGAGCTGAGCACGATGGCCGAAGACTTGGCCACCCTCGTGCGCTTCGTCGTGCGCTTCTTCTTGCGGAAGACGGAAGGTGCTGCCTTAGGAGGTTGATAGGATCCTGCGAAACGGCTTCTGTTAGGACTGTACGCATCGCTCAAGACAAGACGACTCGCCGGCTGAAGGCTGGCGCTCCTTGATGAATTGATTGATCGCGACCGATCCTGGATCGAGGTCAAGAAGCTGCTTATAAGTCGGCTGATTCGCCCAAACCTTCTGCAGGCCTTCGAGCTCCATGATCTTCTCAAGAGAGCGCTTGTAGGTGTTGAAGTACCCGTCGATTGTCGAGCACTTGTCGTAGAACCAGAGGGCAAGGATCGCGGGTGTGAGCGGAAATGGCGGAATGCCGTTCGCTTCAGCGAATCGGCAGTAGTTGCGAAAAGCGCTGCGAGGGACGCTGTTCGAGTCCGACAGTCCCTCGAGGTGGCCGTCGACGAAGGATGCGGACCATGCCTGCCGGGTGTCTGCAAGCGCACATCGGAGTTAGCAATAAGCAAGCATGACGGACGAGGTGACTCCCAACGCACTCGCTTGAAGGCGCCTCTGCAAGGCGAAGATGCTGGCGCGATCCGCGACGAGACGCTTCATCACGGACGACCCCGTAGGCGCGGACCAGGGCTGGCCGGTTCCTGTAGGCGCTGTCAGCTGCGGCCCGTCTACACAATAGGCACAGATCGAACGCACCTGCCGCAAGCACAGGCTCATCTTTACTCTTCTGCTCCTCGCCCTTCTCGGATCCGCCTTCATCCGCCTCGTCTTCCGAGCTGCTCCAAGACGCCCGCTCCTCCTCGTCGCCTTCCATGTCATGATTGTGGACCCACACGCATCGTCCCGGCGCAAGCGACCACTCCTTCTCATCCCGTCGCCTTTCAGCCCGAACGCGAAATCCGCAACCCTGCGTCTGTAGCGAACATCGGAGCACCACATAACGCGCCTCGTTCTGGTTGACCCATGCGGTGACGCCGTAGGTTTTGTAGAGGCGCTTCTTGCATTCCGAGATGAACTTGCTGTTCGAGGGGAACGTCGCGTCGTCGTCGAAGAGAATGTTGCGCCGCTGGCAGATTCGAGAAGCCGTCAGTCTCGTCAGTTGGTACGTCTGAGGTTCGAGCTCACTGGTGACGGAACTGCGTTCCGAGCGATCTCGCTGTCGGCGGAAGAGAGGCTGTCGTCGGACTGCGTGTCGGAGAGTCAGCCGCCGCTTGGGAAGCTGAGAAAGAATCGACGTGTACCTCGGCTCCTGGGTCCTCCGTGTAATGTTCTTCAGCTTGTACGCTGTTCTGCGGAAGGTTCTGCAGAAAAAGGCGCGCTCAGCATCTCGCTCGAGGGGATGAGCCGGACGAAACTCGACCAACCGGGTCCGCGACTGCTGCGACAGCTTGAGCAGCCTGATCCTCGGCCTGTGCTGGGCTCGGATGGCCAGACGCTGAGCCAGGCGGAGGTGTCGGAAGGTAGGGCTGCGCGAAGGTCGTTAGGTTAGCAGCGCATCGGGACCTTCGACGTTGAAGACACTCACCGCCGCCGCAGTGCTCGTGGCCACCGTTGCATCCACTTCCTCCTTCTTCAAGCCTTTCAGCGCCTGCATCCAACCTGGTTCGCTCTTGACCTCATCGCTCGAGCCTTCCTTCTTGTCGACTGGGGTGGCGAGGCTGGACGAAGTCGACGCGAGCGGTGCTGGAGGGAGTGGAGACTCCACTGGCTCGGTCTTTGGCGCCTGCATCGATGGCGAACGAGGAGTCGAGGACGAGGAGGGGAGTTCGGCGGGAAGCGTGAGGCGCGTCGCAGGGAGTGAGCGGCCGCTGGAGCGAACTTGACACCGTCCTGTACGCCACGACCCAATCAGCTGAGCGCTCTGTGCGAGTGGTCGTGTGGGAGAAGTGGACGAACCTGTCAAAGTGATGAGGGGACTCGCGACGGAACGAGCGGGTTTGGCGGTACGTCTAGCGGCGAGAGCGTCACTGGAAGACTTGTAGCCTAGCCGAGTCAAGAAGCACACCTTCAAGCGTCGAAGAGAGCGAGAAAGGGGGAGGAGCAAGCGGAGAAGGAGCAACGAGCGTTTCGCTAGTCTCTCCTTGTCCCTTGCAGAGACTGTGTGTGCTTCCAGAACGTAGTTGAAGGTGCACTTCCACGATGACGGGGCGTAGAGAGAAGCGAAGCTGGGGAAGAGGACGGACTTCGCATCTCTCGCTCTCCTCGCGCTCTCGCCTTGTTATGACGAGATAAATAGCAAGCAACAAAGCACGGCAAGAGTAGTACATGAAGCTGTGACGGAGGCCAAGCTAGGCTCCACCGCCCTCCTTGAGCAGCCTGGCGAGAAGTCGAAGCTGTATGACCGAAGGCGGAGGCGGCGCATCACGCGCTTGTAGGGCTGCTGCTACCGCCCTACTCCGTATGAAGTCGAGGGTATTGTCGATGAGGGCGGGGTGGACGAGCGTGAGCGAGGCGAGCGAGTCGATCGTCGTCAAGCCCGCTTCGACAAAGTGCGGTGCGAGCGGTTCGAGAGAAGGGTGGAGGCCGGCGAGGAAGGCGGAGATGTCGGCATTTGTGAGCTGGGCGGCGGAAGGTAGCAGGGACGCCGTCCCGGACGCATTGAGCGCAACAGCGGGTCGCGACGACGGAGGCGCGCTGAACGCGTTGAGGGCTCGAGCGGACGGAAAGGCTGGCGACGGGTCGCGACCAGCTGTAGAGGTCGTCTGCTTCGATGCGGTCGGCCGGCCGGCAGAGGACGACTGCGGCGCAGGGGTCGTATTGGCGCTAGGAGCGGCGAGTCGTGGCTTCTTCGACGGCGACACAGCAGGTCCGGCTCCCTTCTGCGAGTGAGCTCAATGAGTCTGATGCACTCGCCAAGTTGTAAGGAGGCGGAAGGCAAAGCGCACCTTTCCCTTCGGGTAGATAACGATCTCAATCTCGTCGTCCCACACACGCCGCTTCTTCCCCTTCTCCTTCTCCGGTGCCTCCATGGCTTCCTCCGCCTCGTCGTGAGACATACGCTGCTCCCGACTCGCCTTTCCCAACTTCAGAGCGCTCTCTTCGAGAGGAGGCATCCCAAGCGCTCTGCGGGCATCTGGATTCCTGACCATAGGCCGCCACGTCGGGTCCTGGAGGATCTCGTCGCATGGGCCATGCGAATGATCGAAGCACGACTCGTCGAAGTCGACGCGCCACTGCTTCGTCTTCGAGTCTCGCTTGACAACCGCGTGCCAGCCGCACTTCCCGTCTGGTTGAACTGAGTAGCGCGTACGATGGCGGTTGCACTTGATGTGCGCGGTGTCTGGCGAGATGTGGCGTATGTTGACGGAGATGCCGTAGACGGGAACGAGCGCCTTGACGTAGGCTTCGTAGACATGCATGGGTGAGGTGTATGTGTCCTTCGCAGAGGGGAGTCCGGGAACGACCTGGGTGGGAGTCGCTCAGCTGAAGCGGCTAATGATCAGGCGAAGAAGCAGCAACTCACGATGTTCCGTTCCGAAGGTCGCCAAGTTCGCGCACGACCTCCGCTCGCGGAACCTGGCCACAGGCTGTCAGTCTCGTTAAACGTACGAGGCGGCGCTCGACGCACCTTCCGTCTCGTGGCTTCGCCCGCTAGGCTTGCTAGGGGCGGGATCGATACCCGGCGTCTGTATCTTCCCGCCCACCTTGGCGGTCTTAAGAGGCTGCGTCAGCGGCGGAGCTGAGCAGCCGGGGACTGCGTAGCGCACCGAAAGGTGACGACGCTCGTCGAGGAATTCTTTGACGGCTGTGAAGTCCGGGTCGTACTCGAGCAAGCGCGCATACAAGGGCTGCGTCTGCCACTCATCGGCGAGCGCAGGAAGGCGCGCGATGGCGAGGAGGCCGCGGGTGTAAGTCTTGAACCATCCATCAGCCTTGGAGCACTTGTCGAAGAGCCAAAGGGCGACGAGGGCGGGCGTGAGCGGAAAAGGCGGCATCTGATTCTCCTCGGCGAAGCGGCTGAGGTGTTTGAAGGCGTTTCGAGGCGCGCCGTTCGCGTCGGAGAATTGCGCGAGATGTCGTTTGACGATAGCAGCCGATGACGCTTGCCTCGCGGCGCCTGCAGGTGGAGATGTACGTCAGTCGCCGGTCGTCTTGGATCTATACGAGAAAGCCCGACTTTGAGCGCAGTTCCGTTGGAACTGGAAGATCTCGCCGCGCTCCTTGACGAGCTTCTTCATCGTCGCGGAAGAGGTGGATGCGGACCACGGCTTGCACGTGCCTGCTAGACGCGAATATCAGCGCAACACCCATGCGGTCATTAATTGAGGGAGGCGTACCTGTCGGTTTCTGTCGCCGCACGCTCGTGCCCGCGCTCGACGTTGGCTGCTCGTTTTGCACAACAGCTCTGGAGCGCAGCCTTGCCCGCTGTTCCGCTTCCGCCACGAGTTCCACCTCGTCCTCGTCGTCCGAGCTGCTCCAGGAAGCCCGCTCCTCCTCGTCGCCTTCCATATCGTGGTTGTGCTCCCAATCGCATCTGTCCGCACACAGCCGCCAGACCTCGTTGACAGCCCTGCGCTCGATGCGAAGGCTGTAGGTGCAGCCGTTCGTGCACCGAGAGCACCTGATCGAGCCAGAATAGTCGCTGCCGCCGTGAATCCAGGCCGTCACGCCGTAGGAACGATAGATGCGCTTCTTCGCCTCCGAGAAGAACTTGGCCTTTGAGGCGAACGTCGCGTCGGCGTCGAAAAGGACGACGCGACGCTGCAACGGCGACCGGAGGTTAGTCTCTTGGAGCGATCCTGGTTCGAGCGCAGATTACGCACGGAGGGGTCGGTCGAGCTGATGCCGGCGTCGCTGTCCTCACAAGACGTTTCCTCGTCGGACTGTGCAGCTCTTCAGCGAATGAATGACGAAAGCGGGACGAGACTGGACGCATAGTTGCTTCCTCGTCTCCTGAATCCGCTTCTTCGGCTTCCTCCTCGTCCATGACTCTCGCTCCTGCCCGCCCCTCCTTCTCGACCTGAGAAGCCTCGTCCCGGACAGTCGACGGTGTTGTATATACGGGCGAGTAGAAAAGGGTGGCGGAAGGCTTGGGAAAAGTGAAGAAGTCGACAGCGTCGCTTAGAAACGCCTGCATCGGCCGGAGCGAGAGGTCGGGAGAGGAGCGGGAGCGAGGTGTTTGATGGGAAAAGTGGGTTGGCTGTGACAGGGTGATCTCGCAAGACCTGTGTGGACGTTAGGCTGTCAGGTTGGCTTGCCCTGTCTTCACCGAGGAGAGAGAACGAGACGAACTGGTCTGAACTGATGAGGAGGAGGTGGGGACAAACAACCGCGACGAGGGCTGACGAGGAGCTATCGGTGGTGACAGCGGTCGTAATGAGCACTCAGAAGGAGCAGCGTAAGCAGCGGGAGAAGCACGGAGCGAGGAGGCGAGGGGAGAGAGGCAAGGAAGCGTCTTCGATGAGGAGAACAGAAGTCATCAACCGTTAGCGGCACAAGGGAGCTCTCTGAGCACTCTACACAGACGCCGCGCTCGCAGGAACACTACACGGTCGTCTGAATGAGCGCCGATGAGCTAGAGAAGAAAGTGAATGCAACAACACTGCTCAACTGTACCTACATCGCGCTCGATAACATGCCCGCCCTACTGCTGAGCCCTGGTCGGACTGTCCTTGATCGCCTTGACAAACAGGCGAGCCTGGAGGACCGTCGCGCGGCAAGCCGGATCTCGCCGCAAGTCCTCCTCGATCCGCTTGCGCAAAGCCTGGAAGATAACGTCGAGCGCCGTGTCGCTGAGCATGACGAGGTCGACGAGAGAAGCGACAGACGTGGCACCGAGCGAGGGAAGGTAAGGCGCGAGAGGGACGATGCTGGGATGCAGGCCGGCGAGGAACGGCTCGAGTTCGGGGCAAGGTCGAGGTGCGGGGGGCGTGTAGGGTGTGACAGACCTTGCAAGGGGCGCTGGAGTAGGTCGTGAGCTGTGCGAGCTCGTCTGTTGAGCCGCGAAGGGGACATCGGGAGTCGTCAAGGCGGGCGAAGGGAGCGCAGCGGAAGGTTGGACGGGTGATCGCTCCTCCTCCTTGACACGAGGACGCTTCGTCTGAGGTTCGTCGACGGAGTAATCCACAGATGAAGGGCGCTTCGGTTGGCTAGGGGCAGGCGGAGGCGGAGGCGCGGCCGAAGATGCAGATGCCGGGACGGTCAGAGGTGCGGCTCCAGTCGCGGAGAGGGCTGCTGAAGGAGAAGCGCGGATGTCGTCGAAGTGATGGATCAGGCCTGCGGGACGGGGGAGGCCGTTCGCGCGAGCCTCGTCGACGAGCTTTTGCTCGCGAGCCTTCGTCCACTGGTTGCCGCGCCGGGGCTTCGAGGAACCCTTTGAGGCGGCAATCGCTCCGTGCGCAGAGGCAGGGTCGCCGTCCGTCGCGGCTGCGGTGGTGTACGGCGTCAACCACGAGCGTAGCGCTTGACGCGCGTCCGCATTTATGACGGTTGGGCGCCAATTCGGGTCAGCGGCGTAATTGGGGTGCTTGCCGTGGCTGTGCCGCCAATCGGAGGCCCTGTGGTTGATGTACAAGCGACCTGATGCATCGAGGGCGACGACCACTTTGAAGGGACAGCCGTCGTTGACTCTGTTGCAGCGGATTGCGCCAGGATGCGAGCCTGTCGGGGTCGCATGCTTGTTGACGGAGATGCCGAGCGCCTTCGTGTATGCGACGACAAGAGAACAATACACATCGGTGAAAGATGCGAACGTTTCGCTCGGCGGAGGCACCCCGTCGACCTGCGCGAGTCAGTCCGTTTAGCTCCGAAGCGAGCTGCGAAATGACCGATACGCACCGGTGCCTCGATAATCGCCGTCATCGGTTCCGTTAATGCTCCTGGAGGCGGTGGCGCTGCCTGGGGTCCCCCGCCCGCCTGCGGCTGCTTGAGATTAAGCGAGCTCCGTTCTGCGAGCTGCGTTCCCGATTAAGTCGCCTTCTGTTTCCCGGGATCATGTGTGTGCGTCCAGGAGCACTTGTCGAACTGCAGCACCCAGCCCGTCGCCTGCGGAACAGCCCGAACGGCGTAGGAACACCTGACTTCCGTCTGACGACGCGTACAGCATGCAACGATGGAGGGCTTGTCGCGGTTCCGCACGATCGTCGAGACGCCGAACTTCTCGCACGATGCTTTTGCGCACCTCGCGAAGAAGTCGGCCTCGTCGATGAACGTCGTGCCGGGAGGGAAGAGGACGACGGTGCGGTCGGCGCTCTGCGCGGCGGTCGTTGCCGAAGGCGAGGGAGTCGGGACATCTGCCCGGGTCGTCGAAGGCGCGGGAGCGATCGCTACAGGTGCGGGAATGAGATTGGCAGGAGCGGAGATGTGGTTGGCGTCGGATGGGGCGGACGAGGAGACGCTGGATGAAGCCGACGTTTCCGAAGCCGTCATCGAGGCTATGACCTGAGTGAAAGCCTGCTGGAAGACGTCTCGGAATGGTCGGATCTACGGCGGCGCCGAGGTCGAGCTTGTCGCATCCTTCGTCGGCTTGGACGAAGCGGCAGAGGGCGGACGAGAAGGCGGCAGCATCGTCACCGGATCCGCTACTGGAACCATCGGCTTTGACTGCGCAATCGTAGCCGGAGAGGGATGCGGGTGTGTCGTAGCGGGAGGTGGCGCAACCGAAACTGGCGGCTGAGAGAACGAATTCGATGCATGTACCGTTTGCGCGACTGGCTCTATTGCCCGGGGCGAGGATGCCGCAAGAGTAGAATTTGTTGCGGCTGAAGGCGCCAGAGACGAGGTCGAAGCAACCGCCGGCACGAGTGGCTGCGGCCCAATGAACGACGACGATGCCGGAGCGGTCGAAGCTGGACGAGACGCCGGAAGAGGCGTCGTCGAGATGGACGGCGGGAGAGGTGTCGTCGAAGCGGGATGCGAGTGGTCCCAGGTACACGCCTTGTTCTGCACGAACCAGCTGCCGTCCTGCTGCTTGAGAGCGCAGACGCGGAACGGGCAGCCATTCAGCTTGTGGCAGAAGCAGCGCACGGTCACCTTGTCGTCCTTGCGCTTCGACGGATTGGCGGGGTAGCCGTACTGCGACCGGAGCCGCGTCGAGCATTCGGCGAAGAACTCGTCGGCGGTCGAGAAGGAAGTGCGGTGCGGGAAGAGGACGGTCGTGCCCTTCTGCGAAGGAAGCATGAAGTCAGCAAGTAAAAACCGGAGAGCGAGTGAGGGACGCACCGATGGCTTCGCGTCGCTCGACGACGTCGCACCTGCCTGCGTTCCTGCACTGCTCACCTGACCATTCTGCGTCCCCGACCCGCTCGCCACAGCGTTCTGCGACCCACTCGTACCGACTCCTCCGCCCAGGGCCGCGATCGCTTGTCGAGCAAGATTCGCCTCGCCCGCCATGATGCGCTGAATTTCAGGCTCCTCCTTGACTCCAGACATCGCCCGTCCACCGTCCGCCGACTGTTGCTGGGTCGTAGTCGGGATCCGGGAGCAAGGAGGATGGGCGGAGGACAGGGTGAGAGGAAGCCGGCGCGGCGCTTGGGAGAGGCTCCTAGAGGTCAAGAGCGACCAGCAGAGGGATCAGGCAGCGTTCAAGCGAGGTGCAGCGGTGTGGTCCTCGCCCAACCTCGTTCGCGAACGGGTCGCGCTGCTTCAGTTCGCTATCATCGCTTAAGCTGGCTCAGAGACGCGCTGGAACTGCTTCAACGATACATACAAGCTCACCGTCTGGCACGCTGGGCGCCCCATCGATAGCTCTCTCGTGCCCAACCTCCTCGCCGACTTCATCTCTTCAAGGAAGCTGCGACGCCAGCACAGCTTGTACGTCCATAGTCGCCGCCTGAGGCATCTCATTACCCGCTCACCTTGGTTTGCACCTGCACGCAGCCCGATCTGGAACCTGTTGACGATCCTTTGGCTTTTGAGGTCCTCCTCGCTTCCCTCGCTCTCTCGCAGGAGGGCGTGCTTCATTCTAGACTGGCGCCTTTGCATCGTCGTCTAATCTTGCTGATTGACGCTGAATTCTGCAAAGTCGGCGGAGGGCTGTGGGTCCCGCAGTGAACGCCTTCCTTCCTCCTCCTGGCTATCTTCCCGCATTCTCTCGTCGCCTTTTCCTTCCGGCCGGCACATCATGTCGTGAACAAGAGGATATGTTGCAAGAAGGGGGGGATCAAGCGAGGGGATGCATGTGCAGGGTATGGGACCGAAACGGGCGAGGCGAACGGTACAGCAAGTCGAGGGTATAAAGATCGTGATCAAGCGAGGAGGAACGGACGTGCGCAAGTGTTGATCAGTTTCAGGTGTGTGCGCAGGACCCGTCACTCCTTTTCCTCCTTCCCTTCCCACCTAGTCCCGACCAGCGGTACTCCCCTCCTCCTCATGCCTCCGACGAGATGGGCTCCTCCTTCACGACATCCCTACCCTCCTCATCTTCCGCGCCGTCCCTCCACCCATTCACCTCCCTCAAGCTCCCCTCCATCCTCCCAACGCCCTCAATCCCGAGTCCGACTCCCGCACCCTCGGCGTCCATCATCCTCGGCAAACGACGCGCAGAGTAACCTTTCCTTCCCAGCGCGGGCGAAGCGGGAGTCGCGAAGTGGTGCTGATGGTACTGCGACTCTTCGTGGAGCGGCGGAACGTGGCGGGAGAAGCGGTCGCTCGCGAGCGGTGCAGGCGCCGTGAGAGCGGAGAACGCGCCCGACGACGATGGACCGGCCTGAACGGGTGGAGCGTGGTGCGACGTCGGCGGCGAGGCGAAGAAAGACGACGAGCCAGTCGGGCCAGTCGAGCTGCCCCTCCCGCCAAGCAAAGGCGAGATGACGTACCCGCCCGACCTGCCGAGCATGGGCGAGTACCTCATCGAGGTCGTGTACGACTTGGCGGGCGACTGGGGCGAGAACGTCGGCGGGACGTGGTGGAGGAGCGGACTCGTCTGCGGGTTGTGGGCGGCCAGAGTCGCGTTCATCCCGCCGCTGCTGTGCGGCTTCAGCCCGTCCATTGCGGGCGAGCGAAGGTGTGATGCGGGCGCCGAGGCGAAGCCGCTCGTCGAGCGGTCGTAGGTGGAGAAGGAGAACGAAGGACCGGGAGCGGGTGGCGCAAAGTGCGGCTGCTGCTGAAAGGCCGGCATCGTCGAAGTGGAAGCGAACGGCGTCGCCGGCGTCGGGAGGTGCTGCTCCTGCTCGTCCTGCTCGTGCTCGTCCTCCTCCTCATCGCGGTAGGCGTATGCCGACGACGACCCATTCCCGTGCGGCTGGACATGAGCCATCTCGACCTCGTCATACGCCTCGCTCTCCGGATCCTCAACCTCGTAAGAGATCGAGGGCCTCGCAGAAAAGAGCGCCGGATTGGCAGTCGGCGGCGCAGACATAGGCGAAGGGGAGCGGTCGACCCTCTCGGGCGCAGCGAGCCTGCCTCCCCTCGTGCCGGCACGAGCGGGCGCATAAGTCGGGAACGCCGAGTGCGGAGCGTGCTGCTCGTGATCGTGCTGCTGGTACGGCGTCTGGATGGGCGCGAGGTGGACGTCCTCGCCGAGAGCGTTGCCGTACTCGTCGACTTCGTAGGCGTGGCCAAAGTGGTCGACGCTGTAGAGCCTCTCGTGGACCTGTGGGACGTTCGGCATCGAGTTGGACCTGCCGAACGGAGGAGCAACGAGCGTCTGAATCGGCGGGAGGTGGTTGTCCTCGTACGCCGTCGCCGCACGACGATGACCCCATCCGCCGGCGCCGCCCACGTTCGTGCGAAGTGGGTACTGCGGCGTCGTCTCCTCAGGCGAAGCGAAGTGAGCAGGCGTTGCGAAGGGCGAGTCGAGATCTGCGCGGTCAAGGCTGGCAGGCGAGTCGGGTTCGGCCTCGCTCTCGTGCGCAATGGGCCTCGGGTACGGCGCCTCAGGCCCTTGCTGGTAGGTGTACTGGCGCACGAGCGGGCCGACGCGGACTTGCGAGGTGGTGCTGGTGTTGACGGCGCGCTTGCGGTTGCGGGAGACGACAGGGCCGGCATTGTTGGCGCTTCCGTCGTGCACCTTGGCAATGTGCTTCGTGAGCGTCGTCTTGCGGCAGAAGCTTATTCACGAGAGCGATCAGCCGGAGTTGTATCGAGGAAAGGCGAGAGGCGACTCACTCGCGACCGCAAACATCGCAAACGTAGGGACGTGCGCCGGTGCTATCAGCGATGCAATATCAGTACGCTTTCGAAGCTGTGAAGCAAGAGCGAACGTACTGGACGCGGCGATGCCTTGCGAGCGAGCTCGAGTCGGAGAACGAGCGCTGGCAGGTATCGCAGCAGTGAGGGCGCTCGCCGGTGCTGCCGGCGTCCGTGTAGTGGTCAGTATCGTCTTGCTTGGCAACGATCGTTGTGTGAGCAGGAAATCCCGCCCGACAAGTTGAGAAGGTCAAAGACGTCCGCAGTCGATCCGTTGGGCGCGAGAGCGGAGCGAGGCGAAGGAGGCCAAAGCGACGACGGGAACTCACTGGACGCGCTCGTGGACTGTCAGAGCGGAGCGCTGGATGAAGGACTTGTGGCAGGTCTGGCATTCGTAGGGGCTGCGAGGTGAGGGCGGCGGGAAAAGGGAGACAAAGCGAGGAGAGGTCAGCCCTGAAAGCGAGTGAAAGGCTTGATGCGCACGCACCGGTCGTCTGTATGGATGCGCTCGTGGCGTATGAGGTCGCTCTTCCTCGAGAACGCCTTGTCGCAGCCCTCGGTGTGGCAGACGTAAGGGCGCGCCTTGTCGGGGTCGCCCTTCCTCCCGCCGGCGAACGTCAGCGTCCGCTTCGCAGCCTTTTTGGGTGGTGCTGGGCCGCTGATGAGGGGGAGGGCGCGGGGAGGAGTGGCACAGGAAGCGACGAGAGCGCCGCCCTGGGGAGGCGGAGCGAAGCGAAGGCGAGGAAGGGCGGGGAGGACGGCGGACGACTCGGCTCCTGCACGACCGCTGCGAGACCCAGACGACGTCGCACGACTTCCCTTGCGCTTGTGGCGGGTGGAAGTGACCTCGTCAAAGTCGGCGTGCGGGTCAAAGTCGTCGTCGTCGGGCGCCATGCCGTCGCTTTCGGCATACAACTCCTCGTCTTCCTCGACCAGCTCCTGCTCGTCGTGATCGGCAGGCTCTGTGTGAGGAATGGATGGGGCTGGGCGATTATTCGAAGTCGAGGCTTGTTGTTCGGAGTCGCCGTCGGAGGACTCGCCCTCGTAGGCGTAGCGGCGGTCTCGGTTGCTCTGGCGCGTCGCGGGCGGCATGGTGGCGAGGGGGTGGGTGCAGTGGCGAGTTTCAGCGGCTTGACAGGTCGAATCGAAACCGGGACGAGCGAGGAGAGCAAGGGGAAGACGGGGAGATGATGAGGTCGGGAGGGGACGAAAGAACGGCGACGGCGGCCTGTGCGGCTTCGCTGTCTGCGTGAGTGGCCCGATTGTGAGCTTAAGAACACTCATAAGCTTGCTCGAAGCGCACCTGAGCAAGAGGGAGCGTACTTGGGTGCGGGAAGAGCGCGAGGGGCTCTCGAAAGGGCTGATGGGCGACGACAACCGTGCGAGCGGGTGCGACCTGGCAAGCAAGGTCGGCTGTCGAGCTCTGTAGATGTCGAGAGGGTCGAAGCGGGCGCACGGGGAGCTACAGCTGAGAGAGAGGCGGTCAAGGCGACGAGAGGGAAGAGGAGGGGAGCGCTCAGTCCGCGACTTGATTCTGGGGAGGGTCCCGTGCGCAACTCGGACAGAAGCGAGTCTAATGTGCACAGACCGCGCGAGAGTCTCCGTCTCCGCGTTGCGAACGGAGCGGATGAGCAAGGTGAAGGGGGACGAGCGAGAGGTCGTCGCGAGTTCTTCTCGTTCTGAAAGACAGTGACGGCGTTTATTCAGCCTCGTTGGAAGTGCTGAAGCAGGCACAGCGAGACTCGCAGACGAAAGAGCGCGGAAACGAAGCGTTGCAGCCACTCCGAGCCTGAACAAGCGAACCTCCCCTCCTCAATTCCCGTCCTCCCTTATCCCGTCCTTCAGCGCAGGCAACCCTCGGCATCGTGTATCTTGGCAAAGAGCAATTCGCCGTCGGGATCCTTGTTGATGTAGAAGTCGCGAAGGTAGGCCGCGAGCCCAAACTCCTCGCCTTCGAGCTTCGCGAGGTCGTCCTTTGCGGTGAAAGGAGGCACGAGGAGGTCAATGAGCGGAAGGCGGATCGCGTCGAGCATGAAGTAGCACGGCGGGAAGCGCGGGTCGCTGCGCTCCCAGAAGAAGTTGCGGTTGTCGTCTGGCGCCTTCCTGTCGGGCTTGTCGAGGCGCTGGGTCGTCAAGTCTGTCGGAAGCAGACGTAGTAAGTGTCTGCGGCTCGAAAGCGGGGAAAAGCGGACACACCGACCCTCCAGCCGTTCATGCACGGCACATCCTTCTGGACGAGCCTGCCGCCCTTCTCCTGCGAGACCTTCGCAGACAGTGCAGCGCGCTTCGAAGGACCCGTGTCGGGACGAGCAGCGAGCTGGAGACCCGCCGCGCTGTTCTTGCCGTCGAGCGCTGGGCGAAACCAGGCGGACGAGGCGATTTGGAAGAGGTGCAAGTCGACTCCCGTGTCGATCAGGCGTTCGGTAGCGGGGTCGGCGAAGATGTAACTTAGTGGAGGATGAAGATGCTGGCGCCCGCGAGCTCGAAGCTGCAGATCTGCGTCTTCGGGTCGAACGATTTCCTGCGAAAGTTGGTTCGGAGGATGAGAACGCTTTTCGATATGTTGGCCAGCCGTACGCACATCCTGTACTCCTGGTAGCGACCGACATTCGACGGCGGCAACTCGTCCTTGTCTGGCTTGACTCCGAGGAAGCGCTTGACCCTCTCCTCGTCGGGGCGGAACACCTCGCGTGGGTCCGTGAGTGGGCCTTCGACGAAGTCGGCGGCGAGGTCCTGCTTAGCGATCTCACAGTGCTTGACCTGCGAACAATGGATCAGCGCGCGTTCCCCACGCTCGCTCAACCCCAGACGAGACGAACCCTGATATACCCTGCGTCGGGCTTCATGCGCGTCGTGACGTCGTACAAGTGCGGCGCGTCCTTGTCCTGCACCATTTTGACCTCAGGGCTCCTGGCTGAAGCGCTGGACGACCTTCTTGATCGCGAGCTGGCGCCAGTGGCGAGAGAGAGCCATTGGCACGAGCAGACGGTGCAAGTCCCACGAGCGCTCGGCGAGAAAGTCGAGAACGCGGTCGTGGAGCACGGTGAAAGCGGGATCGAAGAACGCGTGCATCGTGCGAGCGAGTCAAGCGGGAGCGAGTGAGGTGAAGGAGCAAGAGAGGCCAGGAGACGAAGGCTGTAGAGTGTAGCGGAGCTTGACAACCGGCGTTCGTGCGTACAGAGACGTTTTACGAGGCTGCAGAACGCACAAATGACCGGAAGAACGCAGAATTCGAGGGGAGACGCAGACGCGGTGCGGCTTGCGAAGGCGGCGACGAGGAGAACATCTGCTCGTACGCGACGCAGAGGCTCACTGTATAACTCGAGGCACTGACGAAGTCGCTATGATTGACAAGAAAGTACTCAACTGAGGCCTGGAAGACCGAGCGAGCGAAGTAAGCGGACATCCTGCCGACAACCTCCTCGTCCTGCTGGAACTCCAGCCAGCCTTCGTCCTCCTAGTACACGCAGCCCGCCGCATCGTGCATCTCAGCGAGTACGCTCTCCATCGCCCAGTCCTTGCGCTCATCGTAGTACTCCTTGACGTACTCCTCGACCGAGAAATCCGGGTAGTAGTTGGGCTCAATGTCGTCCTTCGCAGTAAGCGGCGGAAGGACGAGGTCGACGAGAGGGACGCGGAGCGAGTCGACCATGAGGAGACAAGGAGACGCTTCGGGATTGTAGTCCTTGGCGAAGAAGGCGCGCTTGTCGTCGGGGTTCGGCTTGTCGGGTTTGTCGAGGCGCTGCGTCGTGAGGTCTGCAGGGCCATCGAAAAGCCTCAGTATCGCCAGCGAGAGCGGGGAGAAGCAACGGGCGCACCGGCAATCCAACCGTTCTCACAGCGGTACTTGTGCTGCTCCTTACGCCCGCCCTTCTCCTGCGCCGCCTGGGGCCACATCGCGGGCTGCCTCGCCGGGTGCATATCAGGCCTCGCAGCGAGCTTGAGACCGGCGTGGCTGTTCTTGCCGTCGTGAGCAGGGGCGAAACAGGCGGTCGAGGCGAATTGGAAGACGGCGGGCCAGGCATCGCAGCATCCCCATTCTTCGCCTGACTCGGGATCACAGGAGAGGTGGTAGAGTAGGCCGGGGCTGCCACCGCCAGGCTTGAACGTGCACATGCTGGTCTTCAGGTCGAAGGAGGTCCTGGAAGCGATTTGAGGATGAGTTCCTGCCTGAGACGGAACGCGGGCCGCGAACGCACATGTAGAAGTCCATGCGCTCAGGCTTCCACGTCTCTTCTTCCTCCTCCTCGTACTCCTTTCCCAGCATGTCTGCCGACATGACGCGAGCCATCTCGTCCATGTCGATGGCGAAGAGCTCGCGCGGGTCGTTGACGGCGCAGCTCGGCCCAAAGTCGCTGTGCGGGTACTCGCACTGCTGGAGCTGTCGATTCGACTTCGTCAGCGACGTCCTCACCCCAAAGAATGCACCTGAACGCACCCTGACCAAGCCTGCGCCGATGGGGATACGCGCCTCGACGTCCACCTCGTCTGGGTCGCCAACCCCTGGCCGGAGGTACAGCTTGGGCCTCTGGCTGAAGTGCTTGACGAGCTTGTCGCGGGCGAGGCGGCGGAAGTGCTGGTTGACGCCCATCACAGCGAGGAGGCGGTACCAGTCCCAGCTGCCGACGACGAAGTCGAGGACGCGGTCGTGCAGCACAGTGAAAGCAGGATCGAAGAACGCGTGCATCGTGCGAGCGAGTCGAGCGGGAGCGAGTGAGGTGGAGGAGGGGGAGGAGTTCCGCGGAGGCGGCCGGAGTTGTCGAGGCGAGTTCTTGCGGCCGTGAGCGACGAAGTTCGACGTCGTAACGCTGTACAAGCTGTCAGCGCTCTCGTTAAGGGGAAATGAACGCCGTTTCATCGAACTGAGAAGGCTGAGCCATCGCAAGTCAGCTTGCGTCGCATGTACACTCCCGCTTGATGCGCCAACAAGCCCACGAGCCTGCACTCAGACAATGCCGCCGACCGCAACAAACTCGCGAGCGAGACGCCGCTCCTCGGAGGGCCTGATCCAGCTCAGATTGTCGTAGTCCTCGTCGATGTACGCGTCAAGCTCCGCCTCGTCGAGCTCTTCGCCAAAGTCGACGGGAAGATCGTCTGCCGCGGTCATCGGCGGGACGAGGAGGTCGATGAGCGGGACGTAGAGCTTTTCGAAGATGAGGAGGCATTTGGGCCAGTCCGAGTAGCGCTCGATTGGGCCGACTTTGCCAGGCTCGTCAAGTCGATGCGTGATAATGTCTGTGGCGAGAGTGAAGCGTCAGCTACCAAGAAGAGCTCGCACAAATGGCGTACACACCGGCCGTCCATCCGTTCCAGCAGCGAAAGCCCGGCTGCTCCAGCTTGCCACCTCGCTCCTGCGGCGCCTTCGGCCAAATCGCAGGCGTCCTCGCTGGGTAGAGGTCGGTGCTGGCGGCGACCTGCAAGCCGGCTTGACTGTGCTTGCCATCCAGAGCGGGGCGGAACCAGTAGTTCGAGGCGGCTTGGAAGACGCAGGGGACGCCGTCGGGACAGCCCCACTCCCTTCCCGTCGACGGCTCGACGAAGAGCGCGTACTCGAGGCAGTCGTAGTCGAAGGCGCCTTCGAAGGTGCAGATGTGGGTCTTTGGATCGAACGACGTCCTGCAAGAGTTCGGCATCAGTCCTGCCCTCCCGGAGTTACTCACCTTATCCGGCCGACTCACATGAAGAGGTTGAGAGACGGAGAGACCTCCATGCGAGGCTTGATGCGGAACAGCTCCCGAGGATCGTTGATGGGGAGACTCGGGCCAAAGTCGGGGTCGGGGTGGTCGCACTGGCGGATCTATCGACCGCACGTCGACTGGTCAGCAAGCTTATCTGGGCGAGTCGAACAATGAAAGCGGGCACACCCTGATGAATCCTCCACCGACTTCGGGCGTGTACGGCTTGGAGACTGACGGCGGGTCCGACTTGACTGGCTTCTGGCTGAAGATGCGGACGATCCTATCGATAGACAGCTGGCGGAAGTGACGGTTGAGCTGCAGGGTGACGAGGAGGGATGCGTGGTTGAAGTCGGTGGTGAGGAAGTCGAGGACGCGCGCGTGCAGCGGTGCGAGGGCGGGGTCGAAAAAGCGGTGCATGTCGAATGCTCTGTGTCGACGGTCGTGTGAGCCTGAGAGGAAAGCCAGCAAACGAGTTTGAGCCAAGAGAGAGAGCGTGAAGAAGATGAGGCGAAGTGAATCCGCGGAGTGCGTCGGAGTGGTCAGTGCGCCCGTAGAACGAGGCCCGTTCGTCTCTGAGGAGACGTTGAAGGAGTTTGGGCCGGCGAACAGCACACACGAGCGCCCGGCAAGGTTGGGAAGGTCGAACGCATCCTGAGCCCGTCGCACTCTCCTCTCCGTCCCGCAACGATGTAGCAAGCCTGCGTGTTGCGAATTACGAGATTACGAGATAGTTGTACACCTGTGATTCCTTGCCGTCCTCAGTCATGCGAGAACGGCGTCATCCCCTTCCACCCCGTCAGTTTCTGCGAGGCCAAGGGTCAGCCAAAGTCGAGCGACGAGTCGAGCCAGGCAAGCGTACCCTCCACCGCGGTGTACACGAATATCCATGCTGCCAGAAATTGTTGTGCGGGTCGTCCGGGCTTGTCGAGCATGCGCACTTGGTGCCGAAGCCCGGAAGCGGGCAGTTCTGGAAGGGCTCATGGCGGTATCCGATCGAGTAGAACCAGTGGATCTGGTCGGGGCGGAGGAAGAGCGAGGCGGCGAGACTGTGGACCGGGGCTGCGGGCCAGAGGACGGTCATCCACGGACCGCGGAGGGAGACGGAGAGGGGAAAGGGGACTTGCCGTCTCCCCATCGCTCGTAGAAGAAGCCGCCCGACTTGTCGAGGTGGTCGAAGTATGCTCGGTACGCTTCAGAGCGCCAGAAGTCGATGCGGGCGATCTCAAAGTTGGACCTGCGGTCAGGGGCGAGAGAGAGGGAACACGGCGGGTCAGCCTGAAGCCGACGCCCAACCAGTGCTCCCGCGCGAGACGCACCAGTAGTGACACCCGTTGTACGTTCCACCTCCATCCTCGCTGATCCACTCGAGCATGTTCGGCTCGGCGAGGTACTCAGGATGTGCGTCCGTGAAGTCTGCTCCGCGCAAGTCGTCAGCCCGACTTCAATCAATTGTTTCGAAAGCGGCCGCACTCTTCGTTGTAGCCCACAATGTCTCGATCGTTGCTTGGTACTCGTAGAGCGAGACGACGAATCCGTAGACTTTGCTCTGGTCCTTCATGACGCGGAAAGGGTCGTAGGGGATGTCACAGACTACAGCGCGGAGTCAGCTCAGGACCAAGTGGAGAGGATGAAGCGAGCGCCACGCACGGAATTTGACGTTCGGTCTGCGACGCGGAAGTTGAGCGCGGGTTCGACGAGGAAAAACAGGAAGGCGACGCACTCGACCCGCCAGTAGAACTCATACGGATCCAACAGCTCGTGCTTCCAAAACCCGCCAGACTGGTATCGACACATCTTGCGCTGCGAGGCGAGCGGCGTCAGTTTGGCTGACCTGAGAGGAAGAGCGGGAGGGAGAACGCACGTATGGCACGCTTCCTCCGTAGGGTATAGGCTTCTGTCCCATCTCGTTGATCAAACGCAGCGCCTTCTCCTGGTCGATACCCTCAGGGAAACCCTTCGGCCACTCGGACTCGGGGACCAACCCGAACTGGACTTTGCCGGAGGCGATGCCGGAAACGTGCCGCTTGAACTCGTCATTGAAGGGTTCTTCGTTGAGGAAGAGCCAGTCGTAATGGTACCGGTGGTTGAAGCGGTCTAGCGAGCGAGGTGACAGGAGTAAGACGAAAGGACGGGCGGTCAAGAAGGATCAGCGGACCTTTATAACGAGGGATAGCACGCATACCTTCGACCTGCCGAATGCTGTCCAACGCTCCCCAGACATCCGAGTTCCTCGCGAGCATGACAAAGGTCGCGCTGACCCGCTGCGTCGTATTCACCGCAATCTCCTCATCCCGCGGCGGCGCCTTGACCCGCACTTCCCGCCACGGCGGTACCCGCCGTCCCTCGTACCACGTCTCTGCCGGTCGCTCCTTCAGCCCTAGTCGCACACGGGCCTGTTCGAGGGATGTCGAGTGTCGATAGGAAGGGGATGTGGCCTGGCCGAGGAAATGCAGAACGAGAAAGGCGAATCCGATGGCGATACCGTACCGCGCGTAGGGCGACGCTGGCAGCATCGCACGAGTCCTTCGAGCCGTCAAGCGAGAGTCGGTGTTGGTCGACAAGGAGGTGCGAGATCGGCAAGACGGCGTCGGCAGCGGGCAGCGGCGGTCGTGGATTGTACGATATCCAGAGCAGTGATTGAGCAGTTCCCGGTCGCCAGCAAGCCTCCCGAGTGAGGCGAACGCGGTGGACGACGCCAACTCCGCCTTCATCAGTTCGTCCCGCTCTTTGTCCTCGTCCTGTCACCCGCTCTCCTCCTGCGCATCCAACGAGACATCGAAGCTACTCAGGAATGACTGCTCTACCGGTCGAGCTACTCGAACACGTCTTCGAGCTGTCGCTGCCCCCAACTCCACCCGCAATCCGGCAACTCACCTCGAGCGCCGTCTCGCCGCGCCCACTCGCATGCTGGTCAAACTGGAAGGAGCGTTCGGCGACTCTGCGGACCCTGTCACTCGTGTGCCGCAGGTGGAGGGACTGGGCGCAGCGGGAGCTGTGGAGGCACTGCGTCCTGAGGGACGAGTCGGACATCCGGCTGTTGCTCGAGGCAGGGAACGCGATGGGCGTCGCTGAACGACGGCGACGAGGGTTCGTGACGGAGACGGTCAGGCTGGGAGGAGCGGAGAACGGAAGACCGCTGTCTGGGAAGGACTTGGGTGCGGTCCTGCGGTTACTCCAGGCGGACGAGGTCGACGAGGGAGAAGGCATCAAGGAGGTGTGGCTCGTGACGATGCGCGGCGTAGACCTGCGCGAGATACGGCATCTCAATGGTGCGTACTTTCGCTCGAGTCGTCGCTTGGCTCGCTGACCTTGACATCCCGAGCAGACCTGCGCACCCTCTTCTGCAACGAAATCACCCTCTCCGTCTCAACCGGTTCTCCGCAGACACCAGTGTGCCATCCTCCTCTTCGACTCCCCCGTCTTCGCTCCGTCACCCTCCAGCTAGTCGACATCGACCCGTCCCTCCGCACCATCATGTTCGAGAACCACCGCTTCCCCGCACTCGAGATCCTCGACTTCGACAACTTCGAGGCGTTGACGCAGTGCTTCGACGGTAATCCGGATGCGATGCCGAAACTCAAGGCGATCAACCCGGCGAGGGACACGCAGGCCGAGTACTTTGCCGCGCTGCAGAAGGACGAGTGGGACGATGCAGACTCCGTGGGCAGCGCGTACGACACCTACATTCCGAGCCGACCACTCACACTGGCCGACCTGCCGCCGCCTCCGCCCGCCTTCCCCCTCCCTTCGCTTCCGTCTTCGTCTTCCGCCGCACCACCGCCTGCCCCTCTCTACCCTCCCGGTTACGGCTGGCCGCCACCACTCTCGAGCGCTCCCTACCCACCTGCCGACGTACCGCTCTGGCCGCCCGGCTACATCCCAACACCCTCTCCCGACGGTCTCCTCACCATCTGGATGAGCGACGACTTCCTCAAATACCTGCCCTACTTCGCCCCTTCCCTCCCAAACGACCTCGTCAAGCTCACGCTCAACTTCTCGATCGACGACGTCGAGCGCGAACACTTTGAAGAGTTCCTCTCGAACGAGGACTTTCTTCGGATCCTCGCGCCTGAGCAATCCAGCTCAACTCGCAGCACACAGTCCCCGACCGGCGTCACGCACATCCACTTGAACGACCCTCACTTCCTCATCGATCTCACGAAGCGCTGGCCAGACCTGTCAATGATCTTCTTCGCAACCATGAAAGTGCGCGGGATGACCTTTACGCAGGGACCGCAACCTGAAGACGCGGATCGCGACGACGAGGTTGAGATGAACGGCGTCGAGGCGACGATGAACTTGGACTTCTTGCTGGATGCGGAGCGGGTCATTCGGAGGCAGAAGGAGGAGGAGGTTAGAGCGGAAAGGGTGGCGCGATTGGTATGAGCAGGAGTCGTTGACGCCTTCAATGGTCGGCGTCTGGCAAAGGCGGAAGGGCTCACTGGGCTGCGGGACGGGGGCGAAGGCGAAGGACTCGTTCACCGCCAGCAAGAACGGTGTCGTTGCGGACCTTCCCTCCTCTTAGGGAGGGCTTAGCGGCCCTGTCCTACTGCTTAAAGACTGTATTGGAGCGCTTCAAAGCCTGCCTCGAGCCCTTGCACTCGAATACTTCCATCGCACGCTCCGCTTTCTCTCTCTTCCTCCTCTCACTCGCCGACATGCTCAAACCGCTGCGCAGATCCGCTCGTCTGCTCAAGAAGCGCGAAAAGTTACCGCTACAGCTCCCGCTTGAAGTCCTCGAGCTCATCCTCGAGTACTCTCTCCCACCTTGCCCTCCTCTCATCGCCAACATCTCGGCGACGTCCACCACGAACCGGCCGCTCGCGAGCTGGTTCATCTTCCCTCTCCGATCGGAGCAACTCTGTGCCATCGCCCTCGTCTCGCGCCAGTGCCGTCGGTGGGCTCAGCGCGAACTTCTTCGGCACATCGTCCTCGACTCCGATGAGGCGGTCGACCGGCTGCTGGAGGCGTGGGAGCCGCTCAGCGTCGAGGAGCGAGCAAGCAGGGGCATCGTGACGGAGACACTCAGGATCGGGCACGACGACGAGGACGAACCGATCCGTCTTGGAGACCGCTTTGAACGACTTCTCATGCTCCTTCAGCCGGACGAATTAGTTGCCGTCGGAACTGGACTGCGCGAGCTATGGTTTCTCAGCGTGACGGACGTAAATCTGCGCAGTCTGGCGCGCCTTCAAGGTTCGCAGCCTTTCGTTTGTTCTGCGTCTCTCCGTAGCTGACATTTGGGCACCTGCAGATCTACGGCTTCGCTTCTGCGATGCCATGGGAGTCTCCACGCCTATGAGCACTCCGCCTCCTGGCGCCATCGACATGCCCTATCTTCCACTCCTCCGCACTCTTGTCATCAGCTTAGTGTCCTTCGAGACGGACGAGGACGAGGCTTCCCCTCCCATTTTCCCCCATCATGAATTCACCAATCTCGAGATCCTCTCATTCGACGAATTCGACGCCCTTCGCGCCATCTTCGGTTGCGACTCGTGGATGCTGCCGAAACTGCGAGCCTTCCAGCCGGGCCGCGATACACCCGCCGCGCTCTATGCGAGCCCCAATCAACCCGCCACGCCACTAGACGACACGAAGCGTGATCCGAACGACGACTTCCTCAAAACGCACGGCCTGCGCAGCGACACCCTTCTGTGCCTCCACCTCGACGGGGACACACTCCCCAACTTTTCCTCCTTCGGTCCCCTGCTTTCCGACAACCTCGTCAAGATTGTTATCGAAGACGCTGTAGAGCATCTCGAGCGCGAAGATCTGGAGGCCTTCGTCACGAGCCCGCACTTTCGTCGCCTGCTCGCGAGCCATCCTCCGTCAACCTCAGCCACGACAAGCTCGTCCGAGGCATCACGTGCATTGAAACGCGCTCGTGGAGCTTTCCCCGTGACCTGCGCGAGCGGTGGCCCGACCTCAAAGATCGGCTGGAGGAGGTCCTCAAGGGTCGCGCTGTGGAATGGCACGACCGCGATTATCCCGACTACGCGGAGTTCGACGATGCCGTGCTACCGATCGTCCAAATCGACTTTTTGCACGACGCCGAAACTGTGATCTGGCGGCGGACGGCGGAGCTAAGCGGCAGCGGGCTCGAAAGGTGCATCCGCGACCGGGAAACGGCAATGGAATGGGTCGAGGCTGAGCGTCGGAAGTTTGAGGAGTACAACGCCCTGTGCCTACAGCACGGATATCTCGAAGACGTCCAGGAGACTTTCGACCCAGGTTGGCTCTCAATCGTTCCCTTCAGGCCGAACAGGCCGCAATACACGTAATCGGTGTATAGGCGGGTCACGCTGGAATGTACGTCCGCGCATTCAGGCAGTGGCGGCGGCGTAGCAGACCCGGGATGCACCGACGTTGTACAACTCCTCTTGCACGCGCCTCGCTACTCTCACGAAGCCGAAGCGAGCTCGTAATGAGTCAATGGCGTCCTGGAGGTCATGGCCGCGTAGCAGTACCGCAGAATCACCGCAAGACTTGCTACCGAAACGAACTTCTCGCCCTCACCACCTCAATCCTCGCTTGCTCGCTGCCTCCCGCACCGCTGCCTCCTCATCCCACAGCTCCATCTCGCCGCACACCTCGTTCAGCTCCTCGCAATCCGCTCCACCGCACGAGTCATGCGCCCTCGCTCCGCTCAGGTCGATCCACCTCGTCGTGCCATTGGCGTCGATGACGGTATTGCGAGGCGCTGCGTCGCCGTGCTCGAGATGAGCGTGTTGGTGGAGGTGGACGAGGTCGAGGAGGAGGTTGATCCTGGGGGAAGAGGAAGGCAAAGGGAAATAGAGAGGCAGCGGTGAGCGTTTGAAGCACTGCGACTTTACTTCGGAAGGGAGTCGAGCGCACCGCTGCTGTATCGTTAGGTCCTTCCATCGCCGTGGCGCGTCGCCACAGTCCGGGAAGACCGCCACCACGAGCCTGCGGTCGTCCATCCGATCTCGCCCTTCGAACAAAGCGAGCATCCGTGGGACTGCCGCCTTCCGCTGATACGCCAGGATCGACGCAGCGGCCTCATCGACGATTGCGTCCTCCCAGTCCCGACGTCCGACCTTCGCAACGATGGTTTGTCCGTCGAGTGTGCCGCGATAGACAAATGAGCGCTCGCTCGCGTGGACGAGTCGCTCGAGTTGTATCGTACCGCTCCACATCGCTGGACGGCGAGGCCGTGCCGTACTGTCAGCCGCCAGTATCTGCTCCGGCGTCTTCTGTTGCAAAGCGTCGAGCCGCAATTGCAGGTCGAGCGGGTTGACGGGTTTCAAGCTGGCCGACATTCTGTCGGGCCAGACGAGGGAGACGGAAGCAGGCGGCTGCGGAGAGTTGGTTGAGGAGGGCGAGGTTTGCGGGTAAGTCGCTTGACTCGGGCTTGTTGTCGAGCTGGGAGACGCGGTACGATCTCTCTTGACGAAAGAGGACGGTTCTCCGGCGTCGCAAGTGCCGACAGTGTCAATGATCTGCCGAATGCGCGCGTTGAGCGACTCCTGGTCGACGAACTGAGGGTAGAGCGCGGCAAGAACGATGAGAATGAGCGAAGGCGGAGGCGGATCAGTCGGAAGGTGGCTGCGTGTAGGCTCGCCGTTCGGGATGGGCGGCGTGATTAGGATGCTGAAGGGTTGAGCTGATCGAGGGGATCTAGAGAAAGCAGGCGTTTGGCCGTGCTGCGGTGCGGTAGTGGGCGGAGTGACGGGATTGGCAGCGAAAGTGATGGCGCCGACGCCGAAGGTAAGGCCGTTGAAGTAAAGAAAGAAGCGGATTCGGTAAAACTGTGCGCCGTGGATCATCTGTAGACTCAAAGAGGTTAGCGAAAGGAGCGAGTCATTGAGTCAAAGCGCAGACGCACTTTCGCAAGGAACTCGTACAGAAGTGGATCATCTTTCGCCAGTCTTTCTGCCGAGAGGACCTGCGAACGAGCCAGCATGGATGCGGTGCGTGTGAAGAGTCCACCTCCTCCGCCGTCGCGCTGCGCTGGTTCCGAGGCGCTGCCGGGCTGCAATGATACGGTGAGCTCGACAGCAATTTCAACCTGCCCAGAAGTCGTGGTGCCAACGACGAGCTCGAAGCGCTGGTGGAAGTCCGGAGGGAGACCGTCGACGTTCCGCATCTTCGTCGTGAGGACGGTGTCAAACACAACTTCGACGGATCCTTTGCGCTGAATGCCGAGAACTTCGTCGAGTGCTGCGATAAGGCTGGCGAAATGGGTACCGAGGGCGGCGAAGCGGGTGCAGATCGTCCTGACGCCGGTTTTGTTGTAAGGACCGCAGAAGTGCGGCAGAGCGACGTTCCCGCCTGCGATTACGTCCTCAGGGACTTCGCTTGTCCAGCCGCGCGCCGCCAATGCTGCCTCAACGTTCCTCAAGAACTGTTCCTGGATCCAGTGGGCGAGGTCGGGGTCGTAGACTATGCTTGTAGGGGTGAAGTCGGCGGCGAGGGCCACATGTGACGAGTCGGACGGAGCAGCTGGCGTCTGTGGCGGAACGGGAGAGGAAGCTGGACGAGTCGGAGGGCAGAGGCTGCGGAGGAAGGGCAACCAATGCATCGCGAGAGGGAGACCTGCCGTGAGGGAAGGGCAGGGAGGCGGCAGCGACGTCGAGAGCGTCCTGCGATATTCGACTCGACTCTGATAGTCGGGAAGCGGCCTCCTTCCACACGCCAGCCAAGTAACGATTCGAGGAGGAGAGGGTCGAGGCTGGGAGTCCGCAACAGCCGGCGCGACGCGGACAAACGCTCAAAGCTTAACGGAGCAGTCTCACAGCATAAGAAGCAGCCCAATCAGCGCAATGGCGAGCGAGCGTGAGAGGAACAGGTCCAAGAGCTAAGAGGGAGCAGGTTCACCGTTCACCTCTTCCATCCCTCACTGTGTCCACGCTTGCGGCTGGTGACGATGAACGCACTCCCGTTCGAGCTCATTGAACGCATTCTCGCATCCGCCCTTCCGCCCGCGCCGTTCGCCGTTGAAACTGTCACCTCATCAGCCGTCTCAAACAACCCGCTCGCCTGCTGGACGAACTGGAAGGAACGGCGCACGACGCTCTGTGCGATATCTCTCGTCTGCCAGGACTGGCGGGGGTGGGCGCAGCGCGAGCTTTGGCGCCACATTCTCGTCGAGGACGACGACGAGGCACTCGCGCTCCTACGAGCGGCTGCACTGCTGGAGCGAGCAGGACGACCTCCCGCAGGATTGACGGAAATCCTCAGATGCGGCTGTCCGTACTACGTCGGGCGAGTACCTATGTCACGCCTCGGAGACGTCCTTGCAGCTCTCCAGCCTCCGGAGCGTGGCACAGGCGAGGGCATCAAGGAGCTGTGGCTCAGAGCTGTTGTTCTTGAGGGGTTTGGCTGGGCCGAGCATCTCAAAAGTGCGCGCACATCCTTCCATTGGCGCAGCGTCTTGAGCTGACTTAACTCGCCTCCTTGCAGACCTGCGGACGCTCTTCTGCGAGAACATCCGCATCCATGCCCCGGCTTTGGCTCAACAATCAGCCCCTTCTCAAGCTCCGCTCCGGCTACCCCTCCTTCGCACCCTCGTCTTCGTCCTTTCCACCGTCTCCACGGTCGCCACCCCCTTCAGCAATCAACCCTTTCCCTCACTCGAACTTCTCGACTACAACAACTTTGGCAAGCTCAAGAGATTCTTCGATTGCCAACCCAGCGACTTCTCAAAGCTGAGGGCCTTGATGCCGGGCCGACACACGCCTGTCGAATACTTCCGAGCGACGAACAGACCTGAGGTCGACGGCAACGTCTCGCGTGATTGGTCTCGCCGATTCATCGACTCCTCGACCCTCATGCCCATGGGCCTACGAACAGACGCACTCCTCAGTCTCTGGCTTCACGCCGACATGTTCCGGCAATTCGATTCCTACGCCGCCGAACTACCGCCCGACATCCGCGAGATGACCTGGGTCGTCGACTCCGTCTACCGAGACATTGACCGTGACGACCTCGAAGCCGTCATCAAGAACGAGCATTTCCGGCGGATTCTCGCGCGACGCTCTTCCCTTGGTTGGGCGTCGGACCCTTTTCGGCCAGGCATCGTCGACATCTCTGTCACCTCGAGGTCATTCAAGACAGATCTTCTTGTCCGATGGCCCGACCTCTCGCGATACCTCAACGACCTGCTCAAAGAACGGGATGTCTCGCTGGACCTCACCCGCTCCGAGTCGCTCCAGCAGGAGTGCCCGGACGACTACTCGATGGACCTTGCGTTCCTATACGACGCTGAGCGTGTCTTGAAGAGTACGGAGTTCTGGCTCAGCCCCGAGACTATTGCGATTGTCACCCAGCAGCGGCGGGAGCTCCGCAGGTGCGAGCAGATGCGCCAAGCGGGACTTGACCCGTGGGTTGAAGCGACGACAGAGAAGATGTGAGTTGGACGGTTCGAAGAGGAAGGAGGAGGGACGGTCGTCACGCGGCTCTTTCGCTTCGGCTCTCGTCATGCGTCACTTCTTCTCCCGGTCTCTCGCCTTCACCCAGCGGCACCGTACGCGCAACCGGCGAAGGCGCCGCGCAGAGCTTAATACGAAGGGCGGACGTTATTTGCGTTTGTGGGCGACGGAGAGAGTAGAGACGGGGTGCAATCCATTCGCGGCGCACCACTCAATCTTGATCTGTGCACTTCGGCCATACTGCTGTCGTACAATTACAAGAGCCCTGCGCGAAGCTAAGAGAGGGGTGGTCGACTTCGTCCGTCTCCTTCAACCAACTCGCGCTACTTGCTCCTGCTCGCGTCAAAGCGCGTCGACTAGTCCTCGCCCGGTCACTGTACGGTCACGATGGAGGGTGCGCCGGCAGACGACAATTTTGACGCGCTCCCGCTCGAGGACAGGTTGACGCACAAGGTGAGGAGCGATGAGAACAACATGCGCGAGGGCGGCTTGAGGAGCGCTGGTGGCCGGTTCAACGGCGACTGACACTCTCTGAATGCTCGAACGCAGGTCTGGAAAGCCCGCCTGTCCGCCTACACCGCCGTCGCCTCACTCGCCTCGAAGACACTCGACGACTCTGACCCCTTCTTCCGCGAGCGATTCATCTCGGGACCTTCATTGCGTGACTGGGTGCGGGATGCGAACGCTGTGGCGCAGGAGAAGGGCGTCGAAGCGGCTTGTGCGGTCGTCGAGTTCGGCGGGAAGGCGTTGGCAAGGTGCGTCCCGACACTCGTACATCTCGCTCAGTCCGCCAGACTTAGGTGCTGACGGATTCGTACTGCCACAGAACACGAGGAGATGTTGTCCCGAGCGTCGTCGAGAAGTGTCTGGGGTCCGCAAGGGTACGTCGGCCGTCCTCGCACGTCCTGCTCTCGCTTGCTGAATTCGACTTGCTCTTCAGGCCAATACCCGCACGAAGGCGATAGAACTGTGTCTGCTCTACGTTGAGGCGGAGGAGGACTTGGCGGAGGGAGTTATCGTGCGCCCACGCGTCCTCATTCAGTTTCTGCCCGGAACCAACGCTTCGCTGTACCTGCAGGCCGACATTGTCCCTGGACTCGACGCGAAGCAGCCCAAGGTTGTCGCAGGAAGCGTCATGGTGCTGAAGGTGGTCGCTCGGTGCGCAAGAATCGCTTTCTGGCCTATCCCGACCCGCTCACATCCGTTCTTGTGCAGTTGCTTCGGTCCGAAGACCGCCAACTTCAAGCCGATCCTCAAGACACTTCCCAAGATCTTCGCTCACGCCGACAAGACCGTCCGATCTGAAGGCCAACTCCTCTGCCTCGCACTACATTCCTACCTCGGACCCGCGCTCACGCCTCATCTCGGCGAGCTCAAGCCCGTTCAGCAGAAGGAGCTGGGCGAGGCGTTTGAGGCGGCGGACCGGGGAGAGAAGGGTGACGAGTGGGGTTTCGGAAAGATCCGCCCGTCGCGGTTCACGGTCACGCAGAAGAAGGAGTTGGCCGTGCAGGAGGCACAGGGTCAGCTTGAAGGCGGTGACGATGCTGGTGCAGCAGACGGCGGCCATGGTGCGTGTTCGCTCGCTTAGAACGCAGACCACGCTGATCTCGCTTTCAGCAGATGCTATGGAGGAAGCCGCCGCGCCTCCCGACGTTTTCGACCTCTCCGACCCGATTCCTGTCCTCTCCCGCCTTCCCGCCGACTTCTACTCGAACCTGTCCTCGTCGAAATGGAAGGATCGGAAAGAGCTCGCCCTCGAACCCCTCCTCGCGACCCTCTCTTCCTCGCCTCGCTACGAAACCGACAACTACGCCGACCTCGTCTCCGCCCTCGCTGGCCGAATGACCGACGCGAACGTTCTTTGCGTCATGCTTGCCGCGCAGTGCATCGAGAAGCTCGCGAAGGGCTTGAGGGGAGACTTTGCGCGGTACAAGGGGACGGTGACGAGCCCGATCCTTGCGCGGACGAAGGAAAAGAAGCAGAATGTGCTCGAGGCACTCGGCGCGGCACTCGACGCCGTCTATTCGAGCTCGTCAATTGGCGACTTTACGGAAGACGTCGCGACTTTCGCCAAGGACAAGAACCCGTCCGTTAAGGCTTCGACGCTCTCGTTCTACACGCGCTGCCTCGCCTCAACGCCTTCGCCGCCGCCGAAGAATGACCTTCCTCAGCTCATCGAGGTCTTCAAGAAGGCGCTCGAGGACTCGGATGCGGGTGTGCGTGCAGCTGCTGCGGACGCTCTCGGCACGCTGATGAAGGTGATCGGCGACCGAGCATTCAACGCCTTGATCGGCGAGATGGACCCGTTGCGGAAGGAGAAGGTGAACGAGGCGGCGGAAAAGGCGGTGACGAAGTGCAGGAACGGCGTAGGAGCGGGCGGAGGAGGGTCAGCGCCGACTCGATCGGCGCCTTCAGCTGCTGCTGTGCTACCAAAGCCGAAGACTCAGCCTCGACCAGCACGGCCTTCCGACAAGGAGAACGCCCCGCCTGCACGACCTGCACCTGCGGCTACTTCCTCCTTCGATGACGCACCGCCTACGCCCGCCAAGCCACCCGTTCGTGGACTTCCCGCCCATCTCATGGCGAAGAAGCCGCCCGCCGCCTCTGCTCCGTCCGCGCCGTCCGCTTCTGCGCCCCCAGCAAAGAAGCCTGCACCGTCTCGCCCTGCACCCGCCGCCGCGCCCGCCGCTTCTTCATCAAAAGCGTCCGAACCGCTGCGGTACAAGCACTCGCAAGAGGCTGCCGAATCGCTCATCGACTCGGGAGACGTCATCCCTGCCGAGCTTGTCGCCCAACTCAACGACTCGAACTGGAAGCAGCGGCTCGAGGGGATGGAAAAGCTATCGGAATGGGCGAAGCTGGATGGACGAGACGCGGATTCGGAGGTGGTCGTGCGGTACCTCGTCGGGAAGAAGCCCGGACCGAAAGAGTCGAACTTCCAGGTGCGATCCGTGTTTCTCTGCTTTCTGACTCTCGCTCATTCTTCGCCCGCACAGGTCGCCGGCAAGGTTTTTGCCCTCCTCCAGCAACTCGCCGCCGACTCGCCAACGTGGACCAAGGCTTGCTCGGCCGTTTCGATCCCGCTTCTCTGCGACAAGCTCGGCGACATCAAGCTGAAGAAGCCAGCGTCCGACGCACTCGTCGCCTTTGCTGAGAAGTCGAGTCTCGGCTTCGTGCTTTCGCAGGCCTACGAGCCGATGTCGAAGCAGAAGGCGCCAAAAACGCTTGCCGAGTCCTATATCTTCGTCGAGCAGGCTCTCCGCGACTTCGGTCTTGCTGGCGGGCTCGCCGTGCGCGACTTGATTGAGTTCCTCAAGGTCGGGCTCAAGCACTCGAACGCCGCTGTCCGCACCAGCGCGACCAAGGCGCTCGTCACGCTGCGCCTGTTCGTGGGACCCGGTGAGTACAATCTCACACTCGTCTTTCTCGCCCACCTCGCCTGACGCTTTATCTTGTAGACATCGTCAACTTCCTGTCCGACTTGACGCCGCAGCTGCTGTCGACGATCGAATCCGAGTTCGAGAAGGCGGCCAGCGAGCAGCCTCCCGCTCCGACCCGCTTTGGCGCCGATACCGTCGCACCACCTGCACCGGCGGGCGGCGCTGCTGCTACGAGCGGGAAGAACCAGTCTTCCGCCCCGGAAATCGACCCGATGGACGAACTCTTCCCGCGAGTCGACTTCGATCGGCTCGTCTCGTCTGCGCAGGTTCAGGCCTGCAACGACGCGAATTGGAAGGTGCGCAAGGAGGCGCTCGAGGGCATCCGCGACATACTCGAGGCGAACAAGCGCCTCAAGCCGTCCGGTCTTCCCGAACTGGGCACGCCTCTGAAGATGCGAATTACCGACGCCAACAAGATCATCCAGCTTCTCGCCCTCGACACCGTGTCCCGTCTCGCGACCGGCATGGGCAAGCCCTTCGGCGAGAAGCTCGCTCGGACGTTTGCTGGGCCCGTCGCGCAGGTTCTCGCCGACCAGAAGGCAAACATCCGAGCGGCAGGCATCTCCACCTTGACGGCAATGGCAGATGCGTCCGGCTTGGAACCGCTCGTCGGCCAGTTCGACAAGCCTCTCGAGGCGAACAACCCGGTGCAGCGGAAGGAGCTTCTCGGTTGGCTCGACCAGCGACTGCAGGACCAGGATGCAATCGCCGCCCACCTTGACATTGGTGTTCTCGCTCCAGGTATTCTCGCATGCCTCGAGGACCGGCAGGCGGACGTCAGAAAGTCCGCGACGAGTGTCCTCCCCGTCGTCATCGCCAAGGCTGGCTACGGCACGGTCATGGACGCTGTCTCGAAACTTAAGCCGGCATCGCGCTCGACCGTCCTGCCCATCGTCGAGAACGCTCGTAGCGCCGCATCGTCGCTCGGCTCGGCGCCAGCGTCTGCTCCCGCGGCGCCGCCCGCTCGACCCGCTGCTCCAGCCGCCCGACAGGCAGCACCACCTGCACGACTCTCCGACCCGCCTACGGCTCCGGCGGCGCCAAGTGCACCGCAGCCGCGTCTTCCTGCCGGCCTCTCTCGACCCACGGCGAAGCCGCTTCGAACCGCCGCCGCTCCCCCTGCCGAAGAGCATGCACCCGCCGCCGTCCCGACGCGCCTTGGTCAACCTCGTCCGCGACCATCAATTGGTGGACTGCGAGCGGCAGCCTCCGCCTCTTCCTCCAGACCAGCTTCGACGGTGTCGACCTCTTCCGCCGCAAGCGTCAAGGAACCGCCTTTCCGCAGCTCTGACCCGAATCCGAAGCTGCTGCGACACAAGAAGGAAACTGGCTCGATGCGCTGGGTCGTCGAGGGAACGCCTCGTCCCGACCAGGTCGACTGGCTCGCCGGCCAGATGGCGCCGCAGGTCTCGGCCTCGCTTCACGCTCAGCTCTTCAGCACCGATCATTCCGCCGAGCGCGACTACATCGCGGCTCTCGGCACAATCGACGAGTGTGCACGGGATCCGGCAGCAGCGGGAGAGGCGGTCGACCTCGATGAGGAGGAGATGCGGGCGCGGCTGATCGCCAACTTCGACCTTGTCGTCAAATACATCACGCTCCGCATCGGAATGACGAGTACGACCATCACAGTCAAGTGCCTCGACGTTATCGAGCACTCGATACCCGTGCTCAGCGCCGCCGGCTACAAGGCTTCCGACTACGAAGTGTACCCGCTCCTCGTTAGCCTCATCAACAAGGTAAGTTCCGACTCGTCTACTCTTGTTAACTATCTGACTCGGCATCCTGCAGGTCGGCGATGGCAAGGAGATCATTCGACAGCGTGTCCGCGGCATTTTCAAGGCAGTCTGCTCGATCTACCCCTTCAGCAAGGTCTTTTCGACAATCCTTGAAGTCGGCCTCGAGAACAAGAATGCGCGCGTGCGGAGCGAGTGCATCGACGAGCTCGGTCAGTTGTACTCTCGTCACGGCGTCGGCGTCCACCCGATCTCGCAAGCCCTCCCGAAGATCGCCTCCTTCATCGGCAAGCCCGACGCGACAGGTCGAACTGCCGCCCTGCATGCCATCGGCGCCGTCTATACCCTCGTCGGCCCCGACGCGACTTGGAAGGCTGTTGGGCAGCTCCCGCCCAAAGACCGATCGATGCTTGAGGAGCGCCTCAAGCGTACGGCGTCAGGCGCCGTTCCCCCGGCACCCGCTCGTCAACCTGCCGCCGCCGACCGACCCGGGACGCCGAGTGGCTTGCGGCCGCCAACCAGCCGGCTCGCGCCGCCCTCGTCACCGTCGCCTGCGAACGGCTTGTCGGCGTCGCAAGGCCGGGGTGGCATTCCCCGCCCAGCCGGCGTCCCCTCCCGACTCGCTCGTCCCGCTAGTGCAGCCGAAGGGTCGACGCCCCGGAAGATGATGCCGCCGCCGACGTCCCGCTTCGGCGCATCCGCTCAGACGGCGTCGCGACCGGCGTCTTCAGCGTCTTCCGCACAGTTCACCGAGGACGACTTGGCTGCCGAGACGGTTTCGGATCTTTCGATGCTCCTCGAAGCGCTCGATACGGATGACTTTGGCGAATGCGCCGACGTGCTCAAGTCGATCACGCGCGAAATCACCTCGAACGCGGAGAACGTCCTCCTGCACGCCGACGCCCTCATCGACGCCGTCACGGCCAAGATGGAGCTCGGCTTCACCGGTCTGTCTGCCGCCACTTCGCCTGTGCAGCTGCGCCTCTGCAAGCACCTCATGCAGGTCCTCTCCGCCTTCTTCGACAAGCGCACGCTGTCGCAGCAAGTCTCCCGCCTTCCGCTCACCGGTCTCCTCGCCGACCTGACCGGTCGCCTGCTCGACACGGCCGACAATCCCGTCAGTGAGCCGATACAGAGCCTGTCCAAGGTTCTCAACATGGTCCTCATCCGCATCTTCCACAATGCGGACCAGAACGTTTGCTTTGGGTAAGCACCCAGTCGACTTTCTAGCATCCTGCGCCGCGCTAACATTGTCCTTGCAGCGCCCTCTTGACGGTCCTGCAAGACGCCACGGTCGACCTGCGCGACCTGCGCGGCGAAGAGCTGGCGGACCGGGCAAAGTACGCCGAGCTCGTCATGAAGGTGCGTCTCCGCAGTGGCTCCGCTCGCACGCCCTGCGCTGACCAGTCTCCCGTCGCAGTGCCTCTGGAAGGTCTCGAAGACCGTCAAGGAGAGTCTCGAGAACCGCAATTTGCTCGCGCCTCGCCTTCTCAGCGACATCAACCAGTTCCTCATGACGATCCCGCCTGCCGAGTGGCGCCGGCGAGCAACAGACAACATCCCTCTCGCCGACATGCCGCTGCGAACAGTCAAGACGATCTTGCAGCAGGTCGTTTCGGTGCTCAAGGGCAAGGTCTTTGACGAGCTTGGCGAGGTCGACCAGGCGGAAAACTCGTTCGTCTACCAGTATCTGCACCGCCTCGCGAACCAGCCATCCGGCTCCGACACCAACGGCCGGCCATCGTCGTCCGCCTTGAGCCGCCAGACCTCGTCCGCCTCGCTCGGTTCGCAGCGGCGAGAAGAGCCCGCGAAGAGCTCTCCAGCCGAGTCGCCCCCTCGCACGACTGCTCGCCCAGCCCCTCCGCCCGTCACCTCGCCTGGCGGAAGCGACATCGCCGTCAACCAGCGTCTCAAGGAGATTTTCGACATGATTGGCGATCCAAACAATTCGCGGGCGGTGCGTTACCTTCACGGACAACCTGGGCTCGTTGTACTGACGCTTTTCGCCGTGCAGGGTATCGCGGCGCTCTACGAGTTCCAGAAGGAGCATCCCGAAGCTGCGCCTCGCATCGCGACCTGGTGCGTCCAGTTGCTCACCGCCTCTTGTGCTTGAGTCGTGCTCAGCATCTTCCGCTTCCAGGATGGCCGGCACGGGGAGCTACTTCCAGACCTACCTGAAGCGCGCCCTCGCCAACCTCGAGGCAGCCGACCGCGAGCGCGGTGTCGAGACGCCTGCATCGCCGACGTCTGCATCGAGCAGTACATGTCCGTCCATGATCTCCTGTCCACGCTCCAATGCGCCGCAGTCGCTAATGCTGATCTCGCAAATAGCAGCCACCCGCCCCTCGTCCCGCCCGACCTCTTCCGCCTCTGCCGCTCCTGGCACACCCACCCGCTCATCTCGCCTCTCACTCGGCCCTAACGCCACCTCGTCGACTCCTCAACAGTCCGCACGGTTGCAAGAGCTGCACTCTGTCTTCGGTTTCGGGCAAAAGGAGTAGACTCGCTCATTCGTTCTTTCTCGACTCGCTGTTGTACCTATAGTCACCTCTTTCTTCCTCCTCTCTCGTCGTTGGAGGATAGCGATGCCAATGAAGCTCTTTCTCGCGAGCAAACACGTCCTCGTCGAGTCGCTGACCTTCCTAACCTCTCCTCGCGCTCGACTCGTGCTCTTCCGCTCGTTACGGTAAGCAGGCTCCATTCTGCGAGGGTAAACCGACATCAAGCGTGTGCACCGGCACCGCTCGCTACATGCCCGCTACCTCTTTCCTCGCCTTCTCAAACGCCTTCCTAACCCAAGCCAAATCCAGCGGTCCCACTCCATTCCGCTTCCCAAACTCCTCCAGGAAGAGTTCAAACGTGCTGTTATCGAGCGAGAAGAAGTCGACGAGGTCGGAGGAGGTGGAGAGGCCGGAGTTGAGGAGGGCGTGGACGAGGGAGGAGGGGTCGCGATTTGGAGAGGTGGCGGAAAGGAGGGAGGTCAGGAGAGGCGCGATAAATGCCGCAGTAGGCGGAGAAATGGTCGGGCTAAGTTCTGGCTGCGGAATCGAGAAAGTCGACGCGAGCACGCTCGGAGGCGGAAAGAGGCTGTACGAGGACGAGGGGTACGAAGCGGGCATAGAGGGGACGAAGAAGCTCGAGCCAAAGAGTGTGCCCGGCGTGAAGCGGCGTGAGTCGCTGGCAAGGAGTGGAAACGGCCTGGGCTTGAAGTGTCTCGTAGCCGCCTCGTCGTCCTCCTTAACGCGCTTACGAGAAGTCGAGGATGAAGATGCGGCAGTCGTATCATCGCTGTACGGCTTGCGATGGCTCGGCTTCTTGTGCTGCGATGGTGCGGCTGACGAGGTCGAAGAGTTGGTCGACTTCGAGTGTTTTTTGCGTTTCACGGGTGGCGGCAACTCCCGGCTCGTCTCGTCGTCGTCCCTCGCTTTCGAAAGCTTCGGCTTGGTACGTGGAAAGAGGTCGGGGCCGAGAAAGGTGGTCCACTCGCGCCCGCGCAGGTCGTTGCGACTGACCGTAGCGCCGCGAAGTTTGGCAATCTCTGTGTCGAGCAACCGTCGTCGTCAGCGCAGCACGACAGTAAAGCTTAAAGGACTCGGCGCACCGGTCAAGTCGTCCTTGGCTGCTTTGATGAGTGCCTGGAGGCGGTAGCACACCTGGAAGCGGTCGCGGGCGATACCTGTCCTTCGACGGATGAACTCTCCGATCAGACCGTTGCGACCGTACGAAGCGCCTTGGACTGTATAGTGTCGCCTGCCGAGGTTCGGGAGCTTGTATGCGGCTGCAGGAAGCGAAAAGGACGTAAGGAACAAGTTGTTCAGGCGCTCAGAGAGTTGCCGCACCTTCCCTGAGCAGAGCAGTCGTCTCGTCGTTCCAAAGGTCCGTCTCCCTCAAGCCACCAGCTTCCGACCCGCGCTCTAGCATGCCCTCCTCCTCCGAATCCTCCTCGTCCTGCGAATCCGAGTCCCCGTCGCCGCCGTAACTAGGATCTCCCACGCTGCTGTTCCCCGAATCACTAGACGCGGCCTTCTCATCATGGTCTTCCTCTCTCGAACTGCAGCTCGAAAGCGGCGAGCTCCCCAAGTCCGCGGATTGCTTCGGATCAGCAGGAGGCGGCGAGGAACGCGTGAGAGTCGGGCGGGGCATAGAAGCGGGCGTGGGCGGGGCAGGCGTGTGAGTAGCGTCCTTGGTGGGAGGCTCAGCCATGACACGCGCGAGAGAGTGGGAGCGAAGTGAGAGGGAGGAGGAAGAGAGGGAGGGAGGGTGAGCGGTGTGGAGGTACCGCTGGTTCGAGCGCTGCGAGCCTTCCGAGCGATACGAGTAGCTTCAAAGCGTCGCTGATACTCTCGGTCTCGTCCGGAAAGCGAGAGGGAGTCGGGAAACGACAGGTATTTTTGCACAAACAGAGACCCCGACGTCCTTCGTCCCGTCCTCGCCCACGAGCCTGGTCGAACTAGTATGTCTGTTGCGCACGTAGCAGTGAGATGCGTCAGTCATGCTTCCGTACGCGGCGAGTGATGCGGAAACGGGAGGAAAGGGAAGGGAGGGAAGGGAGAAGGAGGGGGAAACGCACGGGCTTGATGTGGAAGTGCAGCGAGATGAGCGAGTAGACGAAGATCTGCAGCAATGCATCCCGTGTGTGAATAACGTAGCCGGGGGTGTGTAGCCGGTCTGGTCCGCGCCTTGAGCGCAAGTCCAACCAGCGAACTCCCGCAAACCGCCACCAACACGAGAAAACAAGCGCACCTTCAAGTCCTGAACGAGGTAGTAGAACACCCGCAGTCCCTCGGGGTCATCCGAGTTCTGCACATCAACGAGCGACCCAATCTTTGCGGTCTGCGGGGGACATCAGCGGCTTTTCGTCAAAATGCGTCCTCTTGCGAGCACTCGTCCTCCTCGAAGAATCAAGGAGGAATCGCTGGGACGAAGGGGAGCGGACGGACCTGGAAAGCGAGGTGGTAAGGTGCCATCCGGCACTCGAATTCCTGCTTGCCGATCACGCTCTTTTGAGGCCACTTCGAGTCGTCCTCCCTGTGTACATTCATACAAGCGTCAATCTCGAGCTCACCTGTTCGAAGCTCGATCCGAGGACGGGAGTCCAGGGAAAGGAGCGAGAGAAGGGAACGGGAGAAGGGAGGAGACGCACTTGGTGATCTCGCTCTCTGCCACGATCCGCTGGAACTCCTTCAGTGTCGCGTCTGACAGGTACACTGCGCGTGGAGAGTGGGGCGTGGGAGGAGAAGCGGGAAGGCGGGGTAGTAAGCGGAGCGGGCGAGGAAGCGAAGATAAAGGGAAGACGAGGTGAAGAGGGTGGTCAGCTTTCGTGATGTTGGAAGGCGAGTGGGAGCTACACGCACTTTCTCGTCGCAGGAGACCCTCATTCCGGTAGCTGCAGAGACGAAAGCAGGGTCAGTGTCGCGGCACCAAGGAGTCCAGCGAGGCCCCGCGTGCGCCCAGCGGTACCCTGAGCCATCGCAGGACCACCACGCGCGTCTGCATCGCGAACTCACTTGGTGTTGAGCGCAAACCTCAGCCTGTTTCCCGAAATCTCGAACTCGATAAACTCGTGTCCGTACGACCCGACGTGTCCGGAGTAGTAGCGCATGTAGAAAGGGTCGGTGGACATGGCGGGCGGTGGGTTCAGGCGGATGTGGAGGGTAGATGAGAGAGGGAGATGAGGGGAGGAGATGAGGAAGTGGGAAGGCGACGGCGCGTCGGAGGAAGGCTGACGAGTAGCTGGGTGGCTTTGTGGATGTCCTGCGAGCGTACAGAGCTGGTCAGCACTCGACCAGGCCGTGTACTCGCTCAGTCGCCTCGTCCTGCGGGGGTGCGGGTCGAGGACGCGGCGTTCTAACGGCGCAGCGGTGCGCTCAGGCAGCGTGGGAGTACTCCAGACGCACCTGTGTGGTGTCCTAGCCTGTCCCTGCGCTGTCCAGCCGAGTCGAGGGGTGTTGCTCTTGCTGATTTGGTCCTCGTCCCGCTTGCCCTCCTTCATCTCGCTCACCTCGCCTCACACAGCTCAGATCGAGGCGAGACTGCTAGCCGGGCGTCTGCTAGAGTCCTGGCAGACTATCGAGCAACTTCCACCGCTTCAAACTTTGTCGTCGCTTCACCAGCCGGCCCCCTCGACCTCCTCGCCGCAGATCACGCTCGTTCACCTGTCACACCCGATCTACGGGCGAACGAAGACGTGCAATCGGTCTAGCAGGCGTCTTGGACGGCACCAGGCGACCCGCGACCCCATTCACCAACGCACGACGTCCGCACGCCGCACATTCCCCTTGATTGCCCAGACTTCATTTCTCCACGGCTCCACCTCGTCCCCTTCGCCTTTGTCGACCCAGCGTGACACGAGACGACGACGAACAGCATGTCCGCGACCGTCCCAGCCGTTGCAAAGGTCACGACGAGTGCGTTCAACGTCCCGTTCCCCTCGCTCTCACGCGGATCCACGAACTGACGATGCGCCCTTTCCGCCCCAGCTATCGTTGCGGCTGCTCATGCGACGATCACGGCGACTATGCCTGCTGTGCCGAAGGCTACGGCGGCGGCGGCGTCGGTGTTCGACAAGGGCTTCGGTAGTCCCGTCAAGTTCGACTCGTCAAAGTGCGTAGACGAGACGTTGCTTCAGAGCCTGCTGTCCTACGAAACACTGTAGCTGATGCTCCCACGTTCTGTCGCCTGCGCAGCCCGCTCGTCCTCTTCATCGTCCAGGCTTTCATCATCGTCGCCCTCTCGCGCCTCCTCCACTTCTTCCTCCGCTACCTCCGACAGCCCAAGGTCATCGCCGAGGTCATTGCAGGCATCTTGATCGGTCCATCGGCCATGGGTGCGTTCGCGCGTCGACGCCGGTCTAGGGGAAACGCCTGATCGGTTTTGCGTACACGCGACAGGTCGAATCCCCGGATTCACGAGCACGATCTTCCCGGCGCAGAGCGTGCCGTTCATCAACCTCGTCGCCAACCTCGGTCTCGTCCTGTGCGTTCCCCTCCCACCCATCCCTCTCCACGCACGCTAAACCACTCCACGCACACAGCTTCCTCTTCCTCGTCGGCATCGAAGTGGACTTCTCCCTCTTCCGCCGAAACGCCAAACTCTCCTCCTCAATCTCGCTCGTCGGTCTCGTCGTGCCCTTCGCCCTCGGCGCAGCAATCTCGAAGGGGATCTACGAGCGCTTCATCGATGACTCGAAGGTTCACTTTGGGACTTTTCTGCTGTTTGTCGCGACAGCTATGGCGATCACGGCGTAAGTGTGCTCGCGCTTGCAGGTTCGCGGCGGGAAGTACTGACCTTGCCTCGCCTGCCCAGGTTTCCGGTTCTTGCGCGTATCTTGACGGACGAGCACCTTCTCCAGGCGAGTCTGCCATCGCTCCTCAACCTGCACTGCGACTGATGCGTTGATGCCCCGCAGAACTATGTCGGCGTCGTCGTCTTATCGGCGGGAGTTGGCAGTCAGTCTCGCTCCATTACCACAGACTTGATAGGCTTGCTCACTCCTGTTCGCGCGCAGACGACGTCGTCGGCTGGGTGCTCCTCGCGCTCGCCATCGCACTCACCAACGCCTCGACCGGCCTAATCGTCCTCTACGTCCTCCTCACCGCCATCGGATGGATCCTCCTCCTCTGGTTCGTCGCGCGCCCGATCCTCAAATACCTCGGTCGCAAGACGAGGTCGTTTGGCGAACATGGGCCGAGTCAGAGCATGACTGCTTTCACGCTGTTCTTGGTGTTGACGAGCGCGTGGATTACCGATCGGATTGGGATGTGCGTCGCTTTTCCCTCCCACCCCCTTTCTCCGGTTCAAGCTGACGGAGTGTGCGAGCAGCCATGCCATCTTCGGAGCGTTCCTCGTCGGACTTGTCGTGCCCAAGGAGATTCGCGGCCCGCTTACGGAGAAGATCGAGGACCTCGTCACTGTCCTGTTCTTGCCGCTCTACTTTGCCTTGTCGTGCGTCCCATCCTTCCATATTCTTCTGCCCAGCGCAGAACCGTTGCTCATTCCGCCCTTCACGTCTCAACTCCCTTCCCGCACCCGCATGCTCAACCCAAATGCTCGTTTAACAGCGGCTTGAAGACCGACCTCGGCCTCCTCAAAGACGGCAGCATTTGGGGCTGGACCTTCGCCGTCATCATCGTTGCGTTCCTGTCAAAGTTCTTGTCGTGCGGATTGGTGGCAAAGGTGCGCTCTCCACTTTCCTCTCTGCTTGAGGCTCTCGAGACCGTCAAGAGGTGATAGCTGATGGACAGAGCGTGCGCAGGGCTTTGGACTGGATTGGAGGGAAAGTGGAGCGGTGGGGAGCTTGATGGGTGCGTACCACTTCGACCGTTCCGTTGCTCACTCGAAGCCTCGACATTAGCTGATAGGCGTCGTCCATGTACGCACAGCCTGCAAGGGACTTGTCGAGCTGATCGTCCTCAACGTCGGCCTCAACGCTGGTATCCTCAACCCGCCAGTCTTTGCGATGTTTGTCGTCATGGCTCTGTGCGTCCCGCTTCACCTCTTCCGGCGTCTCGAGCTCGAGCTGACATGCCCGTTACACAGCGTCACCACCTTCGCCACCACGCCTCTCACGCTCGCTTTCTACCCCGTCTGGTACCGCATCAAGTCGGCCCGCGAGCGACGCGGCCTCCCTTCTACGCCGACCGACGAGGCCTCGGCCTCGACGTTTGGCGACGAGAAACCCCGCTCGAGGTTTGCGGTTGTTGTCGAGCAGTTTGAGCATTTGCCGGCTGTTATGGCGTTCCTCCGACTGGTGCAGGCGCCGGCGCCGATCGAAGCGGGCACGAAGCTCGCGCTCACGTCGACAGCGAAGGACGAGAAGACCGAATCGGACACCGCGACAGTCTCGAACAGCACCCTCTCAAACCTCCTCCAGATCGCCTTCCTCCGCCTCGTCGAGCTCACCGACCGCACCTCGGCCCTCCTCCGCGCCGCCGAAAGCGAGTCGAACCTCCTCCGCTCCGACGCGCTCTCGACTGTCGTCCGAGCGTTCGCGAACGGTCTCGGCGTCAAGACTCGGTCGATGGCGCTCGCGATCGTCGCGCAGGAGGGTTACTCGCGCCAGGTCGCCGAGTTTGCGGAGGAGAGCGAGAGTGAGGTGATTGTCCTGCCTTGGGCGTTGCCAGTCGCTTCGTCCTCGCCTGCCGCCGCCCCAGCCGGCTCGACCCAACCTCAAGCTTCGACTTCGACGCAAGCAGGTGTCGCCGAGTCATGGATCCCGAACCCGCTCGAAGCCTACTTTAACGGCACCGGCTCGTCTCTCGCCTCGACCATGACCATCCAAGGCGCGGTAGGATACGCCTCTTACCTCCGCGAAGTCTACGCCGAAGCGACGTGCGACGTCGCCGTCTTCATCGACCGCTCCGACCCTGCTGCGTCGTCTGACGTCCCGACGAGCGCTGGGAAGGCGCATCTGTTCCTGGCGTTCCACGGTGGCTCAGACGACCGCCTCGCGCTCGGCTTGCTCGTCCAGCTCATCTCCGCCAACCCAGGTCACTCCGCCACTGTCATCCGTATCGAGCGCGCAGCTGAGCCGACGTATCACGATCGCGAGGTGCTTGGCGTCTCGTCGGATGAGGACGGCCTGGCGAGCAAGATTGCGACGAGGGACGACGGAGTGAGCCAGTCGGACCAGCCACTCTTTACGATACATGGCGGCGCGAATACAGGGGACACGGTCTACCCGACGCTTGCGACGGGCGCAGCTCGAGGCGTGCAGAGCGAGACGGAAGACGACGTCCTCCTCGCGCGCTTCTTCGGCTCGAACACGGACGACAGCTCGACTCGCCTTGACGCCTCAGTCCGCGACCGCATCGACTACTCGACAGTCTCGTCTTCCCAGCCTCTTCACTTCGCGCTCGCCCGCCTCGCCTCCGTCCGCGCAACTCTGCACTCGTCCACCCTCTCCTCCGGCTCGCGCATCCCGCTCGTCGTCTTCGCTGGTCGGGGACGCCGCGACGCTCCTTCGCACAAGTCGGAGCTCACTACGCTCCTCAAGGAACGCGCAGGGTCGGTCTACCGCTCGGTTGTCGCCGCTTCGGAAGTCCGCCGTGCGCTGGGAGACACTGCGACGGCGCTCGTCTTATCGAGCGAGGAGGGTCCGCTCCCAGCCGAGGAGAGGATCGTTGTCGTTCAGCGGAGCGGCAAGAGGGGACGCGTGCCGGGGACCGTCGCGTACGGAGCGGGCGAGATGGCCAAGGGTAAGGACGCCTGACCCGTCCTCGCTCGCCTCTTCGCCCCTTCCCCGCTTGTACGACTTATTCAGTGCTCTTCTGCGCTCTCGCACTTTGTCATTGTCAGTATTATCCGTTCATTGCGCGCTCGTCGCCCTCCCATCGTCGTTTTTACCTCGTTCTCCCTCGTTTCTTGCAATACCCGTCGTTTCGTTCGCCTCTTCCGCACTCGTAGCAGGCTCTATACGCCCTGTTGGACTCGTCGCGTCTCCTGGACGTCCAGCTTGCAAGCTTGCTCCTTCATCTCCTCGTCGAGCTCCTCTCCTCTTTCCGCGCTACTTCTCACCTCCCGCTGCTTCCGAGGATGCTGCGAGGGTCTCCAGCGCACAGGCTGCGTCTGATAGCGCGGCATCTCACGCCCAGCAACTTCCGCACCGCTACAGCCTCTCCGTCTCTCTGCTCGCTCTCCTCGTCCGGCCCCACCTCTCGCTCGTTCGCATCCACCGCATCGACCGCACAAGACGCACCAGCAACACCACGAAAAGGCTCATGGGTGTTCACGACAGCCGCGGCAGCGCACGGCAAGCCGCAGTGGAAACCTCGCAACAGCTCTCCTTCTCCCAAACCGCAACCAAAGAAAGTCGCGCAGGGATTGCCGGCGGATCATCCGCTTGTTGCGTGGAGGGAGGAGCAGCTGAGGGAGGGCAATGCGCCGAAGGAGCTCGGAGCGGGACACGACTTTTGGATGGTCCAAGGTGTGCCAGAGAACGAGGGGAGCGGAAGGAGCGGGACTAAGGGCGTCGTGCTGGGCGTGGCAGGTGAGTTCTGCGTCTCTCGTACACGTGCTGTGCGATCCAAGCTATTTCGGGCGGGGAAAGCTGTCGCGTCTGGTTGCAGAAGTCGCTAACTCTCTCCTCTCGTCTCGCAGACGGCGTCGGCGGCTGGGAAGAGTCTGGAGTCGACCCTTCCCACTTCTCCCAGGTGCGCTTACTTTCCCTCACGGCGCCTGTACTATGGACTGATCGCGAGTCTTGCAGGCCTTGATGTGGTTCGCACGCGAGCGAATCTCCTCTTCTCAATGGACGCTACCCGAAGAAGGCGGCAAGCGAAGTGGGGCCAGGATGAAAGAACTGCTAGACGGAGCTTACAAGGAGGTCATGGCGGAGACCGGGATTGTTGCGGGTGCGTGGGCGAGGCTTTCTCTGTCCTAGCTGAGGCAGACTCGCTGATTTAGGTACCGCACCTTGTGCAGGAAGCTCGACGGCCTGCTTGGTTGCGCTAGACGCGGAGACGGGCATGTTGCACGCGGCGAAGTGAGTCGACGGCTCGCTGTTCTCCCGGCGGAAAAGTCGTCGTTCCTTCCGGATCCTCCCATTCGGCATCACTCACGCTGACGCATCACTCGTTCTGCAGTCTCGGCGACTCTGGCTTCTACATCCTGCGCCCCGTCGACCCTTCCACCCTTCCGCCCACTCCCCCTCCCTCTCCCTCCGCCGACGGCTCCCCTTCTCCCGCCCCTCCAATCCACTACAAGCTCCACCACGCTCAAGAACCCCAAGTCTACTTCTTCAACGCCCCGCGGCAGATGTCGAAGATCCCGCAGGCCGTGCTGGACAAGGCCAAGCGCGAGGGGAAGCAGGGTGACTTGTTCCGCGCGACGGCGGACGAGGCGGATACGGTGTCGGTGCAGCTGAAGGATGGAGATATCGTCATGCTCGTCACGGACGGGTACTCGGACAAGTACGTATCGAGCCGGCGTCTCATTTCCTCCTCAACTCCCTGGCTCACTTCTTCTTCCTCGCAGCATCTGGGCCGAAGGCGAGACGGACCGCCTCGTCTCCCTCATCCGCACCAAGGTCGCCTCCTCCGCCTCCCCCTCCTCAACCGACTCCGAACTCGCCTCCGCCATCGCCCAAACAGCCGTCAACTTCGCTCGCATGGTCTCGTTCCGCAAAGACGCGTACACGCCTTTCTGCGCTGAGGCGAAGCGGTGGAAGATAAGGGGGATGGACAGGGGTGGGAAGGTGGATGACGTGACTGTCGTCGTCGCAATTGTGCGAAAGCAGGACGGGGAGGAGGAAGGGAAGCAGTAGATGCGGGCTCGCAGCGTAGACCGTATTTATTCAGCATCTCTTTTCGCATGTGTTTGGGGGTGGAAGAGTATGTTCGTGATCCGCTGTCGAGCTGAGCGCCGACGACGAGACTTGAGACGACCTCTCTCTCCTCCCGCTCCTAGCGTTCCCGAGTCTTCCGCTTCGTACAGACAGCATTTAATTCGCTCACATAGAGACCCGAGTACCAAGATAACGCAAACCGAATCCAAGAGACCCTCCTTCTTCGCCGCAGCTGTCCTCCATCTTCGTTCAGTCCCTGCGCAAGTTGATCGGCGACGGCTGGAGGAACCCAAAGGTCGCATCGCTCGTGTAAAAGCCAGCCGCGGCTCCCCAAGTCTGTGAGGGAGGAGGACAGGATTGTCAGCTCAGGTTTGAGCGAAGGCGAGCGAGAGGACGGAGGACGAACGGCACAAGCGGACTGCGGAAGGGGTAGTCGTCAGCGCGATGCATATGAAGATGTTGAATGGCACAATAGAGAGCCGAAGAAGGTATGAAGGAAGCGGTACGCACAGCGCAGAGGCCAAAGACGCCACCGACAATCCTGGCGGTGTCGCTGTCTGCAATCCGCAAGCGCGTCAGCACATGCTCATGAACATTGATGGGTCAGCGACGTTTTGGTAACAGTGTTCTGGAGAGAGGGCGCAAACCGTGCGGGACGCGAAGTGAGCAGTCGAGGGGAAGGGAGAGGAAGGGACGGCAGGAGGAAGCGAAGGAAGACGAGCCATCCGAGCAACTCACCGGCCATCTTCCAGATCGCCAACGTCATAAAGTTGAGGAAGGTGAAGACGAGGGTGGCGAGAACCGAGACGGAAGTGCGGAGGGCGCCTGAAGGAGGACGGAAGCAAGTCCTGCTCAGCCTGCAAAGCTCTACACGTCCGCAATTGTGCCTGGACGTCCCACGTACCCACACAGAAGAACCCGACAACCAGCGCCCACATTAGTAGGTAAAGACCGACGGCTTGGTTGAAGGACGGGTCGAGAGTGCCGTCGGAGCGCATGTACGCCTGCGCGACTCCGAAAGCTGGGCGGAGAAGGCGTCAGCGACATCTCCAGGGGGCCCTTGACGAGAGAAAAAGGTGGCAGGGTGGTTGAGGGGGACAAGGAGAGACGTGTGAGGAGAGCGACGCGTCGAGCAAAAAGGTGAAGAACGAGAGGGAGGGAGAATCCATCCAGGCGCAGCTCACCAGGTAGGTACAGCGCAGCGTAGGTGAAGTTGAAACTGCCGAAACTACAGAAGACCGTCGCGCCCCATGTGTTGCCGAGGAACTGTCAGGGAAGCAAGTCAGCGAAGAAGATCAAGAGCCGGAGAAGCGTTGCGAGACGGCTGATCTCTGCTCACCATCTCGACAAGTCCCACAATCGTCTGCATCAGCCCGCCGAAGAGGGCGAGGACTGGAACGACGACGTTGGGAATCTCGACACCTCGAGCTGCGAAGGCAAAGGTCGCGTTAGTCTTACGGACCTTAGCGGAGCCGAAGCAAAGGCGCGTAAGGTTGGCAACGCACCATAGAGTGTCAAGACGGAAGCCAGCCAATAGCCAGCGGCGAAAGAAACGAGACCAAGCGGAGCAGGATTGGCGACCTGATGGCGAGAAAAGCGAGTTCAGCGAGAGAGAAGGCGCTCAGAATCAAGGAGCGGCTCACCTTGCGATGATACTGCGGCAAAGCGGGCTGAGAGTAGTCGGCCGGATTGCTGGGAGGGAGGTAAAGTCAAGTTGGCAAAGCGAGGAGGAAGCGTTGTAGCCGACGCACCCTCCGGGAGTCACGGTATGCGTGAGGGGGCGTCCCTCATAGTGCTCCGTAACGTTCTTCTCGAGATCTGTGTTCGAAGCTTGCGACATCTTGGACGAGGTCTGGAGGCGGAGGAAGGAGGAGGTCGAGTTGCCTGGCGGACAGACCTGTTCTTTCGTGAGGAGAGGGAGGTTCGCGGGGCTCCTCCGGGGCTCCGTGCGAGCGGAAAGTGAACAGGAACGAGCGCGACGCAGCGGAGGACTCTTGAAAGGGCGCAATTCAAGGCGAGGCACGCTCGTCCTCCTTCGCCGCCTGCCGAAGCCTCAGGCGCGGCACCGGACTGAGCCCTCGTGCTTGCGGCGTCCAGCTGACACTCGTACCGGCCGACGGGAATTTCACGGAAGCGTTTGCGCCGCGAAAGTGGGGGGACAAAGCGGAGACCTCGCGACCTTCGTAAGGCGCGGCGGCAGGACGACTGGACAGCGATGACGACGAACTACGACGCGCCATGGGCTGGATGCGACGTGGAGTATACGCTGCAGGGCTGCCGGCCGAACCACTGGACGTCAAGGACGCTGCGAAGCCGTCAGTCGAGCACATCGAGCGCGTCGACATCCCCGCTCCTCCTTCTGCTCCTCCCTCGAAGCGCAAGGGCGCTCGACGACGCACGCCTGTCACAGAAGAAGAACTAGCTATTTCAGCTGGCGGACGAGAACCAGTCGACCCGGACGACTTGCCGTTCATCCCGCCCGAATCCATCTCGAAGCACAACAACCTCGAGGACGGTCTCTGTGCGTTCTGCTCCCCAACGATTCCTTGCTCCTGCTTCCTAACAAGCTCTCAATGCAGGGATCATCGTCGAAGACCGCGTCTACGACTGTACGAACTTCCTCGACCTGCACCCCGGCGGACCCGAAGTCTTCCACCAAGTCCCTCCTCCTCTCTCCTCCTCTCTCGTCTCTAGAGGCTGACCTTCGCATCCACAGTTCGCCGGCAAGCAATGCACGTGGCAGTTCTGGAAGTGGCACTCGCGGAAACACCTCGAACCGTGGGAGGAGTCGCTTCTTATCGGCTACACCTACCCTGTCCCGCCCAATCCTTACCCTGAACCGAAGCGGTGGATCAGGACTGGTAGTCTATAGGTGCTGGAACTTTGACCGGTCGAAGTTGCGCGAGTTGAGGTGAAGAGAGGATTCCTTCGCATCGGCAAGCGAGACTTGTCGAGTCGCTCGAACGTATGCGGTGGATTCGAGACGAGCGAGACAATTGAAAGCGAGAGCAGGAGGAGATCGCGACAGAAACTTGACAGGTTGCACCCGAAGACGCGAGCATCGATTCGAGGAGCAAGTCGCTTGCGCAAGTCTGGCCGGAGCGAACCCTCTCCTCGAGCGCCCCACAGCTGGAGATACTGAGATCGATTCGCATTGCCCGACAAATCCCATTGAGAAGCCTTCTAGAGAGCGCTGTGTCCGTTGACGCCGTTCGTGTGCACGCCGTTGACGCCATTGACGCCGTTAACCTTGGCCGTCTTGACAAACGTCCTAATCTCCCTCGCGACAGCGTCGACGTCCTCAACTTGGTGCCAGTGACCGACGTCTTCGATCTTGGCGACCTTCGCGCCCGTGATTGCGCCGGAGAGGAAGTCGATAGTCGCCTGAGGCGAGGTCTTGTCCTCGCTGCCGGCGACGATGAGCGTCGGGGCAGTGATAGCCGAGTAGTCAGGGTCATCGGCGTGTGCGAGGGCAAGACAAGCCTGCGCGTAGCCTTCGGGCTGAGAGGCAAGGAGCGATGCGCGGACCGCGGCTTTGCTGAGAGGGCGGGAGGAGTTGGTCTTGGTGGAGCAGCCGGCAGTGGAGACAGCGTCGACGATGGCGGACATGCCGCCTGAGCGGACCGTCTCGGCGCGCTTCGTCAGGGCGTCGACTCCGCCGGGCGCCATCTTCTTGACCGGGCCGAGCAGGACTGCAAGCGGTGGGAAGCGTCAGTATAAAATGATTCGAGGAGCGCACAGTCGAGAGAGCAGGACGTACTGAGCTTGTCGACCCTCGAAGCGTGCTTGGCGGCGAAGGTTGTCGCAATCAGTCCGCCAAGACTGTGTCCGACAACGGTGGCTTTGTCCGCCCCAACGCTGTCGAGCACCTCCGCCACGCTCGCGACGTATCCCTCGACGCTCGTCGAGCCGTTGCCGCTGAGCGGACTGAGACCGTGGCCTTCGAAGTCGAATGAGACGACGCGGTAGGTTTCGGCAAGTCCGGCAGCCTGGATGACGGCGGCAAAGTTGGTCGACGAGCCGCCCAGTCCGTGGATGAAGATGATGGTCTGCTGAGCGTCCGGGTTGAGAACTTCGACGTGCAAGTTGAGGCCGGACTTGAGGCGGAGGAGGTTCGAGTCGGCCAAGTACGACAACTCACCCGTCTCCTGCTCGAGCGGGAGCTGGACGACTGGCTCGGTGTTGGGCCGGGCGACGACGTTCGAAAGCTTGCCGAGTCCCGTGATCTCGACCTCGACAACATCGCCTGGTTGGAGGAAGACCTGCGGACTCTGGCCCATCCCAGTCCCGACAGGCGTGCCGGTAGCGATCACGTCGCCAGGTTGGAGAGTGATGCCCGCTGAGCATGTCTCGATGAGCGTCGGGATGTCGAAGATTAGGTCGGAGGCGTTGGCGCGCTGGCGGAGTTGGCCGTTAACGCGAGTCTCGATGGTCATGTTCTGCCAGTCGAGGTTGCTAGAATGGACTGCATAGGGCCCCTGCATTGGAAGCATGTCAACGACGAAGCGCACACGAGCGAGACGAGGGACGCACCATCGGGCAGAAGGTGTCGAGGGACTTGCCGAGGAAGAACTGGATGTGATCGCGCTGTCGGTCTCGCGCCGTGACCTGCATTACGAGCGAGTCAGTAAGGATTCCAGAATTCGGAAGCGCAAGGAACGCACATCATTCAAGACGCAAGCTCCCCAGACATGTTCCCACGCATCCTGCTTCTTGATGTTCCTCCCGCCCTTTCCAACGATGATGGCGAGCTCGCCCTCGTAGTCGAGCTTGGTAGTGACGTTCGGGTGTGGGTGGATGGGCTGATTCGTGCCGATGATCGAAGTTGCGCGCTTGGTGAAGACGACGGGGTGCTTGGGGATGTCGTCCTTGCTGCTGCCGTCCCAGCCCGACTGCTGGAACTCGCTGTGTATTCGCGCAGCTCGTCAGTGTTTGTAGGCATCAGAGAGGACGACAGACGAACTCACCGTGCGTGCTCGAGGTAGTTCTTGCCGACGCAGATGATGTCGCGGCCGGTGACGGGAGCGAGGATCTCGACGGAGCTGATCGCCTCGACGGCGTGCGACGGCAAGAGCGAGCTTGCGACTGCATCCCAGTCTCGGATGAGGACCTTCAGGTCGACGACGGGGCGGCCGTTGGGAAAGTTGATGGGAGTGACCTGAGTGCCGTCCGCGTTGACGAGACCGACGCGCCCGGCCGGGAAACGCTTAGAGCGGTACTGAAGGAAACGGTAGGACATGCTGCGATGTGTACGAGCGTAGGAGAGCGTGTGTAGCGAGCTGTAGGGAGAGCGAGTGATGGTCCGAGGTGGGGAGGGTCAAGCAGGACGAGTACGGCACGGGGCGGTCCGCCGGAAGGCTCGGGCGATATGGCAGAGTCCCATGAAGAGCATCCCGTCCCGTCGGAGTCTCCACAGCGAGCGGGAGGGGATCAACGAGCGTGGAGGTGTCCAAGGGTGCCTCTCTCCCTCCCGCCAACTCCGGTCGTCGGCGCTCGCGCGCTGGGTCGCCTGATGAGGGCCTGGGACCCGCATGCCGAAGCTTGCGGACCTCGCGAGGGGAGCCCCGCCGCGCCCCATCGCTTCCGCCGCCTTGCCCGCTCTTCCTTCGCTTCTTTCGCTCGCTCCCTCCCTCACACCGCTCACACACCCGCTCTGACACCGCTGCGACTACCTAACCACCATGCCTACTGCTGTTCTTGTCCTCCCAGCCGAGCACCGGTTCGTCGAGCGTTTCCTCGTCTCCTCATCCCCTTCAGCGCTCACCCTCCTCCTCTTTCGCAGCTTCGACCCGCAGGTTGCGCCTACTTACTCTCGCTGGGTCCCTCCCAAGTGGATGCTCCAACATGCTTCGAACCCGCCAACCCCTCGTCGTCCTAACGCCAACGGACTCGGCGAGGAGTGGCAGCCAAAGAAGCCATCCTTCCGCGGCATCGACCTAGTGCGTCCGCTTGGGCCTTACTTCGGTCGCCTACTCGCTACTGATCTCATCTTGACCTTGTAGACCAAGCCGGATCCGCGCATCCGCGTCCCGGACATCGCTATCGCCAGCGACGTTTCCGACGAGCAAGAGACCGCTTTCGTCGACGTCAACATCCTCGACTCGACGTGCGTTATGCTCTCCTGCTCTCCTGAACCCCGTGCAGCTGACTGACGTCCCACTGCTCGACGCCGCAGCGGCAAGGAGCCGTACCGCGGTACGCTCACGCATCCTGTTCCTTCCTCACTGCCTGACTGACACCCCTTTCGCCGACAGGCGACGTCCTCGTTCGCGGCAAGCGCATCGTCTCGGTCGGGGAAGAGATCGCACCCGAAGTCCTCGCTCGCGCTCGCGTCATCCAAGGCAACGGCAGGACGCTCATGTCCGGCCTCTGCGACGCCCACACGCACTTTACCTGGACCAACGCCGGTGCGCTCTACTCCTTCCGCCAGTACATCGTGGCTGGATTGACCAGGTCACGACGATGATGCAGCCTCGCTCGACGGACTTGCCGACATGCCAGTCGAGGAGCACACGCTCTTTTCCGCCCGCTCAGCCCGCACCTTCCTCGACTGCGGCTACACGATGTGCTTCGGCGCCGCGTCCGCCAAGTCCCGCATCGATGCCGTCGTCAAGAACGCCATCAACGCAGGCGACATCCCCGGACCTCGTGCGCTCGCCAACGCAGCAGAGATGGCGCCGCACGATGGCGCGCTCGTACCCGGCATCACACGCTTCGTCGAAACGCCCGAGGAGATCGAGGCGGCTATCAACGAGTTTGCGGACCAGGGCGCAGACCAGATCAAGCTGTCGATGAGCGGCGAGGAGATTACCGAGGTCCTTCGCGCCGAGGACACGACTTTCCCCGACGAGCTCGTCGCTGCTGGCGTTGAGGTGAGTTGCCGAACCTGTGGGCGTCCTCGCTTAACATCGCTGACTCTCCCTCGTCTCGCTTCTCTTCCCTCAGGCTGCTCACGCTCGCGGCCTCCGCGTCTGCTCGCACGCTCGCTCGGACGAGAGTATCATGCAATGCCTCCAGTGCGTCTACCGTCGTCGATATCGCCGGGGACTTCGCGCTGACTGCTCCATATCTTTCTCTCCATCTCCTCTCCTCGTATCTCCTCGCCTTCCCGTCTTCCCGCCTATTGCTCGCAGGTACGGCGTCGACATGATCTACCACGCTAGCTTCATTTCCGACTCAACGATGGAGGCCCTCGAGGCGCAGAGAGAGCGGGTCTTCGTTGCTCCCGCTCTCGCTTGGCTCGTCTGTGCGTGGCCCTTCATCTCCTCGTTCTTCTTAGTCTGCTCACGCATCACACGCAGGCACACTCGAGGACGCTGAAGCGTACGGCTACCCACCCAGCAAGGCCGAGAGCGCCGGCTACGCGCGAGAACTCGCCATCGCCATTCCCGGACTCAAGGAGATGAAGAAGCGCGGGATCCGCGTCATGCCCGGTGGAGACTACGGCTTTGCTGTTCGTGCTCCCGTCTTTCCAACAAGTGACGCAGCTGACCAGTTTGGAGCGCAGTGGACGCCGCACGGCACGTACCGCGACCCGGAGTTGTTCGTCAAGCGACTCGGCTACACACCGATGGAGGCTATCCTCGCTGCCACCGCACTTGGTGGCGAGCTCTTGCTCCACCCGGAGGAGCTCGTGCGTCCAAGCATTCCATATCGACGAGCTCGAGCTGAGCTTTCGCTCGTGTACAGGGTAAGGTCCAGCCTGGCTACTACGCCGACATGATCCTCGTCAACGGCAACCCTCTCGAGGACATTACGCTGCTCTCGCACCACGAGAACCTCGACTTGATCATGATCGTGCGATCCTTTCCCTCCTTTCGCATGATCCAGCGCTGACGAGGTGAGCGAATGCAGAACGGCCGCATCCACAAGGAGCAGCTCAAGGACCGCTCTGAGGCGCGCTACGAGCCCAAGGGCTCGCTCTTCAACGAGATCCCGGAGAAGGTGAACGGGTCGAAGAAGGCGAACGGCAAGGAGTGAAGGAGCGACCGTCCTGCTCGAACCTGTACCCTTTCTCTCCATCTCGCTCATCTGTCGTTCTCTCTTTGGCTTGTATGACTTCGTATTCGGGTCCTTTGGTTTGAAAGTCAAGCAGTACTCAGTGCACTAAATCGCAAGTCGAGAAGGTCCCGCTACAGATTCGCTTTCGCCTGCTGCCTGATCGTCTCCAAGCACCTCTTGAACGCCGTGCGCATGCTCGCCTGCTCGAGCGGATTGAGGGACGGCAGCTGGACGGCATCGACGAGGTGTTGAAGCGTACTCGATTCGAGGAGGACGAGGGTGGCGAGGTCTTCGAGCGTCGAAAGGCCGAGGTGAGCGAGGAAGATGACGACGAGCTCGAGCTCGTGGGCAGGAACCGTAGGGAAGATCGAGTAGAGCAAGGCGGCGAGGTCTTCGAGGTGAAGCGGCGTCGAGGTGGTAGGAGTCGAGGAAGGCAGGAAAGCGGCGTGCTGGACCGGCCGCTTGTCCTCCCTGCGCTCTGAACTGCTCGACGTGCTAGAGGTATATTCGCGCTTCGACGCGCGAGGCGAGGCTTGTCCGTCGTCGTCGACCTCGTCAATCTCGTGGTTGTGCTTGAGCTCGCTCGAGGTGATGCGCCAGAGTCCGTCAGAGCCCGCGTCGGCGATGATGCCAACCCTGCATTGTCCTTGTCTCGTGCCAGCGTAGCGGTGGTGACCATGAGCGCATATGAGGCGAAGGTGTTGCTTGTCGGAGACGTCGCTTTTGCGGTGGACGGTGAAGCCGCGCGACTGGGCGAAGGCGTAGAGGTGAATGAGGAGCTCGCGCGCCCTGGAGAACGACTGGTTGGCGGAAGGAAAGGCGGCAGGTCCGGCCTGTGCGAGGAAAAAGTCAGCTTGCTTGTTTCGAGGGAAAGGATGGGTCGCACCTTGACAAGCTTCGACACCTCCTTTGCGACGTCCTGCGCTGATGGGAAACGCTTCTGTGTCGACGTCGACGTCGATGCAGCTTCGTCGCTGCTCGTCTCGCATTCCGAGTCATCCTCCTCGCCGCTCTCGCTCGACGACGGTTCCGTGCTGAACCACCTCTTTCGGAGCTTCGTCGTCACGCCACTGACCCCCTGCGCAATGTACTGTTCGACCTCCTTGATCTTCTGCTCCGTCCACGCCTTGGCGGACCCATCGCGCGAGCGGGCGTCCCGCACCGACGAGGGACAGGAGTGGTCGAGCGAGCTGACGGACACCCTGACACCTCCGAACGCCCCGCGCACAGCGATGGCGTGGATGCGGAAGGTGTAGTCTGTGTCGCCAGTCAACTTGTGCACGGTGCAGCCCTCCCGCAAGCGACAGTAGAGGTAGACGAAGGTGGTGTCTCCCGCCCTGATGCGGAGCTCAGTACCGGCGGCGACTGCGTGCCAGAGGGTCAGTAAGACGCCGCTACGGCTCTCGTACATCCCGACTCACGAGCTGCGCGGTGGCAAGCGAGCTTGAACTCGTTGAGGGAGGAGAAGGTGTCGCCGACGTTGCTTCCGCGCCGCAGGGGAACGAACCGGCGCCCCCTCCTTGCGCAAAGCGTATTCAAACTCCTTGATCTTGCCGCGACTCCATTGCGCGGTATCGCCGCTCGACCTACGCTGCTGCCGCACCTCGAGCGGACAAGAATGGACGAGGTTGCGCTTGTTGACGCGAAAGTCGCCACCGTTCGCCTCGACAACCGACTTGTAGACTGCGATCTGGAAGGAGCAGCATGGCCCGTCCATCACCTTGTTGACCGTCGCGCGTTCGCCGAGTCGGCAGCGCATATCCGCTCGATTTGCGTCGCCCGTTTTGATCTTGAGCTCGATGCCGCTAGCCACTGCGTGGATAAGCGTCAGTAGCTAGGAGATCCAGAAGTCCGGAAGGAACGACTCACAAGCTGCGCGATGACAAGCGAGCTTGAATGCGAGGAGGGACGGGAAGGTGTCGCCGACCTTGGGGAACGCGGGAGCGGTCGCAGGGGACGCAGCAGAAGAGGAGCCAGACATTCCGAAAACTAGTGGTACGCCGCGGGAGGCGAGAGCGACGAGGTAAGAGCAGCGAGTGAGCGGGAGGAAGGAGAGGGGCAAGTCCGGGCGAGTCCGCGGACAGCGTCGACGACGGCAAGCAAGTGGACGACGAAGAAGCGACGACACTCGAGGAGAGTTGTCTGAGGTCGCGACAACGCTGGGCGGTGCAGGCTGCGCAAGTCGAGGAAGCCCGTCTAGTTCGCAGCTTCGCCTCGAACTACTGCACGAAGTTCTTGATCTCCCTCGCGACGGCATCGACGTCCTCGAGCTCGTGCCAGTGGCCGATGTCCTCGATCTTGGCGACCTTCGCGCCCGTGATTGCGCTGGAGAGGAAGTCGATAGTCGCCTGAGGCGAGGTCTTGTCCTCGCTGCCGGCGACGATGAGCGTAGGCGCCGTGATAGCCGAGTAGTCGGGGTCGTCGGCGTGTGCGAGCGCAAGGCAGGCTTGAGCGTATCCCTCCGGCTGCGAAGCGAGAAGCGATGCGCGGACGGCGGCTTTGCTGAGAGGACGGGAGGAGTTGGTCTTGGCTGAGCAGCCGGCAGTGGAGACGGCATCGACGATGGCGGACATGCCGCCTGAACGGACCGTCTCGGCGCGCTTCGTCAAGGCGTCGACTCCGCCGGACGCCATTTTCTTGACCGGGCCGAGGAGGACTGCAAGTGGTGGGAAGCGTCAGCTCAAGGCGCCGGAAAGAGCGCACAGTCGAGAGAGCCGAACGCACTGAGCTTGTCGACCCTCGAAGCGTGCTTGGCGGCGAATGTCGTCGCGATCAGCCCGCCGAGACTGTGTCCGACGACCGTCGCTTTGTCCGCCCCAACGCTGTCAAGCACCTCCGCAACGCTCTCGACGTATCCCTCGACGCTTGTCGACCCGTTGCCGCTGAGCGGGCTGAGACCGTGGCCTTCGAAGTCGAACGAGACGACGCGGTAGGTTTCGGCAAGTCCGGCAGCCTGGATGACGGCGGCAAAGTTGGTCGACGAGCCGCCCAAGCCGTGGATGAAGATGATGGTTTGCTGAGCGTCCGGGTTGAGGACTTCGACGTGCAGGTTGAGGCCGGACTTGAGCTGGCGGAGGTTCTGGTCGGGCGCAGACATGGTCGTAGGTGTCGAGAGGTTCTGTCGTGAGTGCAGAAGTCGTGGCTAGAAGGTGGAAGGAGAGCTGAAGAAAGAGGACTGGGCGCTGGTGGGGAAGGGAAGCGAGCGAGCCGGCAGCTGTGGAGGTCTAGCAGCACCGCGCGCTCGTCCTCCGTTCCGCCTGAGAGGCGTCAATGGACCGCAAGCTCCGCTGCTCCGCGACCGCCGGTCGTCGGAGGCTCGCAGGGAGCTTAGTAAGTCAGGGCTGGTGCCGAAGAGCGAGCCGAACAGGCAGGGCCGGAACTGCCTCGGCGAGAGAAGCAGTCGCGGTTGAGGAAGTCCTGAGGCTTGTACAGGCGGAGAAGCCGGTAAAAGAGCCATCCAGAGCGTCAGAGGAGTGAGTCGAGCACAAAATGGTCGAGGGAAGGCGTGTCGAAAAGGAGGAAATTCTGGAGAGGGCGAAGAGTGCTGTCAGCTGGCTTGAACTAGCTGCAGGTGGCCCACGGTACCTTGCCGCGCTGCTCAAAGACCGTCTGCCGTCCACAGAGTTTGTGAAGATCCGACATGCTCCTCATCAGTTCGAGAGAGACGGGCAGACTCTTCCAGCCGGCCACACCGCTCGCGAGGCTAGACGAACGCAGGTACGCACTCCAAATCGCCTGTTGTTACACCCAGCTACTACGCAGATCGGCCCGTTGCGTTGACATCCCGCTGAGACCGCCTTTCCTCGTCGAGATGAGCGAAGCGAAGCCGGCGGCTCCACAGTGTGCGACGCGTGTGCATGGCTCTAGCACAGCTCGAGAAGCAGGAAAAGGTCGATAGAAGCCAGGTAGAGCGTATCCTGAGCGAGTGAGCGAGACGTTAGGGAGGAAACCCTGTCGGGCGCCGCGAGCGAGCAGGTCTCAACGCAGCAAAACGAGACGGAACGGACTCAAGCGTTGCAAAGCACTGATAGGTACCGACAACAACAAACAGGGCGGCAGAAAGGGCGAGAGGAAGCAGCTCAGAACCCGCCAAGGTTCCATGCGTTCGTCTCTGGTCCCAGCGCGCTCGCCGGGTTCCAGAACAGCCTGCTCATACGTAAGGACATCAGCAGGATTCGCAGAGCGAGGAAACAGCGAGAAGGGGACGCACAAAGTCTCGCCAATCGAGTCGTACGAGCTAAAGTCGAGGGCGCGCGAGTCCCACGCCATCGGCGTATTGAGGTTCGAGAGGAGGACGCCGGCGGGGTCATTGTGAACGTCGTAGTGCTGTTGTGGAGGCGGAGCGAAGGCGGCGGTGGACGGGTTGAGCGAGGGATCGACCGGAAGAGGAGGGTAGGTCGGCGGAGCGGGCAAGACGGAGAGACTGTCCGTCGAGTTCGCTTGATGCACGACCTGCGCTGGCTGCTGCACCTGCGCCGGCTGCTGCACCTGACACTCCCCTCCCACATTCGGACCCCTCTCCAGCGCCTCCTTCAATTTCCTCAAAATCGGCAACGCCCTCCCCGCAAGCGCCGAATACGGCTCGATGTCGTTGAAGACTTGGAGTGCTTGTGCAAAGTCGGCGCGGATGTCTTCGTTGAGCATGCAATAGGGCGCGCGGAGGAGGACGCTGGATTGGATGACGGCCGAGGTGAAAGTGTGGACTGTCGGCGCGCAGGGTTATCAGTCAGACTTCGTACTTTCGTATGAGGAAGAGCAGAGGGAACTGTCCGACTCACAGGCGTAGAACCACCAAGTGACCGCTGCCCTCGGCGCCTTTTCCAACACGCTCCTCATCAAACTCGTGTGCCTCCTCGCCGAGATCAAGCACGCGTTGAAGCTCGCCGCGTACGGACTCGTCATCGGCTCGGTCCCGCTCATCAAAGCCTTGGCGAACCAAGGACGGTGGAGCGCGAGGAGTCCTTTGTGGAGGAGGAGGACGAGCATGTGTCGTTGCGGGATGAGTTTGCGCTCGATGTCGGACGGAGGGTGGGTCGAGCTGGCCGAGGAGGTGGTCTCGTCAAGCCGCAACCAGTGCGGAGCCTTGGCGGCGGTCGCCTTGAACTCGCGATCGAGTTGGAGGACCGCCGCGTAGTCGGGCAAGTCCGGCGCGGCGAGCAAGTCGGCAATCTTGGCGAACATGAGCGAGATCTCGTACTTGACTGCGTGGAACGCCGAGTCGGTCACGCCTGTCGCAGGCGGAGTAGGGCGCGGGCAGGAGATAAAGTGGAGAGGGATGGCGTAGGGTCGACCAAAGTTGAGCGACTGCAGCAAGTCGTAGACGAAGATTTCCCACCATGCTCGAGCGCGCTCCTCAGTCACGTCGGCGCTCAAACCCCATGCCGCGCAATTCTTGTGCAACCCGAGCGCCTGAGCGGCGCGCGAGGCGAGTCCGAGGATTGTCCAGGCTGAACGGGCGCCTTCGCGGTCGCCAGAGCAGAAGAGATACGAGACCATCAGGTGGAGGCACTTGACCGCCGCGACCGTCGGCCTGCTCATGAAGTTGTACGGCGGGCTGGTCAATAACGCCGCGGCCGCATTGAAGAACGCGGTCGCCTGCGGGTTCCTCCGCCTCGACGCGATCTCTAGGTTCTGGGAGAACGTAAGGGCGAGGGCGAAGATGGTGAGGAGGGTCGCGAGGCGATGTGGATGGAGACAGCAGGGGTTGGCGGTGTTGGAAGGGCCGGAGTAGAGTTGGCGTAGGTCCGAGTCGACGAAGGTGCGAGCGCAGGGCTGGTACATCCAGTCGACTTCGGTGAACTGCGAGTGTCCGCCGCGGTTCTTAAGTCAGTCTTTCGACCGTGTGCAGCCGATGAGATGCGACTCACGTAGACGTTGATGTATCCGAGCGCCGCATCGTATGGCGGGTACTGGTCAGGCGGGAGCATCGCGCTTGTCGCAGGAGCCGACGCGAACGGGAAGAGCAGTTCGCCCGGGTACAGGTCTGGCGAGTCCGTCTACGAGCGTTGCGAGCGTGAGTCTGGGTCAGGGGGAGAGGCAGAGACGGCACGCAACGCACAGTCCCGGCATCAATGAGGAACAACGCTCCAGCTCCCCTCCCGTGAAACCTTGCCGCGGTACCCTCCGTCTCCATCACACCTGGTCCGCGTCCTGCAGCTGCTTCAAGCGGGTTGCCTGGCGCATCGGGGGAGTCTCTGTCGAAGGGCGGAGAAGGAGCCGTGGCAGCCGCGAGAGGCGAAAGGAGGAGAGACTGGAGGGAAGAGGAGACTGGAGCGGCGGGTTGTTGCGGCAGTGGCGGAACTGGGAGACTGGTGTGCGCGTACTGGGGGAGCGGAGATCGCTGCTGCTGCTGCTGTTGTTGTTCTTGTTGAAGGGCGGCCGTGAGCGCCTTGTTCTGCTCGAGGAGTTCCTTGATGGTTTCTTGTTGCAGGAAGACGTCGCGATGTGGGAGTTCGCCGTCAGGACAGAGGGACGCGACCTTCCTCCGCACGCAGCTCGTGCAGGGCCATTCTCGCGAGCACTGCATGCATAGCAAAACGGTGAGCGAGGTCAGGCGAAGTCGAAGCGGAGACGAGGAAGTGGGGAAGGCAACGGCGAGGTGAGCGACGACGGCGTCTGGGGCGCACCTTGAGTTTCAGCCTGATGCATTCACGGCAGCTCGTCGCCTTTGTGCCCTTCACACGCCCTTTGCCGCTGTCGCCGTCTGTCGAGCCGTTGCGGGGCCTTTTCGCAGGAGGAGGCGTCGGTTCGCTCGTGCTGTCGCTGGGAGCGGGCGGCGCGGGTCCAGCACGGTCCATGGCACTCAACAGCGTCAACGCAGTCGTAAGTAACCCGAACGAAGGAGAGGAGCGTCGAAGCAAACGGCGAAGAGTGGCCTGGAGAAGAGGTGGACGCCTCGTCGCGCCGAAAAGACTGGGATGACCAGTAGGGCTTCAGTAGCACTATGCAAAGGGCTCTGAGCCACCCTCGCCCGTCCTTGTCCCGAACGAAGTCGACCCTTTCTCCCCGTTCGCGTTCTTGTCGTCGCCCATCTCGCTGCCGGTGTCTGTGTGGTCCTTCTGACGCTGCTGTGCCGTGTCTATACGCTCGTCTGACCCGCCAAGCTACCCGCCAGCCCGCCGCGATCTCTTCACTCGCTTCCCTTGCCCCCGCTCAATCCTCATCACTTGTCGCGTCCGTCGGCACTGTACACCCGCGCAATGCGCAGAACGTGCGTTGCGGTCTTGCCAGACTGCCATGAGAATCTCACTGACGCGGTCGAATTCGTCCCGCAGCGCCCTCCCCGTCCTAAGCGGCATCTTCGCGCCGCTCACCTCTCTCCTCCTCACCTCCCTCGTCGCTCCTTCACTACCCGGCTCATCGCTTCTCGTAGCCGCACAAGCACCTGCGGGAGGAGGAGGAACCGGCGCGAGCACGGGGACGAGTAGCGGCCAGACGTGTGGATGGGAATCGAGTTGTCCCAAGACGGCGCCTTGCTGCACGGAATACGGGTGCGTGGAGGGGTCCCTCGTCCGCCTATTGCGTTTTCCGGCAATGCGCTGACTGGGCGATATTCTCGTCGTCGCACAGGTACTGCTCGTCCGGCATCGGCTGCTTGGCGGGATGCAACCCTCAGGGCAGCTACGGCGAGGGCTACTGCGCCCCCGTCCCCTCCTGCCAGTCCTCAAACGTGCGTGCTGCCTCGTCCTCAGTCCGAATGACGCTGACTCGCACTCGCCCCGCAGTACACCTTCGCCGACACCTCGCGGATCCAGATGAACCACACCGCGTGGGACGGCGACGCGAGCAAATACGATTTCGTGCTCGACAAGCTCGACTCATCGAACAACTCTCTCATCCAGAACAACGAGATGGTCCTCACGCTCACTCAGAACGGCGGCGGAACGCGCGTATCGACTACGAGGAGCGTCTTGTACGGCACGATTCAGGCGAGTATCAAGACGGTCGGCGTGGCGGGAGTCGTGACGGCTTTCATTACGATGAGCGGCGTCAAGGACGAGATTGATTTCGAGTGGACGACGAATAACACGAATCAGGTCCAGAGTAACTATTACTGGGGTGCGCGAGCGTTTCCTCCTACTCTTGCGCCCTTGCTGAAGCTGACTCGTCGATGCGCCCGCAGAGGGAGACGTCGACAACTACTCGCACGGCGGCAAGCACACAGCGAACAACCGCGCCTCCTCCTACCTCACCTAGTGCGTCTGATCCTCCTCGCTCCCCCCTCTCTACTGACACTCTCGCGCACAGCGGCATCCAATGGACCCCCTCTCAACTCGACTGGCTCGTGAACGGCAAATCCGTCCGCACGCTCAAGAAGTCTGATACGACGAATGGGCGGTATCCGCAGACCCCGTCGAGGGTGCAGTTTTCGGTTTGGCCGGCGGGGGTGGAGGGGACTGCGCAGGGTGTGAGTCCGGGACTTCGCTAAATTGCGGGAGAGTCGTGGCGCGGACGAGCCGCTTGACTTGACACCTCCGCGCCACTACGACGTTCTTCAGCTCGCTTGACTGACTTCTCGCTCGCCTTGCTCACTCGCAGACGATCGACTGGGCCGGCGGCCTGATTGACTGGTCCTCACCCGCCTACACCTCCTCCAACGCCTTCACCGCCCACGTCCAATGGCTCAGCATCGACTGCTACTCCGGCTCGGACATGAACCTCCCCTTCGTCGCGGGCAACTCGAGCTCGAACTCGACTAGCTCGAGGGAGAGATTGAGGAGGAGCGAGGAGTGGCCCGTGTTGTGGGAGAGGCAGAGTCAGAGCGTCAATTCGTACATCTGGGGCTGTCAGTCGCGCTTCCTTCCCCTTTCCTTGCGTCTGACGACGAGCTGACAGGTTTTGGGTCCCGCAGCGAACGACACGAACGGTCAAATCGGCGTCTCGGGCTCGAATGCCGCGACGATCATCAACTCGCCTTACTCGACCGGTCAGAACAGTGCGTCAACTTCCCGCGCTCGACTGGACGTTCTCCAGCGTCGATGTTGCGTCCATGCCCTGAGCTTCCCAGTCTGACGCCCTTGCTTGCCGTCGCAGTGATCATCAAGAACGGCGACACGAAGGGCGTGACGGCGCCCAAGTCGGGCAACGGCGGCACGGGCATTTTCGGCAACACCGCAGCTGGGAACTGGTGGGCGAAGCAGTCGACCGGCGTGGTGCGTCCCGTCCTCCCCGTTTCCGTCCTTCTCGACGTAAGCTGACGGTGGATGCACGAGCAGCACGTCGGCATCATCATCGGCGGCTGTGCGGTCGCCCTCTTCCTCCTCGTCACCATCTGCACGCTCTGGGCTCGTCGGAACGACGGCCGCAAATCCCGCGCGCGCAAAGAAGCCGCCATCCTCGCCGCCTCTCGAGGTGGACCGACGACTGGCCCGTCCGGCGCGGCCGCTATCCCGCTCGTCAACAAGAAGCAGAACGCATACACTACGCTCGACGGGAACGACTCGGCTTTCGACTTGCCCAAGGGAGGGAGGCCGTCGATGCAGCACGACAACTCGTCTTACTACGCCGATTCGATTTCGAAGAACTCGATGGGGAACAACTACCGCGACAGGATCGTCTCGCCCTCCAGCTCGTCGTTCAGGACTGCGACGCCGCCTGTGCCGAGTCTGCCGGCGCAGTATCAGCAACATCAGGCGTACCCAGGCGGATACGGAGCGTATGGTGGTGCACCGGCGTATCCGCCTCAGCAGTTCTACCCGCCCCAACCGCCGCAGTACGGGCAAGGCTACGGGCAGGGAGGACCCGGGTACGGGCGGTACTGAGCGCAGAGTGGCCGCTTCTCCTCTTTCTTTCGGCGGTCGTCTTGCTGGTTCGCAGGCGTCGCTCGTTGTTCTTCTCCTGCACTTTACCACGGCTCTCTTGGTTGTAACACGGACACTCGGTTATGCGCGCACGCATCGAATCATGGAAAGGAACAGTATAAAGGCAGTGCAAGAGAGCGGTGCGAGTTGACGACGAGGTCCAGAGTCCCAGAACTGCTGCGGCGCTACACGAGAAATGTACAAGTTTCCCTTCCCTCTCTCATCCGTGGATGCTCACAAAACCGCCTCGTCCTTTGACCCGAACGCTGCCTTGCGGCGGAAGATGTTCTGGTCGCGCAGCCACGAGCGGTATTGGCGGAGCGAGCCGACTTTCTCGGCGTAGTAGTCGGGTGCAGGGTTGGTTGCTGTTTCGAGCGTTTGTCAGCGAGAGCTTGAGGAGTAGCGAGGACGAAGGGTGGAGACGCACCTGATTGCCGAGAGGGGTCGGCGCGCCACCGTGAGATGTGACGGAAGAAATCTGTGTCCCGCGCAAGCGAGGTACGAGAACTCGTCAAAGTCCGTCTCGACGAGCGAAACGAGCAAACCCTGTTGCTCGAGACGCACCCTTGTCCTTCGCCTCCATCGCCTTCGCCACATTCCGGTGCGTCAACCTCCACAGCGCTCCGCCGACGGTCGGGCCAGCGAGCCATCCGAGTCCGACGCAAGAGAGGGTTGCGAGGCCGTAGGCGTAGACGGGTTCGATGCCAAAGATGAGGTCGCCTGGGTCGGATTCGATGGTGGCCTGCGTGGAAGCGGGTCAGACGCGGAGGCTACTGTCCATGCGCTGATGCCAGGACGATAGCCTGTTCCCAGGAATGAACCCTGGACTAACAAAGTAACCCGCTCCTGCGCTGAAACCGATGAGGGTGGTTGGGATGCTGGCGACGAGACCGTACACCCGCTGGCTCTTCCTGAGCGAGAGGTACGTCGGCCAGTCAAGCTGCCTCGCTGCGTGCTGCTCTGCCGCTGTCGGTGCGGGCGGAGGAGGGGCAGACGACGAGGCGAGGCGATGAGAGAGCGGGCGACGAGCGGGGGCGCGGGTGGCGCTGGACCGCGCAGTCTGTGCGAGTGCTGTTCTGACAGACATCGTAGGCGCACTTTCAGCGAACTTCTTGAGGACGAAGCGAGTTGCGAGAGCGAGAGAGAGGGTTCGTCCAGGACGACTCGCTAAGATGGCGCCCGCACAGCTCGAGCTGTTCAAGTTCAGTCTCTGTGCGTCTCTCAGAACTCTCCTAAGCCCGCCAGTCCAACCCGCTCATCCTGGCGTGTCCTCCTCGTCTCGCTCTCTCCCTCTCTCGCCGAGGATCGCTCCCGACACAGACGTCTTCCTCCCCGTGTACGCGATGCTGCACTACGGAGACCCAGACTGGTACGAGAAGTGGATCAGCCCGCTGCGGCCGGCGTTCAGGAGGGACGATGCGAAGCAGGTGCGTCCTCGCGAGACCCTCGCTTCTCTTCCTCGTACGCTCTCCGCGCAGGACGAGGCTGATGCCATGGCTTGGGCGAGGTACAGATCGAGCCACCGAAAGACTCGGGCGAACTCAAAGCCGAGATCGAGCGACTGCGGCAAGAGCGACTCGCGAGGAAGGCAGCGCGGAGCGAACACCAAGAGGCGTCGAATGACCGGCGAGTGTAGCGGGAAGAGCGCGCAGTGTACAGTCAGGGCGGAGAACGGACGGACGAGCGGTTGTGGTGTTGTACGAATTAGGCAGACTCTTTCTTTCTCACAACTCATTCTCTCCTCCTTCTTCGGCACGCGAACTCCTGAAAGATAACCATGCATGACAGCCACATCCGAGTAGACGCCAATAAGCCAAGAATGAACGATAAAAGATGCGAGAGGTGGGAGGAGAGCTGCCTCAGTCGTAGTTGAACTTGATCGAGTGAGACGCCATAGTGATCTCGCCGCCGCGGTACGAGCCTCTGTGCACCACAGGCGCTTCTACCCATCAGTCCAGCGTTCGCAGGGTGCGAGAGGAAGGGAAGGAGAGCGGTATACGCACCGCTTCTTCTTGTTCTTCTCCTTGGTGAAGCCCTTCCCACGCGTAACGATCAAGTCCGCACTAGCCTTTGCGCCATAGTCGTTCGATCCAGCCGGCTGTGCGAAACAACCCAACCCGCATCAGCCTCATTTGCCCAACTCGGAGCAAAAGGTGAGAGGGAGAGGAACGGAAAACGCGACGCACCCTCGCCGCAAACGACATATCCTTCAACCTCTCATCCGCAAACGTCACGTCCTCGGCCTTGACGCGCCTGAACCGTTCCGTCTGTCCTGCGCCCCCCTTCCCTCTCGCGCTGCCGTTCAGCTGCGGCGTGCCAGGTCGAGAGGTGGAGTTGGAGGAAGTAGAGTTGGAGGTCGAGGGAGTAGGGACGGAGGGTGTGGCGGGTGCAGCGATGGCGGTGGCGGGAGCAGCGATGGCGGTGGCGGGAGCAGGGGAAGGAGCGGCGCGGGCGGGAGAAGCGAGACGCTGCTTCTTTGCTGCGGGCTTCTTGGTCGCGTCCGAGTCAGAAGAGGAAGAGGAGGACGAGCCGGAAGACGATGAGCTCGAAGAGGAAGAAGAGGACGAGCCGCTGTCGGAGTCGGAGTCGGACGAGGAAGAGGAAGACGACGGTTCAGAGGAAGACGACGCCTTGCGCTTGTTGCCGATCGTCGGTGCGGGAGTGGCAGGAGGAGGAGCGTTCGACCGGAGGGAGCGGGCGGGACTCGAGGCCTTTGCGGCGGGGTTGCGAGCCTGAACGGCGCGGTCGCCCTCGTCGTCCGATTCCGACGAGGAGGAAGACGAGCTGCCCGAGGATGACGAGCCGCTCGACGAGTCCGAGTCCGAGTCGCTGTCGCTCGAGGAAGATGAAGAAGACGAGCTGGCGTCCTTCTTCTGATCCGCCTGCTCCTCCTCCTCCTTCCGCTGCGCCTGAACAGCCTCAAGCTTGTCCTTCGGCAGGACCTCCTTCTCAACCTCCTTCTCGGATGCGCTGTCGTCGGAAGAATCGTCTTCGGAAGACGAGGAAGAGCTGGTCGAGGCAGAGGAGCTGTCCTCGGACGAGTCGGAGAGGACGACTGCGCCGTTAGCAGAAGGCGCGGCCTTCTTCGCCTCCCTGTATGCGCAAGCAATGTTAGAACTCCGCTGGGGACCGCAGCAGCAGCCTGACGGGTTGTCAACAGCTGCTCTGCCCCGTCGGAACGAGGATAGGCAGCCGCATCGTCGCTAGCCCGCTGCAACTCGCCATTAAGGACGTCGACGCACCTCTCTTTGACCATGTCGAGCTTGGCCCTAACCAAGCTAACCAGCTCAGCGCCTGAGCACTTTCCGGCCTCCTCGCTGGCCTCCTCGCCGCTCAACCTCCACTGCGTCCCTGGCGCGGTCCACGGCTGCTTCTCAAGCTCTTTGACGAGTGCAGCAGCGGTCTTGTTGAGCGACTGGGTGCGCAAGAACGAGAGCGCGTAGACAAGCGTTTCTGTTCGGGGCGGTGAAGGGGTCAGCTCGACGACGACGAGGGTGTTTCGCAAGCGGACGACGCACGGCGGATGGCTTCTTCGCGTCCTTGCATCGTGTACACAGTCTGAGCGAGCAGGAGCGAGCGATAGCAGAGAACGGGTGGAAGCGATGAGGAAGAGGACGATCGAGGCAGAGTCCAAGCTGAACAGGGGACACACGGACGACCAGAGATGCAGGGTATCGAGACAGAGCACACAGTGTGAGACTACAGGCTTGAACAAGAGAGACAAAACGACAGGCGGAAAGGCGGGCGAGCGAACGAGGGAAAGAACGAGTGACAAGGAAGGGAAAGGCGAGCGAACGGACCCAAGATCTTGCGACGCCAGCGGAGAAGCGTTCCGTGTCGACGGACGACGAGTGGAGAGGTCGAGAAAGGTGGCGGGAGAGGCGAGAGGGCGAGCGGAACGCTCATTGAACTGCGGGAGATGAAAGGGCGTTAGTCGCAAGCTGACCAACGACCAGCGCTCGGTCGTCTCCGACATCTCGACATTTGCGAGAGCAGTGGAAAGGCCCTGGCGACTCACCTTCCTGGAAGCGCGCCGTCCCCTCGTCGCGGACGACCTCCAGCCCCCTCTTGCCCTCCTTCTCCATCGCAATCCCCTGCAACATCTCGACATAATCCTGATCGCTGATTCCCATGCTCGAGAACGGGTTCAAGACTTGCTGGCCACCTTCGTCCGTCACGACGACCGACTGGGCGAGCGCGTCTTGGATCTGGTTGTCGGTGAAGCCGAGCGCGCGGGGGATCTCGGCCATTTGTTGCATGAGCTTGAGGTGCGTCAGGTGTTTCTGCGTGTGTACGGAGCATTAGCGAGGATGCGGAAGCGCGAGAACCCGGATGTGGACGCACCTCGAGCATGCTGAGCAAGTTCTCCTTCGTGAACGGCTTGGGCAAGACGTCGTTCATGCCTGTGCGAAAACGACCTGTCAGCATGCTGCTTCGGATGCGGACGACAGCTCTCTAAGAACCCAGAAGTTGCGTCCCGGAAGAGCAAGTGCTGGACGAAGCGAGACTGACCGTGCGAGAAGTAAGTCATGATGTCGTTCGGTCCCGAGTTGCTCGTCATCGAGATGATGGGCGTCATCGGGTCGAACTGGCGGATGAGCGAGGTGGCCGAGACACCTGTGTGAGAAGAACGGGCTGGTTAGCGTCGAGGAACGGTGAGGGAGGGAGAAGGGACGAACCGTCGAGGTTGGGCATGACGATGTCCTGTGCGCTCAAGCAAACACACTTTGATCAGTCTCACCGCTCGATCGACGAGCAGCTCGAGGCCGAAAGAGAACGCCGGAAACGCACCATAAGCACCAGGTCGTACTTCTGCATATTCATCTTGTTGACCGCACTGACGCCATCGACCGCGACATCGATCTGGCACCCAAAGACCTCGAGGAACTTGCTGCTCAGCTTGCGGCAGACGGCATCGTCTTCGACGAGCAAGACGCGCGGCGGGACGGCCCAGCCTGGGACGTTGGATTGCCGACGCGGGGCGGCTGGAGGGCGGTCGGCGGCCGAGGTGGGCGCGGGAGCGGAGGTCGAGGCTTGAGGATCGCCGGAGGAGAAGGCGGGGTGGACGAATTGAGGAGGAGGCGGTTGCTGCTGGGAGGGAGGTTGCTGGCCCGGCTGCTGCTGCGGTGGGCCCTGCTGACCCGGCTGCTGCTGTCCAGGACTCGCCGACGCGCCTCCCGGTCCCCTCGGACCCTGCCCTCCCTGCTGCTCGTACCCTCCATTCTGCCTCTGCGCACCGTCATCCCTCCTCCCGAGCGGCGCAAACTCAAAGTGCCCAAAGTTCGGAGGCGGAGGCGGCAAAGGCGGCAAGTTGGGGAACTGTCCGCCAGAGAGGGACGCGCGGCGCGAGAGGTCGGCCATTTGGTCGTACGAGGCGCGCGCGACTTCGGTGTAGGACGAGATGAGCTTTTGTGCTTGGGACGAGGGGACGTAGGGCGCCGAGGGGTCTTGCGAAGCCGTGCCTTTCTGGTCTGCGTGCGCACGGGCGAGGGAGGCGGTTGAAAGTCAATCGGTCAGCGAAGGAATGCGGGAGGAGCGAGAGCGCAACGCACCGGCTTCGAGGCTGACGAGGTACTGGATCAAGTTCTGCATCAACTGATCCTGCGCGACCATGTTCCTCTGGAAGTTCATCATCTCGCCAATGACGGCCTGATAATCCTGACTGAGGTTGGTCATATGCTGCTGCATAGCCTGCTGAGTCCTCGCAAGTCCGTCGAGTTGCACTTGCAGGGCGTTGTAGTCGCCGGGAGGGAGGGAGCCGGCGAGACTGCCGGAGGGACCGGCGGCGAGAGAGGGGTCGAGGGGGCCGTTGGAGGCGGCGGCGCGCATGCGTTGTTGTTGAGCGGCTTGGGCAGCCTTCTTCGCGGCGGGTGCTTTGCGCTGCGGGCGAGGAGAGGGGTGAATTGTCGCGCTCGAAGCCAGGCAGACGAGCGATTCGCACCTTGATGTTCTCAAGGTTGTCCTTCATGTCGGCACGGAAGTTCGGGTGTCGGAACTCCCAGGTCTGCGAGTCAACGAGGCAGCGCTTTAGTCAGTCGAACGCAAATCCGCGCGCGAATCAGACAGCTTGTCCCGCGTCGCTGACTCACATTCTCGCCATACGGACTCGGCCCATCATCGTTGTTCTTGACCTTGTGAAAGTCGTACTTGTTGAGCTGTCGAACGAACGAGGCAAAGTTGCTGTGCTTGAAGTGAGCGGGGAGGATCGCGGTCGTGAACTGGTTCATGTCTTTGACGACGAAGGTCGAGCCGTCGTGACCCCAGGAAACGACGTCCGAGTATTCGCCGTCGTCGAGCATCCTATGCACGAGCGTCAAGTCAGCATCTCGCATTCGCGGATGCGCCTAGGAAGCCGTTGCTTCGCCAAGCGCAGGACGAAGAGACGGGAGGACTGACTTGTACAGCTTTTTGACAAAGTCGCTCCCCCCGCCCTTGGCCTTTGACCCTCCGCCTCCTCCTCCCGCTGCGCCCGTCGCTCCCCCCGGCCCTCCGCTCGCGCTCGCCGCATCGCTGCCCGGCTTCTCGTCCTCGTCGTCGTCCTGCTGCATCTGCAACTGCTGCTGGGCGTGCTGAGCCTGCTGCTGCGCCTGCTGAGCCTTCCTCTTCCTCGTCCCCGGTCCCTCGTCACTCATTTGCGGTTGCTGAGGCTGCTGCGGGGGCATCCCATGCCCGTAGCCAGGGTGAGGAGGAGGCGGTTGCTGGTAGTGTTGCGGCGCGTGAGGGTTCGGGTGCTGCGGGTGGTGGTGGGGCGCGTACGAGTCCTGAGGATGTCCTGGGTAGCCCTGCATCGTCGTTCGCTGCTGAAATCGCTCAGAGACGAGGTTGAGATCGTGTGGGAAGGAGGTGGGGAGGCGATGGCGTCGACAAGGTGTTCGAGCGCCGTTCGAGCGTGTGTGGGTGCGTGTAGAATACCAACAGACACAGCAGACACTCCCGCGAGTCCCAGGCCGTCCTTTGGAGCGAGTCGCGAGGTCGTCGAACCGGAGCTCTTGAGGGTGGCTGGCTGGCGACGGCGAGGGCGAGTGAGCGAGCGGCACAAGCGCTGGGTGGGTGTGTGCAGCTGTACTCGAGCGTGTGTCGACGTCGAGCGAGATGTCAACCTCGTCTGCGCTGAGTTCTGAGCGGGTCGAGGCAAGAGCACCCGAGGACGAGACCGCGACGACGATGGGTCGCGGCCATCCTCGCAAAGAACACCGCGAACGACGTCGAGATGCAGTGTGCAGAGTCGTACGAACACCGTCAATCATCGTCGGAACCGTCGCTGAGGACGAGGACCGCATCCACATCCTCCTTCTCCCGCTTGACCTGCGCAGCCCGCCTCGTCGCAGGCGACACAGGCGCCACCTTCCTCCTCTTCCCCGCTGGACTCCCGCTCGTCGGCGCAGCAACTGCTGCGCGACCTCCTCCTCCTCCCTGCGCTCCCGCTTCCGCCCCTCGATCGCCCGCCGAACCTCGTCCTCCTCGCGCGCCTTGACCCGCCGCTCGACTTCCTCCTTCTCCCGCCTGAGCTGCGCGAGCTCGCGCGCCTTGTACTCGGCCAACTCGGCGCGCAGGCGGGCAATCTCGGCGTCCGGATCTTCCGCATCGCCGACCTTGCTCTTGCCCTTCTTCGTAGTTGCTCCTGTCGCCCCTGCCTTCTTCTCCGTGACCGGCGGCTCGCCATACAGGTCGTTCTCGTCCTCCTCAATCATCTCCACATCCGACGTATCAAGGACGACCTCCCCAAGCGGAGGCGGCTGAACCCTCTTCTTCCCCTTCGCTACACTCGGCTTGACCTCCTCCTTCCCCTTTCCCTTGCTCTTCGCTTGGCTCTTGGACGGTCCAGGCGCACTCCAATCCGGCGAGCGAGGCCGGGCCAGGACAGGGGATTCTTCCCGCACCGACTTCGGATTGGGCTTCGGTTTGGGCTGCGAAGTGGTAGAGCGGGTGGAGTGGGCGGGAGGAGCCGTGGCGGCGTTTGATGAGGAAGAGGCGGAAGCGGAGCGAGAATTGGAGGTGCGAGGAGCGGGGGCGGCGGGAGGGGTGTCGTCTTGCGCTGCGGGAGGGAGTGAGAGTAAGCAACGTTGAGAATGCGGACGTGAAGGAGTCCCAGCGAGGGTGAGACGCACCTTCGACCATACCTTCAATCTCGAGAACGGCTGCAAGGCGAATCGCAATCCGAATCAGCTACCACTCTGGAACAGCGGGATGTCAAACGAGTCCTCATCGCGCCGACTCACTCCTGCTGCGGTACTTGAACTCGAGCACGGCGTAGGGCTTGTCCTTCCTATCGCCGAAGCGCTTCTCGTCGAAGACGAAGACGGAGCGTTTCTCGGCGCTGTGTTGGCGAGCAGGACCGAGACTGTGATCGCAGCAATACTCGACAATCAATCAGCATCCTCCAGCAAGGAGAGTGGATGGAGCGAGGAAGAGCGCGACTCACGAAGCCTGATGACTCAACCCCAACTTCTTGCTCTCCTCCCACAACTTGGTCTCCCCCAGCCCCTTCCCCTCTCCACCATCCGCATCTCCCGCATTCATGCCCTCATCCGCTGCCTCGCCTACCCGTCCGCGGTAGATCCGTAGCTGGATCGAGCCGAGAGAGCGAAGCTGGGATTCGGTTAGGTGCGAGGCAGAGTCTGGGTCGGAAGTGAGCGCGAGAGGGGAGAAGACGAAGGGTCGGAGGGAAGTCTGTGATAACATGTTCGATCGCCTCCATCAGCGCCCTTTCGACTAGCGAGAGTGTGACTGAAAGACGAGAGGAGCTGAACGCACCGCACTCTCGCTTCGCCCGCGCCAGGTGTACGACCGCTTCTTGACGACGTCGCGCGAGTTCCACATTGTCGATTTCTTCCATGCGCGGATGATCTGGCGGTCGGCGCTGCGGGCAGAAGCGAGGCGCCGAGAACATCAGGCTCCTCGTGATACGTACGCTCCTAGCGAAACGCGCTCGAAGCAGTTCGCGAGGAGCTGATCGAGACCGAACGCACCCGCAGACTACACCGTCCACAATAACCTCGCACAGGAAGTCCGCCGCATCGTCCTCGCCCCTCTCACGCTCGTCGCGAAAACCAACCGCGAACTCGGCACCTTCAACCGCCTCGAGGTAGCAGGTGCTGTTCCGTTCACGAGGTATGTCGGTGAACGGAGACAGAAGGCGGGGAGGAAGACGCACAGCTTCATCGGACCTTCGGACTCGGTCTTGTAGAGCGGGACGGCCTTGTTGTCGACCAGAACCCAGGACGCGAGTTCGCCGAGACGTCTGCAGGTTGGAGACGACGTCAGCGCCGTCCGCGAGTGCTCAATCCGAACGGATGGAACGAGTGCATTCTGGACGCACAGCAGCCTCGGGTCCTTCGTTCGCGGCCTCGGATTCCCGCCGTGCGCTGCTGCCCGTCCGTTTTCTCGTCCGTGAGAGTGGCCACCTCCTCGGCCGCCGCCCTGTCCGCCACGAACAGCCCCTCCCCCTCCTCTCCCACGACCCCTTCCGCGCCCGTTCGTCTCGCCCCGCGCATCGTCTCTTCCGCCCGCCTGTCCGCGTCCGTCTTGCTCACGAGATTCCTCAGGATCCCTCGGCAAGATCCGCTCCGCGAGCGAGTGCCTCGACCGAGAAGTACCGTCGCTGGTCGAGGCAACCGGTTGACGAGGAACCTCGGGACGAGCTGGCAAGTCCCGCGCATCCTTCTGACCGATCGGCTGAACCTGTCCCCTCTTCACACCACCCTTTCCGCCACTGGCACTCGCGACAGGCGCGTTCCGAGCCGCACTCGTCCCGTTCGAACCGTTCCCCGCTTGAACCGCCTGCTCTCCCGGCCTCACTCGTCGAAGCGAGATGGGTGCGACGATCTCGGCTGGTGCTGCATTGACTGGTGGGCGTTTTGGGCCCGGTCGCGAGTTGGATGAGGCCGTGGGCAAGCGAGGCGGAGTCATCGAAGGAGAGGTTGGCTGATGAAGATGGAGAGGGGGAGAGACGGCGGAGAAGAGGGTGGCAGGGGTTGCGACGCCTTCTGAGCGCGTGTGAGCACAGTATGAGCAGCTCTAGCTGGCAGCAGGCCCGTTCAGCGGGTGAGAGCGTGGTGCGGACGGCAACCTTCTCCTCGACACCCCTCTGAACTTGACCGTTCACTCGCGCCAGCTTTTTCGTGCCTCTCAAGCTTCTGCCTGCATCTCCTCACTTCTGTCCAGCATCCGGTTTGTCCGCCTCCTCGCCCTGGCTCAGTCTGGTCGACTTTTGCCGCACACACCTTTCGAAAGCGAATGGCCGCCTCGACCAATGTTGACGGCTCCAGCCAGGCTGGCACGTCGATGAAGAGGGCTCATGATAGCTCTTCGGACTCGGAAGAATGCTCGGATGGCGCAGCAGGCGGTCGTCCAGGTGGAAAGGGCAAAGTGCGCAGGGTGAACAAGTCGCGGAGCTGGCCGCAGTCAATGGACGCACATCGTGTCGAAGGTGGGTGACCTCTATTGCAGAGCTCGAATGCCTGCGCTGACGCGTATGTCTTGTCGCAGCCGCTCGACGCATCCCTAGTTGCCGACATCTTCAGATCTCGTTCGAGGGAATGTTGTTGTCGCGAAAGGAAGCTATTGCAGAGTATATACGAAGGCGAACAGGCATAGTTCGGACTGCTGCCCAAGTAGGCGGTCGCATGCGTACGTGACAGAAGCGAACAAAGACGGACGGAAGGTCCACCTGTAAGTGGTCGACGCCGCAACAAAACTCGTACAAGCTAGGATCGCTAACGCCACATTGTGCGCAGTCGCAGACTTGGTCAATCACATGCTCAGCAGTCGAGACTTCGCCGAGATCAACTTCCCTGAGATCCTCGGACCCGACTTGTTTCCGATGTCGGCGTCCATCTCACTGCGGCAGAAGGGATCTCGCTCAGTCCGTGACGCCGCTACACAGACGGACTCGTCGTTCGCGACCTCAGCACCTCCCCAACCGGCATGTGCTTGCAACGCCGACAACGCGCGGTTATCGATACTCGTCCCTCCATGCAAGGTACCTACGCCGCAGCATTCACCATCCCCCTTGACGGCTGCCAACGCTGCTCCGTCCTTGATTTACGTCACCGTCGACGCCTCATTGGCGGCGCACCTCGCTCCGGCGCTCCCGACTCTTCGAGCTGCCGGCATCTCGTCCACTATCGACATCGCCAACGTCCTACTTCTTGAAGATGGCATCTCAGACTCTTCTGCGCCTAGCTGGGCGAGTCGGAGAAATTGGACACGGCGGAGCTTGAGCAGGCGAAGCAGCGGCTTCAGGACGCTAGGCGCGAGATCCGACGGAGGTAGCAGCCGTAGCGGGTGTACCAGCTTGGGAAGCCCACACTGCTGTGTGTCGAGCTGGTTTAGCGGACCTTGCCGTTCGCTTTGAAGACGGAAGAGTTGTGAGCGAGTTAAGCGATGTGTCCTCTTGTTCGGGTGAACTCGTGAGACTGCGGGGCTCGCCTTTCTCGCCACGAAGTCTGCCTTGAACGCTCTAGGAGACGCTCGTCAGTCGTTGTCGCGAATAACCTGGCGAGCGGAAGCACTTCCCGCTCTTTCTCCTCGTCCACTCCGCTCGACTCTCGCACACCTCGCTTGGTCATGCTGGACTGGCTCTACTCTCCCCAAAAGGCTGCTGGCAACGATGTCCCCATCGACCCTGCCCTCACGGAGGCCGGCACGACCCTCGCGCCGTTCGACCCCTTCCTCGGCAGGACGCGTCGCAAAGCCTCTGCGGGCGTGACGGACGCGATCAAGGCGGAGCTGTACGATTCGGATGAGCTAGAGTACGCCGACTATGGCCGCGAGGCGTCGCAGCAGCCGCACTCCGGACCGAGGCCCATCAGCCAACCAAGGAGAAGAGCGACGAAGGGCTTCATGGAGGCGCTGAGGGGTGAGGCGGACGATTCAGACGAGCACGAAAATCTTGACGAGGCGCAGAATCAGCCTGCCGCAGATGGAGCGAGTGTCGGGCAGGATTCTCCTCTTGCGCAGAACAACGCCTCGACTTCCGCTTCGAGGGCTCTCCGTTCGCCGACTGAGCGCAAGAAGACTGTCAAAAGCGTTCAGGGTGCCGCGCAGGCGCCGCGCAAGCGTGGCAAGACTTCGCAGGCCGCTCCTTCTTCCGACCGCTGGACGGCTGCCGAGCACGAGGCGCTCTTGCGAGGTGAGTCTCCATCGACGAATCGTCACCCGACCCTGCTGACGAGCCTATACCGCAGCTACCGACCTTGTCTCGATCCCCGGTACGGCGCTGGTCTGGCTGGGCTTTGAGGAGCTTCGCAGACCTCAGCTTCTCGCCGAGTACATCCGACGCCAGACCGGCACCATCAAGACGTCTAGCCAGATCAATCGCCGTCTTACCAGGATCACCCGCCTTCCCGCAATGAGGGACCGTGTGCGCGGCTCGGAGATGTCGCTCAAGGAAGCACGCGAAACTGACTGGCATGCGCGACTTGGACCCGACCGCTTCCCGCACACGAAGCCCGTCTCTTTGCTCGACACCTACGGCACGACTACTGCGAAGAAGGGAGCCGCTCCGGCATCCCCTATCGCGGACCTCGACTCTAACCGCGCCAAGAAGCCTCGTCTCAGCCCTCCTGACGGCACTTCGACTCCTGCAGCCGACTTTGCGACCGCTTCGAATGCTTATACGAGTGGGAGCGGTCTTGCACTAGACCAGGAGGGCGCGCTCAAGCGGGTGACCTTGTCGAGGCTGATCTCGGCGCAACTCCGCCTTCTCCGGATGACAGCTTCGAAGGACCTCTCGACGACCAGCCCAAGCCACGCGTGCGCAGCAAGAAGCCCAAGTCGCGCCCCTTCGTCATCGACCTTTCGGCGATTCTCTCATCTCTCGTTCCCGGCCGCGACCTTACGACCTCGGCGCACGCCCTCTTCGCCTGCGGCATCACCTCGACCTCTCACTTCGCCGACTTGCTCATCTTCGATAAGGACGTCGCGAACGTCTTCGTCGACATCGTTGGCAGGAGAATGGAGCTGAGCGCGTTCGAGGTCGCCTGGACGAAGAAGGCGCTCGAGACTGGGAGGAACCGCATTGCCCTCGAGGGCTAGGTCGACTCTTCTTGCTTGCTTGGACGTGCATTGCATGGAAGGACGTTTTTTCATTGACAAGCGCTGGCGAGACGGGACTTTGCTACGAGAACCGCTTCCGCGTCTTATTCGCTCCGCCCCCGCTTCCGCAGCTTGCTGTTGCATGCAAAGGCGATTCTCGGAAGCTTCTACGAGCAGTCTTCGAAGATGTCGAAAGTCGGCTCTCTGCCATACGCGCCTCTTCTCCTCCTTCGACTCACTCGCTCGCTACAACCCGCTCAACCCATGTCTGAACAGCTTGCTGAAGTTGCCTCTACTGCTCTCGCGACCGTCAAGCCCAAGCGCGCCTCGCCAGAGCTGCCTGCCGAGTCCTCCACCACGGTCCCCTCCATCCCGCTCGCCGAGTCTTCCTCGACGCAGCAACAAGCTGAGGACGCGCTGGCGCCTGTCTCGAGTGTGGCAGAGGATGTGGACGACAACCGGACGAGCGCGACAAGCCCTTCGCCTGAGGTAGACGAGCGCGAGGGCTCCGCGTATGAGGATGACGAGGGCATGGCGCAAGACGACGACGATGAGGAGGACGAGGACGCTGCTGACATGTCGGACGAGGATGAGAAGCCGAGGAAGAAGCGTCGCAAGCCGCGCCAGGACTGGACGGCGGAGGAGAACGCAGCTCTTTGGCGCGGTGCGTCCTTTCTTCAGCCATTTGTGCCAGCTTGCAGCGGTCCAGCTGACCTCATTCCGATAGGCGTTGACTTGATTCCGCATCTCGGCCGGAGCAAGGTCACTTTCGGAGGCAGCCGGCTTGCTCGTGGAGACCTCCTTGTCGAGTATCTTCGCAGATCGACGGGCTCTGTTCGCACGCGAAGACAGGTGAACGGTCACATACTCAAGCTTGGCGTTACGGCAGAGTGTACGCTCCTTCGCTGAACAGCGCGCCGGAAGTTGCAGCTGACGCTTTCACACTCTGTTGCCCGCAGTGAAGAAGCGTCTTCGCGGACCCGATGTTCCTCTGGAAGAAGCGAAGCGGTACGACTGGTCTGCACTGCTTGGACCGGACCTCTTTCCTGAGTCGAAGCGGATGTTGTCGAGCGCGAAAGGTCGCCCGACACTGCGTCAAGCCGGTCCTCGCGCCTCCTACCCGCCTACCATGACCTCGCAGCGCGAGTATACGCACCACGACTTCTCTTCGTCCCTTCCGACACCGTCTCTTTCGCCTCTTTACAACGTTAGCGAGGCCATCGCTTCGGCGCAGATGTTTTCTTCAGGCAGTGCGGGCTTCGCAACTTCGCCTTACGCGCATACGCAGGTTGCGAGCCAACTCGCGACTCTTCCCGCCTTCACGCCGCGCTTCTACGTTCCCGTCAACAACCAGCACCTGCAGACTTCGCCTTCCCTGAACGAGCTGTCCTGCCTTCTTTCGCCTTTCGCCACCGGTCGAGACTTGACTTCTTTCGTTCGCGCCCTCTTCGCCTGCGGCGTGACTGGCAGGGACGTCTTTGCGGACCTTCTTCTCCTCGACGACGGCATCCTCGACGGCTTCCTCGACCTCGTCGGCAAGCAGAAGAACCTTGGCGGAGTTCAGCTCGCCTTCGGCAAGAAGGCGCTTCAAGCGATGAGGGAGTGCCTTGGGCAGACATCGTAGCGAATTCTACGACTGCAACGCGTTGCTTCTACGCAGCTCGGAAGCTTGTCGTTCCTCATGGCTGATCTGGCTCGACCGAAGGTTCTCTGCTCCGCCCACCGAGGTTTTGTTCCGCTCATTGACGTACAATGTCCGCGAGCACGGCATGGGCGCCATCGCGAACGGTATCGCCGCGTACGGCGGAAACCTCGTCATCCCCGCCATCGGCACCTTCCTCAACTTTGTCTCGTACGCCGCCGGCGCCGTCCGCCTCGCCGCACTCTCGCACCTCCGCGTCATCTGGGTTGCCACGCACGACTCGTGAGTTTTGCGTTTGCTGTTTTCGCGGGTGATGCAGGTCGATGGGAAGGCGTGGAGAGCTGACAATGTTCGCGGGACCCTCACAGGATCGGCTTGGGCGAGGATGGCCCCACGCATCAACCCATCGAAGCACGCTACTCCCTATGCTATCAGACTCACCGTTACCGCCGCTGACGCTGTCGCAACTTGCAGACGGTCGCCCACTTCCGCGCCTTGCCCAACTGCAACGTCTGGCGCCCGGCTGGTTCGTGCCTTCCTCTCCACTCACGACTCGCGCTGCACGTACTCACGCGTACATCTGTACAGACGGCAACGAGACGTCGGCGTCGTACTACGTCGCGATGACCTCGACCCACACGCCCTCGATCCTCTGCCTCACCCGCCAGAACCTCCCGCAGCTCGCCGGCTCGTCGATCGAGAAGGCGTCCAAGGGTGGCTACGTCCTCCACGAGGTCGAGAACGCCGACGTCACGCTCGTCGCGACCGGATCCGAGGTCGCCATTGCCGTCGAGGCTGCCGAGCTCCTCGAGAAGCAGGGCCTCAAGGCTCGCGTCTCGTCCCTTCCGTGCTGGGAGGTCTTCCGTGCTCAGTCGCACGAGTACAAGCTCTCGGTTCTCCCCGACGGAGCTCCCATCGTCTCGGTCGAGGCTTACACGGTGCGTGCCGGTCTGCGGGCCTTCCTTTCCGTCTTCCCGCCTTTCCGCGCTTGCTGCACGAGTACTGACGTGCTCTCGCTCACTATTCTCATCATCTCTCGCTCGCCGGAATATGCATACTCCCGCAAATCTGCCCGACTTCGCCTCGACCCGCCTTCTCGCTTCGCCCTCATTCTCCTCTCGTCCTGCCGCCCCGCCGACGATCTACTCCTTCTCTACACCATCGATACATGCTCTACATTTGTCCCTCGCCAAACGACGACATCGCCGCCGAAATCCGCGACCCTCACCTCCTCCTCGCCCTGGAAACCCCCTTCTTTCGCCCGGACAGACTATAGGATGGGCCGAGTGGTCCCACACTCACTGTGGGATTGACCGGTTCGGTTCCTCAGGACCCGCCAAGAAGTGAGACGAACCTCCCGCGACTTCAGGCGCCTCCTCGAGACTGACCTTCCCTCTCCTCCTCAGGGTCTACGAGTTCTTCAACCTCACGGGCCCCAAGGTCGCCGAGCGCGCGCAGAAGTCGATCGACTACTTCAAGAAGCTCGGACACCCCGTCTACTCGCCCGTCTCGCACAGCATCAACGTCTAAGCGCGCGACGAGGACGACGACCACGCGCTTCTCCCGATCTGTAGAAATAAAGGACGGGCTTGCAACAAGAGCTTCCCGAGTGCTTTCCTTCTGACACACTCGCGTATCGAGAGTGACGGGCCGCAGAGAGTCGTCGCTGCCGCCTTTGGTCTTCAGCCTCCCCTCCCCAGAACCCTCTCTGTCACGATCGGACGCCGACACTACCGACGACATCGCAGCTTTCTTGACCACCTACGCCCCAACGCAAGACTGGACGGCGACCGCAGCCGCCTTCGTCAAAATCGGCGTCACCTCTCCCTTCTCCTCGTCGACCTAGTTCACCTCGAAGATCGCCACTTGCGAATCGTCCTATAGCGCGTCAGCAAGAAGGCAAACTTGGGCGGCCTGGACTTGGCGAGGTTGAAGAAGGCAGTGCGGGATGCGAAGGGACAGCCTGGACGACCCGAAGTAACTGCGGACCTTGCAATTCTTATCGTTCCCCCAGTAGCAATGCTCTCGTGAACTTTAGCCCATTGGGAGTGACTTCGCAGCGCAGGCAAGCGGGTTGCGTCGCTCATCTCCTCCCGCCAGAAGGTCTTCCTCCTGCCGCTCACTTTGCTCGCGCTACACCCGCTGAGATTGCTCGATACCATGACTGAGCCTGCTCTCCAGACTCTCAAGAAGCTGCCTACGCCAGTCCCGCCGCCTGCCGAGCCCGCCAACTCGCCCCAGTCGACTTCATCAGCTCGGAAGCAGGTCGAGGACAAAGTCGAGGAGAAGCCTCTCGTGACGGTGGAGGAGTGCTTTGATGTCTCCGACTCGACCAGAGAGACTGGTAGTGTCACCCCGGCGCCCGCGCAGTCGTCTATTCCGTCCGGTCCCCTGCCTTCAGCCTCGCCCGACGCTTCGACGGCCACGAGCACTCCGCCTGCCCAAGCTTCAACGTCTGCCAAAGACGATGCGAGCATCGACCGTGCGGAGCCTCGACGCATTGGCAAGAAGGCTACTGTATGGGTCCCGGAGGTCAAGGAGGTACTCTGGCGAGGTGGGTTTGGTCCATTCGCCGAGAAGACTCCGCTGACAGACGCCTTGCAGCTGTCGACCTAATCCCGAACATCGGAAGGTCCCGCTACGTCGTGCGAGGGACGCCGATGGACCGCTTCGACATGATTGCCGAGTACATTCGCCGTCAGTCGGGCCATCGCCGCACTTGTCAACAGGTCCGCAGCTTCACGAGCAACTTGAAGTACGGGCAGGACGAAGGTTCCGAGAGTACGGGATGCTCTCTTACCAGCGCGTCGGACTGGGCTGACCTGTTGCTCTCGCAGTCGTCAGACGTCTTGCCGGTTCCTACATCGACTCGAGTGTTGCTGCGTCCATTGACTGGGACGCTTTCCTCGGTCCTGACTTGCATCCAGCTATTGCTCCAGCCGAGACTTCGAATGTCCAGCCGCCGAAGAAGCGCAAACGCGCTGCTTCTCAGTCTCCGCCTCCGCCAACCTCGTCTACCGCTACTGGCGCGGACAAGCGTGCGACCGTCCACACAACTCGCGCACCTGATAAACCTTCTGCTTCTCCTTTCGCCCCGCCACCTTACTCACTCCAGCCGATTTACCAGCCTCTTCAGCAAGTCCCGGGTGGTTCAAGTTTCCCTTCGACGCAGCAGCCTCAGGCAGTCTACTTCCTTCCTCACCCGTCTTCCAGGATGCTTTATCGTCACCCGAACCAGCCTACGGCGCAGACTCAGCCGAGTACGGACTTCCGCCCTTCTCTTCGCGCCTTCTTCGCAGCCGTCATGCCCGACCGCGACTTTGCGCTCCTCGCCAACCACCTCGCCAGCGCCGGCATCACGAGCGTGGACCAACTCTCCAACTTGCTCTTGATGGACGAAGGCAGCGTCGACGGCTTCGTCGAGCGGATCCCGAAGTTGGGAGGCGTGGAGAGGGCCTTCTTGCGCAAGGCGATCTTCTCGGCGAAGGCTTCTTTCGAGTCGCTTGCGTAGCTGGCATGGAACATCGGACTGAGCGCTTGTAAGGATGGTCTCCGGTCGCGAGAGAGAGAAGAACGCTTCGCAGAGAGTCTTGGCCTTCCCAACTTCGTCTCGCAGGATCGCTGCCTTGCGACAGCTTGCACAATATAGGACAGCTCCAGGCTCTGACGAAGGCTTTTAGGGTTTCCAGAGCAACACGCTAAGCGCTCCTAAGCTCCGCCTACACCAAGCTCTTACTTCGTCCTCCTTCCGTCTCCCTAGTCGTACCAGCACTTCTTGGTCGTCGAATGGCGTGGAATGAAGAGGCTGACGAGCGGGATCTTGAGCCAGTGAATCTTGAGCTGTGCTGGGACAAGGAAGCCGTCGGGCACCTCTCCCATCGTCGGGTCAACCTCCCGGGCTTCATCAGGGAGGCTGTCCATGCGGCTGGCGGAGTAGACTGCACATTCAATGCTCAGCTGCGCGGCTCAGGGGACGGCTAAAAAAGAGAAAGCTGAGACGCACGAATCGTCCAGCCGTTGCGAAGAGGCTGCTCGACATTCTGAAACTCGCCGTCGCGCTTGTTCGGGATTTCGGGCGAGAGCAGCGCCTGGATAGGCGGGTAGCGCTCGTCATCGAAAGCAAGCTCGAGGCCCTTGACGCTGCGACCCGGACGAGCCTTCTTGAACCAGCCCGAAGCGACGCCTTCAAAGTAACGCGGCAAGTCGCGCCATTCCGAGTACTTCTCGTCGCAGAGCAGGTCGTAGTAGATGGCGTCAGCGGGATGGACGGGCTTGAGCGTGACGAGCGTCGTCTTCGGGTCGTAAGAGTTGCTGTCCCGCAGCAAAGAGGGTTAGTTCGCTTCACCCACAGGCAGGAACGTCCGGTGTGTCTCTACGCCTGCGCCCGCTCAATCTCATCGACGTCGGGAAGAAGCAAGCGGACGCACAAGACGAGCATGACTGCGCGACCGTCGGGATCCTGGTCGACGAGGGTGTAGCGGGGGTCGTTCTCCTTGAAGGGCCCGTCGTAAGGGTTGACGCCGGACTCGGCGAACTGTGCGAGACGAATGTGAATTGTTTCTCCCCATTCATTGCTCGCCGTGGTGTCGACCAGATCGAGGAAGGGCAAACGCACCTTGACAAACTGGCCAGAAAGCTTCGGGTAGCCCGACTCCTCGTCGTAGCCGAGCACTTTGCACTCCTTGTACGCCTGAACCAAGCGCTCGACCGCAAGCTGGCGGAAATGGCGGTTGACGCCGAGGAGAGGGACGACGCCGACTGGGTGCTCGCGCGCGAGTTCTTCGACGACAATCGTGTGCAGAACGGTGAAGGCGGGCTCGAAGAAGCGGTGCATGGCGGCGTAGCAAGTCCGGCGAGCTAAGGGCGACGAGCGAGTGAAGCGAAGGGTGGAGAGGAAGGTCAAAGGCGGCAACGACGACGACGACGACTCTCTGCGGCGCGTTGCTCTCGATGCCACGACTGTGTCAGAAGGAAAGCACTCGGGAAGCTCTTGTTGCAAGCCCGTCCTTTATTTCTACAGATCGGGAGAAGCGGGTCGTCCTCGTCCTCGTCGCGCGCCTAGACGTTGATGCTGTGCGAGACGGGCGAGTAGACGGGGTGTCCGAGCTTCTTGAAGTAGTTGATCGACTTCTGCGCGCGCTCGGCGACCTTCGGACCGGTGAGGTTGAAGAACTCGTAGACCCTGAGGAGGAGAGGGAAGGTCAGTCTCGAGGAGGCGCCTCAAGTCGCGAGAGGGTGCGCCTACTTCTTCGCGGGTCCTGAGGAACCGAACCGGTCAATTCCGACATGCGCGTGGGACCACTCGGCCCACCCCATAGTCTGTCGGGGCGAAAGAAGGGGGTTTCCAGGGCGAGGAGGAGGTGAGGGTCGCGGATTTCGGCGGCGATGTCGTCGTTTGGCGAGGGACAAATGTAGAGCATGTATCGATGGTGTAGAGAAGGAGTAGATCGTCGGCGGGGCGGCAGGACGAGAGGAGAATGAGGGCGAAGCGAGAAGGCGGGTCGAGGCGAAGTCGGGCAGAGTGGCGCGAATGGGCGCAATCGGAGCGAGCGGGTGTGGAAGGTGCATGCAAGAGTACGTCAGTGCTCAGTTATTACGGCGAAAAGGGGAGAGGAAGGCCCGCAGACCGAAACGCACCGTGTAAGCCTCGACCGAGACGATGGGGGCGCCGTCGGGAAGGACCGAGAGCTTGTACTCGTGCGACTGCGCGCGGAAGACCTCCCAGCACGGAAGGGACGAGACGCGAGCCTTGAGGCCCTGCTTCTCGAGGAGCTCGGCAGCCTCGACGGCGATGGCGACCTCGGAGCCGGTCGCGACGAGCGTGACGTCGGCATTCTCGACCTCGTGGAGGACGTAGCCACCCTTGGACGCCTTCTCGATCGACGAGCCGGCGAGCTGCGGGAGGTTCTGGCGGGTGAGGCAGAGGATCGAGGGCGTGTGGGTCGAGGTCATCGCGACGTAGTACGACGCCGACGTCTCGTTGCCGTCTGTACGAGCATTAACATCAGTATTGCACACTCAGGTCGTGAATGGAGAGAAGGACGCACCAGCCGGGCGCCAGACGTTGCAGTTGGGAAGGGCGCGGAAGTGGGCGACCGTCTGCGAGTCGGGACAGGGTCAGCGACGGCAACTGTGAGTCTGGGAGCATAGAGAGTAGCGTGCTTCGATGGGTTGATGCGTGGGGCCATCCTCGCCCAAGCCGATCCTGTGAGGGTCGCGCGAACATTGTCAGCTCTCCACGCCTTCCCATCGACCTGCATCACCCGCGAAAACAGCAAACGCAAAACTCACGAGTCGTGCGTGGCAACCCAGATGACGCGGAGGTGCGAGAGTGCGGCGAGGCGGACGGCGCCGGCGGCGTACGAGACAAAGTTGAGGAAGGTGCCGATGGCGGGGATGACGAGGTTTCCGCCGTACGCGGCGATACCGTTCGCGATGGCGCCCATGCCGTGCTCGCGGACACCGTAGCGCTGCGCACGCGAAAGGCGTCAGTACGAGGAGGAGCGAGGAGGAGAAGGAGGGGGGGACAAACGATGTAGCGGCCGGTGTAGTCGCCGAGCCCGGTCTCCTTGGGCTGGAAGTCGACGGCGTTCTTCCAGCGCGTCAAGTTCGACGGGGTCAAGTCAGCCGAGCCCGAGACGAGTTCGGGGACGACAGTCGAGAGCTTGGCGAGGATCATCTCGGACAACTTGCGCGAGGCGACGGCGTCGTCCGACGGCTTGAACTCGGGGAGAGCCTTCTCCCAGCCGTCAGGGAGCTTGCCGTCGATACGGCGCTTGATGTCCTTCGCCTCCTCAGGGAACTTCTGCTCGTACTCGTTGAACTGCGACTGCCACTTCTTCTCCGCCTCGGCACCGCGCTGGGCAATCTCAGAGTAGATCTTCTTCGTCTCCTCGGGGACGACAAAGAACTGCTCCGGGTCAAACCCGAACTTCTTCTTGATCTCGACCGTGTCGTCGGCCTTGAGCGGGTTACCGTGGACGCCGTGGGTGCCCTGGTCGCGCGAGCCGTAGCCGATGGTCGTCTTGAGACGGATGAGGGTCGGCTTGTTCTTCTCGGCCTTGGCCTGCTCGATCGCGTCCGAGATGGCCTTGAGGTCGTCGTTTCCGTTCTCGACGTGGAGGACCTGCCAGTCGTACGCCTCGAAGCGCTTTCCGACGTCCTCGGTGAAGGCAATGGCAGTCGAACCGTCGATCGAGATCTGGTTGTCGTCGTAGATCGCAATGAGGTTGCCGAGCTTGAGGTGACCGGCGAGCGAGGCAGCCTCGGCCGAGACACCCTCCATCAAGCAACCGTCACCGGTGAACATGTAGGTGTAGTTGTCGAAGAGCGAGTAGCCGTCCTTGTTGAAGACGGCGCCGAGGTGCGCCTGGGCGATGGCGAGTCCGATGGCGTTGGCGAAACCCTGGCCGAGAGGACCGGTCGTGACCTCGATACCCTCGGTAACGCCGAGCTCGGGGTGGCCAGGCGTGATCGACTCGAGCTGGCGGAACTGTACACAGCGAAGCAGCGAAGGCGGTCAGCCTCGGATGCGAATCGGACTGCCAGACAAGCCGCGCTCGACGCACCTGCTTGAGGTCGTCGATGGAGACCTTGTAGCCGAGGAGGTGGAGGAGGACGTATTGGAGGGCGCAGGCGTGGCCGTTCGAGAGGACGAAGCGGTCGCGGTTAACCCAGTGCGGGTTCTGCGGGTTGCACTGGAAGAAGCGCGCTGCGGGTGCAGTCATATCGTCAGCATCAGTCATGCCCTAAGAAGACTGAAACGGCTCGAAAGAACCGCTCTCTGCCAGGAAAGCGGATGCCGAACTCACAGAAGAGGACGTGGGCGACAGGCGCCATGCCCATCGGGGCACCCGGGTGGCCCGAGTTGGCCTGTCAATCCATGTCGCAACACAGCGTATCAAGCGATGTTGAGCACGGCCGAGGAGGGCGAGAGAAAAGGTTGCGAGATGACGAAACGAACGGAGCGGGGTCAGCGGATGAGAGGAAGTGATTTCGCGAGATGGCGGCGCGAGTGAGGGTGTAGTGAGGGAGAGTTGTGTACCTTGTTGACCGTGCTGTGGGCGTAACAACCGTTGGTTAGCCACAGCGACTCGAGCGGGCAACGTGCGTCCGAGGATGGCGAGGGTAGAGACTCACTCGAGCGCAAGGGTGCGGATCGTGTTGATCGCCTTCTGGTCGTTGTCGTTCGGCTTGAAAGGCATCGTGTACTGTTTATCTGCGCACAGGAGAGCGAGCGAGGAGAGCGAGGCGACGACACCGAGTGAGGGCGAGGCGAGTGATGTAGCGGGCGATGGAGGGCGCGTGCGAGGGCGGGACAAGGACAGGCGGGGTGACCAGTCAGCTGTGGATCTTTCTGGCGTGTCAGAAATGCTCCACGCACGGGTTGGAGGGGTGGGAGGAGAGGGAGGGAGGTGGAGAGATGAGCCGAGCAACTCGAGTTGGGGAGACGCACCCTCGACGACATCATCCCGCGCTCACACTGCTCTAGCGGGCTTGTTCTTTCGCTCACTGCGCTCATGGCGTGGCTGGCTACCCATTCGAGTTCGTGCGAACTCCTGGCGTGTCGTCGGCGCCTCAAACGACCCGCTCACCGCCGACCTCATCTCACCCGGACTGATCTCGCTTCACACAGCACAGGGACAAGCTAGACTCGCGAGATAGTCCTGCTATTGCGCTGAATGGCTTATCTACGGAGGCGAGCGTCGCTACGGCTCGAGGTGGGCGAGCTGGTCCCGCTCCATGTACCTCTGCAGATCTCCAAGGCGAGTGCTACGTCGGCAAGAACGCCTGTGCTTCGCAGTACCTGCAACCCATCGCCTCATCAGCCTCGCCCAGCTGGAGACTGAGGGAAGAACGGTACTACGCACATCGCCCTCCCGGTCTCTCTCCAATACGCCAACCCTCCCAACACCACTCCCACGAACGCGAGACACGACAACGCGAAGAACAAGCCAAACCAGACTGTGCCATCGAATCCAATCATCAGCGGGAGACGACGGAGGAGGGAGGAGGAGAGGAAGGAGGAGAACACACGGGTTGCGGAGACGGCGGTGTTTGATTCGATCATTACGACGCAGCATTCGTTTTGTTTTCTGTGATAGTAGCGGAGAGATGCGCGAGTTAGCGAGCCATGAGAGAGACGGGGAGCAAGTGGGCGAGACGAACCGGTGGAAGAAGTCGTCCTGCGCACGCGACCTTCCTCGTCAGCAATCCGCTTTGGAGATGCGAGAGGCGATCGAGCTCGAACCATCGTATCCCAAACACTAAACCTCGCCATGCATCATCAGCCTCGTTCTCCTGTCGACAAGGCGAGAGGAAAGAGAAGAACGCACACGTAGAACAAGCTCATCACTGTTCTCCCCTTGCTCGCATATCAGCAACCTTCTGTCGCTCAGCGGAGGAGGGAGAAGGGGAGGGAACGCACCGCCGAGGAAGAGGATGTAGAACCGCAGGGTGTAGGCGTGGTCTACGAACCTGTGCGTTTGCTCTCGTCAGTCTTCCGTTCGCGCGCAGTATGTGACGACGCGAAGCGTACCATAAGCCAATCTAGAGGAGGAGAGGAGGTCAGCTCGCAACTGGGAAAGGAGAAGAGAACACGGAACGCACCAACAACCCAACCGGCAGCACACAATTCGCCCTACTAACCCAATTCCCCTGCAACGCCACCGCCGGGACCCATAGCACTTCTACGACAAAAGACGTATACTTCGCCGCGCGTGTATCGAACGACGCGAAGACGAGACCGGCGCCGAAGAGCAGGGAGGAAAGCGGGCCGAGGAAGAGCGAGGGCGGGCGGAGGAGCGTGCCCGGTACCTATGTGGGAGGAAGGTTAGTGAGAGAAGGGAGAAAGGGGAAAAAGAGCGGACGAACGGTGTGTGTTGCGCCGCCTGTGTTGGGGTCGATCGTGAAGCGGTAGAGGCGCTGGCCTGAAAGGAGCACGCCGAGGAGATGGCTGCATGGCGATGACCAGGGGGCGTGAGTCATGTCGCAAGCTTCGAAGAGGGAGGCGAAGTCCCGACGGCGGAAGCGTAGCAAGAAGGACCAACGAGACGCACCCGCTCTCGTGCACGAACACCGTATACGACTTAAAGCTATACAACAGCCACCTCAGGCCCCACAAGTTCCACGCAATCGTGATGCTGGCGATAGCTGCGAGCCGACCAAGTCAGTCTTCGCTTTGACGCAGGATGGGAGGAAAGGACGCACAAATACCCGCCGCAATCAACGTCCATGCTTGTTCCTCCGTCGGGCTGAACAAGCCTGGGACGCGCTCGTCTGCTTCGCCGGGTTGACAGTCGGAAGCACTTGGCGCGGCGGACGAAGTCGGTTTGGCGGGACGTGAGGAGGAGATTGATGAAGGGGTTCTTGGTGAGGACGAGCTCGAAATCGTCAGCCATGGCGGAGGCGTGGTCGGCAGTGTCTCTGCACTAGTACGAGTCGAAGGAGGCGGAGGAGCGGTGATTGTAGCGGAGCTGGCGAGAGTGAGGGTTCGGACGGCGGTCGAGGTAATGTACGACGTCTGCGAGTCGATGATCGTCGAGACTTGTAGCTCGGTCGAGGTAGGGAAGAGAGTATAAGTAACGACTTGCGGCGTCAAGGTGATGGTCGTGCCGAAACCTGGAGGTCGACGAAGGTCAGCCATGTCAAAAAGAAGGATGCCTGAGAGTGAGTGCACCTTCGTAGACCGTCACTTCGACAACCTTCGCCGTACGAGTCTCGGTAACTCCCCAAGTTGTGTACTCCGTCTCGATTGGTTGCGGACCAACATTCGTCCTGCAAGAACCGCCGTCAGAGCAGTCCGTTGAACGAGCAGACTGGCGAGCTCACACGTCGGTCGTCAGCGTCTCGGTCACGATATCAGTACCTGTCAAGGAGGAAAAGGTCCAGTTCTGCGACGCAGAGCAGCAAGAGCGAGAGACTCACCCCAACCGTAGTCTCCCGGTCCGAACGTCCCATCTCCTCCGTCGTTCCGCTTCGCTCGTCGCCTGGGTGAGGAGAGTTGACCAGCTGAGAGTGTGCAGGTGTTGGCAGCTCTGCAAGGCGGAAAAAGCGCTGTTGGAAAGGAGCCAGGGGAGAACCCCGCCGTCGAGAGTGTCCCGCCCACCACCGCAGTCGTCAAAGCAGCCATTCGGTACGGGAAGCGAGTGCAGCAGGCGTGCAAGGCATGTTGAGTGAACTCAGCGGACCGTGCGAGTGACCGCGGATTGATGTCGGACTTGTCGAGGAGAGGAGGTCGAGGTCAAGGTCGTTCTTCTCCCCTCACCGACGCTCTAGAGCCCTCTCGTGCCATCTGGTACCCTGTTCCACTGCTCGGCATTGTTTCAAGTCAGCCGCTTGACCCCTCCACGCTTCGTCGTTGAACGGGATTCTCATCGGTCGGGAGTGAGAAGCGGGCGAACAAGCGGCGACGAGGAGCGGGGAGAGCGGTGCGGTGGACGAGACGGACTGAACAACCCTGTCTGCTGAGCACAGCAGGGACACGAGCGCTTCCAGCGGGATGAGCAGTCCGTGCCAGAACTCCGTCATGGCCTCTCCACCTCGTCGGCAGCTGCCTCCGTCGCTCTCTCGCTCCTTCGCTTCACTCGACACGCTACGATGAGCACTGCACTCGTATTTGGCGCCAACGGGCAAGTCACAGCGCACCTGCCGTCCTTGTGACCGTCCTCACACCTCGAACCGCTCGCAGCGTCTCCGGAATCGCCTTGCTTCAAGCTCTCTCCGCTTCTTCCGACAAAGAATGGAAGAAGATTATCGCCATCTCGCGCCGTCCTCCCGTTCTCGACCACGACGACTCGCGAATCGTCTTCGAGTCGGTCGACCTCCTCGCGCCCAAGGACGAAGTCGTCCAGAAGCTCCGCCATGCTGGAGCTGCCGAGGCGACTCACACATTCTTCTACGCTTACATCGCCAAGGAGGACGAGCAGGATTTGATCGATGTGAACCGCAAGCTATTCGGCAACGTGCGTCCTTCCCACGCCTCGCCGGCATAAAGTGACTGATTCCTCGGCGTCGCAGGCCATGGAAGCCGTCGCCGAGGTCGCCAAGCAGATGAAGGTCTTCCTGCTCCAGACGGGATACAAGTACTACGGTACGCACAAGGGCGGCGAGAACTTGGCTTCGTATCCCTGGAAAGCCGACTCGCCGCGCCACGAAGGCGGCAACTTCTATTACGTGCAGGCAAGACCCGACCTCTGCTCCTTTCTCGTGTTTCAGGGCACACTTACGCTTCACGGGCCGCAGGAGGACATGCTCAAGGACGAGTGCAGGAAGAACGGCTGGAAGTGGATCGTCACGCGCCCGAACTTCATCCTCGGCGTCACCAAGGGCAACTTCATGTCGCTCGCTACCACCGTCGCATTGTACGCCTCGAGCTGCAAAGCGCTCGACCAGCCGCTCGTCTTCCCCGGCTCGTCGGTCTCGTACAAGCTCGAGTACGACCAGTCGACGGCCTCGAACAACGCCGCGTTCCAGATCTTTGCGGCGACGACGGACAAGGCGTACGATCGCGCTTTCAACATCTATGATGGCAAGACGGAGACGTTTGCCGTCCTCTGGCCGAAGATCGCAGAGTGCGTCCCGCTCGTCCTTCTCGCTTCCCTCCCTTCCTTCTCTCTTGACCGTGGTGGAACTGACCGGCTCTATGTTGCGACAGCTACTTCGGCGTCAAGCTCGCCTCTCCTCCCGCCGACGACCCGCCTTCATCCGCCAACATCGGCTCCGATGTCGTCAACCTGCACTCCGTCCCTCAATGGGCCGAGAAGTACAAATCCGACCTCGAGAAGCTCGTCAAGGAGAAGGATCTCGACCCTGACGCGCTCAAATACGCCAGTGAGTCAGTTTCCTCTCGCTCGTGCCACCGGCGTCACTCATGATCCCGCTCGTGCAGCCTGGGACTTCCTCGACTTTGCTACGTCGCGCACATGGAAGGACCGTGCGACGCTCGACGAGGCGAGGTCCATTGGGTGGACCAAGATGGTTGACAGCTTCGAGGACGGATTCAAGCCGGTGTTTGAGGAGCTCAAGCGGCTCAAGGTCATCCCGGCGTAGGTGTGCCCATCGGATCAAATGTACAGAGGCGTTTTCAGTGCCGGCGTAGGCTTCCTACAAGTTCGCAACTTCTGCGAGATGGAGAGCTTGTTCTCGCTCGCTACGCTTCTTCTCCTGCCTTTGTCTGTTCGTCGGTTAACTCGCTCGCAACGTCAATCTAGAGTGACTGAAGGCCGGAGCACCCTCTCGAGCGACCGGTCGAATCGTTTGCCTCCTCCGCTTTCGCAGAACCTGGCTCTCGCTCCATCTTCTTCCGCTGCGTACACTGAGCGCTACAGAGTGACGCCGTCTGCGCTGTACCCTCTTGATGAAGCTACTTGAGCCGCAGAAACCGCCCCTTAGCCGTGCCACTCACCCCTTCCTCCGCACATCCTCCTCATCAATTGACGCCGTCGACGCCGAACAACCCCCGCTGGACGCGCGCGAAGGAGTTCTTCAGGAGCGTAACGGACCGTGCCGCTCTTCACAAGCTTGCGGTGCGCCGAGCGGGAGCTGGGGAGGATGTCGCCTCGAGACGGAGATGGGAGGCAGGAGGAGCTCCGACGGCTCGCATGGCCTCGTCGGCTATTCCAGCTACAGCCCACGAGTCTTCTAGCGCCGACTATTCGCCCAGCACCGAAAGAGCGGTCGCCGTGGAGTGGCACGGACAACGACTTCGACCCTTTGTCCTCCCGATCGCTGGCTGGGACGGACGTCTCGCTTCCCTTTCTTCCAAGACGTACAGAGACAGTCTCGGACGACCCGAATGACGCTGCCTTGTGCTGTTCTATACGGCGCAGCCCGCCATTCGATCAGGACAGGCGAACCTCGCGTGCTCCGCCTCCTTTCTCTCGATAATGGAGGGGGACCCGGCGCCGTGAACCTTTGTGGTCGCCTTGTGCTTCTTCCGACGGTGCAGGCGACTGGTTCCAACCGCTAGCGCCTCGCTTTTGTTCTCTGCCGCCGCCTTTGCCGTCCAACTCGCTCGTCCCTCGCTCCTGTCCTCCTCCTCCCCTCCTGTCCGCCCGCCCGTTGCGATTCTGGCAATCGCAGTCTCCGTGAGACCACTTCACTCGCTCATCCAAACCCTGTTCGAACTAGTTCGAGCGCACCGACCCACGTTCTCGCGACCCTTCCCTCCCTCATCCCGGCTATTCACTTCCCGCCTCGCCTCCTTTCCGTCGGTCGGTCTTCGTCGCCGTCCGTGGCCCATCTCGTCACGTTCGCTCACTCCCCTTCCTTCCTGCTGCAGACCGGAAGGACCCCCTCACTCGCTCGCTTCCACCGCCCAAACCCCTCCTCTCGACCCTCACAATGGATATTGTCGACCTCCTCCACGACGACCAATCAGCCGCCGCCCGCCCCTTCCCCTGTAGCTACGAAGACTGCTCCAAGGCGTTCGCGCGAAGGAGCGACCTTATCCGCCACGAGCGCATCCACACCAACGAACGGTGCGTCTTTCTCCCTTCTTACGAGCGCCCGCGACCGCCGCTGACGCGCGAGGATACTCCTACAGGCCGTGGCTCTGTGATTGGCCAGGATGCAAGCGCGACTTCATCCAACGCAGCGCACTTATCGTCCACCAGCGAACCCAGTGTGTCCTCCCAGCCTGGTCCTAGCTAGCTCACGCTGACTCTGACACCGCGCAGCACCGGCGAGCGACCTCACAAGTGCGACTTTGAGGACTGCGGCAAGGCGTTCAGCGACTCGAGCAGTCTCGCCCGCCACCGCAGGGTAAGCTCGCTTGTCGCTTTCCGCCAAAGACGACGCTGATCCGCTGCCTCGCAGATCCACACGGGCATGCGGCCATACCAGTGCATGGTCGAGACGTGCTTGAAGACGTGAGTGGCGAATCGCTCAACTCGGCTGACGTTGCGCTTACCTTCCTCGTCGCAGCTTCTGCCGCAAGACGACGCTCACCAAGCACATCAAGAAGAACCACCCGCAATATGCTCACTGCCCCGAGGACGTCTCGTCGGCGACGTTCGAGAACGACCTTCCTTACGAGTACTCGGGTTCGGCCAGGTCCTCGACGCCGCAAAGCCCGAATGAGGCTGGCGCGTACCCGACGCCCATGGTCGAGCAGGAGGAAGGCTTCGAGCTGCCGACGCCTCCGCTCGGCTACGCTCACTACACCGCTGCGCACCCGAGCACGCCCGGTCGTCGCACGAGGTCGACGCTCTACCCTCCCGAGCAGCAGTACCGGCACGACCCCTCGCCCGGCGCGTGGTCGGCTCCCGACTACTTCGAGCACAAGCCTGCGCAGCGTCCTTTCGCGCCGTCGATGCAGCGCTCGACCTCGTCCGACGCGCAGGCGTACTTGACGCCGCCTTCGACGCACCCTCGTCGCTTCAGTCGCCGGACGACGCAGCGTCGCTACGCGAACGAGGAGGACGACGAGCCCGAATACGCGAACGACGAGGACGACGAGGACTATGTCGATTCGACGACGCGGTCGCGTGCGAGCAACAAGGGTCGCCGCAACGCTTATGCTACCGTCGTTCCTGCTCAGCGTCCGCACCAGCACCACCAGCAGCCGCGCATCGCTCGCCGCCTCGTCTACGCAACGCGGTCGCCGCACATGCCGTACCAGCCTCAGTTCCCGCCCCACGCCGACTACCAGCCTATCCAGCACGAGGTTCACCAGCCCATGCAGTTCGACGAGTACCCTCCTCAGCCCGTTGCCGGCCCGTCGTCGTACGCGATGTACCACCCCTCTTACACGGCGCCAATCCCTCAGACATACGTCTTCGAGCCCGTCATGCACGAGGGCATGCCTCCTCCCGCGACGACGCACCTCCCTGCGGCCCCTCGTCTCCGCCGCGCTTCGTCCGTCAACGCGCTCGACACGCTCATCGCGTCCGGCCAGCCCGCTTTCACCTCGCCCTCGCCGCAGCTTCCGCACGCCCAGCCTCACCCTCAGCAGCAGCAGCAGCAGCAGCAGTCGGTCGCCGCGCACGCCAGCCCCGTCCTCGGACTCGGCCTCAACCTCGGGCCCGGGTTAGCGATTTCGACGGCTCACGAGCGCCGCCTCTCGGAGGTCCACCGCTCCGCCTCGCCCGTCCGCCCGTCGTTCACCTTCGAGGACTTTGATCTCGCCAACGCGCTGCCGCAGCCTTCGCCGACGGCCGCAGGCTTCACGTTCCCTCGGCGCGGATCAATCGGCATTCCTAGCTTGCCCAACGGACTGGCAGCGGGCGCAATGGGACACCGCCCGAGCTTCAGCTCGCTGACGACCAAGCTGCTCGAGAACATGGACGACGAGCAGCAGTACCGCGGGTCGTCCGAGGTCTACTGAAGGAGAACCTCTGGCTGCCTTCGACCGCCTCCCCTCTTCTTTCTCTGTACGGACAATTATCGCCGCGCAACCCATCAGTACCCACTGTATAGCTCCGTCTAATCTGCATCGCAACGCAAAAGGCTTTTGTTGTCACCTCCGCCGCCGTCGTCGAGAGGTTGACTTCCGCTCGTTCACGTCGCTTCGTCGCTCGCCGCTCTTCGAGGCCGAGGATGACGCCGCTGCTTACGCTGCCGACGTCTCACACCGAGCTGCAGTGGTACTACACGCGCGAGGAACTTGTCGACTCGCCATCCATTCGCGAAGGGGTGACAGTCGCAGAGGAGCGGAAGCAGCGGGCGAGGGCGGTGCGGCGACTGTGGAAGCTGCGGGATCCTCTCACAGTGTGCGTACGAGCCTCTTTGCCCGCGCAGAACTGCCCGAAGAGCTGAAGTCGCGCCGACTCTTTCTTCATCACCAACAGGCGACAGTCGGTCATCTCAACAGCTGCGACATTCATTCACCGGTTCTTCATGCGCGAATCGATGAAGAAGTGGCACTACGATGCGCGTCAAGCCGGCTGCTGTTGTTGTCGCCGTCGCTGACCTCGTCTCTTTGCAACAGGACGTCGCAGTCGCCGCCTTCTTCCTCGCCTGCAAGTCTGAAGAAGAGCCACGGCCGATCAAGAGCATCGTCTCTTCGGTGCTGCAACGGTCAGGCCAACTCGAAGCCGCCGCCAATTCTCAGTCGCCCGCCTTCATCGACTACCGCAAGAAGCTGGTCGCGACGGAAGAAGCCATGCTGCGGACGCTGTGCTACGACTTGACTGTCCGACAACCGCACTGGCTTGCGGTCAAGGCGGCAACGCAGATGTGGACGGGCGTGCAGGCCGAGGTTGGGACGAAGGTCGCGAAAGTCGCCTGGAACTTCCTGACGGACTCGTGCGTACTCCTGCTCCTTTCGCTCGAGTTGACCTAACCCTGGGCCCACAGCCTCGTTCAACCGCTTTGCTTGCTCTATCGACCCGAAGTCATCGCCGCCGCCTCTCTCCTGCTCGCCTGCGCACAACTCGACATCCCGTTCCCCGCCGAAGCACCCTCTCTCTCGGAACAAAAGTCCCTGCACGACCTCGCGATTCAAGAAGCGGAGGAAGGGGAGGAGCCGCCGGCGTACGAGCCCGTTCGTGGCTGGAAGGAGTTGCTCGGCGTCGAGGCGTCGGAGCTTGCGGGTGCGTCTGGCTTTCGATTGATCCCGCTGGACTGCACTGACGCGTCTCCGCTTCAGATGCCGCACGAGACATGCTCGGCGGCTACAAGCTTGCGGAGGACGACTTTGTGGCTGCCGAAGCGGCGCAGGTACGTCCGACCCTTTTCTCGCGCTGCGCAATGCCGCAGCCTAACCAGACCCATCTCTGCGACGCAGCTTCATCCCAAAGTCGAGCAAGCGCTCGCGAATCTGGCCAAGTCACCCTCGCCCGCAGTTGACGGCGAGCGGATGGACGTCGACTCGCCTGCATCGTGAAGCCTGTCCTTCATTCTCCGGTTCAGGCACGATCTTCCGTACCACCTTGTTGTTGCAACACTAGTCGTCTCGCAGCCATTCCCATGCCTCGGAAGCTGAAACCCGCGAAAGTTGTCGATAGGTTACGGTCCAGCATTTCCGGCAAAGCAATGCTACAACAACACTTCTGTCCCTTCCGCAAGCGACTCCAACAGAAAGCTAGCTCGTCTCTTCCTCGGCCGTATCGCCCGCCATTCCTTCCTCGCCGTCCGTCCCGTCCGCGAGTCCGGTTGGCGGGATCTTGACGGGCGAGCTCCGCGTGAGCCTCCGCTTCTGGCCACGCGATTCCGACTCCTCCGCTTCTCCATCGAGCAGCGAGACCTGCGACGCTAGCGCGCGAGACGCAAGGCGCGACGCTTGTCGACCAGGCAATCGACGAGAAGGAGTGGCGGAAGTGGAGCGCTGGCGAGTCGTGCGGAGGGAGCGGGTCGAGGTTGCGCCATTGCGAGAGGAGAAGCGTCGGCTGTTACGGCGAGGGTCGGAGCCTTCGCCGTCGTCATCGTCGAAGTCGTCGGTCGATGAGGAAGACAGGTTGGCGAATGGGTCTTCGTCCTCGTCCATCTCGCTGTGGCCGTCGTCGCCTCCGTGAAGCGAAGGTGAGCGCTCGACATCCGCCGCCTCGGCATCCTCCTTCCCGCCAACATCCTGCATCTCGACATCCTTGCCGCCGTTTACCGACGCATGCGCCGAGTGATCTTCGGTGCCCGTGCCGGTCGTCGAGCCCGTCGTCTGCGCGTCGCCCTTTGCGCCGAGACCCGCCATCTGTCGCTGCTGCTGCATGCCGTCGACCGCAGTACTGCCGACGTCCACGCCGAGTCCGAAGCCGCGAGTGACCAGGAAGGGCGTCCACTTGAGCGCATCCGGAGAAAGCCGAATCCACTCCTTCTTCGACTCGAAGTGCCGGGCGAGGTACGCGTCGACCTCCTCGCGATTTGGGTGGATCTTGTACGAGGTCGGCACGACGAGCTTCTTCGGTGATTGGTGATGGCCGGCGCCGCCTTGCTGGCCAGACGAGCCTGACGCCCGCTGCTTCTTCGCGCTCCACTGGTTGCCGTAGAACGGATGGCGAGGCGTCCCGGTGCCAGACGCTGAACCAGACGGTCTCGGCGTCTTCCGCTCCCGCTTCTTCTCCTCCTCGCCGAAGCGATGGATGAGTCCTTCGGGAGGCGGAAGACCCGCTGCGAGAGCCTCCTCAAGCAACTTCTGCTCGCGCGCCTTGGTGTACTGGTTGCCGCGGAAGATGTTGGTCTTCATGCCGCCGCGAGGACCGACGCCGCCTGGCGTTTGCGGGCCTGGCGAGGTGCGAGCTGAACCCGGTGCAGAGCCGAGAGCTAGAGGACGAGGCGTCCCAGCTCCAGTCGTCATCGATGTCGACGGTTGCGCGTTGACTGTCAAGTCGCCGCCGGGTTGAGGGACAGGCGGCGCCCTCTGAGCGGGAACAGGATGTGCTGCGGGAGTTGCCAGTGGGGCGGTCGCGGAAGGCGGAGGTGCTACGATGGAAGCGGCGGCCGGTGCTACTGCAGGCGGTCTGTGGGACGTAATGGGCTGACTTTGCGACGAGGGCTGGACAGCGGATGCACCTCCGGCTGGCACGGTCGGCGCGGCGAGGCTGTTCGTCTGCGCCGAACTCGCAGCTGGGACGGCAGGACCCGAAGGTGTCGCCGGCGCTGGAGGAGGACCGATGGCAGGTGCGAATAGTCCGCCCTGTGCGACAGGCGGCGCGGTCGGAGGAATGGCGGCGAGGTTGGCAGGAACGGGAACAGGCTGCTGGGAGAGGTCGGTGATGTAGCCTCGCTCGTGCAGTATGAAGTAGATGTCGTCGCGCGTCATCGAGGTCGCCTTGCTTATGTCTGTGCGAGGTGAGGGACCGAGGGTCAGCGCTTTGCCCTGGAGCGGGAACAAGTCGCAGGCTCACCTTCGAAGCGGATCTCCTTGTCCGAGTCAGCCGGAAGCGAGGCGAAGTACTGGAAGAGCGTGAGTGTCCAGTAGTTGCGATACGAGAGTAAGCCGAGATCGGAGAGCGGTCGTTCGGGAGTACCGAGGCGAGCCTCCTTCTTCGATAGGAGGTAGCCTGCGAAAAGGCGAGTCTGTCAGGAGCGGCACTTTGGCGGGCGAAGGTATGCGAACGCACTAAAGTCGATGAGGAGGTTTCCCCAACCTCGCCGCTGCCGGACGGGCAGAGTCATGATGCAGCTGACGTTGTTGGTGGGGCTGCGCTTCTCCTTGCTGAAGTAGCCGACAAACTTGGCGCCGAGCGGCGACGCTTCCGTCATCACGTAGAAGAGGAACGGCTCGACGTCGTAGTAGAGCGTCTTGTGGTCGAGAAACTGCTTGGCGAGAAGGCAGAGGTTCTGGCAGTAGATCTGTGGAGCGGAAGAGGGTCAGCTTCGTTCGCCTCTCGTCTCCTCGCGGACGCACCTTGGCTTTCCGGCCGTCGACTTCGAAGACCGACACCTTGCCGTCGCGGTAGATCTCGTCGCCAGGCGGATGTCGCATCTTGCACTTGAGCTGCGAGGTAGAGAAAGGAGTGAGTAAGCTCGACACTACGATTTAGGCCAAACCTGTCCAGTCGGTAGGACGAGCTGAACCTAACTTCGACGAGCTGACGCACCTTGTGCCTCTCGGCCTCGAACCCGTTCTTCATGTACTTCAAGCACCATTCGCACACCCACAACCTGCCCTCCGGGACCCTCGTGTATTCCTCCGGAAACGGCGCTTGATACCACGTTTCGAGCTCGAACTCGCCGATGCGGAGGTGCGTGATCGGGCGAATAGGAAGCGTGTGAGCGGAAGACACGGTCGAGGAGGAAGGGAGGGCTTGGCCGGGAAAGGTTGGGACGGCAATGGCGGGCGTGGCGTTCGGAGGTCGAACATGTCGCAGTTCGCGGCCGTCGGTCGAGCCCGCAGCCGTGCCGTGCTCGTCGTGCGCGGCAGGCGGTGTTGCACCTGCAGGCGTTGCAGGTCCGCTCGACGCGAACACCTTCTCCCATTCTCGCCGCTCCCACTCCGTCTTGGCCCATCTCCACCTCTCCCTGTCCTTGTCAGTCGGCTTCCGACCCGTCCCATCCGCCTCCTTCGTAGTCAACATCCCGCCATACGGGTCGTAGTCGTCCCCTTCCTCCGCTTCTTCGAGCTCTGCCTCGTCCGCCGAAGACGACGATGGCGGAGGTCGAGGTGCGAGCCAGGGTCGGAACGTCTCGCGTGGTGCGGGGGAGGCGGAGTGCGAGTGCGAGAGACGAGGCTTCTTCATCGGCGGTCGTTGAGCGGGGCGAGCGGCGGAAGCGGCTGCGGCGGAGGGGAGGATGGAGCCTGCTTGGATCGCGCCAGCGCCGCCTGTTGCTGCTGGTGCGGGGGAGCCATCGGCGCCCAGCTTGAAGGTGATCTTCGGAACCTTGACGCGCGGATGGGCGGACAACGAAGTCGTCGGGTCGACAGCCGAGACCGCGTTCGCGAGAGTAGCAGCATCCAGGGATGCTCCCGGCGGAAGCAGCAACGATGCCGCAACCGCCCCGTCATCATCCTCGTCCGTCGAGCGATCATCGTTCCCAAACCCGTCTGTCCCGTTCCCGTCGCCAAAGTCGTATGTCGCGCGTCCCTTGCCCTTCCTGTCCCGCTTCGGCCGGTCGCTCTTCCGCCCCGTCTCATCTCCATGCAGACTGCTGCTGCTCCCAGCACTGACCAGACCAATCGGACGAGCTTGGCGACGCTCGCGCTTGCCGGTTGTTGACGGGAGGATCGCATCGCGCGAAAACTCGGACTGCTTGACGCAGGTTGGGCAAGTCCATTTGCCGCGAGGGACGGAGTGGAGAGGCGGGTCGAGGCAGAGTCGGTGCCAACCGCGGTCGCACGAGTCGCAGAAGAGAATGTCATCCTGCGCGACAAGAATTGGGAAGTCAGTTCCGCAATCTCCTGGGCTAGCCTCGCTGCGCAAGCTACAACTTGCAGGTCGCGAGCCTGAGAGAGCAGGCGAACTCACATCATCGCCCTTCTCGTCGCATACCTCGCACCGCTTGCACTCCTGACACAACCACGCATACGCCTTGACGCGCTTGACCATCCCCCAGTCGTCCCACTCGAGACACGTCGGGTGACCGGAGCTACCGCACTCGTAACAGCTGACCATCTCCTCTTTCCGGCCGTGGCGGTTCAGGGAGGAATCGCCGCCGCAGAAAGCGCAGTTCGTGTCGACGGGCGAGTAGGCGGGGAGGAAGGGCATCCCGCCTGGACCGACTCGGCGAGGCGTCGTGGCTGACTTTGGATTGGCGCGAGAGGTAGGAGTCATGGTCGTGACCGTGAGTTTCGAGACGGACGCAGGGGCGGCATGGGCGGAGGACGTCGCGGGAGGAGGTGTGACAGGCCGTTCGGGGCTGCGCGTCTGACTCTTCCGTCTCTTCTTGCCGCTGTCGTCCCGTTCCTCCTCCCTCGCGCGCTTGTCCGTCCCAGGAGAGGCTTGTTTGCCGGCTCGTTCGTCGCGACCCTCGTCTTCCGCTTCTTCGCCAGCGGAAGGGGCGGGCGTCTCGGCGACGACTGTCACAGCATCGCTGCGAGTCGCTCGAGGGGCCATCACCTTGCGTGCGGTTGGAGGAGACGGTCACAGGTGTCGGTGGAGGTGGGGAGGAGGGAAGGAGATGAAGCGGTCTATGAGTCGACCGCGCGTGCAGTCAAGCTGTAGAGGATGTCGGTACTCTGTCAGCGTTGTCTCCACGCCCGCAAACGCCGTGAAAGGGCATACCTGAGCGGGGAGTGACTGTTTGGCGTCGTCGAAGTCGCTCGGAACCGTTCGCGGCGCGTTCGAGCGGCGTCGTCTGCTGCTCGCGTGCTGTACAAGCCCTGCAAACAGGTCCCAGCGGCGAGTCGAGGGGAGAAAAGCGCGACAGAGATGAGGTGAGCGAGATGGGGATGAGGACGGCGTCTGGCGGCGCGGGACTCGTCGCAGCGGGTCAATAGCAGCCTAGAGGTCGTTTGAACTCGTCGTCAGCGTCACTGAGCGCGTGCGTCGCGGTGGAGAGCACTCTGTTGCGGGTCGACTTCCTCCCGCGATTGTTGTCCCGAGTACACTCCGCCAACTCGCTCTTTCGCTGGACTGCGCGGCCCAACTGGGTGCTGACTGTGCTAGATACGACTGTACGGCCGACTCCGCGTTGAACTCGCTTCGAACGGCGCTGTGTGGTCGTCTCGCTCCATCTCCTCCTCGACGCGACCAGTGACCAGCGACACACGACGACTGGGCGAGCAGTGACACACGATGAGCAGCCTGTTGCGTCTCTCGTCGTACGGCTCGTCGGCTTCGGCGGGCCAGACGAGCCACGGCTACCCCAAGTCTCCCGCGACTCCCTCTCCTCAGCCTCCGAAGGAAGCATACCCTCCTGCGCCCGCTGGAACGGCCAAGCCGAGCGACATCCTCATCAACAGGGCGCACGAGATCAAGCGGATCGCAAAGGGTCTCGCGGGATACTTCCAGGGTACGCTCTCTCGTCTCGCCTCCTTCGCGTTTCTGGAGCTCCCTCGCGCTCGAGCGATAAGAGTTGACGGCGTTTGCATGTGTTGATAGGCGTCTCAGAAGCACACCACGCACATTCGCTCTCGCTGAAGAAGCTCTCCACGGCCGGCACGACTCCCATCGCGACCCCTCTCGCCGAATCCTCCATCTTCATCCCCCTCCCGGCCTCATCTACCAACTCCTCCTCTGAGCCCAACTCTCCAAGCAACGCAGACTCGGCCCTCGCGCTCGGCGGATCCGGCAGCGAAGGATGGCAGCAGATCCTGCACTTTACGCGCGAGACCAACTCGCGCGTCGCCGAGGCGCATGCAGATCTCGCCAAGAAGGTTGGCAAGGAGGTTGTTGGGCCGCTGCTCAAGTGCAGGGTCGAGATGAAGAGCTTCATCCAGATCATGGAGCGCGAACTCGTCAAGGCGGTCGACGCTGTCCAGAAGGAGAGGTGCGTAGCCAGCCGACTCTTCACGGATGGTGTTTCGCTTCTGAGCGCGTCACTGATAGAGAATGACGTCCAATGGCATGCAGGGACACCGCCGCCCCGCTCCTCACGCGTCTCTCGACTTCCATCACCCAATCCTCCCTCCCCCTCTCCGCGCCTTCCCTCTCACCCATCGAAGATCCGGTTCTCATCCGCGCACAAGTTGAAGCTCAACTGCGCGCACAAGTGATTAAGGAGAATGAGTTGTTGGCGGTCGTCAAGACCTGGACGGAGAAGGTCGAGCAGAGGGAGAAGGAGGTGTTTGCGGAGATCAAGCGCGTTTGGGGCGTTTGGGAGCAGGCAAAGTGCGTGGCGATCTCCTCTGGTCACGAATGGCAAAACACGGAACAGCACTGACCTCCAGTGCGCACGGTCGTCCCGCACAGCTCCGCCATGCTCCTGGGCAACCAGCAGCTCTCGATGTTCCTCTCCGCCACCGTCGACTCCGTCCCTCCCGACGCCGAGTGGCAACACTTCCTCAAGCTGAACCACGTCGTCTTGCCGGACGTCCCGGAGAAGACGCTCGACGATGTTCAGTGGGATGGGAAGGGCCATGAGTTGACGAGCGTCGTGATGGAGGGTATGCTGGAGAGGCAGACGAGCTTCTTGAAGAGCTGGAAGCCGGGTGAGTCGCGAATCAGAGCTTCGGATGCTGCGGCGTGGCTGACTTCTTCCCTGCCGATAAAGCCTACTTCGTTCTGACGCCATCCGGTCACCTGCACATCTACCCACCGCCTCCCGCTTCAGCTGTGCCCGCCGCGACGTCCGACGACGAGACTGAGCGGGCCTCGCTCTCGTCGACTCCTGCGTATCCTCCTCTTTCCGCTTCGGCGCAGTATCTCCTGCTCCACACCTCACCTCACCTCTCGCTCAATCTCGCTCTCTGCACTCTCGGACCGATGCCGACACCGTCCAAGGCGGCGACCGAGACCGAGGGAAAGAAGAAGGCTGCTCCGCTCGATGCCGTCTTCACCCTCATCGAGAGTCTCGGTAAGGATGGCAAGGGCGAAGGGTCGGGTACGCGCCATGTCGTCCGCTGCAAGGGCGAGAAAGGATGGGAGGAGATGGGTACTTGGGTTGCTGCCATTGGCAAGTTCTGCGCCACGCCATCTGTGCCGCCTCCGCCGTCGCCGCCTACCCCGACTCCCGCTTCGACCTTCCCGCCTCCCGGCACGATCATCGAGGAGAAGCAACCTCAACCTCGCGACTCGATCTCGTCGCTCGAGACGCACGTCCCGCCAGTCCTTCCCGCCCGCTCCCTCCCGCTCGGTTCCTCACCCGCCCTGCCCTCCCTCCCGACCTCTCCGCAGTCTACCAGCTCCACCGCACCGCCTCCCCTCCCTCCGCGCGACTCGTACATCTCGACCACCTCGACGACCGGTTCGGAAGACCTGAGCAACGTGATGCGCTCGTCGCTCATCATCGAGGACGACTATGACCTCTCGCGCGCGATGAACGGGCTCGGCGTTGCTGTCGGTGCCGGCGCGAACGGCGCCGAGGAGCTGAGCTCGCCGCCTCCGCCTGTTCCCATGCGGCAAGTGTCTCCGTCTGGCTCGGAGGACGAAGACGAAGAGGAGGACGCAGGCGACCTCGGCCGGTCGATCTCGTCTACCTCACTCGCGAACGTTGGCGGGCGGCAAGTGATGAGTCCCCGTCAGGGCAGCGTCAAGAGTCTTGCCGCCGCATGGGAGAAGAACGGGCAGACGTCGCCGACTGTTCAGCAGGAGAGGAGGAACGGGTCGGTTTCCGGCTCTATCAAGGAGGTCAAGGAGGACGAGGAGGTGCAGGAGGATGGTGCCGAGGAAGATGGCGCGAAGGAGGAAGAGCCGAACCAGGACGAGGAGAACGAGCGTGCGGCGACTCCAAAGGGGAAGAAGGGCAAGAAGAAGAGAAAGAGCAAGGGCGGTGCGAATGCTGCGAAGGTGCGTCGCACGCTCTCGCCCGAACCATCAACGTACTGATGCTCCGTTCCCGCAGCCGACCGAGCGACCGCTTCCGCTCCCCTCCGTCGACCCTGAACACGCCGACCTCGGCCTCCCTTCACCTCACTCGCCCAACTTCAACCCTCCACCGGCAGATGAACACGCCAACGACGTTGAGGAGGCTAAGAGCCCTCCGCCCATGGTCCTTGAGGAGGTCGAGGAGGCCCCAAGTCGGGGTAGTCTCGACGAGCGCGAGCGGGAAGGCGAGATGGGTGTCGCGCAGTAGGGGCATTCGTTAGATTCCGGGACTGCGAGTGAAACTGCATTGGGCATACAGGGTTATCGTTCACACCATGTACAACACTGCTGGAGAGACACTACAGAACCAAACCAGCTGCTTCAACCTCCTCCCTGAGCTTGTCCAACATCTCGCCGCTCAAGCGCATCGACATGAGGCACTGCCGAAGCTCTCGGCACGCCAATCCGCCGCAGGCCTCCGCATGCTCGGTCGCAGCGCCGAAGTCGACCCAGCGAACCAAGTCGGACCCCGACGGAGACGTCGTGATGACTGTCGCAGAAGGCTTGGCGTCGCCGTGAATGAGACCGATCTGTTGGTGGAGGATAAGGAGCTTGAAGAAGACTTGAAGGCTGCCGGAGAACGGGGTGAGTACCGGGCAAGGCAGACGGAAGAAGTACGACGCACCGCTGCTCTTGCGTGTAGTCACTCCACTCCCTAGGGCTCTGGCCTCCATACGGACCAACTCCAACGACGTCTCCAATCTCTGACTGCCACAAACCCTCCAACCCAACTGCAACCTCGTCGATCGCCGGCTTGTACTTCGCGAAGATGTCGCGATCGTTCGAGAGGTGCTGGACCGCCGAGGGAAGCTGGCCCTGAACGTACTTAACGACGAGTCGGGAGTCTCCGAGCTTGGCTTGCCAGACCTCGGAGGTTGTACCCCGGCGGACGAGACGACTGAAGCGGATTGCTGGCGGCGCGGGTGAAAGGGGAGGTCCGAACGGTTGAGGGGTAGCGAGCGAACCGAGATTCGATGGGGTATCGACCTTCTTGAATCAGTAGAAGGGCGTGCGGTACATTGGGTCGCGAGCGAGAAAGTCGAACTGCGATCCCGGAAGCGTGAGCGACTCTCACGAGGCTACGTCGAGCGGACGCACCGGTACAAGCTGCCCACTCAGCGACGGAGGCGGATGTCCAACCCCAAACAGACCGCCTAGTCCCGTTGTCCCACTCACCGTGACTCCGCCGTCGCCAAGTGGTGAATGTTGCGGAAGGTGAGGGTTCTCCATGAGGGGGAGCCAGCTGGACCTGGTCGGCAGGATGCCGTGAGCGTCGACTTTTTCTCGACGACTAGGTCCCGCAAGAGGTCGTTAGGGAAGTACTCGGGGAAGAAAGAAGTGAGGATTGTGACGAGAAACGATGGCTGTGCTTCGGGTGCGACGGAAGCAGGTCGGAGAAGCGTGTGCAGGGGACTGATGGCAATGACGCGAGTGTCGCCAAAGAAGCAGTTGAAAGCAATGGAGAATGCCGATGCGTCGGTAAAGTAGAACATGCGGTGCGAGAACGCTTGAGCCGCAAGCGAAGCCTGAGGAGGAGGTCGTCAGTAACGGTCGTATTTGGCTCCAGGAACGGCGCACCTGGTAGACCAGCGTGTACACCTCCGTTTCGGAATCCCACTCGTCCCTGCTAAAGGCCAGTCCTCCAGGTCTACGCAAGAGGGTGTCGAGTCGCTGGAGACGCCCGCTGCTTCCCTCTTCGTACGAGATAGGCGCGGTCAGGCGGTAAGAATGCTGCTGACGCGGCATGGGAGTTGCTTGAGATAGGGGCGGACGCTCAATCGTGCCGGACGACATGAATTGGCGACCTTGGAAGTCGCCCGTTCGTCGAACCAGCAAGACGTCGGTGAGCAGCGCCGAGTGCCTCGTGAGCGGGATGGGGACAGGTTGCTCGACGGAAACGGCTGCATCGCTGAAGTCCGTCGGGAGCTCGAGAACCTCGTCGATGAAGGAGACGAGATCCAGCAACGGTTGCATAAGCCCGGCGACGGCAACGCGGATGTCCTCCTTCCTCACCAACTCGAGGCGGCGCGCGAACCACCGAAACCCCGCTTCGAAACCTTGCAGAATTTCGGCTGGCACGACTGGGTCTGCCTTGCCCAGCTCGGTGAGACGGTTGGAGACGCCGTTGAGCAACGAGTCCGTGACGAGCGAGACGAGGGAGTCGATCTGGAGGATGTGACGAGGCATCCACTGCTCATCGTAGCTCACTGTAGGTGCTGGTTGAGGCACGCCGTCAAGTTCGGGCGCGGGAGGGACGGGGAAGGGGAGTCGAGCGGGATGAAGGCCGCTCCTCAACAGCTGGAGCAGGGTGGTCATGGTTCGGCAGCTGCGCAGTGCTCTTCGTGGCTCGTCAGCGCCTGCAAGCGCCTGCGGTGAGGGGGAGTTCGGGAGGAGGAGTTTGTTGGCTGTGTGCGGTGGAGACGAGAGCGAGACGCCAGGAGAGACTGTGCGAATGTGTGCAGGATATAGCACGTGGCCTGACAAGACACAGCAACGTGCACGAGTACCAGCGTTGGGAGGACCGTCTCAGAGTCGTTTGCAGAGGATCAAGCGGTGAAGCGATGCTGAACTCGGGTTTGACGGCACCTTTCGTTGCGCGAGGGAGCTACAGGCTCTACATAACAAAGGCCAACAAGTCGCGCCAGCGCAGCCGCACCTCCAGCTTGACCCGCTCGAGCCAAACACGGAACGATTCGACGAGCGAGTGCGCGTCTTCCCGCGCGAGCGAGTGCTCCCGGCGCGGAATGATGGTAGCCGACGTTGCTGGAGGGAGAGAGTCATCGAAGGCGAGTGGTGCGGTCGGCGTGACGGGCGTGGCTTGGCGGATGGTCGTCGTGCGATACAGGGTGGTGGTGTGGACAACAGGCGGAGTCGATGCTGGTGTATGGGTGATGAAAGAGATGATGGTTGAAGTCGATGTTGCCGTCGTGGTGACGGTATGCGGCGTGCGGAGGAAGGATGTCATGGCGGAAGAGCTTGAGATGGCGGGAGTTGCGTCGACAGATGTGGTGCGGAGCTGGCGCCTCGAGAGCCCTTGCGATAAGGTGGGCGTCGACGTGGCCGCATAGATCGCGTAGTAAATGCCGAGAGCGAACAGAATCATGAGGAGCTGCCAAAGGCGCGTTGGAAGTGAAGGGAGAGTCCAGGCTTCCGGTGCGACGGCGAGACGGTGGGTTCCAGCCATTTTTGCGCGCCTGAACGTGAAGAAGGGACCGAGAGGGGCGCCAGACGGCACGCAGAAGCGGACGAGGCTGGTGCTCGTGCGCGAGGCGTAGATGGCTTCTGCGCGGCGGGGTTCCGAGATGAGGCCTGCAGAGGAGGGACAGTCAGCTACTAGCTAGGAAAGAAATAGATAGAAGAGCCACCTTTGAGCGGCACGAGCTCTACCGACAGCTTGACGATTTGGCGTTCGAGTCGCAAGATGCTGCCCAGCCCTGGTCGCACGCCATCCGAGTGATGCGCGACCAATACGAGTCGCCGCGCACGCTCAACCCGGAAACGCTGACCCTTCGCATCCTGCGCCTCCGACGGCTCGGTCTCCAGGCAAGCTTCGCCCTGTTCGTTCCAAGCGGCGAGAGCGGTCAGGTCTGCGCTTGATCGCTCGCTCGCGATGGCTCCGGTATACGCCGGCGTGAACTCGAACTCGTAGTAGTACTCCCAGAGCGAGTGTCCAGGAGCAGGCGGAACAGGCGTTATCGTAACGTTCACGTGAGCGAGCGGCGTGTCGTCAAAGGACGTCGTGGGCGGCGTGTCGTCAACGGAAGCCGAGGGCGGCTCGTCGGTAGTCGAAACGGTTACAGGCGCCTCGACTTCGATGACTGAGGGCGCAGCCGTCGACGGCGAAGGTGCTCGCTCGTCCAGAAGGTCCGCCGTCTCGTCCTCCCGAGCGGACGCCGCGAGACCTTCCGCAAAGTCCGCCTCTGCGCCTGTCCAATCCGACGCGAGCGGCGACGGTGCGGGCGGAGTGTCGACTCTCTCGGCGAGGGAGGCGTCGGCAGACAAGATGTCCACCTGGACAGGTGGCGGCGCAGTTCCAGTCGGCGTTGCACCCGTGCGCAGGGTAGACCAACGCGCGACGCCTTTGCTGGCCGGCAGAGGCGACATCGGCGGCTCAACAGTCTCATCGGGAGAGACGGGCGGAGGGGAGACGAGCTCGATGAGGCGATGAGACAAGGTCGAAGAGACGGAGACGACGTTCTCCTCGTGCTGGGCGCTAGGGAGCGTGATCGAGGGCAATACGAGGCGGACTGACGAGTCGGGAGCGGTTTCGGCGGAGAGGGCGGAGGACGAGAAGTGGAGAGCCAGAGCGAAGGAGAAGGCGGGTGCGAGGTCGTCATCGCCGGCGGTAGTCGGAAGAGACGCGAAAGAGCGAAGTGACGGGCCGAGGTCGATTTGAACACGAACGAGGCAGGTCGCAGACCGCTCAACGGCTTGTTTAGCGGAAGTTGACAGCGTCGGTTGCACCGCAGGTCCGTCGAGCAGGTCGCTCGAGGTCGACGGCACTGACGAGACCTCGAAGCTCATGTCCATCGCGCTCGCCTCGGGATCGAACGGCGCAGCCTGCTGCAGAAGGCTCGGCTCCTTCACGACTCGCGGCCCAGGCAAGGCCCGAGAAGGCGATTCGGTAGAGAAGCTGGTGTCGAGAACTGGTGGAGCGGGCGGTGCGGTGTCGAAGAGAGAAGTCCAACTTGGTGGTCGCGGGTCGGATGTACGGCTCGAGACACGTTTGCGACGAGGGGCTGGCGTTGGCGTGAAGGGGTAGGAGGTCGACGCGCTGGTCGAAAGAACCGAGGCAGCCGAGTCGGACAGTCCGGACTCTGTCGGTTGTCGGATGAGAGGAGGAAGCGACGGAAGTTCAGGTGGCGTTTTCACGGGCAGGTCGAGCTGGTTGGTCGAGTGAGGTGACGGTGCCGCCGAGTTGGGCGCGGGGGCGACCTCCCAGTCGAGGATGGAGGTGATGCCGTCCGAAGCGATGCACCCCGTGATATCCAACGGCGACCCCTCCGCTTGGACGAAGGGCATGCCGACCTCGACCTCGATCCACTGCTTCTCCCGCAAGCCCGAGTACTCGAAGTGTCCCGACACCTCGACCTCGGCTGTCGCGGCACCGTTCTCGTCGACCTTCCAGCTCGTCTCGAGAAGCGCGCGCTTGATGACGAGAGAAGCGATGCCGTCGGCAAGTTGAGGCGCCCATCGCAGCGAGACAGAGGAAGTGGTCGGGAACGTTCCGCTGATTCGGGTTCCCTCGACATTGACAGCCGGATGAGATGTCGACTGGGCGTTGCTGAGCGAAGGTCGGACGGAGAGGTCCCAAGTTGAGTATGCAGACGAAGGCGGAGGGGAAGGCAAGTCGAAGAAGAGAGTGTTGCGCAGACAGAGGGGCGTAGGGACAGTGATCTGCGGTCGAGTAATGTCAGTTAACCAAATGAAGGCGGTAAAGGCGGAACGCGTACCGTATGGGCGAAGCGTGGCAAGCGCAGCCTCCCGAATTCCACCTCGAGCGTCAAGACAACCAGAAACTCGAGGTTCCGTTGCCCGGCCTGCGTGGGTGTCGCCGCTCCCGCTCTTGAAGTCGGCCGCTCAGTCGCAGGCGAGCCAGAGGGCGGGGAAACAACCGCTCCGTCCTCAGGCATCAGGCGCAGGGCAACTCGCTCGCCGTCTTGGACGACTTCGATTTCCCTCCGCTCGTCCGACTCGGTGCCGTTCATCCTTGAGAGGAGATCCGAAGCCGCAGAGCTTCGTCTGCGACGGAGCGACCGAGCGCCCGGGCTATCAAAGCCATTCTGGACAAGCGAGAGTTCGTTAGAAGTCGTGGAGAGTATGCCGATCTTGCGAGCGGCGGCCAGCGCTTCGGGAGAATCGTCTTGGAGAGGTAGCGAGTAGGTTGAACTGGCTGTCAAGCGCGATGAGGGAAGGAGCGTGAGGAGGTTGTGGGGGTGCGATGATGAAGAGGCAGTCGAGGGGAGGGAGACCTGCGAGCGACTCGCGCGTTAGCTCAGTAGCTTCATACCTTGCTCCCAATGCGTACCTTGCAGTACAGAGTCACCCTCACACCCTCATCCTGTGTCTCCGCCTCAACGACAAGCTGGCGGCAGATGCGTCGAGAGGCGGCAGATGGCGTCGAGGTAGACTCCCCGTTGCTGCCGGACAGCGAGTCGGGCGAGAACGGTCTAGACATGCAGCGAGCGAGCTAGAAGCAGCTGTGAGAGGAGCGAAAGTGAGGAGGACAAGGTCAACCAGCGGAAGTCAAGGTCGCGCGACTCGCAGTCTGTCAAGATGTCGAGAGACTTGCTGCGGGAAGAAACAGTGCAGCACAGGTCATGCCAAGCTAGAGCAAGCGGACCGAAGCGCCCGAGAAGGAGTAATGAGGGTATATTCCAGGCGGTGAACGACGAGCAGATGCGACTAATGCGAGAGGTGGGTTTCAAATGAGCGAGCGTGAGTGTGGGAGGAACGAAAGGAAACGCTGCGGGACGAGAACCGCTCAAAGCGCCGAGCCAACTCGGCCTCCTCCCTCTCGCTTCTCCTCCTCAAGCGCCTTCTTCTCCCCAGCCTCAACCTTCTCCGCCTTCTCCGCCCCCTCGTCGTCCATCAACACAAACACCGCATCCCTCGGCGTCGCGGGCTCGCTCGCCAACCCACTCGACACTCCAACCATCGTACTCGGCCTGGTACCCGCCGAAAAGCCCGACTGGACGTCCCAGTCCAGCGCGCCCGTCGAATTGAGCACGCTAGCATTGAGAATCGAGTCGGTCGCGTACATCGAGTCGGTCATGTTGGACGAGTTGGGGAAAACAGGCGCTTCGGATCCGTCGCGCTTGAAGCGGTCGTCGCTGATTTCGCCTTCGAGGACTCGTCCTTTACCAGGGTACTTCGAGGCGTTCTCGCGCCCTTTCTTGGGCCGACGGACGGTGTGTGCGCGGTTGACCGGGCGCCCGGAGTAGCGTTCCCAGTCGACGGCGAGGAAGGAGGTTAAAAAGATGGGGAGGGGAGAGGCGCGGCGGACGGTGAAGTAGAGGGTTGCGATGAGGAGGTAGGCGAAAGAGCAGCAGAGGAAGAGGAAGCATCTGCGGTTAGAGTTGGTTAGTCTCGTTTCGCTTCTGCGCGATCGGGGTGGGAGACGCACATCCAGCTGAGAGATCTGAGCTTCGTCAGTATCGCGCGTAGTGACTGGCTAGAAGAAGCGACTCACGTCAAGGAGAGGACGGCGAGGAGCATGCGGCAGATGAGGAACCCGCCGCAGTGCGAAATCAGGCCGGGAGTCCTGCGAAAGGCGAGGCGTCAGTTCCGCTTCACCCCGGCGACTGAACTCGAGACTCACTCGGCATGCAGATTGCTGACCGCAATCAACACCCACACACCCGTCCCAGCCAGGCAGATCAACTCGGCCGCGATGGATCTCGAGAACTTGGCGACCTTGTCCCTCGTCCCGCCAGCCGTTGCATCCGCTCCGCCCGGCAAACGGATCGAGTAGGGTCGAGAGTAGAGGAACCAGACGGGGAAGGCGACGCAGAAGAAGGAGGTGACGATGATTGAGGGGACGACTCGTTGGAAGCCCTCCTGTGCGCGACGGACGCAACTGTCAGCATGCCAGTTCCGGTCTGAAGCGGGCGCCTACGCACCGTCAATGCAAGCTGGTAGCTCAGGAGCACGATGGAAGCGACCATGTCGAAGACACCGCTCAGCATGAGAGTCGTGAGGAATCCCTTGCGAATGGCGGGCAGGACGCCGAGGAGGGCGACGGCGCGGGTCATGGTGGATGTGAGGCGAGTCTGTGAGGTTGTCTGTTGGCTTGGCACTGTCTGGCGGGTCGTGCGATGTGCGATGCGAGGGTCGTCTCGCTCGGTGCTGGGGGGGTCGAGAGGAGTCGCGGACGAGAGGGTGTGTGCCGTGTGGGCGTATGTGGGTCAGTCAAAGGAGTGTCGCGGGTCCAGTACAGTCCGATTCAAGCCAGTCAAGCAGCAGCAGGTCGTGTGTGAGGAAGACGAAGTTGGTCAAACAAGTCGAACGCGACAAGACGCGTCTTGCACGAGGACGAGGTGAAAATGCAAGTTGCGCGGCTCAGGCAGCTACGATGTGCACCAGGCGCACTTCGCCCTCGCCTACCCATCCTTCTGCGCCGACGAGACCGCTTTGGTCCGGGAGAGTCTGGAGCGGAACGGCTTCGACGACGAGTTGGCTGGATCCTGTGGGCGAAGGGCGTCAGTATGGCGTCAGAGGAGTCTCGTACACCTGCTGTACATGGCCAAGTCGTAGGCGAACGCAGGCAGACTCACGGCACTCCTCAAGGAACAACGCCCACGTCTCCTCCGACCGCACCGTCCCAGCAATCAACGCTTCAGGCGCCTTGCCGCCGCTACCTCGTTGTAACAGCCACTGAAGGGTTGCTGCAAGGTGTCCAGCAAGGGAGGGATCGTAGACCTGCACGCACGAGTGTGAGCGAGGAGCACCTTGAAAGCGAAAGAGAGCGGACGCACTATGTCGGCGCCGATAATCAGCTCTGCGCCACCTCCTCCGTCAAAGACAGCGTCTTTCCATGCCTGCAAGGTGTCTTGCCCCGTCTCTGGATCTGATGCAAGCTCCCAGTCGAGCGACTCTGCCTTGACGAGGTCGTCGAGCGAGTCTGCGCCGCAAAGACATGTTAGCAGACCCTCAGCAGCACGTCAGAAGCCGTCACGAGCCTCACTCAGCGCAATGTTACCTCGCAGCATCTCCAACACCTTCTTGTCCACATCCGTCGCCACGATACGCTTCTTCTCCTCCGTCCCGCCTTCCGCGAGCGCATCCTGCTTGATCCGCGCCGCGACGAGCGAGAGCAAGCCGACACCAGCGCCAAGTTCGAGGATCCGGTTTGCGGAGAGGACCGCGGCGGGGTTGGCAAGGAGATGGTTCGAGAGGGCGATACAGGCTTGCCTGCGCAGATGACGGTCAGGGCAATGTGATTTGATCGCCGCATGAGCGAGCGCACCATGTTCGCAAGCCAGTTGTGCCTATCCCGAGGAACAAAGTCAGCATTCCGTGCGCAAGAGCGAAGGGAAGGAAGTGAACGAACCGCCGCTAATCATCCTGCCCTCCTCCTTCGACCTGATACTTCGCCAACTTGCAGGAGGTTCAGACAGGTCTCCCCAGTAGTATGTGCGAGTCGACACGCCCGGAGCGTCGCATTCGGCAGTTGAAGACGAGGTCGAGAGGAAGTCGACCATGGATTCGAGGATGTCGGGGTGGACTTCCTGCTCAACCAGTATGGTCAGTATGCCAAGCAGAACATTCTGCGAACCCTCGCGAAGCAAGCGAACGCACCTCATCCTCCACCCGCTCCGCATCTCCCTCCCTCCTCCTCTCCTCAAACCCAGCCTCAATCCCCTTCGTAACCCTCCTCCAAAACGCCCTCCTCCAGCTCCTCGCTCCCTCGTCAGACTCAGTCCGTCCCAAGAAGTGCTCGACAAGGTATTGCTGCGTTTGGGGGAGTGAAAGGGTTCGGGGAGATGGGAAGGGAGGAGAAGGGATTTGGATGGGAGAGGAGGGCGAGAGGGCGCAGTAGTGGCGTAGGAGGAGTGGCAGGTGGTGTGCTAGCTCGGGCGGATCTTGCTTGGCGGGATCAGGCATCGTTGTGAGCGAGTTCGGTGACGGCACGAGGACGAGGAGGAGAAGGGAGGTCAAGCGGGCTGGCAACCGTTCAGGGGCGTTGCTTGACGGTTTCTAGCAACGCCATGAACTGCTGGAGCATGGTCGAGCTCGTTGATACGCTCGAAGCGGCCTTGAGACGAGCAAGGGAGGATTTCGACGGCGACAGACTGGCTTCATGGTGGTCTGAGGGACTCGTTGGAGTTGATGGGCTCGCCAGACGTCTGCGCGCAACGCTAGCAGTTTGCTAGCAGTTGGTAGAGCTGCTTCTGACGCCTCCCCTCGACGTCAGCTGGATCCGCGGACTGCGCCGGACCTCTCTTCCGCTCCCTTTCCCTCCTTCCTCTCGCTTGCACACCGCTGGACTGCTGCTACAAGGCTCTCTTACTACCCGAAGCATGTCCTCGTCTTGCCTTCCGCTCCCGGGCACCGAGTTCGCGTCTCCCGAGGCCCTCCGACTCGCCGTGCACAAGGGTTGCTGTGAGTTCTCTTACCCAGCGATTAGCCTGCGCACCGTCGCGCTAACTCGCGTCTTCTCCGCAGTGGCGAAGGGTTACGAGCTGGCGGTCCGGCACGGCGGAGGCTTCTGCGGCGAGTTGGGCTGCCGCGTCGCAGCGAAGGGAGGCGGAGCATGCGCCTTCAGGCTGCTCTACAGCGGCAGCGGAACCCAGGTCCACGTCACGCAGATTCACGAGGAGCACACATGCTCGCAGGAGGTGCGCATGCTCAGGAGGCTTGCTGCTCGAGCGTGGGTTAGGTCGAAAATCGTTCAGCTCGAGGCGAAGCTCAAGCAGCCTGGGTCGACTCGACCCGTCCAATCTTCCGAACGCACTGACACGTACAATAAGGACGCCAGCGACGAATCTGAAGCCGAAGCCGACGAGCAGCAACGCTCGCCCCACCGCTCCCTCCGCTCACGCGCCGCGGTCGACTACCACGAGCCGGGCCTGTCTCTCCTCTCCAGCTGCTTTAACAGCGATGACGAAGGCGCTATGGAGCAATCGAATGAGGACAATGCGGACCAGAGCGGGGAGGGTTCGGTCAGCACGAGCGCGGCGAAGAGGCAGACCTTCGAGTGGCCGCAGATCTCGGAAGTGAGGGAGGATGCTTCGCGGGTTGCTGAGGTGCGCACGACTGCGCTACCGCCCGTCGCTCGTCCCGCTGATCCCGTCTGGCACGCAGACTACTTGCCTCGCCGCTCCCGCCGTCGGCGACACCTTCACCTCCGCACGCGACCTGCCCGTACAGCTTCACGCTTTCGCAGCTCAAATGGGCTTCACCATGCACCGTCGCAGATGCAGTAAAGACGGCTCATGGGTGGCCATTGGCTGCAGCAGGGGTCGTAACCGCAGCAAGCTCTCGAGGCAGGGCAAGTGTGCTTGCGTCGTCGAAGCCGACCGCGATGCCCACGGCTCATACCGCCTCAGCAAGGTCGTTCTTCGCCACAATCACGATCTCGCGCCGCCGAACGACGTAGACGAACCCGAGCCTGAAGCCACGCCCTCCGCCGCCTCGACTTCTGCTTCTGCGCCGCTCGCCGGACCGAGCAACTCGCACGCTACGACTTCGTTCTTCAGCCCTCCGCCCCTCCCCTCGCCTCAGCATCCCCGCTTCCACTTCGACACCCGCCAGCCGCAAAGCCAGCCCGCGCCGGCGCGCCTCCCAGCTCTCGCCTTCGTCGCCGACCTCAAAGCGCTCATCTCGCTCCTCATCCCCGACTTCTCGCCCGCTTCGACCTCTCGCCTCGCCTCTCAACTCGTCGGTGCCGGCGTCCGTTCAGTCAGCGAGCTTACCGACTTCCTCCTCTTCGAGGGCGACTCGGTTCTTCCCGGCTTTCTCGAGGGTCTCGCGTACCGGGAGGGAGACGAGATTGCCGAGGATGCCTTCTTGTTCTTCCAGCTCTTGAGGGCGTACAGCATGGACAACGCTTGAAACGAAGGAGGATCGCTTGCTCTTCGTGCGCTGACCTTCGCAAGTTGGCAGAAGTCGTGCGTAAGCCCGCAACAGCGCGCTTGTGTCGTTCATTCAAGGACTGAAGCCTTGCAATGCTCGCTCGTATGCTTCGTGCTCGCTCTCGTCGTCATCGAGGTCCGCGGACTCGCCGGGATCGCGTCTCTTGCTCCTTCTCCTCACTCTCCTCGCTCGTCTCGCTCTTTGGCCTCCCGCTTGCTCAACTCTGCACTCACACGATGTCTAAGTCCGCTCACGTGTCCACCTCGACTGCTCCGGCCTTCCCGCGGGTTGGCGACACCTTCTCCTCCCTGAACGAGTTCAAGCTGGCTTGCCACCGCGCAGCTCGTGCGTACGGCCCCTCCGTCCTCCTTTGATGGTACTAACAGTGCACGTACACACAGTCGCCGCCGGCATAGAGGTCAAGATCCCGGCAGGCAGCACCACCAGCGCCATCTTGCGTTGCAGGCTTTGTGACGAATGCCGCGCGGACAGGATCGGCCTCGGCGCGCCCTGCTCTTTCCGACTGTACGCATCTGCCACGGCGGGCACAAAGGGCGCCGTCAAGGTGTCGACGAGCTATCTCTCGCACTCTTGCCCTGAGACGGTTCGTCGAGCGCGGGACCGGGCGGGGGAATCGCGCGCCTGGACGCTCGGGAAAATTGAAGAGCTGGAGGAGGCGATTGCGGAGGGCAAGAAGCTGCCGAGCAAGACGTGGTGGGGACGGCCCGGGGTCCCTGTAAAACCCAACGGCGGCTCGAAGGACCGCGACTCGGAGGGCAGCGAGGCCGAGGAAAGCGACGAGGAGGACGACACAGACGAGGACAGCTGTGACGAGGACGGCGAGTCCGAGGAAGACGCCGAAGAAGACGACGACAGCGAGACCCAAGGTGCCTCGTTTGCGAGCAAGGCGGCGAGGTCGGGGAAGGCCGGCAAATCCAGGAGCGTGGCGTACCCTTCAGCGGCTGCTGTGTCCAAGGAGGTCTTGAAACTCGTCAAGGTGCGGCCCTCGCCTCGAGTCCAAAGTCCCGCTAGCTGACTTTCGCTGTTCGGCCGTGTAGACGGGTCCTGTCGCCTTTCCTTCGCACCAAACTTTCTCTAATGCACGCCAGCTCCTCGTTCACCTCTACGCCTTCGCTCAAGTGCGCGGCTTCACCATTCACCGCAAGAGCGACGCTTCCGACAAGCAGCACCTGCGCCTCATCTGCGCAAAAGGTCATCACCGCTACGCGCAGACGAAGCAGGGCAAGTGCAAGGTCTGCATCATCGCTGACCAGGACCAGAAGGGAGACTGGCGCATCACGTCGAGCGAGCTCGTACACAACCACGAGATTGACGAGGTCGCCGTTGACGAGCAAGCCTCGCCTCGCTTGTCGAGCCGCAAAGGGTCATCTATCGCGTCGAAGCGGTTGAAGCGAGAGGCGGACAAGCCGCCCGTCCAGCACGCCGCTCTCGTCCCGGCCTCGACTCCTTTCATCCCGACGCCGCTTCACGTCGAGGACGTCACCGCCTTCCTTTACTCGATCTTCCCTGCCGTCCCTGCTCACGAGCTCCAGCTCGTCGTCGACTTCCTCGCCCACGTCGGCATCTCGACGCTCGAGGACCTTGCCGCCCTCCTCGCCCTCGAGACGGCTACGATTCAGCACGTCGTCAATGCCGTTCAGCTGCCGTCTCTCAGTCCGCTCGAGCAGGCGAGCATGCGCGCAGCCTTCCACCGGTGCTTGGAGACGATCAGGCAGCAGGCAAAGGCGGACTTGCGCATGTAGTGCGGGACCTCGGCTTGCAATGAACGAACGGCGCCCGCTTGTCTGCTCAGTCTGCGAGGCCGTGTTGAACAATGCAGAGTGACCAAGTGGGTGAAGCGGGGAGTACGAAAGCGAGTGCAAGCGCGAGAGATGGGGACGAACGAAAACATGCGAAAGAGACGCAGCCGCCCTCAGTCAAGGTCGATGACCGTGACCTTCTTCCCACCCTTGCCCATCTCCTTCGACTCCTTCTTGCCGTCACCGGCAGCCTCCGACTCGTCCTTGACGCCCTCCTCGAACTTGACGCGCTTCCTCTTCGGGTCGTCGACTTCCTCGCCGCCCTCAAGCACGAGGATCTCGCGCTTGACCTTGGCGATGCGCTTCTCGATTTCGAGCATCTCGAGCTCGGCGCGCTTGTCGGCGAGCTGGCGGCGGGCGACCTGCGGAGGAAGGGAGTCGTCGGTATCGGCTGAGAGCCTAGGAGAAGGGGAGTGACGTTCCTTCGCGCGCTCGGCCTTCTTGTCGGCATCGGGATCTGTAGAGCAGGAGATGAGCGTCGAGGCATCGAGAGCGACGCAGTGAGACGGGCGAACCGGGGGCATGGCCTTCGATCTGCAAAAGGACTAAGGCGATACGGATCAGTGCCGCGTCTTCGGACGAGCGTGTGAGAGTCACGACGCACGCTTTGACCGGTAACGGAAGATGAGGCTGGAGAGGGGGTCTTTAGGCTTGTCGATGTACTTGCATCTACTGCGTCGCCGTCGCGGCTGTCTACAGTGTCGCCGAAGCTGTCGGGCGATGATCAGAATCAACTCTTGCTCGTTAAAGGGTGACGCCAGGACATGCGCGACTTGATGCGTCAGCCTCGCCTTCTTCTTCTGCTCGTCGACAATGCGGCCTTCCGGAGCTTTGGCCTTGTAGCAAGTCGCAATACGGCGAACGTGTTCGATCCTGCAAATCTTGAGTTGAATAGTGCCGAGATTGTCCACGAAGTCCCGGTCGTTGCAGGCTTCCTGCGCTTGATCCGTCGTGACGAGTTTGCGGAAGACAAAAGGGCGGAACTTGGTCTGTCAGTGGGCAAGTTCAGCAGATTGGCTTCATAGAAATGGACATCTGGACTTGCGTTGTGGATTACGAAACCCGGGAAGCTGTCGTCGAGATTGCCGTCCCAATCGTTGTCTGTAATGGGGAAGGCCATTGCATTCGCTCTGTGGAAGTCCGCTTAGCTTCGCCCCGCACTCAGAAGTGGTGAGGCACGCGCTTGGCTCCATCGACATCAATCAGCACAACGAAAGGATCCTCCGGCGCCTTCTTCCTGGTGTCGAGGAAGTGGACCGAGAACTTGACGTCGTCCTTCGACTCGACATACGCGACCGTCCTGCTCTCATCCTCCGTAGCGTCGTACACCTCCAGCGGCTCGCCCTCGATGCAGATCCAGCCGAACACGCCAGGCAAGCCGGGGAACTGGCTGCGTACGACGAAGACGAGGTCGGCTCGGAACGGCGTGGAGAGGCTCGGAGGGACGCACAGACGGTGTTTCGGGTCGGGAAGATGCATTCTGAGCGGTTTCAGCGAGCGGAACGAGCGATGAAGCGGGAGCGTGAGGTGAAGAGGGCAAGGGTGGTCCGCGGACGACGGCGGAGGCGGTTGGAACACAGCAACGTCGCCGCTGGAGGTGATAGGCAGTTGATAGCGTGGTGAGAGAGCTAGCGCTCGGTTCCGAGGTACCTAGCGCTCAAGGGAGACGTTGTAGCGCAACAGCCGGACCTTCCCAAGCAAAACGTACTTGACCGGCTCGATACAACACTCACCCGCTCTTCCTACCACCGCATCGAAGCAAGTCCATCCTTTCTGTCACGCTCGCCTAGCCATTCGACCGCCCAACCTGCGCCAGGTCTGGACCCGGACCCAAGATCCCTCCCGCCGAATGACGCGAGTAGATCGCCCAGTCGTAGGCGACGAAGGGTTCGCGGAAGAGGGTAAAGTGTGGGTTGCGGCGGCGATGGTAGAGGGCGCAGAGGAGGAGGAGGGCGAAGAGGAGGGCGAGGAAGAGGAAGGACCTGCGAGAACGAGGTCAATGAGGACGACGCCAGGAAGTGGGAAACCGTGCGCACAGCCACCCGAGCGAGAGACAGCCTTGCAGCGCACTGCAAATGAAGTGCACGCCGCAAGAGCTCAACAGGCCAGGCGTCGAGGCGTGCAGGCGGGAAACGCAGGCGAGGGTGAAGAGCGCAAATCCGGCGAGCGAGACCAGCTCGAGCTGCAGACTGGCGAGACGTCGTCGCTTTGTCGAGGCGTTCGCATCGATCGGGCGGAGGAACCAGGCGCAGTGTGCGACGGTGAGGAGTGAGCAGGTGAGGAGAGCGGGCTGCAGGACATGGGATGAGAGTATGTACCGGCTCCTCCTCGGGAACAGAGCTCGAGGATCACGCACCACCGGCTTGTTGTATCCGACGGTCCATTTGAGCTCATAGGCGAGCAGGGTGGTCGCGAGGAGGAAGAGTACGGTCGCGGACGTCGCCAGGAGCGAGTACAGGACATGCCGTGCCGTCGGAACCCACGTAGTGTCTATCGAGCGCATCTGTGAGTCTGCACAAGCAAGCTGCAGCCTTCAAGCGGCGACTGTCACGAAGCCGTTCTTCATCAGCAAGAAAGGGCTTCAAGGAGGCGTGAGCGAGAACGGGGGCGTGCGCGGCGCCGGTTGTTTCGTAGACGCCATCCTAAGCAGCTGTAGCTCGGCTGAGTATCCTTCAGCAAGCCCCAAGTCAAGCGGAGTGAGCGGTTCAAGGTCAACTTGACTTGCCGCCATCCCGCCGGACCTCCTCTGCCAGCGCCCACACGCTCGTTCCGCTCATTTGCTCTGTGCGCCGGTTATTACACTCCTAGAGACGCTCTCAAGCTAGACCGGGCTACCCGCCGCTTGTCCCGCCCACCATCTCGATTCCCCGTCTTCCCTCAACCTCCGCCTCATTTCCGTCAAAGCAGCGCAACTATGGCCGACGGGATCCCTCTCGACCCATGGAAGCAGATCACGCTGTCCCGCCAGCAAGTCGAGGCGTACCTCACACGGATTCAGCTCCCTCAGTCAACCATCGACGAGCGACCGTCCCTCCCTCTCCTCGCCAAACTCATGCAGAGTCAGCTCGAGAATATCCCGAAGGACACGACGCCTATGCACGTCGAGGACTGGGAGGGACCGAGCAAGCCGATCAAGCTGTCAAGCGTGCTGAAGATGCCCGAGGGGGTTGAGGCTTTCGACCGGATTGTGACGGAGAACAAGGGAGCCTTCTGCTTCGCGTGAGTATCGGCGCAGTCCTTCCTTCCTTGCCGACGACAGCTGACCGTCGTCGCTCTGACTCGCAGCGTCAACCCAACTTTCGCCGCATTCCTCCGCTTCTTCGGCTTCCGCGTGAGCGAACTCGTCGGCCGGACATTCAAGTCGCTCGGAAACGACCCACGGACGCACCCCGACGGCTGGAAGTGGGGCACGTTGACGCATGAGCTGATGGTTGCCGACTGGGAAGGCAGCGACGCGCGATACCTCGTCGATGCGGCATGGGGTCCTTGGGGATGCCCTGTGCCTGTCAAGCTCTCGAGCGGCGAGACGGTACTCGGCTTGAACGAATATGAGGCGTTCAAGATCGTCAATGAGGGGCTTCCTCTCAGCCCACACCAGACGCCGCCCATCGACACAATGCCAGGCTGGACCTTCTACCGCTTCATTCCTCCGCCCAACACTCCCCTCTCTCTCCCCATCACCGACTCGACTCCCGGCTACTGGTCTCCCCAATTCCATTTCCACCTCCTCTCCATCCCGCTCCTCGACTACCGCCTCCTACACCACTTCTCCGCCACCCACGAAGTCGGCAGCTTTTACGCCTTCTGGCTTGTCACGCGTCTATTACCCGGTACAGGCGGTGCGCGGCGGAGTATGATGTTCGCGGAGAAGGAGGGACAGGACGTGCGAAGAGCGAAGGTATATACGACAGGCGGACACGAGGGGAAGGGCAGTCTGGAGGGGCGGGATGTCGAATGGGTGGACATGGAGACTGGGCCGATGCGGGAGTACCTCGAGCGCGAGTTTGGGTACAAGTTCTGAGGAGAGGGAGGAAGGGCCGAGGAAGAGGTCGGCGGAGACGTCTCCTTCTGGCTGTGTAGACTCGTTATAGATGACAGAGTCGCTGTTGTGTCTCCCATTGCCCTTGCATGGCGCCGCTCGTCGCTGAGCAGCCGCGAGCTTTCACCCTCGCCTCTCTCCCTCCTCCCCTTCACTCGCTCCTGACGCCTCACGCCATGACCGCTGCTGTACGGCCTCAGACGATCGAGATTGGCTCTCGCTTTCCTGCCTGGGACAAGGAGAACTCGCTCTGCTTCGAGATCGCCTTTCGTCGTCTCGCGGGTGCGTCCTCTCTCTTCGCCCCTCGCAACGCAGCTGACGCCTCACGAGACAGTCGCCGGAGACTTCGAGCCCTGCTGGAACCGCCAGAGCTACACCAAGTCCCACTACGACTGGTCCTGCAACGAGCCAGCGCAGGGCGACGGCTTCTGCACCTTCTCCGCCTCGCTCTCGACGGACCCCACCACCGGGGAAGCGCGCGTGACGGACGTCTGCCTCGAGCATGCGCATCCGCAGTGCGAGATGAGTCCGGCGCTGCGGGAGGACCTGCGCAAGGAGCTCGAGGCGGCGTGCGACGAGCTGGAAGAAGAGGCGAAGAGCGAGTTCGTCAAGTTACGCCGAGCTAAGCGGGGCTCTACGACTTCGACGGACACGGAAGTGGCTCCGCATGTCGCGCAGCAGCTTGTTGTGTGGGACGTGTGGGTTGCGGCGGGCAAGGAGCGGGCTGAGCGGTTCGAACAGGCACTCTTGGCGGAAGGACGTGCGGCTGAGGGCTATCCGGTGCGTCGTGCGTGATTCCACGAACGAGCATCCGCTGACATTAGGACGATGTTCGCAGACCGGCGGCATCTTCGGCGACGAGACCAACTCTCTTTCCACCGACCCGCTCGACCACCCGCTCGCCAAGATCAGCCCGCTCAACAATCCCCCTTCTCCGCCATCGTCTGCGACTGCCCGCCTGGACGCTGCGCCGAAATCTCCGGACTCGCCATCTACAACCCCAAAAGGCGTTTCGTCGAAGAACAAGACGACGCTCGTCTCGCAGATGAAGGGAAAGCAGCGACGCAGCGTGAGCGTCGTCGAAGTCGACCTCGTGAGTCAAAGTACTCCTCGCACGCTGTCCACTCCAAATAGGCGAGGCAGAGGACTCGCTTGTCGCTGACCTTCCCAACTCTGGCAGACGGACTTGCCTGTCACCCCGACGAAGCGCAAGAAGGTTAAAGCGAGCAGTACTTCGGCTCAGGACACCCCTACGAGCCCCGAGCGCCAGAAGACAACACCAAGTTCCGCCCAATCCTCGCTCTCCAGCCTCTCTGCGAGTCCCCAGCCTCGCACGACATCGTCCTCTCACTCGTCACGTACGAGGGAGGGTGCGCCGACGCCGACGCCGCCCGGACTCGCGATTAAGCGTGAGATGTCGCCCGAGTTGGGCATCGCGACTGCCGCAACCGAATTTCATGCGGACGGAGCTGGCGCTATCCCGCCCATGCTTCGCTCTCCGACATCGCGCGAGCCTGAAGCGAGCCCCGCGCCTACGCTTGTCGAATACCTTTCAACGCTCGACCCGTTCGGCGGCTTCGACTACTCCTCCTTCGCGCCGACGCTCGAATATCTCGGCATCAAGAACGGTACAGCGCTCGAACGATGGGCCAAAACGGACGAGAAGCTCAAGGTGCTTGTCAAGAAGCTGGCTAAGCCGGACGGAGCGGATGAGTTGGCGTTGATGCAGTTCGAGGAGGACTTGAGGGAGAGAGCGAGGGGCGCGGCGGGTTGAGGCGGCTTTGCGGTTTCGTAGTCTTGATAGCGTCGCCTTCGACATCTGAGACTGCTTGGAATCCTATGCTCAACTGCGTAGTTCGTCCAAAGCGATGCCGTCCTCCTCTCCTTCCGCTCGTTCACTCGTCTCGCTCACCTCGCTCTATGCCCGTCGCTCAGCCACCCCAGCGCATCCAAATCGGCTCTCGCTTTCCTGCCTGGGACACGGAAGAGTCCTGCTTCGAGCTCGCCTTCCGCAAGGAAGCCAGTGCGTCCTCTCGCCTTCTCTGGCTCATACAGCGCTCACAGCCGCTTCGAACAGCTCGCCGCGACTTTGCACCGTCTTGGGACGACACGAACTACGTTCCGGCTACCCACACGTTCTGGGGCTGCGCACACACGGCGAAGGGGAAGTGCACTTGCACCGTCCGAGTCCTCCTCTCGAAAAGACGTCGACAAGCGAAGCCCTTTCATCTCGTACGCCTACTTCGGTCACAGTCACTCCGCTTCCAGGCTGTCCGATGACGTCCGCTTCGCCTGCGGCGAAGACATGGCTGGCGTACGGAAGGAGTTGAGGACGGGCGCTTTCAGGGAGTTTGCGCGACTCAAAAAGCTTGCGGACGTATTCAAGAGGGAAGGAGTGACGCGGTGGGCATCGTCTCAACAGCAGTTGGTCATCTGGGACGTGTGGGTCGCGATCGGCTTCAAGCGGGCGAAGCAGTTTGAGAAGAAGATGCTCGGGGACGGTCTGGTCGTCGAGGGCTACCCGGTGCGTTCTTGAACACCGAGTCGAGTAGGCCGAGGCACTGACAACGCTTGAATCGACGTGTGCAGTCTCAAGGCGTCCTCGACAACTCGCTTTCTCCCGATTCTGATCCTCTCGCACACCCTCTCGCCGCCGTTAGTCCGCTCACGAAGGCTGTCTCAGACGCGTCTGTCGCACTTGGTCGCCAGAGAGCGCAGGTGAAGGGCAGGGCGAGGTCGAGCAGCTGGAAGGGCGCGAAAGGAACGACAGTCGCGGCCAACAAGGTGAACGGTGGAGCGGCAAGCGCGAAAGGGACCAGCGAATGGTGCGTATGCCTCCAGGTCTCAGCCTAGAAGGAGTGGCTGAAAGCCGATCACTTGGCCGCTCGAAGCAGGAGACTGCGCCGGTCACGCCGAAGAAGGTCGCCCGGGATCTCGTCCAGACAGCCAACAAAGCCTCGCAGTCCTCCTCTGCCTCAGACCCGGCACCTTTGGCGTTCGTCAATGAAGCTGTCCTCGCGCCGCCGGAGCGCGCGCCGTCCTCAGTCGTTTCGCCTTCCCCCTCGAAACGCCTCAGTGCCAGCGGCAGCAAGCGAAGCAGCACGTCGTCCGACTCGCCAGCGACAAAGAAGCGCAAGAGCGAGTCCTCCTCGTCGAGCGCGGAGATCAAGCAGGAAGTCAAGGCGGAGCACGAGCTCCAAGTCTTGTCCTTCAAGGCGCCCAGCTCTTCCGCTCCCTTGCCTTCGCGCGCGGCGCCCGATCCCACATTCCTCGCCTACCTCACCGCCCTCGACACCGGCGGAGCAGTCGACTATTCCATCTTCGCCTCGGACCTCGCCCACCTCGGATTCAAGAACCACAAGGCGCTCGAGCGAGTCGCAGCGACGGCCGAGAACTGCAAGCGGCTGGTCAAGGACTTGTCGAAGCTGAGGTCGACGGACAAGTATGCGCTGATTATGTTCGAGGAGGATCTGAAGGCGAAGGTTGCGGGAGGAAGGGACGGCTGAGCGGGATTGTCGACAACGTGCTTCTCTCTGCAGAGCTTAGGAATGATTATGGTACGTCGCGTTAGCATCAGACTCAGAAGACGATGTCTTCTGGTTGTACTACGACGTCTCGCCCGTCCTTCGCGCCGCGCGGTAGCTGTATCGAGAGCTTGTCCGTATCCCGCGGCAACGGTTTCCGCATGTCTGTACCAGCGAGAGCTCAGCTAGGCTCGTCACATCGAAGATCTTCGATGCAGAGCGGAAATGCGTGCGCGAGATCAGGCAATGACAAGGACGAGCCGAACTCACCGTATGCATCCTCGTCCTTCTCGCCCGGCCCGCCTCCGTAGTACGCCTGCACTCTCCGATAGATCATGTAGCCCAGCGATTCGTAGAGACCTATTGCGAGGTTGTTCGATTGTCGGACGAAGAGGTCGACGCTGCGAGAGGTACGCAGGTCAGCTCCGCCTGACACATTCAGCCGCAAGGAGCCGTGAAACGACGGTGTCACGCGAGTGCGCAGTGTGAGGAGGAGACTCACAACCAGCCTTCTTGTCGCTCCGAGACCTTTTCGAGCAAGTCCATCATCATGCTCGCGAGACCTAGTCGTCGGTGTTGCGGCGAGACGGTAATAGCCGATACGTGTCCACTGTGAATCACTCCTGCGTGGTCAGCGGGTTCCTTCGAGCGTGAGGAGCAGGAGGTCGCAGCTGGAGGAGGGAGACTCACTGCCAATCCCGTCCTCGACCCTCAGTCTTGCCCATCACTGCGGGCGCTCGCACACTCTTCAGATCTCACTAAAAATCCAGAGGAGTCGAAGAACGCACCGTAACCCATCAGTCCCCCTCCCTCTCCTCCTCCGAACCCTCCGGCCGTCTTACTCCCGCTTCCCCGTCCTGCGGCGCCTTGCAAGCCGATTCCTCTGCACTTTGCCTGTCCACCAGCCGACTCGACCACCCTTTTCACCCGTACAAGCCTATCAGCCTTCAAATGCTCATCTCCCCACCGCCCTGCTCCTCCTCAAACAGCTCAAGAAGGGCAAGACGCACGAGAACAAGTCACCCCAGTGCATCAGGTAGCTGAGGTAGTAGCTCACGCCGTACGTCTCGGTCCAGACGTCGAGGTTGATGGCGTTGAAGTCGAAGAGGTCGAGGGCGGAGAAGGGCCGGATGAGCGACATGGCGCGGTGTGAGGGGCGGGACGGGTGGTCGCAAGCTTAATTTGAGTCGATGAGTCGGTTGAGCAGGCCAGCCTGAGCGTTGTGAGCGCGAAAGGGAGACGTCAAAGAGTAAGAGAGGTGTGTCGAGGAGGATTCGCCAAGGTCTCCTTCGTTCGGCGGTCTGGCAGCATCAAGCATCGCCTACACTGCTCCGTCGACTCACGACTGTGACTGGGCCGACCGCGATTGAGGATATGACGTCGAGTTTCCCTGCTCCTGCGAGAACGAGCGAAAAGGAACGCCCTTGATGCAGCCACGACTGTACAGGGTCTACGCTAGCCCAAAGGAACAGGAACGAACGAAAGTGCACACCCGGGAACCGGTGAGACGCGAGGAAATCTCGCGCCCGCCTTCATTAACCAAGAACCCGCCCCCATCCTCTCCCCCGCTCATCGCAACAACCTCTCCCTCTCCCCTCCCCTCGCCCCACCCTGCTCCCCCTCTCCCTCCCGCCCAGGCAGCGGTTCGCCCCAATCGTCCACCCCCTCCCTCGCTTGTCTCCGCCTAAACACCAAACACAACACGAGCAGCGTTCCCTGCAGGACGCCCGTGACAAAGTAGGTTGCCCAGCCTGTGAAGTTTACGCCGGGTCGGATGGCGAGCGTGTAGACGAAGACGAAGGAGCCGGGGGTCTGCGCGGTCAAGTCCGGTACGTACAAGTCAGTCTTTCGCGCTTCGAGAGGGCGGGGACAGACGAAAGGGGCCCGAACGCACCTGGAGCATCATCATCGGGATACTCAAGCTTCCCACGAGCCTCCTCCGCGCCGTGTGCACGAGCTGCGGCGCATACTGGGCACACCCGAGCGCAACACTCACGAGTCCCAACGTCGTCGCCCAAACCCTGACCGCCCTCTCGCTCGGGTGTTCCCGTCCGCCTCCGTTGCCCGGCACGGGATCCCAAGGGGAAGGCGTTCCCTGATGCGGCGTCTCGGCTTTCGGGAGGGTAAGGAGGAGGATGAAGGTTGTGAGGAAGGTGAGGAGGAAGTGGAGGACTGTGAGGAGGAAGAGGGAGACTGCGTGGCGGTATTCGGAAGAGAGGATGATTTCCCCCCTGCGCAGTTGGCCGGGGAGGAGGAAAGTCGAGGGATTGAACGCGCGCTCGTCGTCTGTCTCGTCGTCTGCTGAGGAGACGTCGCTTGTGAGAGAGGCGGAGGAGCGCGAAGGACGGATCAGGTTTGAGGGAGTCGTGGTGCGCATGAAGTCGGGCACGAGGGAGGTGAGGAAGGGTTTCCGTTGACGTTGAGGGAGGGCGGACGATGCGATAGGAACTGAGCGGACGTATTTCGAGCTGAGGGGGTAGTAGACGAGATACAGGATGAAGCTGCGGGAGGGAAGGGTGATTAGCTTCGCATGGGGAGAGGCAGGAGTGTGCGCACGCACATGAGGGAGAAGCAGAACCACTGGGTGAAGACCTGCGCGATCCCGAGGACCGACTCGGCGCACTGGCCCTTGGACTGGGGTGATTGAAGCGTGTACGAGGAGGAGTAGGACGAAGCGTGTGCGTGCAGATCCATGTGGGGAGGGCGGAAGCGCGAGCGGAAGAGAGGGAGAGCGTGGTCAGCCAAACAAATCGCGGCCTCGGGTTCAAAAGAACCGCGATGACGCACCAGGTACTGGCAGCAGGCGACCTGACCCCACTGCAACGTGACGATGTTGCCCAACGAGCTGGCAGACGAGGTTGCGCCCAAGAGGAGGAAGAGCGGCGAGAAGCCCTCGCTGTTCTTGTGGCGGATGATGCGGATGTACTGCGGTGCGTACGAGAGGAGGAGTCCTGCGATGATCAGGCTCGACAGCACCGTCGCAGTCGTGTCGTGTTCGAACGCGGCCTTGCAAGTCGATGGCGAGGGCGTGGGTCGCGAGTGGAAGAGCGCCGGTGCGACGCCGCCGCCGAGTGGGAGCATTGCGAGTGAAGCAGCGTCTGTTCGCAGCTGGGCAGCCCTGGCTTCGCCCTGTGAGCGTGGTGTGAAGAGCGTGAGGCGAGGGTCGTCGCGGAGAGCGGGGTCCTCTTCGCCAACGGGGAAAATGCGCGATTGCGTGTAGTGCACTAATGAAGCACTACTACACAGGCTACACTGGGACCGGATGGAACCCGTGCGAGTTTGAAGGCGGTCGTAAAGTCGTGTCGAGGAGGTTGGCGGACAGACACTCGCTCGACACCGCTTGCTGGACTCGCTGGGGCTGCTAGAGGCACGCACTGCCTGCTACACGGCTGCTAGAGTCGCCGAACCCCGCCCGCACGCGGTGGAACGGGATCAATGGACGACCCGCGTCCTCATCGACTACCCGGCGAACAGTCGACCACCCTCCCACTCGCGTCGTTCGCAGCGACACACGCACCGACGCACCCACTACCACGCCTGCTCACCGACCCAGTCATACCGCGCGTCGCAGCAGTCGAGGGATGGCTGCTCTCGTCCAAACCGGCCGCGCTCCTCCTGCGGTGGGGACTCGTCTCGGAGCGCTCAATCGTCCTGGTCGCGCTGCTGGGACTCGTGTCGGCAGTCATAAGATGGAGGAGTCAGTGGCGGGGAATGCTGTGGGCCTTGGGAGTCGGCGAAGCGCTCGGACGGACAGTGAGGCTACTTGAGCGTGAACAGCGCGCGGCAACAGGCGCAGGGGGCGAAGACGATGACGAGGAGCAGCACGTGCTATCGTTCTGGCTGCTCTTTGCGGCGCTCTCCCTCCTCGACAGCCTGCGGACGACGCCCTCGACCGCCGCCCCCTCTCCTCGCTCCTCGATCTTCACCCTCCCAACACGCGTGCGCGACACCCTCCGATCCTTCCGACAGACCTACCTCCACTTCCTGCGACTGTACATCCTCCCCACCGCCCTTCGGACGCGCTTTGCGGCACGCGAACTCGTCCAGCGGTACCCGTCGCTCGACCCAGCCCCTCACCTCGCGCGTCTCCCTTCCCTCCCGCGCTTCTTCCCCTCATCATTCATCGCGTCTCCTCCTACGTCCTCCGTCCCGCCTCGCCGAAGCTCGACCTTCCCGCAACCCCGTTCTCGACCCTGGGATCCCCTACCCACGTCCCTCCCCCTCTCATGGTCATACTTCGCCTATCCCTCCTCTTTCTCTCCCTCGCCCTCGGTACCGGCATACTCCGTCCGCGCAATGGCAGCAGCCGAAGCGCGCTGGGAACTCGTCAAGCTCTTGATTCTCTGGACGGGTTTGAGGAGGGACGCGTTTGGTGCGAAGAGTGTAGTGTGGGATTGGATTGTCGGGCCGGTTGTTGGGGCTTTGCCCGGGCGGACAGAAAAAGAGACGGTCTGGAAGGTGGTGAAGGAGAGTCGGCGGGAGGAGAAGCTGGAGCAGGAACCGAGGGTCTCGCAGGACCGTCCACGGACGGCTCAAGACTCGGATCACTCGCCTCCTCCTTCGACCTCTCCTTTCCTCCCACTCCAACAACCCCCTCTTCCGCCTGCCGCACCATCCGTGATCTCCACCGCCTCGTCCGCCGCAAACTCCTACACCTGGACACCGCGTCGCGCAGGGTTCTACCGCCCATCCTCCGTCCATCCCTCCGCATCCTCTACTCCCCGCAGACTCCGCTCGTCCTCTCCCACACCCTCAACCTCCACAGCCGGCACCGGCACCCGAAGCCCCTTCACGCTCCAATCGCCCCCTCCAGGCCGTGCATTCGCCCTCCCCCTCCATCAGCCCGTTACGACGACTCCGCAAGGCGTCACGTATCGATTCGCGTCGAGCCAGCACCCTTTGTTGGGTCCTAGGGCGGCGAGTACGAGTGCGATTTCCCTTGCTGCTCAGGGTGAGGGAGCGAGGGGGAGGGGCAGTGGAGGGAGAAGGGGGAAGAGGGACTCGTTGTTGTTTGAGAGTCCGCCGAGGTCGCCTGTTGGCTTGGGCGAGTCTGAGGACGAGGGGTTGTCGAGTGAAGAGCAGGAGGCGGATTCGGACCTCGACCCGCCTCCGACGCCGGGGGAACAAGAGGCGGAGGAGGGTGCGAGGAAGTGGGCTACGGTGCTTGCTGGGGCCGCGCTGGATGCCGAAGGAGAGCACGAGGAGGAGGAGCGAAAGGCGGGCGGCAGCGGTTGGAGCGTGTGAGGTTTGGGTTTGGCGACTCAGACTGTTGTTTTCGTTCTGTGGGCTGTATTGCAGGTAGTATCCGGTCGTATACTTCGCAAAGGGAGAGTGTCACGGCGAGACTGCACAGGCGAGACTTGGCGATATCACTCTTGACATTCGTCTTCTCTCTCGACCTCGCTCTTCTCGCTTGCTGAGACTGTTACAATGCCTGGCGTTTCTCCTACACCGAACGGCGCTTCTGCCGCCTCGCCTGCCGCTCCTCCCGCCGCCGCCAACTCCCCCTCTTCGACTCCTGAGCGATGCGCCAACAAGTGCGGCCAGCCGGCTAGCAAGCTCGAGTGCCCAAAGTGTCAAGCGTGCGTCTAGACGACTTTCTCTCTCCTTCCGCCGGCCCAACGAGCGAGGTGGCAGGCGTGAGGAGCGTGCCGAGAAACGACTTGTACAAGGGTTGTTGGCGCGACGACGACCCGCTCGTAGGACTGGAGGAGCTGACAGTGCCCTCGTTCGCGCAGACTCGGCATTGCGGGCCAGTTCTTCTGCGGCCAGAAGTGCTTCGCTGCGAATTGTGCGTCCCGCGACTGCTTGCGCTTCCTCTCGGCGCGGTCTATCTCGCGCAGGAAGGGGCTGACGAGCACTTTTGTGTGATGTACAGACCCTAAGCATGTCAAGGCGATGCACAAGCCGCCTCCGAAGGTCGAGGTCAAGTATGACTACCCGGAAGGAAGTGCGTCCGTGTCGTCTTTCCTCCCGCAGAGCGCTCGTCAAGACGCTGACAAGTCTCGTGATACTTTGGCGCGTGGTGGCACAGCGAAGGACGCCTTCGACCGCTTGTACGAGTACACAGGCAATTTGCGGGCCGTGATGCCGCTCGAGGAGGTCCCGAAGCGTGAAGTGCCGGAGCACATTCCTCGGCCGGACTATGCGAACAACGGTACGTGGTCTGGGTGCTTTCGGTCTGGGTGCTTTCGTCTTCTGAAACGATGCGGCAGCATATCGTCCTCGAGTCGTCAGCGAGTGCAAGGCGATGCTGATTTTCTCAACCGTGGCTTCGCAGTGCAAGGCCGCTCGTTCTCGGAGGAGATTGCGATGCTGAATGAGCGTCAGGGACGAGTGCTGAATGCGGAGGAGATTGAGTCCATGCGGAAGGTTTGCAAGGTGCGCCGCCTCTTCCCCTCCTCGCTTTCTCCCCTCGCTCACGGACGTCTTCACAGCTCGGCCGCGAAGTGCTCGACATCGCCGGCGCAGCTATTAAGCCTGGTATGACGACGCTGGATATCGACCGCATCGTTCACGAGGAGACGATCAAGCGGGATGCGTACCCGAGTCCGCTAGGCTACCGTTTGTTCCCTCGCTCTGTCTGTACATCCGTCAATGAGGTCATCTGCCACGGTGAGCAACTCCTTCAGCTCGGACGCTCAACGGGCCGAGCTGACTCGGCTTCCTCCAGGCATCCCCGACGCGCGACCGCTCGAGGACGGCGATATCATCAACCTCGACGTCTCGCTCTACTACGGCGGCTTCCACTCAGACCTGAACGCTACCTGTGCGTCACTACCTCCCTTCGCATTCTCAGCTCGCCCCCAACTGACCTTTTTCACCCGCAGACCCGGTCGGCCCCTCCGTTTCGCAACAAAACCTCGACCTGATCGCCTGCTCCCGCGAATGTCTCGACGAAGCGATCCGCATCTGCAAGCCCGGCACGCAGTTCCAGGACGTTGGAAGGGTCATTGAGGAGGTCGCGACTGCTAGGGGGTTCTCGACGAACAAGACTTTCGTTGGGCATGGGGTCAACCAGTGCGTGCTTCTCTCGCTGTTATCCTGACGATGAACCGTCCAAGCGAGTTGTTGACCGTGCGCTGTCCGCGCAGACTCTTCCACGCGCCTGCACCAAACGTGCCGGTGCGTCCGCTAATTCAGATGTTCCGCTGCGTCTCCGCTAACCTCCTTCGTCACAGCACTACGCCGGCAGTCGAGCGTCGGGCACGATGCGCGTAGGACAGGTGCATCGATCTGTCTTACCAACTTGTTTCGCAAGCTGACTTTCGTCTCTCTGCGCAGACTTTCACCATCGAACCCATGATCTGCGTCGGTTCCGCACGCGACACGCACTGGCCCGACAATGTGCGTTCTACCCGCTCACTCAACTCGACTTCCGCTGACCTCGCTAGGCGCGCAGTGGACCGCCGTCACCCGCGACGGCAAAGCGTCCGCCCAGTTCGAGGAGACACTCCTCATCACTCCTACCGGCGTCGAAGTCCTCACGGCTGCGCCAGGCTGGACACTGCCGGAGAAGAAGCTCGTTGCGACGCAGAACGGTGGGCAGGCGAAGAAGGCGAAGCGGTGAGGCGGACCTGGGGCGAGTACTATTGGCTTCGGGCGATAGACGGTAGACTCACGGTGCTTCATGTTGGTATTTTATGCATCTTCTCGCTCTAGCAGTCCTTTCCAGCGAGTACGTTGAGTCGTGCGACCTTTGTAATGGGCTGAATACGAGTTGCCTTTGTATTGCTTCGCTTCTTCCTCATCCGCGTCTCCGAGTCTTGCTGCTCGGCCTGCTACGATGTCTGATCCTTCGACTGCCGCCGCGAATGCCAACGGCGCCGCTGTCGCGCCTCCACCGCCGCCAAAGGAAGACGGCACTCCCGTCGCAGGATCCGGGAGGATGTGCTCGAACGGATGCGGGAAGGAGGCAGGAAACCTGGAGTGCCCAAAGTGTCAATCGTGCGTTCTTTCTGAGCCCTTTTCAGCTTTCCTCGAGCGCTGTTGGGCGAGAAGGAACTTCATCTCCCCTCGAGGCGGCGGCCGTCTCGACATCGCATACGAGGCGCTTAGAGGGCCAGCGAACTGACCTTGGACTCCTTTGCACAGTCTCAAGATCTCGGGTTCCTTCTTCTGCGGCCAGAAGTGCTTCGCTATGAACTGTCAGTCTCGAGGCGTCCGTACTATTCTTACCATGCGCGCTGCTGACCTGTCTCGCTGTTCCTACAGACCCGAAGCACAACGCAAAGTTCCACAAGCCCGCAGCGGCACCAACACCGAAGTACGACTTCCCCGAAGGCAGTACGTCCTGCTTGCCTTCCTTCTAGCTCTCGCATAACACTTACCAGCTGTTCCTCCACGACTTTGTCGCGCAGCCAAGGACGGCTTCGACGGCAAGTTCAAGTACACCGGCAAGCTGCGAGCCGTCATGCCCGTCGAGCCCGTCCCGAAGCGCCAAGTACCGGACCACATTCCTCGACCAGACTACGCGAACCGAAGTGAGGATCTCGAGTCCATTCCTCAGCGATGGACCGGTGTGTGGGGCGGGCGGATATTCGATAAGGCGGAGGAGGTGGCAAAGACGATTGCGTATGGGCTTCCCGAAGTGAGCTGAGTACTGACTCTTCCCCGTCCTTCCTTCGGGAATGACAGCTGAAGGCGATTCCCCTTCTGAGGCTGCGGGACGTATGGAGCGACAAGGGAAAGTCCTGAACGCGGAGGAGATTGAGGGTATGCGGAAAGTCTGCAAGGTGCGTCCGCTTCTCACAAGCCTCGTCAATGAAGCGAGCTCACCCTTCTTCCCCGTACAGCTCGCGCGGGAAGTACTCGACATTGCGGCGGCGGCTGTTCGACCCGGCATCACCACCCTCGAACTGGATGCGATCGTTCACGAGGAGTGCATCAAGCGAGACTCGTACCCTAGTCCGCTCAACTATCACCGCTTCCCTCGATCCGTCTGCACATCCGTCAACGAGGTCATTTGCCACGGTGCGCTTCTCTCGCTTGCGCCGGATTGTTTCGCTCGCTTACCTTCAAGCCGTGCGCAGGCATTCCCGACGCACGACCACTCGAAGACGGCGACATCATCAACCTCGACGTCACCCTCTACCACGGCGGCTTCCACGGAGACTTGAACGCGACCTGTACGCGCTCGTCGCCTCGAATACGTTGGCTTCGCTCACTCCCCTCCTCGCCTCCAGACCCCGTCGGTTCGTCCGTCTCGCAGGAGAACCTTGACCTCATCGCCTGCTCGCGAGAAGCGCTAGACGAGGCAATCCGAATCTGCAAGCCGGGAACGCAGTACCAGGACGTTGGTAAGGTCATCGAAGGTATCGTCAGCAAGAAGGGTTTCCAGACGAACAAGACCTATGTCGGACATGGTATCAACCAGTAAGTCTTGCTGCCTCCGGAGCTTATGTGCGAGGCGCTGACCTTGCTCTGTCTGCAGACTCTTCCACTGCGCGCCGAACGTACCGGTAAGCTCAGCTTCGCTTACATCGCTCCGCCGTTTGGCGAAGTTGAGACTGACCCTCCCCGTCTTGCAGCACTACGCCGGTAACCGTGCCTCGGGCACGATGCGCGTCGGACAGGTTCGTCTGCTGTTGCCGTCCGCCGCTTCTCCCGCTTGCTTACCCTCTTCGCCCACAGACGTTCACGATTGAGCCGATGATCTGTGCGGGTATCCAGAAGGAGAAGCACTGGCCGGACGACGTGCGTTCTTCTCGCTTTGCTTCGGCCGCTTTTCGACATGCTATTGACGATCTCTCCTCTTCCTATTCCGGCTCGCAGTGGACGGCGGTGACGACCGATGGCAAGGCTTCGGCGCAGTTCGAGGAGACCCTGCTGATCACGCCGACTGGTGTCGAGGTGCTGACAGCCGCTCCTGGATGGACGCTGCCCCAGAAGGAGGTGGCGGAGGACACGTCAGCGGCGAAGAAGAAGAAGAAGGGAAAGAAGTAGGACGCTCGAAGCAGTAACACCTATCGCAGCGCAGCCAGCTCCACTCTCGCGTATCTGCTAACGCTGACAGCATGACTGCCCTTCCGAGATAAGCGACGTTCTCCGACACGTGCTAAGCGATTGCTACGACTCAAGCGCTTTCCGCCGGGGTCTCCTTACTGCGACTCCTTGACCCACGAAGGCGCCTCCGACCGCTTCGACCTCGCCTGTTTCTCGTCCACTGCCGCCCTCAGGTCGTCGATGAACGCCTCGAGCAGCAGCTCATCCGTGTGGTCCGCCCTCCTCAGCGCGGTTTCGACTTTGTCGAGGTGTTTCTCGGCGAGACGCTCGAGCTGTGCGGGCTCGTTGACGCCCGCTCGGCGGAGTGCGGGCGCATATGCGCTGTACTCGAACAGACCTTGCTGGTCGAGGTCTGCTAAGTACTCCTCGAGCGTGATGGGCTGCGTAATGGGCTGAACAGGCTGAGCGAGCGGGATCGGGTACGGCGAGTAAGGCGGCGCGGCGTGCGTGTAGGCCGGCGTCTGCGGAGCTGGCGGGACCCAGTGCGGCAGCTGGAAGTGCGACGACGGGTACTGCTGCGGCGAGTAGCCGTACCAAGGGGCGGGTTGCGGGTAGGCGGCGGCGAAGTAGGGCGGAACGGGCGCAGCAGGCGCGCCGATGGCATAGGCGGGCGAGTCCGGCGTCGGGGGCTGGGCGACGAAGGTCGGCGAGCGGTCGGCCTTCGGCTCATCTTCGATCTCGTTGAAGGCGGGCGCGGGAACGAACGGCGGCGGGATCGACTTGCCGCGACCTGGCTTTGGCGGCAGCTTCTTCCGGTTGCGATGAGGGACACGCGGGTCAATGGCGAAGAACTCGTCGTCCGATCCGTCCTCGTACCGCACTGCGACCTTGTCGACGTCGATCTTGCTCACGGGCAGCTTGTACTCGGGAGGAAGGCGGAACGTCGAGGGGTCGCCGTGATTCGCCTGTCGCGTGAGTTTGCGTCAGCAACGAGCGCTCGCTGTATCTACGACCGATGCGTACCGCCGGCTTCTTCTCGACCTCGGGCTTGACCTTCCCGTTTCCCGCACCAGCTTCGTGCCTGTGCGCAAACACGCTCGCCTTGTCGTCCACCAACCACTCCTGGATGCCAAACTGCGGCTTGAGGACGACCTGCCATCCGCACGACACGACCGTGCAGGTATACGCAAGGCGAGGCGAGTTGGACGAGCACTTCTTCGTCGAAAAGCCGTTCGCGCGAGTGTAGGCCTCCAGACTCTGCTCAAACGCCTTGAGGTCCCAGCTCTTGGTCGATTGGAGGAAAGGCGGGACCGTCGGAGGCGTGACGTGGACGACACGCTTCTTGCCGACCTTGACCTGCATGTCCTCCTCGTCCTCCGACGACGACAGCTTGGGGAACGTCTTCTTCGGCGCGTCCGGCTTCCTCCTGCGCAGCTGGCGATCCTCGCCAGGCTTCTGCGACTCGAAGTCGACCTTGACAGGAGGCTTGGCGCCGCATCCGGGGAGACGCTTTGCGCGAGGGCCGGTGAGAGGGTGCGGACCGTCGAAGGTCGAGGGGTTCTGCGGGTGTACGGGTCAGACTTCCGCGTATGCTTCGTTGAGACGGATGCTGACGCACGGGGTAATCACTCGCCAACAACCCCTCCTCCCTGAACGCCCTCTCCCACTCCCTCGCCCTCTCCTCGCCCCAAACGTCCCTCAAATCCCACAACACGCATTCCTGCTCGCACGAAGGCCACAACACGTCCTCCGCCTCCTCTTTCTCGATGCCCTCGCGATAACCCGCCGGCGCACGCAACCTCGCCAGCTCTGTCTTCGCTGCGGCCATAACCTTCCCCTCCGCCTTCTCCAGCTCCTTTGCCGAGGGTCCGTTGCCGACGACGAGCGGGTGATTGTGGGCGAGACGAACGTCGGAGGTGACGCACTCCGCGAGCTTGATCGAGTCGTGGAGCGAGACGGAGAAGGGGCACGAAGGGTGTAGGCAGCCGATCTCGTAGATCTTGCCAGTCATCCGCTTGTCCGTGCGTCTCTTGGTAAGCTTGCCGGGCTGGAAGCCTTGCTCGGCTGGTCTCGCGACGATTGTGAGCGACGCAAGCGAGGGGAAGCGCGAGGGAAAGTGGACGAACCGGCGCAGCGTAGCATTGCGAGCTCGAAGTACACTTCCGGCGCGTAGAGGGGCCACTGGGAACCGACTTCGAAGGTCTGGCGGGCTGTCATGGTGAGATTGGCGAGATGAGGTGGGAGCGGTCGAGGATGAGGCGAGGAGGACAGGCCGGGCAAGAGGGCACTCGGAGGCGACGGCGGCGGCTTCGGACGCTGGCTGTGCAAGTCTGAGAGGCCTGGATCGTGCCAGAGAGGCCTACGAGACGAGCGAAGTGAGCGAGAGGAGCGCAAGGAGGATTGGCCTTCCCAAGCCTCTGCCCGCTCTGCGTTCTCCCTCACAATGCATGCTTGGAGAGCTACCGAGCGCTAGAGTACAGCATCTCAGAGCTACCGCGAGAAGATGCAGAGTCATACAGCGAAAAACAACCGCGAGAGGGATTAGGGATCTAGCACAACAGGAACCGGTGTATGAGGCTCAGGCTTTTTCGTGCGAGGCAGCGACTGCGCCGGTCGATGCAAGATTGAGAGGAGTCTGGAGCGATTCGATGCTCGAAGCGGAGGAGGCGTGCGTGATGGCCGGTCGCAGCTCGTCTGCGAGGGGAACAAGGTTCGTTCGTCAGTCCCAGCCTGCAACCTCAAGCGAGACTCGTACGCACCCATACTCGGATCCGCAAACGGGTTCTTGACCGCCTGCACCTCGCTCGCGCCCTCCTCGACCCGCTCGGTAGACGAAGGCTTCTTGCGATTCGAGCGGAGCGGCCTGAGGAGGAAGCGCATGACGGGTCCGGTGCGAGGTGGAGGTGGGCCGCCGTGCAACTTGTGTCGGAAGCTGCGAGCGAGGAGTAATCAGCCCAAGCGCGATGAGGCGGGGAAGGGGTGGAAGGCTCACTGAGCGGCGAGGGAAGCTTGGTCGTCGCAGAAGCGGACTTGGAGGACGAGCAAGAGCGAGATGACGGTTGTCGCGAGGCCGCACCAGGCTTTGCCCCATGGCAAGTTGTCGACTTCCTCCCAAACTGCACAGGAAAGGAAAGGTCAGCTAGTTTTCGGCGCCGGGAGCGAGAAAAGACGCACGCTTTTCAAGCCAGTAGATCGCGAATGCAACCGGCATGAACTTCTGCACCCAGCAGACGTACGACGAGACCACCATCGAGCGATAGGCGATCTTCAAGAAGCGCTTGGACGCCTCGGGGCGGTCTTGGAGCGCGAAGAACTTGGAGAGGTGGTAGCAGCCGAGAGCGATGTACTCGGTCTGTTCGAGGGTGGCTTGGAGGATCAGCCATTGGGCGAGGCGGGAGAACTTGATCTCTGCGGAGTGCAAGGCGATGTTAGCGGGCAAGAGGGAGGAGGGATGGCGAGGAAACGCACCTGATGTCTTGAACGCGGCGATCTGGCCGACGACTAGAAGAGCGAACGTGAACAGGTGGTGCAGGAAAACCCTGGAGCGAAGGGTCAGCTCGAGGACTCCTGGAAAGGCGAGAAACGCTAGACGAACTCGATGCAGAGGTCGCTGAAAAGCAGGTCGGCGGCGTAACCGACGAGCAAGAGCTTGAGAGCACCCATGAGAAGCTTGATGTCGAAGAGGCGGACCGGCTGAAGATCGCACAGAGTCAGTTTCGCTCTGAAGGAGAACGGCGGGAACGAGCGGACCGTCTCGGGCACAATGAAGAGTCGCCAGGCGCAGACTTGCAGAATGAGCGTGAATCTGCGAGTGAGACGCGGCTGGGTAAACGAGACGAGCGTAACTTGACAGGGCGGACGGAACGCACGTCGAGAGGAACAGGTTGAAGAAATGGCTCAATCTGCGACGTTCGAGCCGTGAGTACTGGCGGCACTCTCCAGAGCGAGCACTCGAACGCACGCAGCCTTTGCCGGCACCGACAACCTCCCCTTTGCGTCCGCAAGCTCGATGCCAACCTTCCCCTCCTTCCCTCTCACCGCCGCCCACGCCCGCTCGACCGCTTCTCCTCGCACCATGAGCTCGAGACTGCCCTTCAAGAGCGCCGCAAAGGTGTAGCACAACACGATGGCCCAGATGTCGGGTGCCCACATGGTGAGGATCTCGTAGGTGCTCGTGTCTGCGATGATGTCCTTGATGACGGCTGGCGAGGCGGACGTGATGTTGGGCAGGTCGAGGTCTGCTCGTCGCGGGAGGAGGAGGTGCATCGCTGAGAGGGTGTTTGCCAGTCCCATCGCGGTGGTGAGCTCCTCCGCAGTGGCGGCCATGGCGGGCATCCTGAGCAGCTACGCTCGTGTGCACGCAGCGGTCAGCGTGCAACAAAAGAGAGCGAGGAGAAAGGCGACGATGGCTGAAGGAGCGGTGCGAGGCAAGAGAAGAGGCAACGCGCGACTCGGACGCGAGGAGGCGAGCGAGCGAGGCCTTACTGATTTGATTACCGCGGGACAATCGCACGCAAACATAGCCGCTCGATCACTTCGCTCTCGCCCCTTCGCAGCAGCAGGTGCCCACCGCTGTGGCTCGACAGCAGGCGGCGATGCTGGACGGCGCTCGTCCCTGCGCACCTGACCCGACGCTGTGGATCTCGACAGCTACGTGCAGGCAGCACGGAATCGCCGGGGAGAGCGAGAGACGCAGAGAAAGTACAGCGTGACCTTCTCAAGCCCGGGATCGACCCACGTTCGCCGGCGCTCGAACGACCGCACGCCCAGCGCCCCTGAAGTCGCTTCGAATGTGAGTGTTACAAGACCTAGTGGCGACTACGAGGGTGTTGAGAGTGATACAGCCGCTTAGGGCGGGACCTACAAAACGAGTGTGTCGGAAGGTCTATCTCGGAGGCGTCAACCGCGTCCGGCTTCACAGACGGGTTTTTCGGCGTCATCGAGCTGAGTGCACTCTTCTACGTGCTGCGGTAGTGGTGAAGAAGGCTCCCTGCGATTTCGCGAGCGGAAGAGTCGGAGGAGGAAGCGGATGACCGGCCCATTTCGAGGCGGAGGAGGGCCTCCTTCAAGCTTGTGGCGAAAGCTGCGCACGCACTCCAATCAGTACGCGTGAAGCTGGGGAAGCAAGGAGGGGGACTCACTGCGCAGCGAGCGAGCTTTGGTCGTCGCAGAAACGGACTTGGAGGATTAGGAGAAGCGAGAGGACTGTGGTGGCCATCGCGCACCAGGCGCGACCCCAGGGGAGGTAGTCGACTTCTGCCCAGACTGCCCGTCGTGAAGGAATGGCAAAGGAGAGTTAGCCGCACAGTCGAGGTCGTGCAAGGACGGGGAAAAGGGTGAGCGCACGCCGCTTGAGCCAGTAAATCGCGAATGCCACCGGCAAGAACTTCTGCACCCAGCAGATGTAGCTCGATACCCTCATCGCTCTATATGCAACCCTCAGCATCTTCCTCGCCGTCTCCGGCCGCTCCTGGATCGAATAATACTTCGAGAGTTGGTAGCACCCCAGCGCAACGTATTCCGCTTGCTCGAGGGTTGCTTGGAGGACCAGCCATTGGGCTAGCCGGCAGAATTTGAGCTCTGCGAGAGGAAGCAGGCGTGAGCGAGAGGCGGACGAGGGGAGGACAGGGGCAGGACTCTACCGGAAGTCTTGTAGGCTGCGATTTGGCCAACAACGAGGAGAGCGAAGGTGAAGAGATGGTGGATGAATATACTGCATCTCGACAGCGAAGGATCAGCGCACAGTCCGTCGAGAAGAGAAGAACGCGACGAACTCGATGCTGAAGGCGCTGAAGATCAGGTCGGCGGCGTAGCCGACGAGCAGGAGCTTGAGAGCAACCATGAGAACTTCGACGTCGTCGATGCGGATAGGCTGCATCGTACGACAAATCCCAACGATCAGCATAGATCCGACGGAAGGGTATGCAGGACTGACCGTCTGAGGCACGACGAAGAGACGCCAGGCGTAGAGTTGGAGAGCAAGGACAGTGCTGTCGAGAGAGAGCGGGTCAGTGGCGGAAGTCAACAAAGAGGCGAGGGGAAAAGGGTGTACGTTGTGAGGACGAGGTTGAAGAAATGGCTGACGCTGTTCCCTCCGAGACGCGTCAGTACTCGGGCTGTATTGCAGCATCGGGAAGCGCACGCACGCAGCCTTCGCCGGTACCGACAGTCGCGCCTTAACATCCGCAACCTCAATCCCGTCCGTCCCCTTCTTCCCTCTCACGCTCGCCCAAGCGCGCTCCACCGCTTCTCGCCTCACCAGCAACTCCGTACTACCTTTCAGCATCGCCGCAAAGAAGTAACAGAAGACGACCGCGGTAAGGTCCGGACTCCAGATGGCGAGGATCTGGTACGTCCGCGTGCTGTCGAGGATGGATTTGAGGACCGCTGGATCGGCTGAACTGATGTCGATGTCGCGGGGATGCAGGGAGGGGAGTCGCGAGGGGAGGTTGAGGTGTTTCGGAAACTCCGTCGCAAGGGAGGAGACGAGGGAGCGGGCGGCTTCGTGAAGCCGGGAGACGGGCGCCATCGACGCCAAGTCGGCTCAGGCGTCTTGCCAGCGAGCGTGAAGTAGTGAAAGAGCGTGGGCGATGGCGGAGGAAAAGAGACGAAAGGAGCCGACTCCATGGTGGGACTCGCATCGCCCCGGACCCTCGCTCAAGCTGTTCCAGGCCATCTGAACGGATTTACCGGCGTGGCTGCTCCGTCTGTCTCGCTGAATGGTCCGAGCGAGCGAGAGAGAGAGCGTCGTGGTGAGTTGGGAACGGCGACCTTCTCAGGAGGCGCTACTCGTTGCGTACGACTCCCTTCAGCACAGAATGCTGGAGTAGAGTGCCAGTCTAGATATGCGCGTGGCATCGAGCAGAGAGGTCGCCCTTCAGGCGGCGAAGCGGAATTCCCGCGTTGCAAATACAGATACTGATCCTACTGAGCAATACTGAGGAGATAGATGCGCCGCCTGCGGCGAACCCTTCTAGCTATCTACAAGACCACAGAATATCACTGCTGCCACGCATACCCCCTTAGCGAGAGACGGGACGGCGGAGCGCGTCGGCGACATCAGAGAGAGGCGAGCGGCGGACGTCGAGGCTGACTGGGCGGACCTCCGAGATGGACGCGGTGTCGACCGACGAGGGACGCGGGAGGGTCTCGGCGACGGACGAGGCGCTCGAGGCGACGCTCGCTCGATCAGCCGTCAAGCTCCTCCTCTCCTCCTTCGTCGACTCGCTCTCGAGCACTGGCAAGTCGAACTGCTCCATCTTGCCTTCCTCCATCGAACGAGCCTTGAGAGTCGACGAAAAGTCGCTTGGAGCGGACGAGCCGGGGACAATGGTCGAAAGGGGGAGACTTGAGGGGGTGCGCTCGCGGTGTGTACGGCGGAAGGGGGAGGTGAGGATGCGCATGACGGGCCCGACGCGAGAGGGGAACGAGCCGCCGTAGAGCTTGTAGCCGATGCTGCGAGACGAATGGAGAGTCAGCTTCTATCGGAGAGGAGGAGAATTGGCGGACCCACTAGTTCGCGAGCGGGATCGCATCGTCGCAGAACTTGATCTGGAGGGTCAGGAGCAGACTGAGGATGACAGTGCAGAGGACAATCCAGGCGCGACCCCAAGGGAGGTGGTCAATCTCGTTCCACACTGCGTCGACCGAGCGTCAGCGTGCGAGGGCGTCTGATCGAGCGAAGTTTACGCACTCCGACCTAGCCAGTAGAGCGCAAAGGCGGCAGGCAGGATCTTCTGCGGCCAGGCGATCCACGTAGTGAAGACGAGGAGCTTGTGCGCTGCGACGAGCAGACGCCGCTGAAGACGCGGACGCCAATCCTGCACGGCGTAGTACTTCGATAGGTGGTAGGCGACCATCCCGCCGTAAGTCGTCTGTTCAGCCGTCGCTTGCAGGATGAGGTACTGCGCGAGGCGGAAGAACTTGGGACTCTTGGTCTCGAAGGCGGCGAGTTGGCCGACGAGGAGGAGCGCAAAGGTGAAGAAGTGGTGGAGGAAGATCCTGCTCGACGCGTTTCGTCAGCTCTGGCTCTGTTGACACGGAAGGAGGACGTACTCGGGGCGCAAGTCGGAGAACAACATGTCGCAGCCGTAGCCGATAAGGAGCGTCTTCATAGCGGTCGATAGATACTTGATGTCGCTCATGCGGACGGGCTGTGCACGCACGACGTCAGCTGATGCTGAGCGAGACGAGGATGGGACGCACCGAGCTGGGCAGGACGAACAGTCGCCAGGCGAAGCACTGCAGGACGAGCGCGATCGTCGCGACCGTAAAATTGAGTGCATGGCCGAGCCTGCGTGCGCTCCACCCGTCAGTCGTAGTTCTCGACGAAGCACCGCGGAGGAGACTCACGCCGCCCTCGCCGGACTAGCCAGCAAAGCCTTCACCGCCTCGCCCTCGACCCTCCCGCCCTTCCCCTCCGCCTCCCTCCTCTCCATCGCCTCCCTCGTCCTCCTCACACTCCTCCGACTCACCATCACCCCCAACACGCCCTTCAACACCGCCGCGATCCCGTAAACAATCACGATACTCCAAACCTCTGGAGCCCAGAAGGTGAGGATGTCGTATCGCGTCGTACCGATCTCGATAATGCCGACCAAGTCAGCGGGTGAAGCGGCCGCCGTATCCGCAGGAGGGATCTGGGCTGTTATCGAACCGAGTTGGGCGAGGTTGGTCGATAGGAACGTCGAGTTTGTCAGGATCGTTTCGGTTTGAAGAGCGGAGAGGGTTGGAAGGACGGGTTGGAGGTCGGAAGAGAGGGTGTGGAAGAGCGAAGTGAGGAGCGAGAGGTTCGCGGTCGTTATCTGCTGTGGGAGGGAGAGGAGCGACGACGAGAGCGAATCGACAGCAGAAGGGAGGGAAGCGATCGTCTCCATCTTCCTCGTCGTCGGGCTGTGCAAGCAAACGTCGCTGGGGAGAAAGGAGCGAGAGAAAAGGACGAAGGAACCACCGAAGGGAGGGAAAGGAGAGTCCGCGGAATTCGAAGCGGCGCGAGAGCGACCCACGGTTCCGCAGTCGGACATTATTTGCCACTTGTCGAGATAGGAGTGCGCGCGCCGAGGCTCGGCGGTTTAGGAGGGGACCACGAGCACGCCACGAGGAAGAGCGAGAGCGAGGAGGAGAGCGGAGTGGCGAGCGGCAGCAGCGGCGAGACAAGCAGCGAGCAGCGACGAATGAGCAATCTGTGAGCAGCGAGAAAGCGTATGAGCGGTCGAAGCGAAGCGACAAAAGCGAAGACGAAGAGGACGACACACCTCGCTCTCCTCCTTCCGCCACGAGCGCGATGAAGGGAGGGGTATAACGAGTCATGTTTCTTCCAGACGAGAGTTCTGATGATGATGAGGCATAACGTGGGCGGCGAATGAAAGAAGGAGGAGTGAAGGGAAAGAAGACAACGTAAGAAGGCGAGTTGGCGTGCTCGAGGGCGTTCAGGGGTGTCGGAAAGCGAATGTAAGAGAGTGTGCAGAGAAAGGTGAAGAGAGGGGTATAAGGGGAGCGTTGGCGGGTTTGGCGGGCGTCGAGAGTTGGAGAAGAAAAAGTCAAGGTCGAACCCGCACAGCAGGTCCCGTCCCTCCTCCTCCTCCTCCTCCTCCTCGTCTGCCAATCATCTCCAAGTCTATCGTCCATGTCGCCCACTCAGATCAACGACTTGTCCTCCTCCTCCTTCTTCCCCTCTCCCTGTCCCTCTCCCTGTCCCTGCTTCTCAATCACCTCGCCCAACGCAACAAACAAATCCGCATCGCGACTCGCAATCAGACTACTCGCGCGCTTCATCTGTCCCGTCGTCCCCGTCGTCGCGGGAGCGGGGATAGTCTGCACGCTCGGGGGGAACGAAGCGCTGAGGGGCGAGTCGGACGAGGTGAGTGCGAGAGGGGCGAGTTGAGGCGGTCCGGACTTGATGCCTGCGTTCTCGGATTCGGCGATGGGCTCGAGGGAGGTTGGGGTGGGAGGAGGGAGCGGGACCAGTGCGGGGTTGACGGGCGCGAGGGGCGAAGGCTGGGGAGAGCCAGGCTGCAACGCGCTCGGGACGGGCGGACTGAGCGCCCTCTGAGCCTGCTGCTGGACTTGCTGGGAAGGCTGAGGAGGCTGTCCGTTCACGCGCACGGCCGACGGAGCCGGAGGGGGGCAGACCTCGCCGAGGCAGTCAAAGGGGAAGACACCCTTCGCTGGCGGGCGTCCCGAGTTCAAGTTGAGCCCGAGCGCCCAGCCATCGTCGTACTTCATGAGGACCTGGACGGCGTCGCCTGCCTGCTCACCCAAACCAGCACACCAACTCGTCAGCGGGAGGAAGAGGAAGGGTAGGGGGGAGGGAACGCACGTAGAGAACCAACTCGTCGTCCAAAGACGGGTCAAAAGTCCCCTTGACGCGTCGGATCTCGCCCTGTCCCTCGCTCTCGGCGAACGGGCTCGACTGGGCAGACTGCGCGGCGGCGGCGGCGAGCTGGCGGTTCTCGAGTTCTTGCTGCATCTCGCGTTGCTCGATCGAGTCGACTGCGGCGAAGGAGGCGGGGGCGAGCAAGTTGATCGCCGAAGACTGCTGCTGCTGAGGCCATCCCTGCGCAGGAGGAGGAGGGTACGGCTGCCGCTGCTGCTGCTGCTGAGGCGGGACCATCGCGCCGTACTGGTTCACCGGCGCGGGCGGCGGGGGCGTCGGCGAGACCGGGGGGTTCTTGAACGGGTTCTGCGCCTGCTGAGTTGCGCCGTACCCTCCCCCACCAGCATAATACTCCTTCTCCCTCTCGTTCTCCGTTCCCCAAGCCGTCGGACTCGCACTACTCGCACCCCAAACCCCCTCACTCCCACCCGTCTCCCTCTCCTTCCTCCACCCTCCAGCCCCAACCCCACCCATATCCGGCGACTGCTGGTCGAAAAGCGCCTGTCCGGATCCGCGAGCGCGAGACGCTTTCCGGCGGCGGTAGAAGAAGATCCCGCCTACGAGGGCGAGGACGGCGAGGATCGCGATGACGATTCCTGCGGCTGCGCCGCCTGAGATGCCGGAGCTTGATGAGGTCGAGGAGGAGGAAGAGGCGGTTGAGGAAGAGGAGGGCGCGGAAGAGGCGGACGACTGGGAGAGGGACGCGACGCGTGCGGCGGAGGATGGGGTCGTCGCGGCGGCGGCTGCGTGCGAATACGAGAGAGTCAGCAACGAGTAAAGTGCTGTTTGTCGTGCGTTGCGACGCGAGTTGCGAGGTGCTCCAAGTCGAGAAAGGCGCTTGTTTGGCGCCGGGAAACGGTCGCGAACGGAATGCTCGAGGAGGGAGAACTGGACGCACCGCTCGTCGTGGTGGTCGTGCGCGCTGCAGGTGCAGTCGTCGTGACCCTCGCAGGCGTCGTAGTCGCTGCGAAAACGCGTCCCCCAAAATCGTCAGCAAAGGCGCGTTCTCGAGGAAGCGAGTCGTCGAACGCAACTGGTGTGGCCTTGGATGATGCGAGACGTGACAGTCGGCGCCGCATCAGCAGCAGCCGGCGTGGTTGTCGCACGCGCACCCGCGACGCCCCTCGCAGCCGCCGTCGTCTCTGCTGCCGGGTCCTGAGGCGCTGCGACGAGGGAGGTCGCGGCGAGGGGTTCACCGACGACGGCTGTGGCTGCGCCTGCGCCTGCGACTGCGCGCTGGCGCTTCCTGTGTCGCATGAGCATGCGTGCGCCCGCTAGGTGCTCGGGGGTGTCCATTGGTCGTGAGTGGGTGCCGAGGAATGCTCGCTCAGGACGCGCGGAAACAAGGGTGCGAGTCGCGGTTGGACGAGTGGTCGAGTGGGCTGGGTGTGGAGTGTCGCTCCGTGTGTGTTGGTGGTGCTACCGTGTCAAGAGTTGGCGAGAGAGAGAGAGAAAGAGTCTGGGAGAGTTTAGAGCAAACAATAACGGACGAAGGCGAGACGCGTCGTGCCAGTCGTCGAGTTAGCGTGTTCAGGCTGTGGGCTGAATGAACAGTGCAGCAACAGTAACGAGTTACAGCGAGTTGCAAGCGAACAAGGACCTGGACGGACATTGCGAGCCAAGAGACGAGCTGAGCGGGAGAGGAGCCTCCTGTGTTGCCAAGGTGTAATCAGTTTGTATTGAGACTACACCTCGAATACAAAACACACAAGGGGGAACCCACGAGCACTCCTCCTCCCTCCCTGCTACCATCGCCCGCAACCCGCTCACCCGTGGCACCCGCTAGCTGGGCCAACTGACTGCCGAGGGTCACTCGCACAGGGCCAGGTTCTCCAGCTGAGGCCCACCGCCTGCCCGCGCGCACCCGCTCTCTCGCACTCGCTTCCTACCGCGATGGCCTCCGCAACCACCTCGTCCACCTCGAGCGCAGGCGCCTACTCGGCCCTTCTGCGCCGCTCGAAACTCGCAACCTTCAACCCGCGCATCGACCAAGTCTACACCGCTCCCTCGTCGTCCCGCGCGCACGCCAACAACTACGGCCTCAAGCGTCCGCTCCCGCCCAAATCGACCCGCACCGCACCCTTCGTCCGCGTGCTCCAACTCGACTCGACAGACGGCAGGACTGGGTTCCGCAAGGCGACGAGGGAGACAAAGTTTACCCGCCAGTGGGCCGAGGTCGGTGTGGGCATCCAGGCGACCGTCTTGGGTGACAGGGCCGGCAGCGGCGGCACGGTCGGGAACAGGAGGCTCTGGTTCCGCCCCGAGGTGCAGACCAGGTTCATGCCGCCCGGATTCGCAGGCGGGATCCAGCAGCCCGGGCAGGAGAACGTCCCCGGACGCGAATTCGCCGTCGAGCCTGGCGTCGACTCCAACGCCGCCGACGCTCCTGCCGCCGCCGCCGCCGAATCCTCTCCCATCGAGTCCCAACCGGTCCCCAACTTCTTCCTCATGCAGCCCGACGCCTTCGACCAATTCCTCCTCGACCTCGGCCGTCGACGCTCCGACTTCCGCGCGTTCGTCGCCGCGGAAGAAAACAAGCGGTCCCTCTCGCTCGGACAACCCGCGAGTGCGGATCCAGAGACGTACGATTTGTACGCGCACGCGCAGCGCGAACCGGTCGAGCTCGTCAGGCTCGTCGAGCGCTTCCTCCGTTTGCCGGCTGAAGTGGACCCGCGAATTCCGGGCGCGGAACCTTCAAAGCGCGACCCTGCGCACGCTGAGCCGATGCCGCTCGTCCACCCGACCCTCGCACTGCAGTACTCGACTCCGACGCCTCTCGAGTCGTCCCTCGCTCCGCCCGTCGAGGGACGGATCCTCGGACCAGTGAACGACGCCGCGCGCAGCGGACACATCGGCGCGTCGTACGACCGCAAGAACAAGGTCTACGCGCAGGTCCTCTCGCAAATCTCGATGATCCCCGCCAACGCAGCGGGCAACACCCAGCCTACGACGTGGTTCCCTGACGTCGCGGGCGAGCGGTCGAACGTCCCTGGTCGTGCGTCGTTCCGCGTCCAGCCGACGATCAACCCTACGATTTACGCCGCGCGCGCATCACTCGAGCGGGCCAACTTCTACGCCAGTATCGATTTCCGCCCGCCGACCGAGGAACACGGCTCGGCTCTGCTCGACCACAGTCGAATCGAGACGCACCCCGTCGCCCTCCCAGCCGAACACCTCGCTTCGATCCGACCTTTGCCCGGAACGCAGGCTTACTCGGGCAACAACCCGCCCGAGGTGCGTCCCAGGGCGGGATCGGGCGGATACGCGTTCGGTGCGGGCGCGAGGGCACCGTTGTTGGGTTCGAGTTTGACGGATTTGTGGAGGGACGGCGAGGGCGCGCGGCAGGGCGGAGGTGGGGCGCTGGGAAGTTTGGGCGAGTTGTTTGGTGGTGGGTCGCGGAGGAGGAGGCAGGGAGATGGGGCGGATCCGATTGCCCAGCTTCGAGCGCGCAGGCAGGCGCAGGGACAGGGCCAGCAGGGACTGGGACAGAGGGCAGGGAGGAAGGGACAGGCGAACGAGAGGTCGAGGGAGTTGATTGGAAAGTTGCAGAGTATGATGAACAACGCCAACGCCGGTGGGAACGGCGGGTCGGCGCAGTAGGTGTTTCGCACCTAAGCAATAGATCTCGTTTCGCAGCTCTCTTTGTCGTGACGGACGCGAGAGTCTTGGGCGGTGAGAGAGTGAGACTTCGACCTCGTCCCCCTCACCCTGCTATCTCACCTCCTTCGCCCGCTGTCCAGCTCAGCCATGCTCAAAGCCAAAGCACGCGCAGCAGCTACCGCCGCAGCAGCGAAGAAGAAAGGTGCGTCTCTCGCGCATCGTCTCGCTTCATCGGTTCGAGGAGGAGAGGCAGGAAATTTAGCGTGGGAAGAGCTTGCGCGGGCGAGCGAGGTGGATGAGTGAGGTACAGGATAGCTGATTGCTCTACTATCGCTCGCACTCGCCCTACCCGTCCATCACCACTTCACACGACCCCCTCTCTCCTCCCTTCCTCCTCTCGACCTCTCAACGCGATACAGCCGCCGCCGCCGCAGCCGCAGCTCAAGAAGCCGCAGCTCAGCAAGCGCAACAAGCTGCGTTGGGCGTAGCGAGCACGACGAGGAGCGGGAGGGGGTGGAGGCCGAATGTTACGCGTGCGTTTTGTGTTGCGTTCGCTCTGAGGGCCTGTCTAGTTCGACGTAACGTCCAGGAGAGCGTTGTCGGACTACAGGACAAGCCAGTCGCTGCGAAAGTCTGACGCTCGATGCCTCGCACAGAGTACTGGGTCTCAGGCGCCTCTATCCTCGCTCCAGGCGGCTCGATCCAACGAATAGGCTACGACCAAACCCTCTACGAAGAAGCTGTCCGAGTCGTCATCCTCGGCGAACAACCTGCTGAGAAGAGGGAGATGGCGGGGACTATTCCGAGGAGTCAGGAGGAGGCGGAGGGAAGGGCGGAGAAGGGGAAGGAGGCGCAGGGGATGGAGGGGTACAAGACCAATAAGGAGGACTTGGCGACTATCGTGAGTCGGGACTTCCGCTTTTGCAGCGAACTGCGGATTCGGCCAAGCTTTACGCAGATCCTGCTGTTGCGCTTCCCAGGCGGGATGACTGACTCTCTGCGTCTGTAGCTCGCCCACCTCGACGTACCGTCAGCAGTCGCCTCGCAAGCACTGCGAGCGCACCGAGGAGACCTTGCAGCGACGCTGGCGGAGCTGGCGGAGCCTCCACGAACTGCGCTCGCCCGAGACGTGTAGAGAGTCGAGCTGGAACGCGATCTTTGCAGTAAGGAACAGGAAGTGTCTGCGAAGGGTAGAACGAGAGGCAGCGGAGAGAAGAAGTACAACAACACGACCTGCCCGAATCCCTCAGCCCTCTCTGCACTGTCTAACTTCGCCCGCCCGCCCCACCGCCTCCATCCGCTCCAACCGCTCCTTCCAGCACTCCACGATTTCCCTGTCCATCCTCCAATACTTGCCCAGCCTGTTCATCGGCTTCGGATCGAGGTCGATAGCCTTGACCGTCCCGACCGTTGAAGCCGCCGAGTCGAGCGGGAGCCGGATGATGAGCGAGCAGTCTTTGAAGGTTGCTGAGAGGAGGTAGGCGAGGATCGCGTCGCGCCAAGGCGGAGAGGGCGAGCCTTCATCGGAAGTCGAGGAGGCGAGGAAACGAGATTCGAGCGTCGCCTTCGATTGATCCCACTCTTCATGACTGAGAGGCGACGACTCTCCTCCTTGTTGCCGACCGAGCAAAGGCGAATACCGCCCCACCCACTCAATCCACTCGTCCAACCTCGGCTGTCCACCCAGCTTCTGCACCTCCTCCGGCCCAAAGTGCCGCGCTAGGTCGACTCCGGTCGTGCGGGAAAGAAGCGAAGCGAGTCCTTCGATGTAGAGGACGTCGAGGAGGGATTGAAGCTCCCGGAGGAGAGGAAGGGCGGGCGTACGAAGGAGGGTTGGTGCGAGAGCGTGGGCGAAGAGGGAGGCGCGCGAGATGGGTGATGCAGGAGGGCCGCTCGTGGTCAGGTGATCAAGAGCGTAGTCGAGAGGTGAGGCTTGATCGGCCTGTAGACACGCAGGTGTCAGCCTGACTGCGCGCGAAACGAACGAAGAAGCGATACTCACGTTGCCTGGCAGCACCTTCTTCCCGTCGAGGAAGATGCGCAAGTTGTTGATCCCTCCCTCGCTCGACATCCAGCTGCCGTAAAGCTGCTCGAGCGCCTTGTGCACGCGAGCCGAGTTGCCGCTGTACAGGTCGAGTGGGCAGAAGCCGTCTGAGCCTTCGCCGTCGGACGCCTTGTAGTGCCGGTGCATGCAGGTGCGACAATAGGTTGTCTTCATCGACGCGGTCGATGGCGAGAGATGCGTGGGAGACGGGAGGAAGCCCCATTTTGGCTGTCGAAGCCAAGTTAGGTCAGTCACGGCGCACTTGAAGGACTCCGCCGAGCGCACCTTGATCTCGACGGCAATGACCCCTCGGCCAGCGATGAGGTCCTCCACAACGACGCCCTCGGGTGTGTCAAGATCGACCTCGTCCTCCGCCTCCCGTTCCGCCGGCCGCACTCCTTGCGCCCGCATGTCCTCGACGAGCTCCTCCAGCCAGTCTCGCGACAGCGGCACCTTCTCCATCACGACAACGTTCGCCTCGCCTAAGAGCGGCGCGATGATCCTCGCGCCAAACTCGACGTCCACCTCTGAAGGAACAGCGTCCTCCCCTCCCTTGACCCCGCCTGCCCGCTTCTTGCGTTTCCTCAGCCTGAGAGCATGGCCCGAGAAGGGCGAGTCAGCAGGACCAGCGAACGAGACGACGAGGTTGGCGCCTCCTTCGGCCGTGTACTGCCAGGCGATGGGAGAGGTCGTCTCGAGTGGTGGGAGCGGCATAGCACAGTATGGGCGCTGGTACAGGGTCTGCTGAAAGCTATCGCATCACCATCTAGCCAATCTAGCGCGTCGAGCGAGGTGACGAGGTTCGACCACCGTTCTCCCCACCTCTTGTTCTCCTCAGCTTCGCACAACACCGCCTGCTGGGGCCGTGGCTTTCGTGAGGCGCTGTTGCAGAGCTCAAAGCCCTTAATGGGTGAACCGCTTGCTCCCGCGACACCGAGAACGCCTTGCACCTCTCATCGCACCTCGACGTCCAGCACATCAGCACACCCCGACACTGCGGCAGAGGAGGTTTGCGCAACGCGGATACAGCTGCAGAACACTTCGGCAGCTCGGCCGAAGGCTATCTCTGTCCGCTTGTCAAGGTTGACCAGATCGCGACCCGCGCCTCGCGAGTTCACGCAGGATGACGAGGTGCTGAAAATCCGGCAAGGGGATGCAGGGCTTCGAGGGCGTATGTGCACAGCGCCCACAATAACGACTACTGTCGAATCCGTCTGAAGGACGCAAAGTTGAGCCGTCGGTCGCCGCTGCCGATGTGGTCCCGCTCACCCGCATGCTCGCACCGTCTCCGTCGCTTCTCCTCGAGGTTTCGGGGCTCGCGATACGCACGCGGCGCATGGGGAGGCTCGTCAAAGGCGGAAGAACGATGCACAGACGCGCAGGCGCCGCCAAAGAACGCTCGCAGCCTTGTTCCGGGTTTCCGCTCGGCCGATCGGGACGTCAAACCTGGAGCTGATTGTGCTTCCCCGGCTGCCGATTGTCGTGTACGCACACCCGAGCGCTGTATCTCCAGCTTACGGCCGACTTTGACGCTGGACGAACGTTGAATAGCAGGAGTTTCGAGACGATGGGCCTCCCTGTCGTCCTCGCTTGACGGCGCACTCGCTTTCTTCCTTTCTTTCCTGCAACGAACTCTCGCATTCCTTCGACACCTCGCGAAATGGCCACCATCGACGCCCTCCCGAAAGTCGTCGCATCCTTCGGCGCCGCCGTCTCCTCCCTCCCATCGCAACTTATCTCGTCGACGGACGTTCCCCTCCTCTCCTCTCAGCTCTCTCACCTCGCCTCCGACCTCTCACCTGCCCTCTCTACTCTCGGGGCAGCACAGCAAGAAGCCCTCCTCACGAACGCGACCTGGCTCGCGGGACAAACCTCGCAACTCTCGTCACTCGTCGCTCGCCTTCCCGCGGCCGAACGAGTCTCGACATCGCACGACGAGCTGCTCGCGCTCATCCAAATCGCCTCGACGCGATACGACCTCCTCACCGTCTGGACGCCAGACGTCTGGTCACTTCTCTTCCTCTTCCTCGTTGCGATCCTCCTCAAGACCATCCTCGCTCTTTCTCTCTCGCCGGCGGCTATTCGTCGTGCTCGTGGTGCACTGCGCGGGAAGTACGGCGTCGACCTTGACGGCGACATCGCCAGGTCTGCTCTCCAAAAGCCCGCGCGCTCAGCGTCAGTTCTCTCGTCCTCCTCTCGCCAGCACAGCCATTGACACTCCTCCATCGCAGACTCGGGCACCTCCTCAACCTCCTCGTCTCCATCGCCGCCCTAACCTTCCAACTCCTCGCCTGGCGGCTCTTCGTCCTCGGTTCCGAACCGATGCGCCTCCTCGACTACCAATACTTCCTGATCGCGCTCAAACTCGTCCTCCTCGGCTACGCTGTCGACTTGGTCTTCGGAGATGTCCGGCCGGAGATCTTCCTCCACCATACCTTCACTTTTCTCCTGATGTTTGTTGGGCAGCTTGCGGCGTATGAGACGAAGAGTGCGTTCGGCCTAATCTCGTCTCCCTCTCTACGAGCTAACACGTCCCACCTCGCAGGCCCCAAGTTCTTCCGCTTCGCACAATACATGCTCCTCCAAGCGACCCTCGAACAATCGACCTACCTAGCCATGGTCGCCTACCACATTTCGACTTACCTCCGCACGCAAGACCACCGGCCCGACTTGCAGGCCCTCTGCGTCAAGGCGGCGCACAAGTTGCTGGTTTTCACGACTTGGATTACGTGGGTGCAGAAGATGGGACCGGCGGCGTTTGCGCTGTATTGGATCGGATCGAGTGCGCAGTCTCCTTTTCGATGTTTGAGGATGGTGGGCTGACGAACTCGTCGAACAGTGTGGCGCGACATCGACGGACTGGGCTGGGGCAGGACCTGGCTCGCCTGGTCGACCCTTATCCTCGCCCTGCTCCTCCTCCTTCAGACCAAGTTCTGCGACGACGTCAAGCCGCTTGCCGACTAGTGCGTCGCGCTTCCTTGCCCGCATGGAAGACCGCAGGAACTGACTTGATCCCGGGTTGCGCAGCATCGGCTGCAAACTACATGGCGGTCCTCGTCCGCCTCGCAATGGCCCTGTCATGCGTTTGCTCCTCTCGCCCTTCGCTCGACGCTCGAAGGCGAAGCGCGGCGATATCGAGGAGGGAGTGGAGGACTCGGAGGAAGAAAAGACGGAGACTGTTTGCTCGTCGCCTGCTCTCAAGGGTGCGTCGACGACTTTCCTGCGCTCTCGAGTGACTCGTGCTGATCCTCGCACGCCAGCAGACCTCGAAAAGGACGCCTCCGATGCCCAGCTCGACGTCGACTCGCTCCCACACCTCTCTCAGGACTCGCGGCGGTCGTCCCAGACCCTCGCCTAGACACTCCAGACTGGCCCCGTCTATCCTTATCTGTTCTCCCTAGACGTTACCGGGTGTTTGCAAGTTGGTATTCGTGCTCAGTTTCCCCCTGCGAGACCGGCTTCCTCGCCGTTGCTCCGTCCGAGGTGACCAAGGCGGTGCTTGGCTTCGAGCTCTTTCTCCTCGCTTGTAGACCGCTGTTTAGAGTGCTGGAGGATGCTCGACTGGCTCGTGTGGCTCATGCGCAGACTGCTCCAGCTCGTCGGACTCGCCGCACCCGTTCGCCTCGTCCACAATCCGCACCTCTCAAGCATCTGCTCGCTTGATGACACCGGCCGCAAGCGCACGACGTCGCTCGCCAAGGTGCTCGAGCAGTGCAAGAGCTTGACTGGAAAGGATGCGTGGTACACCCCGACCGCATGGCTGGCCAGGTGCGCACCCCTCTCGATCCCTCCCTCGCCGACCCCTCTGTCTTTCTCACGCCGAACTTTTTTGCTCGCAGCGGTCATTTGGCGACTATCGCTTGCACGCTGTTCAAGTTTGACTACGACCACATTCACTACACGCGAGAGCTGATTCGGGTCCCGGATGGAGGGACGATCGCGGTGGATATTGCGCCGGCACTCGAGGACGGAGAGGACATGGACGACCGGCCGATCCTGGTAGTCTCGCAGTGCGTTCTCCGTCTCTTTGACGA